GCAAGGCAGGACTGGGCTTGGGCACGGCAGGAGGCAAGGCAGGGAGGATCTCGGGCTCGGCTGGGGACTCGGCTGGGGACTTGGCAGGAACAATCTTGGACTCGGGCAGGGACACGGCAGGCTCGGCGGGGACCTCAGCAGGGGACTCGGCAGGGCTGGACCTAGAGGACTGTGGCTCGGGAGAGAACGGGGAGGCCAAACTGTGGATAGAGGTGCAAGGCAAGAAAATAGAGTCATGGTGCCAGTCAAAGTAGGGTTTGTGTTTCTTGATCCAATCCATACCCAAGATGATCGGGTATGAAGCCAAGGGAATCAGCGCGAACGAGATTTGTTCATAGTGGCTGATGCCTGTGATCATAGAAACACAAACTCCAAGACTAGACTCCATCGAAGAACCATCGGCAAGAGTGATGACGAAAGAAGTTTCAAAGGTGGGGAGAGCGTGGGTTGCGGCGAATCCAGTGTCCATAAACGAAGTAACCGCGCCGGTATCGATCATGGCGGTTGCCCGTATGGACTCTGGACCGCACAGCAGAGTCACAGCGAGGGAGGGCTGACGTTGGATGTCAGGCTCGGGAGGCGAAGACGAAGAAGCAAGAGCGGTGGAAACGGTGGCAATGGTGACGGGGGCAAGATGGCAAAAGGCAGAAGAGTGATTTACCGTGGAGACATTTACAGGAGGAAGATTTATGACATGATTGACGCCTAGGAAAGCTCCTCCGACCTTTTCTAGGCAGAGAAGTTTTCCTGGTCGTCAAGTTTATTCACATCAACGACAGCCAAAGAAGCATCGATGGCAGCCAAGCGGGAGGATGCCTTATTGGGGCAGCGAGGGGCAATGTGCCCTTCCTGCTTGCAATAAAAGCAACGATTAGCAGCACGGAGGGCGGCCTTGTCCTCGGCGGTCAGCCTGCGAGCGGAAGCCTGGCTGAGGTCCATGGGCTGGGGAACGTTGAAGGCTTGAGCGGGGCGAGGAGGAGGAGCAGGAGCGAAGGGACGAGGAGCCGGACGGAAAGGGAGAGGAGCCGGACGAGCAGGAGCAGGAGCAGGAGCGGAGCGGTGGTTGGGACGGCGGGAGCGTTGGTCCTCCTGGCGGTTGTCGATGGCGATCGCCGCTTGCATGAGATCTTCGAGGTTGTCGAAGGAGCGGCGGGAGAGTTCATCTTGAACCGAGGGCTTGAGTCCACTCTCGAAGTGGAACATGAGAGGGTCTTGGGACCAAGTGACGAGGTGGACGGCTTGGCGGCGGTACTCGGCGGCATAGGCGGCGGCGGAGGTGACTTGGTAAAGCCTGACCATCTCGCGAGCAGCGGCGATGGTGGGCTGGACCTGGCCAAAGGCAGCACGGAGCCACTCGGAGAAACCGGCAAAGTCACGGATGGCAGGGGGAGAGCACTCGGGGTCTCTCTCCAACTGATCGATGTACGGCTGCATGTAGTCTGCAGCAGTACCATCGAGATAGGATAAGGCGTAAAACACCTTATCCCTTTCAGTCTGGAAGAGGGGAGGGTTGGACACGAAGGCCAGTCTGCAATGCGAGAGGAAGGCATTGCAGCGGCTCGGGTCCTTACCAGAGAAGCGGTCGGGAGGACCTATCTGCCTGGTGGCAGAGTTGCGACCAGCAGAGTGATCCTCGGGGTCTTGGGCAGGATCATCGACGTCGTCAGGTACGCCGAAGTAGGGGCGACCTGCGCGACGGATCGGAGCGGGAGCAGGAACTGGAGGAGGTAGCTGGGCCTGGTAGCTGCGGAGGGCCTCCTGGACACTGGCGGCGACAACTTGGCGGACATCCTCTTCACGGCGAGCCAGGACCTGGTCCATACGATCGGTGATGCGGTTGAGCGCATCATCCTGATCGTGGAGGAACTTGGAAAAGTCCTGGAGAGAACGGGCGTTCTCGGCGGACTGGATAATGACCGCACGGATGGCCTGGAGCTCGGGCTCGGAAAGGCCAGAAGGGGAAGCCATTGGTAAAAGAGATAGCGAAGGGAACGGGGACAAAAGCTGGGCAAGTGGGGGGTTGTTGAAGGTCTTGCCAAGTGTCAAGACTGGACAACGGGGCAAGCAGGGAAGCGCGCAAGAGTCCTAATGCAAGACTCGAACGTAGGGAGAGGAGCGGGGACTGGACTGGGACACAGAGTGTCAAGTGTGAAGCCAAAGTTTTATTCTAGATCCAAGGCTTAGGATACTAAAAATACAAAGTGGCAAGACGAAGGCAAAAGACAGAGGCTGGTCGGAGGGCTATTTATGCGAGCGCCAAGGATCGACGTTGCAGAGCGAGGGGGCAGGAGCGAAGCAGCGGCGGGGAGGGCGAAGCAGCGAGCGAAGCAGGTGGCGGCCGTGACTCGGGATCCGTGAGTCAGCGGGCGTCAGTGGCGGCGGCATGGCGGCGCCAAGGCGTCAGGCGGCGTCGAGGCGGCGTCGTGGGCGTAACCCACGACCAACAGCAAGGAAGCGGGAACGGAACACAGACAGCGCGCGTGCTGGCGGGAAGACAACAAGGCAGCACAGCGCGGGAAACAAACAAACAGAAGGAAGGGAAAGCGCTAAGGCAGGCAAACAGAAAGGAAAGGGCAAAGGCAAAGGAAGGAAGAGGGCAAAGGCAGAGGGTGTTCATGACAGTTCTCCACTTTGACTGCACACTTGGCTGTTCTTTTGCCTTTCTGTTTGTTTGTGTGTAGCTTTGCAGTTCCCCTCCAATTTTCCGCCTTTTGCCTGCCATTTCCGCTCCTTCCGCACTTCCGTTTCCCCGCGCTGCTCCGCTTCCTTTGTCTTCTTCGCACGCGCCGGTTTGTTTGTGCACGCGCCTTGCTGCGATTGGTTGCAATTCGGCTGCCGGTCATGTGTCCCACCACCGGTGACTCATGACCTGCCTGACCGCCCCGATCTCTTGTTCATCTCGCATGCATTTGCCCCAACCTTATACTTGACCAATCCGCTTCTTGGACGTTGAGTCACATTGCTTCGCCTTTGCACGTTTCTCCTGCCAGGTGCTTCGCTTTTGCTTGCGCCTCCCTCGCTTTGGTTCTCTGCCTGTCTCGGTGGTCCTTCTCGGCCCTCGTTCGTGCATCGCCCCCTTCGCCCTGCTCGATCGCCCACTTTTCCCTCCCTTGGCCGCCCTTCGCTGCCAAGTCCGGACTTGTCTATAAATAGCCTGACCCCCGCGATGTGTAGTCGAACCTCAGCGTTCAAAATAGGACTAAATAAAGTGCCTTCTACTTTATTCTCTGAGTGTTCCTCACGTCTCATTTCGAGACTAGTCTTATCTTGAACGGATCTTTGCTTCCCTCGCTCCCTCTCCGAGTCCACTTCGGACTTTACCCTTGCCTTCCCTGAGCTCACTTCGAGCTCACTTCTTCTTTTGCCGTTGAGTCCCCTTCGGACTCTAACACGGACTCTGGCTCTGGTATCGCGACAGTTTTGGTGGCAAACCTATCGGAAAGATGTCAAAGAGTACGTCTCGACGTGCGACACCTGTGCACGCTCGAAAGCTCCGCGACACAAGCCGTTTGGGTTCCTGTTGCCACTCCAGACAGCCGATCGACCCTGGGGGACACTGACCATGGACTTTATCACTGATCTGCCAAAGTCCAAGGGTCACACCTGCATCTTTGTGGTGGTATGCAGCCTCACAAAGATGGCACACTTTATGTCCTGGCGTTCACTGCCGTCGGCGGAGGAGACTGCGTCACTGTTCCTCGACAATGTCTTTCGTCTCCATGGCCTCCCCGACACAGTGGTTTCAGACCGAGGAAGTCAGTTCACCTCTCGGTTCTGGAAGGCACTCTGCACGCAGCTCGGGATCCAAACCAGTCTGTCCACGGCCTTCCATCCCCAGACCGATGGACAGACTGAGAGGGTCAACCAGGTCATCAACCAATACCTGCGCTGTTACACGTCGTATCAGCAAGATGACTGGGCCGAGCTGCTGCCGTTGGCCGAGTTCTCTTACAATAACCTCGAGAACTCGTCAACACATGCCTCGCCATTCTTGGCAACCTATGGGTTCCACCCAAGGTTCGAAGTCCCCGTTGTCGCTGGCGGCCCTGATGTTCCCTCTGCCACGGAGAGGGTTGAACATCTCCAGCGGAACCTGGCACTGTTGAAGGAGAATCTTGAGAAGGCAAAGTCTGACTACAAGCACTTCTCAGATCTCCGGAGGTCCCAGGCTCCCGACTTGCGTCCGGGCGATCAAGTCTGGGTGCTGACTCGTAACATCAGCACCACTCGCCCAAGCAAGAAGCTGGATTACCAGAGGATTGGACCATTCACCATCCTCGAGGCCGTCGGGACATTGGCTTTCCGCCTGGACTTGCCAAAGGACATAAAGGTGCACCCGGTGTTCCATGTGTCTCTTCTTGAGCCCTACAAGAAGAACTCGCTTCCGGGTCGGGTGCAAGCGCCGCCCCCTGCGGTGGTCATCGATGGGAACTTGGAGTGGGAGGTCGAAGAGATCTTAGACTCCAAGTTCGTGCGCGGAAAGCTGCACTATCTCATCGATTGGAAAGGCTACCCGGTCACCGATCGAAGTTGGGAGCCCGCCGACATTGTCTTTGCCCCAACGGTGGCCGCGGAGTACCACCGACGCTACCCAGACAAGCCTGGCCCCAGGAGAACTCAAGATGGAACACGCCGTAGTTTAAGGAGGAGATAGTGTGATGACCAGCATCACAACGGACCAATGAGATTGTCCCGCATGCTCTCGCCCTCCGCACCAATCATGAGTCCCCACGTGTTTGTTTGCCCCCATGCATGAGCACGCGCCGTTGCCACCCGCGTCTACTGGTTTCCTGCCTCCCCCACCGCTCGGCACATGTCCCCGGGCTGTGCCAAGCCTCTCTCGCTTGCACACCAGCCACTCTCGCACCCCCTTCTCGCTTCTCTGTGATGCTCCACCCTTCTCGCCCACTTTTGCCCCTCGACCTTCTCCCGGTCTATAAATAGCCCTGCATGTCTGAGCCTATGTTGAACACCAGTTCGAACAAAACTTGTTCTTTGGTGTTCGGGGCTAAAAGCTAATAAAGCTCATACCAAGCACTTGGTCTTCGTCCTTGCGCTTGTTCACTCCTTACACGATGGCATCACAACGAAACCCCAAGACGATGGGCATCGCTGCAGCAGAGAGGCATGCGGCATGTTCGGCTGATGGACTGTTGGGCGCATCGATGGTTCAAGCTTGTGGGAAATGACAGAGTCGCTACTCTCCGGATATTTTCGCTCTCTGGGCAGCTTTTTACCATGCTCCAACCAACGAGGGGAGCGTGAAAGAACAGTTTGAAATTGGAGCCATCTGCTTTATTTCACTTGCTCAGGTGCTCCAAGACACATACATGTCCACCAATCGATTATATAGACACACGCACATACGCAGAAAGTGAGGGAGAAAGGAAAGAGTGATGATCAAGGCTATTCAAGCCATCGGCTGCCATCTAGTGAGCATTAGAGGGAGCGCTCTGGCAAGAGTGGACTTGCTTTGTCTAGCTGGAGCCACCTTTCTTTCCCGAAAACGGGTTCCAGCCGGAGAATGTGGGAAGGATGCTGCCGGAGATGAATGGCGAGCTGCTTTGTGGGGCATTGGACGACGGGCCGCCCCGCCGGCCGTGGTTGTGCTCGAGGGGGGTGGATCGCAGGTTTTTGAAGAACTTGCCAGAGTATTCCAGCTGGGACAGGTCCTTCATGAGTTTCTTCACCTCTTCGTGCGATGGCGGGGCCCGATGATAGGCAGCAATACCGTCAGTGAGAATCTTGCGCTCGCTCTCGTAGATCTGCTTGAGCTTGGTGAGGCCTTCGATTTTGGTCTGCTGCTGGGCAGAGCTGCCAGGAAGCTGGTTCGAAGACTCGCGGGCCTCCTTGATCAGATGATCGAGGTACTCGAGCAGGGCATCGTTGTAGAGGACGATGCCGTTTGCCTTGACAAAGACGGCGAATTTGGCACTGATGGACATGATGGTGCGCTCCTCGTCCTCCAGGTCGACAATCTTCTTTCGGAGCCTGTCGATGGCCATCTGGATCTGCTTGCCGTTGTCTTGCTCATCTTGGATCTGCTTGCGCGCTTGCTCGTTCAGAACACTTTGCTTTTCGTACTGCATCCTCCAGTAGATGTGGAGATGATATCTGTACGAATGCGAGCATATTCTGCAGTTTTCACCGCTCATGGCCCAACAGTTCAGGAGGACGGCGTCGCCAATGACTTCCTTGGCAACGTTGCTGAGATAGCAGTGGTCGTGGCACTTGGTCACGTAGTCTGTGATCGTTCGTCCTTCCTTGTCAGTGATATGCTTGACGCAGCTAGGATGGGAGCACACCGTGACGGGATGAGGAAGTTCTTGTGGAATGGGGATGTCGACGGTGACATTGAGGGCCTTTTGGAGATCAGCCACGGACGCCGAGGTTGAACTCAGGGCCTTGATCTGATCATCGAGGGTCTTCTTGTTGGAGATGATCGATGCGGCGACATCAGCAAGTGGCTTGCAGAGCTCGAGAACCTGGCTTCGGACCTCGTACAGGACGACAGTCTTTTCGGTTTCGAAGCTCTCGATGCCGGCAATTGTTTCCAGCATCTTGCGGCAGGTCTCTGAGGACTTGGCCCACGAGTTGCGGAAGTCCTCTTGCTCGGCACTGGTGAAGTTGACCTGTCCCCTTGCAAGGAGATATCGATAGGCCTCGTTGTCGACCATGAAGAGGTTGCTCTTGTTGATTGGGATGTCGACCCCAGAGTCGCGCTTGACCTCATTCAGCAGCTTCTTCAGCGCCGGCATCGTGTCTCCCGGACGGTAGAGAGTGCTTCTGGCATTGGTGAACATGAACAGGATGTTTCTGACACAGTCCTTGTGCAAGCTCTTGAGGAGCTCCTTGATGCAGAAGCGGAACCAGGTGGTCAGGCGGCTGTTGTTTGGCTTCAGCAGCATCAAGATGCCGTTGATTTCGGGATAGTCAGCGATGTACTTGATGATGAGGTCCATGTTATCCTTGTCTTGCTGGATACCGCGAGTGTCGCCCATGCCGGGTGTATCAATAATCTGGCACCGAACGATTTCATTGTTTCCGAGTCTCGGGAAGAACTCGTAGGTTCTAGGCTGCTGGGTAGAAGAGTTTCCGGTGGTTTGTTCTTCATTTTTATGGGCATCTGGTCGATTGTAACGCTTGGTCAGATGTGTATCTTTGCCATCATTGGACACACCAGCCCACTAGTACTTTGCCGCGCATCTCGACACATGCTCGATGAATGGACTTACCTTGATCATCGTCATTCAATATAAGGCGTTCGGATCGAATGACAATCTCTTCTTCGGGAGACTCGGAGTCGTACAGGAAAAACTTGGTCGGGATGAGCGAGAGCACTTGCTCCGGCGAAATGTTGTCGAGGCTATCGAAGGTGAGGTAGTTGGCCAAGGCGTTGATGAGGGTCGACTTTCCGACGCCTGTTTCGCCGAGGATGAGGATAGTGTAGGTCTTCGGCTCGCCGCCGGGAAGAGGGGAGTAGGGAGGGGGGGTGGCCCACTCAGAAGCAAAGTCGTCGTCTCCAATCATGTTAGGCAGGTGTTGAGGCGAGATGGTCGGGCTGGATGGCAGGGCAGGCTGGATGTCGGGCTGAATGTCGGGGAGAGTCTCCGGGCGGACTCGGTCCGTTTATAGGGCGGTGGTGACGCTCGCGCAGGCTATCCGGCCTTGGAGCTTTCTTGCGGTCATCAGGGTATCCACGAGCGAGGAGGGGCGGCGTCTCCTTGCGGGTGTCTTTCGCAGCTACCGACGCAGCAAACACCACAATGCAGAAGTCCCACCAGCCAACAAAGAGCGGGAGGATGCTCTTCAGCGAATGATACCACCCGTGCCCGCCACATGATGGCATTGCGCACAAGCCAGGATACCTCCGCTTCTGAGGCGGTGAGGGCGGCGGTATCATCGCGCATCAACCGCCAGGCAGCAAGCCCCATGACCAAGCGCGGTGACACATGGCTGCGCTTCTTGTCGCTACACAAGACGCGTCTGTTTCATCCGCGCCACCTGGCGGCAAGGCTGAACGCAAGCAGCCCGCCGGTATCTTGCGACTCGGTGTCCGCGGGATGGCTGTGGCGGATACCGTTCACAAGGACGGGTATCTTCCATCAGCCATGCAGCGAATCGAAAGCCAGACTGCCATTGGTGGGAATGCGCGGCGAGGCTCCTTGGTGCAGATGGCGATTGGCCTCGCCGACTCCAGGGCCATCTCCCAACGCTCCTCCGGCAGTATCGCATATAAAAAGCAGGCAGCCCTGCCGTCAACTTTACCGCCCAGCGACACAGCCTTGGGAATATCCACTGCCAAGTCCACCACCGCCAACATGAGCCTCCCTGCTATCATCAGCAATATTAATCTGGATCAGGCCAGACAGCCTCTCAATGAGTATCTCAGAACCCGCGGATTAGACGGAAAATGTATCCAAGGTTGGTTTCGAGCTTATTCATGCGTGGCTCTTTCGCAGGTGGTTCGTGGCCGTTGCTGTTGCTGCTTTCCATGATCGACATGGTGGCATTTGTTGGTATTCACTCGCAAACGGGTGCTGACTATGGGTCATCCCGTGCTTCTGTCACCATCCCATCTCGGGCTCGGCGTTGAGTAGACCGTGATGTATTCTATCCCGAAAAAATCAACGTCACCGACATCGATCGCCTTCTGGAGGCCTTTCAGCAGTACATCGCAAGAAGAAGCCTCACCGCCGTGCTGTTTATTGTGGATGCCGGTTTGCAGCCCTCCGCCCAAGCATGGATGAGTCTCCTTATGACTGCCGTGCCCAGATCGATTGCTCCAAATGTGTACATCTGCGCCATTGAGAATCTAGTGGATCCCAGAGACCATGCGCTGATCCTCGGGGAGGTGAACACCATCTTTCTGGCTGACCAGCCGCAAAAGTATTCTGCCAAGGCAGCCCATTTCCTCGCGCCCGCGGCCTCATCCAACCCGTATTTCTGGATGCAGTTGGAGAATGTCAGACCTTCTGCTGGAATGACGACAGCTCAATCAATGTCGTCGCAGTCGAGCCCTAGAATTGAGTTCAGAACGCTTGCCGATGAACGTGCCGCCATCAGGCTCTATTATCGCCTCAACCTCAGCTTGGATTCCGACATAATCGACGCCGAAATGAACGATATCTTGGGAGGCCAAGTGCAAACGACTTTGTTCAAGATTTTGAACGACATCTCGGACCGCTCTGTGCTGACATCCAGCCACCATACTTGCAAATACATCAACGAGATCATCAATCAGCGCCAAGACTTCCCTGAATTGTCGAAGGGCGAGGACCCGGCGCTGATCCAAAACCTCAAGAGCATCCTCGCTGTCGAGAAGGCTATCCAAGATGCATTCAACTTGGCCGAGCAATGTCGCTCAGAATCCGCTCGGAGTGGGCAAACCATCGATGAGTGTCTCACCCACTTGATTTGCCTCAACGATAGTCTGATCGAGACACTCTCGAGTCGTCAGCAGAGAGTTGACAACGATGTGATTCGCTCGGTCTCCACTCAAGCAATCGTTGGTGGTCCTGAAGGACAATCGAACTCGGCCCTGTATGACTTCACCCGTCAGCCTGTCGACTCGTTGCGCTTGCATATGGATGGAAGCTCGATCCAGCAAGTTACCGCCTCTTATGCTACTGATGAACAGGACGCCGAAATGTCGGATATGTCGCCCGACCCAGTCCCTCCTCAAAAGCAATCATCCAGTCGGTCCAGCTCGTTGACTCAAGGGGACACGTTGCTGAATACTCAGCCTTTGACGAGAATCAAGGACGGAAAAACTCGCATTTCTTCCAAGAGCAGAGAGTCGCTGAAATCCGTCAATGCCAAATCCCGCCAAAGCGGTGCGGCCGCCCGAAGCACTCCCGAGTCAGCACAGATGCACTGGACCGATGATGATCAACTCCAGTCCCAAGGATATTATGACAGTCCGGTCCAGCCGACTGCCTCTGCCCAGAGCGCAGACATCGATTCGGCCACTGCAGCCGCCACGGATGTCGAAGAGACTGTGAATCTGCTTGTGCTTGGAGAGACGGGCGTTGGCAAATCCACCCTCATCAACTCCCTGGCCAACTATCTGAGCTACCAAACACTTGAAGATGCCCAGGCTGGCGAAGCAAAGACTCTGATTCCCGCAAAGTTCGTCATCTGCCATCCTGATACTTTTGAAGAAGTAGAAGTCAAGACAGAGACTCTATCAAACGTCAACCCCGACAATAGTAAGCCCTACTCTGCCCGTCCACAGAGTGTGTCGAGTTGGTTTGGGTAATCGTGTTGCTTTTAGGTCTGTGCTAACCCGAGTGCTCTATTCCATTGCTCCTGCAACCCAAAGTTGCCCTCATGGAGGAAATCAACGCAAACGAACAGTACGTGACTGGACAGTCGACGACCCAGCGCCCGCAAGCGTACTCGTTCAACGTCCCTGGCGATGGTGATCGCTTCATCAAAGTCAATATTATCGATACACCTGGAATGGGTGACTCCAGAGGCATCGAACAAGACAAGAAAAACATGTCCAACATCATCAAATATGTGACAAACATGGGCTCGCTCAACGCCGTTGTCATCGCCCTTCCCACCAACCAGAGCAAGCTGACGGTCTGGTTCCGCTTCTGTATCATGGAGCTCTTCAAGTATCTCGATAAGGATGTTATCCAAAACATCAGTTTCCTGTTCACCAAAGCTCGAACGACCTCATTCAGAATGGGCGACACAACTCACGTCCTCAAAAAGCTCTTCACCGAGATCAAGAGCCAGTCTGGAATCCAAGTTCCTCTCACCGAAGCCAACACGTTCTTGATTGACAACGAAGCCTACCGCTTCCTGATTGCCAAAGACCATGACATTGGCTTTACTCCAAGCGAAATTGAGCAGTTCAAGGATTCATGGCTCAGGTCGTCCCTGGCCTGCCATAGTCTTGTCGCTTTGGCGAGCAAGGGCAACCCTAAGAGCTTTGAGAAAACCGGCCAACTCGAGGTGCTTCGAACGTTCTTGGAAACCCACATGGAAGAGCTTATGGACATGGATACCGAAATTCAGCAAGGCGCTGCAAAGACAAAGCAAACGGAGCAAATCATCCAAACGGTCCAAAGCCAACTCGTTGATCTGAAGAGCATGGTGGAAGTCGTCATCGTCCTTACGCCAAGAATTCATCATGGCGAAGTCGTGATCTGCCGGCACCCTGAGTGCGCAGATTATTCGATCGACAAGCTCGGAGTCAACAAAGTGGAGGGCACCGGTTCATTCTCTCAAGGTTGGGGCAAATGGGGAGGAGGTGCCACGAAATCGGTATGCAAGCCCGGCTATCGCCATGAACCAAGGCAGTATTACCAAAAAACCGGATTCACGTATGAAACAAGCTTCGAGGAGCGCTACAGAGACGAAACAAAGCTGCAGATTGAAGAGTGCGAGCAAAGCTTGGACGAGAATACGAGAAAGCTCGCAAGCCTCAGGAGTCAGGACTATATTCTCAAGTACAAGCAGAAGGAGTATCTTCGCTTGGTGGCCGTCTGCAACCAGCAGCTGCGCAAGCACAGTGTTGTGCACCGAAACGAGACCTTCTTGGATGAAAGCGACTTCCAGGTCATCCAGCAGCAAGCGTATTCTGACGGCGTTCTCAACCCCGAGAAGCTCCGAAAGCTTGAAGCCCTGAAGCGCACGTACGAATACGAAAAGACCTTGATGAGGGACCAAGGCCGACAGTACACCCAGCTGAGTTTGAGCGATGCGGTCTCCCAAGTCTATGAGTTCGAGTCGAGACTCAAGGACCCGAGTTTCGGAATCCAGACCTATGCGAATGTGCATACTCTTCAGCAGCAGATACCACGCAACACACCGGCCGTGAGAGGCTCACCGTATAAGAATGGGGCCAACAGAAGACGCTGAGCCAACTATGCACTGGAGGAAATGTACCACTGCGTTGTCCAGAAAATAAACGAGACACATTGCACCGAAATCCGTCCGCCAGTAACTGCAGTCTCGATCGCGGATGTGCTCGGACTCGAGGGAGAAATAAGGCACGCCGCTTGTTTGAGAGCATATTACACATGCTCGAGTGGTGGCTCATCGATGAAAACACCGGGTTCGTCACCATGGTTGCTACGTTTCGTCAGTCTCTCGCGGGAGCATGGCCACGGGGGTGTGGCTTGAGTAAAGGCGGTCTGTCGATACTATAGCGATTGGCTTGTGACGTAACGAGAGTTCTGGATGGCGACATCGGCCCAGTCATCGTTGTCCATCGACCTCAAACGTAAGATATACCATCTGTGTTGAGGGATCTGCCGTCTCTGCCTGTCACATCAGCAACAGCCTCTCATTCTCGGAATAATGGGATGTCTGCTTGAGACATCGAGGAGCCTCGCTACACACCAAGCTGGCAGGCTCAAGTGCAGTGTCCTGGATGGTCAGCAGTGCGCCGGGAGGACTCGACTGCGCCATATTCCGGGAAAGTAGCGAGCCTGGGTCGCTGCAAGTCCATCGGGATGTTCCGATGATCAATGTATTGGATGTGAAGACGGTGGGATTCCGACAGTGCTTCGTTGCTGACGATATTGGCTCACGGAAATGAATAGCTGGGCACTCCTGACCGATGTCGCTATCAGTTCTTTCCCGGTTTGAGGTGGTGATACTTTGGCAGAACCTGCTCGTTGCAAAAAACAAGGCGTCTGGCGTTAGCAATGAATGCTTTCACATCAGTATTCATTCGACTGCCGCCGGGAATCATTCACATGAGCGGCGCCTTGATGCCACGAACGTTCCAGAGACTCACAAGCTTCGGCTTTGGACCCTCACCTCCTTCAAGTAGTCGAGATGGCGGCTGTGCAGATTGACCTGCATCCGAGTCAATTTGGTCTGGAGCCTTCGCTCATGCAGGCTGCCGAAGAGCACTGTGTCGCTCGGGATATGCTCCTCTCGGAAGGTCGTGCACATAGCACCGATGACACAGTTATCGCCGATCGATGTGCCTTGCGAAACAATTGCTGCGTCGTTGGTGAAAGGTTTAGCATGGCGATGGATATGCGAGCGCCGCCGAAACGGAGCCGGATGTTTGATGGCCAGGGCAGCTTACCTTTGGGCTCGACAATGCATCCGTTGCCCATCTTGGCTCCTTCGAATTCTGCAACACAGGAGGCCGTCAGTGTCTCAAGACCTCGGACGAGAACAGCGACAGAGGCAAGCCAACAGACACTTACGTGAGCCGACTTCAAATATGTTGTCGTCGCCGATGTACATAGGGTCTTCCTGCCTGCAGTGTCGCAAAGCGGGGGAAAAGGGGAGATGTGAGCAGCTCGAGGGAGCCCGATATCCAGCGGGGACATGTAAACTCTGCCTATGGACGGGATTCCAGAGGGTCGGCCGTGCTCTCCCAGGCGTCGCATTCTATCTGCCTCATGCAGCGGGGCATTCGTACCAGTTGGTGATCAGGACATTCTCCTCGATGATGTTGTTGCTCCCGATGAAGATCTGGCCGCCTCCCTCCGAGACGATGCGGCATTTCGGATGGACGACGTTGTTGGCGCCAAAGATGACATCGCCGCGGATCACGGCCTCCTCGCAGATAGTCGAGGCATTTGCCAGTCGGCTCATGGCAGGCGGTGCGGCTTGGGCTGGGGAGGCAGCAGTATGGAGCGGTGGTTGCTGCGGGCGAGATGCGGGCCAAGGAGGATTCGGCGGCGAGCGATGCATGTCTTGGATGCCATGCTGCAGCGCACCGGCTCGAGATCGCCAACCCCACACCAGCTCGCTCGGGCCGCTCGCCTGCGAGAGCGCAGATACGGCCTGATACCGAGGCGACACCCGAGATCCAGCACGAACGGCCAGGACAGAGTAGATCCAGCTTGGCGGGTCGCAAGGCTCGATGTATTTGCCACCCACTCCACAATCCCGCACAGCGCTCAAGGCTCCGTTGGCGTGCCCAGATCCCAGCGCACATACGACAGTCCACGCCTCTTGAAGAAAGTCTTGTCGGTCTTGAAGTTTTGCGGATGTGCCGCTGAGGCCTTGGCGCTCTGTCCCGGCATCGCTCTCTTCTTTGAGCGAGATTGTGCCGGCTGTTTGGTCTTGTCGCTGTCATCGACGGGCCTGCAAGCGACACCAACGCAGCCCAGCAGCCAGCCGGTCGACCATCGATTGCATTCAATTAGAGCAGGCGTCGAGCAGCTCTGGCCGGAAACGACATGCAGCAATGACGGCTCTTGTGTTGGCGGAGGAAGCAGACGAGCAGGCCTCCGTCGAGGAGCGAGCGCAACAAGCATTACCATTCGACTGCCACGGCATTGTCTTGCAAGTAGTTTTCGCACGTCGACCAACTGAACCGAGCAACCTGCGGGAATCCAAAGACAGGGTCGGTGCTGTCCTTCATCCACGCAACTGTGTTCGGATCTATCGGGCTGAATCGATAAGCAAGGCCGCGTTGCGGATGCGAAAGGCCCGTCCCGATGCAGGGATTATGCATCCTTTCGTTGTTCAACCCTTGCTCCTGGCAAAGGCATTACTTTCCTCCCTCAGCGCAGGACATCCTCGCACTGCTCATCGCCCGTTCCTCACCAGCTGGATAGCCGGATCCAAAGTTCTTTGAGATACTCAAATCGCGCTCGACAAACGTCCAGCCATGCAGAACAGCGTCCCTTGTAACCTGGCAGAGTGTCAGCAATACGATGTTGCCAGGGTCCGATCGGACCGATCGGACCGATATCTGCTCTGGTCACCCACCTTGGCACATATACTGGCAGCACTGACGACCGGGAACTTGGCATCGGCCTTCTTCTCGACTCGCACCTTGATGCCCGGAAACAAGTCCTCAAGCTTCTTTTGGTACGATGCTGGTGGGCCGACGGTATCGACATAGATCTACAGTTGCGACCACGGGGGGGGGTGATCAATGCTGGTGCTCATTCATCACGGCGCTGTCTGTTCCCGCACCATCGATCGTGCGAGAGCAGCCCCGATACCAAACGAACCTCTTTGATCTTGACGCCCCGAGCCAGGACTTCTCTGATCAGGTTGATGGTGGTGTCATGGGCCAGAGCGTTGAGATTGTACTTTTGCCTGCCCGACCAAGCAGCCATTTGATGCCGTTCCAAGTAACCAGTGTCGTCACGCATATCGAGGTAAGTGGTGTTATCGAATCCAACCGATCGACATCCTCCTCATAGACCGTATCCGATCCATCCGCTCAGCGATCTGTGCTTGTCAACGCTCCCGAGAATTGCCGGGCTATGGGGGCATGGTCTCCCCCGCACTGACCTTCCCAGCATCGATCCAGAAATATCTGTGGGGCTGCAGGTGTGGACGGCCCATCCGATCCAGTCCTGATTTGCCAGCACGACATCGAAGAGCGTCGCTCGCTGGTCGAACGATAGGACCTTGGAGTCGGCAAATCCGAGTTTGCCCAGCTCCTTGTTCTTCGAGATGGGGGTATAGCTGACTGCATACACCATCGGTCCTGGAAGAGCATGGGAGGCATACCGAGGAATAAGCTTGCTGACATCTGCTTGGCTTCCAGTTAGCCCGTCCCAGACACCCAGGCGCTGTCCAAGGCCCGTAGGCGGGTATAGACCGGCGGGGATCGAAAGACGGTCGGCAAATATTGGCAGCCTACCAAGCACTGGGCCCCGGCCTGCTTCATCGACGCCAAGAGCAACAGGCTCCGCGGCCAGGGCTGACGAGACGGGCGAGTAATGTGAATACGAGTGCACCAGCGGCGTTGTCTTGATGTGAGCGTACTCGGTGTGGGCGGCATGTGGGTCTAGGCCGAGCTCGACGTTGTCGTCGTCATCGATGTTGTCGAGGCTGTCCTGCATGTTTGATCGTGAGCTGTGAGCTGTGAGCTGTGAGCGAGACGACGCTTGGTAGAGGCTTTTGGGCAGCAGCGGCGCTCTGGATGTCTGGATCGACGACGACAGCGAGCAAGATCGTTGGAGCAGATCGCCTGCAACCGCGATCTTGGGCGCCGTCGATCCCATGACTCGCGGACCGGATCGTCACTGTCGACGGGCATACATCGACACCATATCTGAGCAACAGCACTGCGCTGGCTCTGCGTCGTATGGCAGGTGGGCCATCGAGGACGATGGGCGAGCGTGTGTATTTCAGGATCCAAAAGCACAGCACACATTGGCTTCAAATCGGCAAGTATCTTCGCCGCGTTGAGTGCGCACTGGATGTCCAGGACGAGAAATGCCAACACATACTCTCGAATCGAGCGGTGGCCATGTCGCATTCAATTTACAAGGTGACGGGGGGGGAGGCTGGTCAAGTGATAGAAGGGCAGCGACAAAAGAAAGAAAAGAAAGATACCGAGCGAGCAAGCAGGCAGCGACACACCCTGCTCGCCGGTTACTCGGCCCGCTAGGCCAGTACAGAGCGAGTGTCGGGCGAGGAGGAGTCTCACTGCCCGCCGAGCTTCTCCAAAAGCTCATCACAGAGCTTGGTCAGCTCCTGGTTCTCCAGCGTCTTTGTTTCAACAGTCTTCTCGATCGACTTGATCTGTAGCTCGGCTCGCTGCAGCTTTGCTCGCTGAGCCGACATGTCCTTTTCGTGTGAGGCACGCACCCGTGCGATTTCAATGTTGGCGCTGCAGAGCCAGAAACACCGTCGGCACCGTCAGAAAGAACCAAGAGAGAGCCATAGACAGCCAGCGGGGCGCACACATGGCGGCTGTCGATGTTGGATCGGATCGGATCGGATAATGTAGGGGACATTGGCTGCCCAATGCAGCGTCGTCTAAGCCGCACATGCCAGCCATGGGCGGGTAACGTACCTTTCCAACTTCTCCTCGGCGTGTGCCCGCAGCGTGTCAAACCGTCGCTCGCTATTCGCCAGCTCGCTGCGGGTCTTGATAACCAGCTCGTCAAGAGCTTTGTTTTCCTGTGGCAAGGCGGGCACGCATAGGCACATGTAAATCACAGCACTATCGCTTCGAACATCATGCCGCAGACATAGGGCCGTGGCCAGCAACGGCATACACCCAGCGCAATGCATCCGTCCAGACGACCCCAGGTGGCTGTTCCTTACCAGTCGTAGCTCCTCCATATCTCGCTTCTGCTGTTGGAATCGAAGGACAGCGACTTCGTTATCCTTCATAACCCGCTCCTTCTCTTCCTTCAGCTTGTGCATCTGCTGTCGGAAGCTCTCCTCTTGCTGCTTGACTTGCTCGCGGTCTCGTTCCCTCTCATCTATCGCACAATACAAGAAAAAGGGAGAGTGGGTCGGGATCCGGATTAACAGAGCTCCATAGCAGGCCATGGCGGTGATCCTGACCCAAGAGACCGAGCGCGGCTGCGGAACCTACGAATCATGCTGCGAATCTCCGCCTCGAACTTTTGGAGCGTCTCTTGAATCTTTCGGTATTCCTGGCTGAGCTTCAGATTCCTCTGCTCCACTTCCTGAATCTCCAGCTGCGCGAGCTCAAACTCTCTTTCAAACTAGGATCCATTTGGTGCGCCGTTAACGAGCGATGACAGCAAATACGACAAAGACAAAAACAGCGTACAGAGGTCAGATCAGCACGGGGAAGGACGATCACGGCGGGTTCCAATAGTACAAACTTATAGGACGCATCATCTACACGGCCACTACAGGCAGCTCGCGACAAAGAAGGGGCCAAAACATCCCAATAGCTGTAACACTCGAAAAGGGCCAACGATCCCACACGACACCAAGTCCGCTCGCAACCACGAACCTTTTCCTCGAGCTTGCGGCGGGCATCATCCATGTCGCGCTGCGTGTACCGGAGGGTGCTTGTGGGCGTAGTAAAGTCGTTTCCGAGGGTATCCAGCAGAGATAGGTTTCGGTTCACATTCGGCGTCCTGAGCGACGGCGTTCCGTAGGAGCGATCTCGCACGCGCGACGGAGCAGGGGTCGCCATCCAATTCTCGGGGATGTGAATGAGCGGATCCATGTGGCTACTTTGGTGTGCGGAAAGGGCCAGAGGAACCCCAGCAGAGGTTGGTGCTGACGGATGGTACTGCAGCGATGCGGCCATGCTCCGTGACGTTGACACACGCAGGGGCGTCGCGGATCTGGACGATGCTGGGGCGCTCATGAATGAGGCATTGTTGACGTCCGTGACGCTGTGCTCTTCCAGCGATGCTGATCGGGGCGAAGTGGCATGCGCAAACTCGGGTGCGTGGCCTGATGGATAGCCGAGGTCTGCTGTAGTCAGGGCCGGCTCCTGGTCGTCCAGGCCGCCGACGGGATAGAGTTGTGATGAGATGCGGCGACTGGCTCGGACTGGGTCCTGCGCCATTTCCTGCTCGTACTCCAGGTGATCTTGCATGGCCGCATGGACAGGCAATCGGTCCAGCTCATCCGGGGTCGCGCCATCGAACTGTGCCTGGCGTGGGTCTCGTTGCTGAGGGGTTTGACGCCCATGTGGCCTGGCCTGGCTGAGCTCATAGTCCCGCCGCTGGCGACTTATTTCTTCGATACGCATCTGCTCCTCTCGTTGAGTATGCTGCTGCAGCTCCTCATGCAGGGTTGGGCGGCGATACTCGGTCAGAGACGGGGGAAGAATGTTGTTGCTCGGCGGAGTATTCTGCGACTCGGGATCGTAGCCGGGGCCATGATCGTTGGCGCGCGATGGCTGTACTTCTCCCGAGGTGGTGTCAGCCATAGATGTGTCGTTTTCGTGAATGCCCTCTGTCGCAGCGGCAGTGTCGGAAGCGGGCGCTGCACCGGCAGGAGCTGGGTGAGGGCGCTGATCGGTGTGGTCGGTGTGGTCGGTGTGGTCGGGCTCCTCGTCCATCTCTTCGATGGGAAAGTCACGGAGGGTGCGAACGGACGCCCGCGAGTAAGCAGTACGCTCACCCACGAACGCAGATGGATCCAGAGCAGACTTGGACTCGCCGTCGGCCTCATTTGCAGGGTCGAGGGTGCGATCGTCGACAACCAAGACAGAGTTCTCGACAGCCGGTGGCACCCCAGTCATATCAATGTCCGTCAGCGAGAGGCCCTGGCCGTCGACGATGATGGGTATGTCGACAACCAGCTTCTCTGCTCCGCCAACCGGAAAAGCGCCGGGCCGGAGCCTGTTGGCCGAGGGGGAGGGCGGTGCTGGAGAGTTTAGGGAAATCAGCGTGGCTTCCTGGACCACGTTGGCCGGCAGGCCGTTTGAGCCGGGGCGGCGCTTGCGAGCGACAGGTGTTGAGGTTGGCGAGAAGACGCATGCGTTGCTGTTGGAGGTTGTGCTGCCAGGAGTCGGGAGATCGTAGTGCGGAGAGTCGGATCCGTACGAGTGCACCACCGAGCGCAGCGACGAGGTGGAGGTGCGGCGGGATGCAGAGCGGGCAGCCTTGATCTGGGCGAGGTTCTCGTGAGCAGCCGGAAAGTAGTCGTGAGGTGAGGCCGGTCGATTCTAGGAAACAAAGGCGGAATGCAGTCGATGGGTATCAGTTGGCGGGTATCGGTTGACAGACATCGGTCGGCAGCTACCGATTCGAAGCGACAGTCCGAAGGTGGCGCCTGGATGTGCAAGCGACCAACAGCCAATGCGGAGCAGCGATGGTCCATGCGACCGTCTCCGCTGTCGATGCAGATCCGCTAAGGCGGGTCAAAGAGTGCAGAGCGACAAGACGGCCGCAGCGACGAAGGGATCCTGAGCCAGGTTGCTCAATGACTGGGCGCTGGCTGCCTAGATCAGTGCCGCAGCGCTTGCAACAACACAGTCGCGGTAGCGGCATGCTGCACAATGGTGCATGCGGCAGCGAGTAGGACGATGTCGGTGCAGAGGAGCCGTGAGATTGCTGGGGATGGGCTGGGCTGGGCTGGGCTGGGTTGGGCTTACATGTGTCGAGTGATTGGGACTGCTCCTGAAGATCTCATCCTCCTTGTCGGCATTCATGGGCAGCCTGCGGGCCGACGACGGCGAGCCGGGCGTCGGCGAGGAACGGTCCCAGGTCGGATAATGCGGCAGGTTGCTGCCGGAGGGAGAATGGGGCATGGGCGTGGGACTGTTCCGGGATCGCAGAGTCGGTGCCGGGGTGGAAGCCAGAATGTTGGGCGAAACAATATTGGGCGACGACACTGATGGGGTGCGGGACCCACGGCCAAGAGGCGACTGCAGCGACGCCGGGTTGACGGGATAGCCGTCCATGGCGACAGATTCTGGTCTAATCGGAGAAGGAGGGAGGCGGGACCGAGGAGTAGGGCCGGATGGGATGCGATGGAATGTCGGTGGGCGATGCGATGGATGTGATGAACAGCAAAAGTAATGCACCCGCCGCAGCCGGGAAAAACGCCAGGCAGCGAGGCGAGGCGCGCGGCGAGAGCGGGCGAGGGCAGCGCAGAGGCCGCTGTGCCCGATCTGGCTGGCCCGATCTCGACTCGCCGGCCAGAAGGAGCGGCACCGGGCCGAGACGGATGGGCAATAGGGGGTTGGAGACCAGCAGCGCAGATGCATGTCGGACGGCAGTCGCAGCGAACCCAGTGCGTTGGTGTCCGTCCGGGGGGGGTCGATGATCAGCGCACGAGCATGGCCAGCAGAATGTATATTCGATAGAGTCAAAGATTAATCAGGAACGAGCCGAGGGCACGATGGCCGAGTCTGTCCGGCCGGGAGGACCGACCGTTGCTGGAGGGGTGGCCATGTTGCAGAGCCCCTGCCGCACATTGGAGTGGACTGAGTTGAGTTGGATTGCACTGCTTTGGACTCGCTGGGGTGGATTGGTTGAGACACTGGATTGCATAACGTTCGGCCGAAGCACATCGCAGTCAATGGAATCAAAGTCTATGGCGCTGCCTCGGACTGCCTCGGACTGCCTCGGACTGCATCGCATGTCTTGAACTGCATTGCACGATCAACAGAGGCTCGAGCAAGGGTCTGTTGTTGGCCATTGCATTTCCGCCCGAAAAGGCAGTTGCGAGACCGGGCCGAGAAGCGCCGTCCTCGTCTCTCGTTCCGGACATCCTGAGCCCAGAGCGAGAATCAACTTGTGCACACAGCCGAGTCGATGGACAGGCAGATCGGTGGGTGGATGAGCCGTGCATGTATTCCGCAACCAGAAAAAAAGGAAAAGAGTAACAAGTCATCCTCAGAAAGCCGGGGTTGCCGGTTTTGCACACACATCGAGCCGGAATTCCAGGGTGTGTCCCCGATTGCATCCGGAGCATGTCGCAAACGCTCGTGCTGAAACTCAAGAATCGCAGCCCGGGCAAGACAGGCTGTCGGCAGCCAACAGGACAAAGAGTCGAGTCCGCAAAATCGACAGCCGTTGGCGAACCAGTCCTGCAATCGCTTAGCGACCGTACTGTGGCGCATTGAGACAAACGGCAGTCGGATGAGTCGGCCTGTGCAATTGCTTCGGCATGGGAGCATGGGCACCTCGGACTTGAAGGAGCAAGCCGACGATGCGAACGCGATCTTACCTTCTGGAACTCCCATTCTCGGTTGTCCAGCGGGCAGACCTGGCGGGTCTTGAGCCATCTTGAGATGCAGTGGAAGTGGAAGGCGTGCTGGGTGCAGCCAGGGTCCGTCCAGAAAAGTCACCGCGGAGGTGTCAGTTGCGAGACTCGATTCAGGGCAGCATCGGGCCAGACCAGTTTCCCGCGACGTCGGGTCCTATGCACCAGTGGATCCAATGCGCCAGCGCATAGAGATCGCTGCGGTATCGAGCACGCTTACGTTGCAGATACCCCAGGCGACGGTGCATTCTTCGTTGGTTACGGAGGCCTGGTTCGCCTGGCACTCGATGCCTGCAGGTTCGTTGCGATAGGGGGACATCCATGTGAGCCGAGATTGGGGGTTGTGGAAATATCAACAAACAATTGAGCATACAATCATGATCGACAGCATCGTCTTTGCACCAGGCCATGATCGAACAAGGCCCCGCCGATACATACACAGATCCATGATGTGATTGCGGCAGATGGCGCAGTTGTCGACAACGATGTCTGCAGAACAGGGTCGGAATCAACGATCAGGAACGGGCCAGCGATGGAGCAGCAAAGCCGCCCGCAAGCCGCCTGCAAGCCGGCAGGGTCGCATGCCAGTCGCCGGGCCAAGCTCGTCGGCCAGAACATACCCCAGGCCCACAGAGCCACGGCGTTCCACTTTGGAGCGAGTGCGTTGATGGTCGAGTTGTCGTGGACGAGGTCGAGCAGGATATTAAATACGGCACCATCCGTTCGCGTGCTGCAGGCACATCATATCTGTTCGAGTGGAGAGCAGTGCTGCTGGCTGCTCTCGTCCACATTCCCTTCCTTGCGAGGAGCGGACTGGCTGTTCGTAGATCCACTCGCGCCTGTCGTCCGCTGAGACAGCCGTGCAGGCGACGCACCTTTTTCACTTCAAAGCGCTTCTTTGTCGACACCTCCTTGCCCTTGCTGGACTTTTCGGGAAGGGAGGGCGAGTCCTCCATGACCACATCTTCATCGCGGGCGCTCATTGTATCGAGTTGTGTCTGGGGCTGTGGATGCAGGGGAGGGGCGAGAGAAGGCAGCAAGCAACAGCGAGGGGGGGGGCAACCAATAGCATCAGCGCAGATCGGCGGGGTGGCTCTCGTTCAGATCGACACAGGGCTGTCGCGGGTAGATCGGCGGCGGCCGACATACTTGCTTCTCGGGAGTGATCGGCGGTGGTGTCGGGAGTGGCTCGATGCTGTTGGCAGATGGAAGGTGGATGATGCCAGCGAACCGTGGAGCGAGGGCGGCGGCCGAGAAGAGGGAGGCGCTGCCGGTGCTGCGCACGCCTGGGGTATCAGCCAAGCAGGGGTGGCGGAAGCAGGGCCGTCTGCATTTGCAGCGAGGTCACTGGTGCGATCTGCGGGCGATGACGGAATATGAGCTGATGCCAATGGCCGCAGCAGCAACAACAACAGCAGCAACACCATCACCGTCAGGGATGCATCCGGTCGCTGCAATGATGCTTCCAATCAGCCCCTGCCCTGGCCCCGTGGTCCTCACAATGGACAGATGGCCGTGGCGGCATCCGAGTCCCGGCAGCAGGCTCGCAGCCGCGCGAGACAGCCATGCCGATGGGAGGGGGCTTTTTGTACCGACCGAGTCTGCGCAACTTGGAGAAAGGACCAGCTCGAGCATTGTCGGCTCCAGCAGCACGCCCTGTCGACCGTCCTGTCTCTGCATCCCCAACCCGACAAGCAGCGCCGTTCCCACGATGCGGCCGCCACACGACCTGCACCCGGATCTGGCTCCACCCGTATCGACCTTGGCCGTGGTGGAGGAGCGATTCAGGCCGCAGGAAGCGGATGAGCTCAAGAAGCGCCTCGGCACCTCGCTCGTGTCGAAGCTCGAGGATATGCATCGCGAGCTGGCCCTTCTGATCTCGATATACACCGAGTACCGGCTCGAGACAGAGCAGGTGTGTCGCGAGCATTGAGCGGCTCTCGCAGCAACGGATGATTTCTGTCTGAGTTGCAAAGAGGAAGGATTTGCTGGGATCCTCAAACACCCGGGGTGCTCTAACAGAGGCCACTGTCCCATCGAACCCACAGAGCCGAAGCCGAAGCTTTGACCTCATCGAATCGACCTTCCAGCGCGACATGGTGCTGGACAAGATACAGATGCTGCTCGTCAAGCTGAAGAACGGAGCATCCGAGACAGAAACCCAGGACTCTTCGATAGGTCCGCAATTGCTGCTTCGATACTTGGTCGCGACTCGTGGACACTCGAATGGAGCTCTGGGCTGAGTCTGTGTCCTTACATTCTCCAACGCAGTGAAATACGTATTGGCGAGCGAAAAGACCAAGAGACCCAGACAGTTTGTCGCACGTCAGTACATCATCTGCCGAGTCGCAGATGCATAAAGTGTTGGCACGGCGTCTTTGGCTTTGCGCCGATAGTGAGCGGCCGTTCGGGACGCGGAGCCTGACATCCGATGTCTGTCTGTTCTATTTCCCACCCACCTCTTGCTTGACTATCAGGCCCGTCATCGCGACTCAACGACAATGAATTGGATCGGTATGCGAACCGGCAACGCCTTTTGCGCTGGCTCTGCGTCCTGCATCCGCGCGGCTACAGAAAGGACGACTGATGCTGGCCATCCCCGCCATCCCCGCCATCCTCGCCATCCTCGCCATCCACAGCATCTTCCACACGATCGACAGAGTTGAGGATCCCCTGGCACTGCTCGAGATGGATGTCGTCGTTGACGAGCTAAGGTGAGCGGCTGGTGCGAGTCCAACTTGTTTTGGCGATACAGCAGCGCAGTCGGCCTCAAGTTCCGCCAGTTGTCACTGACGAGCCTGGCCATCGCTTTGCCTCCTTGCGCGCAGGGATATATTGCTTGAAGAACAGCATACTCTCGCCAGCCACATAGCCTGTCTTTACGACGATATTGACAACGAGCGCGCGATCCGCTGCAAGTAAGGATGCGTCGTATGCGGCACTAGCTTCTCAGGCAATCTCCTGGGTTCAAGACCAAGTCCACCTTGGCGATGCTTTCTTGTCAATACCGCACTGACCACTTCCGTCGACATCCACGGCAACTGCAACCCATAACCAACTGCAACCATCGTAATGGCGGTGATGATTGTGACAATTGTGACGATTATGACGATTGTGATGATTATGACGATTGTGACAATTACGATCAACACCACGGACACTTGCCATCATCAGCACTGCCGAGCTGAGTTGCCTGAGCTCACCCAGCATGCAAGAGCTGATCAAGTTCAGCGAAAAGCTGGAGGTGAGACTGGAATGCAAGCCCTGCTTCTATACTCCGTCGTCGGCTCGCCTGGCGTACGTGTCAACAACGCTGTTGATTCCATGCATCAATGTCCGCAATCCTCGTCATACAGCTCCAAATGAGTTACAACAGCAGCCATTTTTCCCATCTTCCATCGATGAGGAGGCTCGATCCCGTGCTTTCGCCAGTGGGCGGCGATCTTGGCGATGGTGCTGTTACCGTGCACCAAGACCAGCTGTGCAGCCAAGATGTCGAGTTTGATAGCATGCTCAGGGAGCTCGAGGAGCTCGATACACCCATCCCGCCGCCGCCCAAGATCGTCGAATCGGTTTCAGAGTCCCCACCAACACAAGGCCAGAGCCGTCAGGACGATTCAAATCGGAATGTTGATGGCCAGCCAGGGCAGCCGTCGTCACTCTCCTCGCCGGCTCCTCGGCGGACGAGCAAACCGACGGGAACTCAGAGTCAAGGTAGAGCCCCACCGAGAAAGACCACTCTGACCCCGCAGCAACCCGGCTTGGCACCAGTGTTCGCCAGAGGTGCTCTGGGTCCCATCGAATGCGCCTCGCCGTCAGTAACCCGACTGACGCACCAGCCAGCCGGAGCTGGGTTGCGTCCGCCCCCGCCACTGGGCCGTGGGCTCAAGCGACCCAATCCCGGCACCCAGAGGTCTCTCGAAGCCGTCTCACAGTTTGTCCCTGTTGCCAAGAGCAAAATCGTCCCGCTTCCACCGCCAGGACCGGCGCCGCCAGTCTTCCGCACGAGGGTGCAATCTCTGAAAGCTGCCGTCCAGCCATCGCTACAACGCACCGGCATCATCTCATGAACGCACATAATCAGTTTGCTTTGCCTTTTGCTTTCACTGGTCTTGGCACATATGCACTTGTAGCATGTGGCTCATACCCTCCCCTACCTCCTCCCACCATTGATGTCGTTGACGAGGATGGCAGGCGCCGGCAGCCTGTGAATACATGCCAACGGAAAATACACATGCCTTTCCGCTATTCGAGCAGCCTGCTCAGCAGTCCCGACCGCTTTGGCCACGGTGGTAGTAAGCTCGCGCATATCCATGTCTTCCCGACCCCTGGCAATCCCGTATTGCGGCGTTGGATTTTTATGCTCCAGGTCATTGGACCACGGTACTTTCCGATTCGCAGCGTTGACTTTGATTCAACGTGCTTCCTCGGTGAGTGGCTTATGTGCTCTAGCAACGCACCGATCAAGCGGAACGTCTGCCGCTCAACAGTGAACGGCGCTCGGTTTCGTCCTGAATGCGAGCGTGAAGCACAATGTCAGGATACGCCAACGATACGGCTGCAGCAAGTACTTCGGCATGTGTAGAAATCAAAATCTGGTAGTCATCATGTCCTTCGTGGTTGAGATGCAGCAAGATCCTTGCAAACTAGAGTGGGGTCGCCGGCTGTGGTGATGGGGAGGAGCTGCGTACCTCGGTGCGATCTTCGTCTCCACTGAGGCGTCCGATCCACTTGGCAATCACTCCCGCAAGCATAAAGACGACAAGGAACACCCATTGGCCAACAAAGTATGTTGTGCCAAAGAGGGGTGTGTTGTAGAGGATCTGATCGAGGATGGTAGAAAACACAGTTGGCGAGCAGATGGCTGCATACGAGTCGATGGGTGAATGCATGGTAAGGATCACCGACACAGCTCGGCCACGTTTGCACCGGATCGGTGGTCTATCAGATGTGACACCTCCCCCCCATCAATCATTTGGTCTCGATCAAGTAAAGCGACCTGGTCGAGTCAGAAAGATGGTGGAGGGGATGTTGAGTGCCTACCTTCGTTGGCAGAAAACGAGCATGGCAGGATGGGACTGGCATTGTCGCCCGTGCACATGGCTGTTCCGTTGACAATCAGCGAGCACTGCACAGGCAAATGATGCGTAATTGTCATGGAAGACGCTTAGCGACTTGGCGGTGGCTGCTTCGCAACTTGGTGGCGACAAATTCTCATCTACCGCAACTGCATGCCAATGAACTGACCCTCCGAACTCCGTGCGTTCACTCACGTATGCCTGGTTTCCAAAGGTCGTATACTGCGGAGCGACGTTCATCATGGTGTATCCAAGCGCCAAGACGACCAAGGAGCCCATCACTCCCGTCAGGAGCAGACCCTGCGGCAGTGAGCGTTGGGGCCTCAAGTCGCACAGATGGATCCACAGGAATCGGATGCCGAGTTTCGAGATGCCGTAGAGCGTCGCTACAAACAGGATCAGCACGACCAGCAACAGGATGGCAAAGTCCAGAGGAAAGAGCTTTGGGAGAAGGGGGGGGAAGAGAGTGGCATGAACGGGTCGAACGCCACAAATGAGGCCACAATCGGCGCTGTTGTTAGTCCTGTGCATTTCAGGGTCGTGCTTCCCCAAATCAACCAGGCGCGGGCAATCGATGTGAAAGAGGCGAGGTGCATCGGGCAAGCAAGCGACAAGACCACAACACAAACTCACCTTGCTCGACTCGAGCAGCAAAAAGTCCATCGGATTGAAAAGCGTTGGCGTGTCAATCATGAAGCCGCACTTTCGTCCGCACACCGAGAACAGCATTCGGTCGGTGTTGGTCAGGCCGACGGACACCAGCGTCAAGATGGTGACGGGAATGGCGACGATTCCGATCGCGGCCTTGAGTGACGGAGCCAACAATGGAAGCAGTAAGCACCCAGGCCAGGCAGCTACTCGTGGAGCACATCGAGTCGGAGCATCAGGCGAGGAATGTCGTGCCCTTGGTGCTGTACCTTGAACGGCTTGATGGCCTCCAGCAGCATCCCGAAGTGGGTCGGCGGAGTGAGAGTGGAAGGGTCGGGCTCGGAGAACTGCCTGTGGTAGAGTGCGACTTGGTGAGCCCACTCACGAGTCGATTGGCTCAAGTGGCCGTTGGGTCGAGGAGCAGCGCTGGGTGTACACTGGTCCAAACTGAAGCTTGACCAACCTGAGACTTTGCTGGAGCTCTTGGAGCTTGGCTCGGTCCCGTCGCGACATTCGAGCCTCGGATCCACCGTTTCGGGATAGGAGGGCAGCAATCTTGCCCTCAAGCAGCCTCCTCTGCAGAATCACCTCGCGATTTTCGGCGACAGGAGCCGGCTTGCCTGATTTCGGCGGAGGAATGCGATGTCTCAGCCCCGGGATGATAAACGGCACAACTCATGCGGTGGCTCCAAACTTTTGCCGTCAAAACGCTCTGATGTGCATCGAATCCGAATCTCGCTGTACCCTTGGCAAGATCCTTGCACATCGAGAAGAGGCCGACCGCCGTGTATCTGTATCAAGCACATGTGAGACCGCGTTGAGACATCGAGGACATGGACTCTGCTCCAGGTCGGCGGGCTGATTCTCACGTTGTGTAAATGCACATCCCAAAGATGATCATGGTCGCAAAGACGAAGCGGATCGACTTTTCGAAGCCTGGAGGATCAGCGGGAAGGGCGTTCCGCATGCATATTAGACCGCAAAAGTCAGCGGGTGTCCACAGCTTCCGTGTTCTCCGGCGATACAGATACAAGACCTCCTGCCCGATAGGGGCACCCCCGGCCGAGCCGAGCCGAATCTCGCCATACCGTTCTTTGACAACATCCGGTCGAACCATGGGGCGGGACTGCTTGGGACGGACGTTTCTTGCACGACCATGCCGGCTACCATCAAGGTGGTGATGATCAAGATGGTAAAGCCGGTGTACTTGCACGCAGAGGCGACTCTCTGAGACGACAAGGGGAGTCAGATGCATGAAGGCAAAGGCGGCGATGCGCGGGAAGATCGCGGCCGATATCACAAGCGATGGTTGTGGCCCACCTTCTTCCAGGCCGCATCGCTGTCGTCAAACTCTTCAAAGTAAAAGTATGAAAACGGCACCGCCACAAAGATACAGAAAGCGGTGGCTGCGTAGATGCCTGGGCGAAGCAGGTTGTGGTATGTCGAGGAAATACGAGGGTCAGCGATGCACAGCGACGCACGGCGATGTTGGAGCTGGCGGGCCGCTCCACTCTTGCGAATGACAGTTACCGAAATACGTGTATCGAAGGGCCGTCGACGTGACTGCAAGATAGTCCGGCGTCGCCCAGTTGTGCTTGAGTCCGGTGGATGCGTCGGTCGTGAAGGAGACCAGATAGACATCGACTGGGATGATGACGATTGCAGCAATCGAAAGCCCTGAACGTCGCATACGCGTTGGCTCAGCACATTGGCTGCGACACATGCATGCGGCTGCCGATTGTGTGGCTCAAGGCCAGTCCGCAATACCTATCGTGACGATTGCTGTGATTGTGGCTGTTGGGACCAAATGAGATGTCATCGGCGAGTGCGTTGGTGTGTGGTGATGGTGGATGACGATGGCGCTCGCGAGACATGAAGCTGCATGGCTGGTCAAGCATGCGACGGCAAATGTTCCAACGCTCCGTTGTACCGATGGGTTCATGCTCGCGACTGTCCTTGAAATGCAGCACCACGAGAACAGCCAGGACGACCAGGACCTGGGTCGACGGACGGGTCTGAGCAGCTGATTCTGCCGAGCAACTGCCGAGCAGCTGCGGCGGCAATGAGGCCCCGATAGTTTGGGGATATTGTCTGCGAGACATACCGCGAGCGCGACCGCCGAGAAGACCAACGGCAACGCCGGCGACGGCTGGGACAGGACCATGGTGGGCTCGGAGAGATGCAACAGTGTTCTGAAAGAAAATACTGCACAGACACGATGTGCAGGAAGCAGTTGGAAAGACGACAGAGTCCGTGGGAAAGGCGCCCAGGCCGATCTCTGCTCGACAGCGGCCGCGTTTCCCCACCCCCCCCCCCACTCTGTTTGGCGCCTGGCTGGGCCCGCGAGGGCTCGCTGGGACTCGCCCCACATTCACTCGGGGATATGCACGGACGCTGGAATGCTGCAGACACGGCTCCCGGCGACAATGGCAGAGATGTCCCAGCCCCAAAGCCCAGCTTCCAGAAGGGCTGCTGTTTTGGAGCAGCACGGAGACGTGCACAGCGGCCATGAACGGAGAGCGGGCGTGGCGGTGCACAAACGTGGGTCGTGCAGGTGTGGCGGCCAATGGCATGCGTGCGCAGCAAGCACAGCAGCGAATGTTCCAAGCACAGCGACAGTGCGCGCACAATGGAAGGACAGCCCAGGGACGTTGCACAGAAGTAACAGTGCGCTGCTGCGGAGGATGTTACACGGGGGTGGGTGAGCAGTTCGAGCAACGGCGCCAACAGCGGCGCCAACAGTGCTGTCGACAGAAACAGCGCACGGCACAGAAACAGTGCAGCGACAAGCCGACAGAGCGCGGCTTTTGATCGCCGTCTTTGCCGGTCGCCGAGCCCAATTGCCGATCCGTCGCCTCTTCGCAGCCCACCTTTTCATCTTCGCATCTCACCCGCCAGCTGCTCCCCCCCCCGCCTGTTCCAGCGTCGTCAAGCCATGAGCCGGAGCAGACTCGTCAGCAGCTTTGCCACCCAGGAATCGCTCTCGGCCGAAGAGGTTCGCGTCGACCTGGGCTGGTCGTCGTCCACCCAGCCTGCTGCTGCTTCTGTCGCCGCTGCTGCATCCGCAAATGCCGGCCCCAATACCGCCTCTCCTGCCTCGCACGAGGGCCAAGGTATGCCGATCTGCATTGGTGCGTCGAGCAGCACGGGTCTCCGGCACTCTGGTGCCATGATCCAAGCGGCCAGCCCCCGATCCATGCTGTCGTCAGGCTGTCTGGCTGCAGAGCCTGCCAGGTCGCTCTTGCTTGCGCTCGCTCGCTCGATCTGATTTGCTGAAAATAAGCCAATCTTGTTCGATCGCCCCTCTCCCTGCCTTGGACCTGCCTTGGGCCCGCCGACGGATGCGATAGCCGGCCCCGCCACGAACCCAACCCACTGTGCTGTCTGCAAGAAACCTTCTGCCCGGAGCGACGGCCTCGACATTTACAAGATCCGCAAGCTCGACCCCCGATTGCAGCGCCATATTCAGCGCGCCCACCCGACGCTGGCCCTGAGCAGCCCCGATGCGCGCGATTGGGGCATCTGCACCTTCGATCTGCACTCGGTGCTGCGCAAGCGGGTCGAGCAGCTCCTCGAGGAAGACAGCGCCAGCCTCGCCCAGCTGCAGGATGACGCCATGAGGAACCTCGGCCAGCACGAGATCGAAGAGGAGGTCTGGCAGCGCCAGTTCGACACGAAGCGCACCTTTGGCCAGAAGGCCGCCGATGCTGTCGCCAGATTCGGTGGTTCGTGGGGCTTTGTCCTGGCTCTGACCGGATTCCTTGTGACCTGGGCTGCGTAAGCATTCCGCCGGCGATGCATCGCTGCATCGCAACGCCCTGTCAAGCAGCCATATGCCTAATACCAACTCTCACTCTTATATCCCTGGAATCGCCACAGCCTCAACCTTATTCTGGCTCAGTTCGGCTCCTCGCCAAATGGGCTCGCGTGGGATCCATACCCGTTCATTCTCCTGAACCTGTTCCTGTCCTCGCTGGCGGCCTTCCAGGCACCCATCATTATGATGTCCCAGAACCGTCAAAGCTACCTCGACCGCCTTGAGAGCGACTACATCCACAAAATCATCTTGCGCAGCGAGAACCAGACTCGCCACGTCAACACCAAGCTCGACCATCTTGTCAACAGCCAGTGGAGACGACTCCTGGAGATGCAAGAGCTCCAGATTGCTCTGCAGGATCAATATCATGGCGGCAGCGACATGTCCGCCGTCCTCAAGATGCCGACCGAAGGTGCCCTCCCGCTCGACAACCGCCTCTCTGAGACCATCAACCGTGCTCCAAAACACTTGAGCTTCCAGACCCAGCCGGACGACCACACCATGCTGCTGCTCCGGATTTACTACGGGCTCGAGAAGGCCGATGACCACTTTATCTTTAGCCACTGGCACTGGGACGGAGACAACTTCTTTGGCTACATCGACAACGTCAAGCTCAACATCGACGCCAACAAGAACCGCCTGCGATCGATCACCTACGACATCACCTTCAGCGAGCCGAATGTCACGCTTGACGATCTGTTCTCGGGCGAAGGATCCGTTAACTTGCGAAACGACTTTGCTCTCACCCACATGAACCTCACGGGTACGTCGCGCAGCGATCTGGGGTTGCGTGCGGCTTGCGTGCAATGTGCCTCCATCCCCCAGCTTGCAGCTCCATGCATCATGGTAGCTTCGTCACTTGTCTGCCACAGGCACCCACGGAACAGGAGCGCACCCGTTCCCAACCACCATGTTGCTGATCTGTTCTTTAACGTTCGTCTGTATCCCACGGTATCGTTCGCAAACTGATAACCTTGGTCCGGATGGCGACCGGATGGCGACCAATGGATCCGCCCTCACCGCCGGGCTCCACCACCATCCCTACAGGCCGAATCGCGTCCATCATTATCGCTACCAACGAAAAGGTTCACTCCTTCAGCAACGGTGACCTGCCCAACCGATACAAACCCAGTTTTGCCGTCAAGCGCATCGATCGCATCACCGACCTGTGGAAGTCGCCCATCAAAAAGGTCACCATCGTCTATGCTCCGCCCAATCCAATGGCCGTCATTGAAATCCCTGCGAATCAAACCCTCAGCTATGTTGACGTTACCTTCTTCCCGCCGCAATCAAAGTCGAGCGCACGCCTCTACCTCGACTCCTACTTCCGGGACATGGATTCGTCGCTCAAGATCCTGGCTGACGAACGGCCGCTCCCTGTTGCCTGGCAGAAAGTCGCCAGCTGTGAATGGCCCGAAGAGCCCTCGCCGGTGCCTTCTGCCATATCCTCTGGCCAGGAGGTGCGCGATCCCGTCGCTCCGATTGTCATGGACGTCAGAGTTGAGATCGAGGGTCCGCGCACCGTTGTCCTCTTCTGCGATGACACGCATGTCACCTTCCACGGGCACTTGAGCGATCGCGACCAATAAACGCAGAACCACTGCTAGATTCTAGAATCTCCCTGTCGCCCACTGCTCCAGAGTGTCCGCAGCCGCAGTATCGAGCTCCCGCTACAGTATCGAACTCCTGCGGCAGTGTCAGCCTGAGTTCTCTTTCATCACGCCGATAGGCCATTTGGAGTCGTCACGGTTCAGTGTATTGCGACATGATCCGCTTCGCTCTGGCTCCGAAACTCTCTTTCTCTCAAACTTGGATTGCATATCCTCAGTCGCTGTGCGTCGAGCGTCACGGCCGAGCAGCCCCTTCACGCGCCGTCGTTGCATCCTCGTCCTCGCTGAAAGATGCAATCTTCAGCGACTCTTCCGCGCTGGGCGTGTCAGACTCGACTTCTGCCGCACTGTCGTTCTCGTCATCCCGGCTTTCGAGCCCTCCAATGACTGGTGCAAGCACCTCGACGCTGATGACATCCACAGAGTCCGTGTACACATCGGCGCTCTCGGGCGAGGGTTCTGCAGGCAGCGCCTTGCTGGCGCTGTTGCTGAAGAAGATGCCGTCTTCGAGAATCGAGTCGATGCTCTTGAGAATCTTGTAGATAAGGCTGCTCATGGCCGTAGGCTCCGTTTGGTAGAAGGCAATCAAGACACCCATTGCCACGGAGAACTGGTTGATGCGGTGGCGCATTTCCGAGTGGAAGCAGAAAGGAAGCAGTCAGCAGAACGGTTGATGAGAGCAGCAGCAGACATGAGAGACAAGCGCCTCTGCAAGAGTGCCTCCGCACAGGACGCTTACCATGCCAAGATCAAAGTGCGGAATCCGGATCATCCACTTGCGCTCGTACATCACCGTGTACAGGGCCACGAGTCCGCGAGGGACAACATACATTGCCAGCTCCGATCGTCGCCGCTTGTCCTCGATCAGGATAGCCGAGGAAGCCAGCAATCCGATGAGCCAGTAGTTGTATCGATGGTCTTGCTTCATGAGACCAAAGTCGGCGAGTCTACGCGTGCCACACGCTAGCGTCTGAAGCATACCGGGCAGTCAGCAGCGCATTTGTTGAGCGAGGAGCCTCCCTCGGTGCCGTTTGCACAGGTGTATGCCCAAAACGTGTCCACCGTTCGACTTACCATGTAAAGCCAGGTGAACGTTGCCAAGAAGGTTGTGCTCACTGCAGAGTTGCTGATGGCCTTTTGAACAACCGCGAGGGGCCTTTGCAACAAGAAGGAAGGTAAACAGTATGCGGTATCACTCATCGTTTCAGAGCCACTCCACTTCCCTTCTCTTTCTGCCGCGGGCACATACCGCCAGCCACTCCAGCCTTACGTTTTGATAAAGTCCTTGTGCTTGAGCAGAATCATAGGCACGACGTTGAGCCCCAGATGCACAGGCAAGATCCGGATGACAACACGGAAGAAGGTTCTCAGTCCATGTTGCGTGCATGAAGATGTACTCGGGTGTACAATATCGCATGGGATGATCGAAGGGAGCGACGACAGCTCCGAAGCGACGCTGAGGGCTCGGGCTGTTCCGTGGTGTGCCCGCGCCGCTTGGATGAAATCAATACTTGGGATCGGAATCTCCTTGACGTTGCGGCGCACCAGCTTCAGGATGTCGTCGGGGATTGGGCTGATCGAGACAATAAAGTTGTAGTATACTTTGGGAATGGTGTGTGGCTGGACCACATACGAGTACATCTGTTTGTGTGGGAAGACCGATGGTGGCGTAAGAAGATATTTGGAGCAATGCGCGGATGCACTTGCCTGGCGGAAGGCTCATCGGAGGGATACCTACGATTTGGGCTGTGTGATACGATATCATACACCGATTGGCAGCGACAGGAATCCAAGGCAATCAAGCGAGATGCGGCGTGAATGATACGACGAAGCACGGATGGCGTGGGAGTTGCGGTGGATCTCTCGCAGCAAGCATGTGCATGGCGGCATAGGGCTGAGTAGAAGATATTGTCTCCGTCAAGTGACTGAGTACTCTGTCGAAATCACTCTCGGGCCTGCGGCTGGAGCGACGCTGCGTGCCCAAACCCACCTGTTGACAGCGCAAAGATCAGAGTGTCGCCCATGTGGAAGTGGAAAATCCCGCGGCTCTTCAGGCCGTTGTAGATGCATTGGCAGGCACGCACGGCCAGCTGCCAGATGTCAAAGGCGGGTACGACGGTGAAAAAGGCAAGCGGGCTGGTCAGTAGGAGCTCGCCTTCCTCGTTTGCACAGGCCAGAGTCGTTTGCGTTGGATGGCCAGCATCGGGGTGCTATCATGAAATCACGTCTGCGATTCATCCTCCCACGTCAACTTCATGACCACCCCAGGAACCCTTGCTGCCGAGACGATGCGCATATCCCGTGCTGCTATACCTGCTGGGCAATGGCTCTTCGGCGGCCACTCTCCTCGGCAAGGATCGAGAGCCCAGCCAGCGATCCAGCGACAAAGCCGTTCCATTTGTCCTCCTTCTGGCGCAGGTGAACCATGATGTTGTTGACGAGCTTCCATATGAATGCAAAGGATCCAAAGAAGGCGGCAAAGCGGAGGGTCTCCTCATGGAAGAGCGACCGCCGAATGGCACTCCTGATACTCGTTTTTCTGGATGGATGAATGGATGGAAAGCAGGCCATCGCGGGCCGACCACCGCAGAAGCGTCAATGCAAGAATGCTTGATACTCGATCGACGGTGCACGATAGAAGCCGAGGGGGCAAGCATTGGCAAAGGCTCAGCGTCGTTCGGCGCAGCATGGTGGCTGAGCTGTATCAAAGTGTTGGACGCTTGCAGGACGAGCTGCATTGTTCGCAAAGCGCTGGTAAAGATAGAAGCAGCAATGCCAGCAACGATGACGATGGCTGGTTACCTTCGCAGCACCGCAATAAGCTTGACGAGAAGCAAGAACCCACTGCGAATGCCGAATCCGAGACACATTGCCCTGCGGACCCATAGTGCGGATCAGCCCGGCGGCGGGGGGGTTAGACGCAGGCGAGGATGGGAACGGCGATGGGAAAGGCCGGCAGTTGCTCTGGAGTCCCAGGCACGACGACCCACCTCAGCGACGCCCGAGCGGCATGGGTCAGCATCTCCGAGGGCGGGATGCGGGGCGTCGGGATATGGACATGCAGATCCGGATGCCTCCGGGCATGGGGCGGCTGCACTTCCTCCGGGGCAGACATTGGGCGGCTGGGCAGGAGAAGTCAGACGAGGCAGGGCGGGGTCGCTTCGGCAGTCGTTTTGGACAGCGCAGATTTCACGAGCAAGGGCGATTGGGGATTCGGCCGCGTCCCGAATTCCGCCGTCGATGGCGGCTCGACTTTCCGAGACCTGCTTTCTCCAACGGGGACTCGGATCTCGCAGCCGATCCGTCGATCAGCACGTATCCCTCGGCTCCAGCAACGGCAGCGCTTCGATCCGTCCATCCACATCCATCGACATCGACATCCACATCCATCCACATCCATCATCCACATCCATCCGTCGCCCCTGCAATGGCCAGATCCACAATCGCCCTTGGAATGGGTTCGTATGATAGCTGCCGCTCCTTGGCTGACGAGCGCCTCGATCAGCCGGCCTTGCCACCCAAATATCGCTTGGGCTCACCCGCTGCGTGCGGACACTTGTCCATTCTGGCTGGCAGAGGGAAGCGCAAACAAGATCGGCATCGGTATCATGGAGCATGCTCCTTCTGGCGAGGCCCGAGTCCTCGCCAACGTCCGGAGAACCTACATCACCCCGCCAGGCCAAGGCTTTCTTCCCAAAGACACGGCCGCTCACCACCAGGAGCATGTCATTCAGCTCGTGCGGGCTGCTCTGTCCGAAGCGGGCATCAAGCCAACGCAGGTGGACTGCATCTGCTTTACCAAAGGTCGGCTGGCCTCCTCGATGCATCCGCCGAATCCGCCGTCCTGCCGATCATCCCGCAGATCATCACGAATGTGTCCACAGCATCGAGAGCTCTTGAAGCCAGTTCTACTGACCCTCTCGGCATTGTCATGTCGCCTGCCGTGCCTATTCGATTGCAGGCCCTGGTATGGGCGCCCCGCTGACCTCGGTGGCCGTCGTTGCAAGAACGCTATCGTTGCTCTGGAATAAGCCGCTGGTGGGCGTCAACCACTGTATTGGACACATCGAAATGGGCCGCATGATCACCTCGGCACAGAACCCTGTCATATTGTATGTCAGCGGCGGCAACACCCAGGTGATTGCCTACTCAGAACGAAGGTCAGTGCATGGCCTGCGCAGGACGGGCGGCCGCCGTCCAGCAGACACTTCAGCGAGCAGTCCAGACATTGGTTTCAAGATCTGACTTGGCGCCGCTGCATGCTGCAGATACCACATCTTTGGTGAAACGATCGACATTGCCGTGGGCAACTGCCTCGACCGGTTTGCACGCATCGTCAACCTGCCCAACGACCCAAGTCCCGGCTACAACATCGAGCAGGCTGCAAAGAGGTATTTGTTGATCCTAGATCGCCGTTTCAACAAACCACGATCAACGTCAATGCCGTTGATGGTGGTGGGACAGCATCTCACCGCTTGCAACCCGTATCTCTGCCCACAGAGGAAGCCAGTACATTGAGCTTCCGTATGCCGTCAAGGGCATGGACGTCTCGTTCTCGGGCATCCTGGCGTACATCGAAACTATTGCCAACGAGCAACTTTCGGCCGGCACATGCACCGTTGAGGATCTGTGTTTCTCGCTGCAGGAGACACTCTTTGCCATGCTCGTCGAGACAACCGAGCGGGCCATGGCGCATGTTGGATCCACCGAGGTTATGATCGTCGGAGGCGTTGGATGTAAGTCAACCAGGCACAGACATGGGCTTGGACATGGACTTGGACTTGAGCTGGCTGCATGCCGAGACGGGAAACTCACCAATCGGTTGCATCGTCAAGGCAACGAGCGCCTCCAAGAAATGATGGGCAAGATGGTCAAGCAGCGGGGCGGACATCTCTTCGCTACCGACGAAAGGTATGAGGCGCTCAAGGATCCACGACATGGGCTCGATTCTATTGTCTCGGCTGTGCACAGTGAGCCGCCCACTCAACTGATCTATCGCTTCGCGCAGATTCTGCATCGATAATGGGCTCATGATTGCGCAGGCCGGGCTCCTCATGTTCAAGACGGGCCATGTGACCCCGCTGGAAGAGACTTGGTGCACGCAAAGGTGAGCGCCGATTGCTCGCCTGTATCGTGCGACTGGGTTGAGCGACAGACGCACCGGTGGCCGCCATGACGATGCCTCGAGTGCTGACGACTAATGGAACTTTGGTTGCTCGCGCCAGGTTCCGGACCGACGAAGTTCTAGTGACGTGGCGAGACTGATATCGTCGATGACCCAGCGACAACGAACCGGTGGGCACGAGCTGGTGGGAAGAATTCTCCCGCAGAGCACCGCTCCTGTGTCGCCCGGGGCCGCTTGCTCGCTGTCAGTATATCCGATATGACCTCGATCCAGAGCTGTCTTCCCGGGCCATGGACGAGTCCCTGAGTCCGTTTATTAGTCCAGCACTGAGGGAGAGCCATCCAGATGATATTACGGATAGGGAGAGGAGGCCGGGAACAAGGGTGAGCAGAGGCCAGAGGCAAGACAAGGTCGGCTGGGGCAAGGACCGGGTTGTTACTGGGATGAACTCAAGTCGATGGAAGGATGGCAAGGACAGACGGAGAGTCGGCTGTACCAAGGCACAGCACAGCACAGCATAGCGCGATGGAGCGGGAAGAGACCAGAGAGAACAGGGGGGAAGGAAGAAATCAAAGAGTCCGGAAGGAGTATAATCATCAGCCAACCGCCGTGGCTCAAAGGAGCCGTTCGGCGAACAGAGAATATGATCGTATAGGCAGCAGAGTCTAACCAGGGCCGCTTCGCCGAGCAACCGGTGAGAGGCGTCCAAATTGGCCGTGGCATCCGGGCCGGTGGCGTTTAGAAGTACTTCTTGTGCTTCTCCTCAAAGTTCTTTCGGTAGACCGAATAGCCAGCGTAGCCCACAAAGAGCACAACGAACCCGATGATGAGCCAGGTCGTGTAGGATGTGTGCTGCTGGGTCTTTTGCAGGATCTCATGGGCGGTGTCGATCTTGTCCTTGACGTTCTGGATCTGGCTGTTGCCCTGTTGGAATGCAGCCCGGGCCAGTTGGTCAGAGCGCAGTGTCGCTGGTGTCTACCGCAGTGGGGCCGCGGGTGTACCATGCACAGGCATATGCACCGCAGGAGAGTGTTTGCGGATGTCCTTACCGAGCTCGTCATGTGCGCGATGGCGGTAGTGAGGATCTCCAGTTTCTGCTCGAGCTCGCCCAGCTTGCGTCTGGCAGAAGGGGGGCGTGCGGTCAGTTATCAGCCTGAACCGAGCGGGTGGTACTCCTCCACCAACAGAAATGACACTCGAGCTCGCATGGGCACACTTACTCGATCGCATCGAGCTTATCACCGCGGGATCGTCCAGCCTCATGCGAGTTGCCGGTGTTCTCAAAGACGCTGTTCAAAGTGTGCTCGAGAATGTTCAGGGATTCGATGATCTTGAACTGGTTTTCCTGGATGCCCTGGATCACATGGGGCTATAACCACGACAGATGTGAGGACCGCTTCGCCGCCAGCCGAGGTTCCGACCACAACAGTCCAATGCCCTGCCACTGACGGCGACCACAACGTACATTGATGACCTCCTGGTAGCCCTCCGGGGCGTCGTCTTCCTCCTCAGCTTCCAGGAGCTCTTGCGTCTGGTGCTCGATAAAGTTGATTTTCTAGAGTCGTAAACGATAGTCAGCTGCACGCGCTCTCAGATCTGATTCCCCTCACCCTGATGCGAGCCCGTGGACACCAAGACGGACTCGCGGGGCTGTGGAATCGTGGTGCTAGCCATGTTTGGGCATGGCACGGCGTGGTGATAGGCATGTGCTATTAAGCGGACACCCACCTTCTTGATATCGTCGCTGAGATGGAAGTCGCTCGATCCCTTGTTCTTGTTGCCACCCTATTATGGCCAAAGTTGTCAGCGGTGGGCGGATGATGGCATCGGCAATGCCAACGGCAGAGAGCGGCGCATGATTGGTAGCTTACAGCAGGGTTGAGCTCGTAGGTATCGAAGGAGATGATGTCGTGATCGTCTGGATGTCATTGGGTGAGATCAAGTAGTCAGAAACAGATCGAATCCGACAGAAAAGGGCGGATTGATAGGCTGCCATCAGGGTGGCCAAATACTCACCGTGTCCGTGTGCGCTGGAAGAGGCAGACAGACCAAAGTGGTAGCCCGTCGGGAGATCGACCCCCTCATATGTGAGACACTCGGTGTATCCGTGTCCTCCCTGACGGAGGTCGACAAGAACCTAGAAGGTATAGAGGGTCGATCCGGTGGGGCGGATAAGCATTGCAGGTCGTCGGCAACTTGGCAGCCGATGGCCCTATCGTGCAGCGGGCCAGACACTGCCCCAAACCCACCTTCAGGTTCTTGTTGGAGTAGACGATCTTGATGTTCACGTCGTTGGGGCTGTTGCGATAGTCGCGGAAGCAGGCGCCGAAAGTCTGCGAGATGTAGTCATCGCGATGAGCCAGGCTCTTGTGTCCGTCGTTGTGAATGCCATAGATAAGGGGAATGTAGCGGTTCTCCTTCTGGTCCGAGGTATCAAAGACGATTCCGATGCCTGTGGCGGTAGCGAGAGTCAGCGATTCTGCCGCATCAAAGGTTGCCGGCCCAGCAGCACGCCCGCAGATGCGACATGTCTGGCGAGCACGCCGACGAGCTCGACTGCGAGATCCCAAATTACCGTGCCAGTAATCCCTGGATCCATAGACGGGGCCCATCTCGTCGTGCTCCTGGGTGTACCAGAAGGCAAAGCCGTCTCCACCGAGGTAATCGCGGCCAGAGACTCGGAAGGAGATGATGACTTCCCACTCCTTGTGTGGGTTGGGCACGGACGACCAGATGGCGCCGAGGGTGCTGGGAACACTCGGGCTCAAGCGGATGTAGGAGGGTCCGAGCAGGGCATCTACAGCAAAGAAGCGAGCATATGGGATCAGCAACCACCATGGCAGCGTCGGCACAAGCAAGAGCCACCGCGACAGCGTCGGCGACTTTGAGCAATCATCTCATCGGCGAGCACCCAGACAAGAGGTGATTCGGGAGCCAGAGAGTCGGGTGCAAGCGCGGCAGACGCTGATAGAGGATGAACGCACTTCCGTGGGTGTTCCAGTACGGGATGGTGTGGTTGTCGTTGTAGAGGTAGTAGGGCTTCTTGAAGGTCTGCTTGTAGTCGTGTCGGGCCGGGATTTCGCCGGACTGACCCGAGTTGCCCTGGTTGTTGTTGGCGTAGGAGGTTGCGACAGCAACGCTGCTGAGCAGCAGGGCGAGCAATGAGGTGCGCAGGATGGACGATAGCATAGCGATGACAGCACGGCCGGAGAGTCGAGCAGATGCAGGCCAGATGGCAGGCTGGATGGCAGACCAGATGGCAGACCGGATGGCAGAGGAGACGGTGGGCTGGATGGTGGGCTGGATCGAGACGCCTGAGCGAGAAGCGAGAGGCGAGCGAGAGTGCGCGTCTCGGGCTGCTCTCGCTGCCGCACTCGACCCAGCACCGTCCTCGGAGGCCAGGAACAAGCTCATGCCCACTCCAACCGTCGCATGGGGTCAGCTCCGTCTTTATTGCTGCGTGAAACGTAAGATATTCGCCAATGCCATGGCTGCATGAGCCCTCTCGTCCTTGATCTCTCCTCGCAGCGATGCCTCGTCCAATGGCTGGTCGCCATCACCCGAGCAGCGGCAGCCAATCAGCGCGCGAGCAGGGCATGTGACCGGCTCGAACCGCGACGAAGCAATGGATCGATGGATCCATGGCTGGGCTCCACAGCGACCATGTCCATCGAGCAGGACCGACTATCCCTCAACAAACTCATCGTCGTCATCATCATCGTCGTCGTCTCCAAGGTCGAACCGGGTCAAACTGGGGCCGGAGCCGGCGCTGCTCTGGCTTGGACCAATATCGGCATTGTCGATGCTGGCAAATGGCCGCTTGAGTGCGCCGTCTCCGTCGCCGTCCCGCGAGAGGCTGCTGGATGGGCTGGGCTCCATCATCAGGTTGCGGTAGTACTGTGCTGTCGTTTTCGTGATTTCTGAAGGCAGCGATGGCATTCAGCGTCAGCCACGACGCCTATACTGGATCCGAGCGAACAGCAAGCGCGGTGTGTAGTAAATCCGGCATGCTTTACTTACCATCCTCATGCCCCTCGGCGGCTTGTTGGCCGGATCTGGGCAGTTGTTCCAACAATGACCACAGCAACGACCACAGCAACAGCAATAGTAATGGATGCATAAGTAAAGCCGCCATGCACAAATACAGGGAGCCAATCGGTGGAGGAGTCGGACATGCAGTATCACACCTGTCGTTCTCATCCTCAAAAACGATAACAATCTCTCCGGTCGGGGCACCGGTCTCTCGTGAGATGTCGAGTTCACGACCAGTATCTGAACAAGCAGATTAAAAATCCGGTAAGCGGAGGCGCGCAACAGTATAGAGCTGAATCAAGCGGTAAGCGGCTCGATTGAAATGCAGGATATCCGCCCAGAGCATCTCGACCACAACCCAGAGCATCGGACATCCAGGCACTCACCCAGTGATGGATCGATGGCCGAGCTCGGCGTGTTCTCGATCGTCGCGTTCACCGAAATGTATCTGGTTTTGCAGAGATGGCGGTGTGAGCATTTGGATGACTCGGTGTCTCGGGGGTATGAACACCCGGGGTTGGGTCCAGTCGAGCCAAGCAAACTCAGAAGCCTTACTCGGGGATCGTGAGAGTATCGGTTTGCTTCAGCAGCTCCACAATTGGTTTGCTTTCATGCATGAACCTGGAGGGGACAGAGGTTAACTGGCGCATGAGCCCTGCCGCATCGAATGACATTGACGGCATACAGACGACTATCGAGAGGCTTCGTCTCCATACTTGGTGTATTTTGCGCTCATGCCGTCCGAGGATTCGTTCCCGAGGAGCTCTGTCAGCGGCTGCTCGCAGACGCTGCAAAGAAAGAGCCCTTCGTCGCTTCGCTGCAGCATCAGTGCCTCGATCAACGGATACTGGCGCCCGCAGTTCTCGCCGCACGCATAGGAGACATTTGCCGCTTGCTGATCCAGAGGGTAGATGGAAAGCGAGCGTATGAGTATCGACAACGCCTTCGGCTGTGTCGCATCGCCAAGATCTCGGAGTCGACGCTTTGCGACTCTTTGCAAGCCATTGGCCACATGAGCCACCTCGCAGGGCTTCGAGTACGATGCGTGCTTTGCCTCCAGCGCACTTACGCTTTGAACTTCCCGCTCGATCTCCTTGCCGATGCAGTAGATCCTCCACTTGACGACATCCACGAAAGACTTGTGGTCAATGTAGTAGTATGACCGGGTCACCTTCCTCGGCACACCTTTGCTGTTGGTGGACGGCCTCGCCGGATCCTCGAGCCTCGTTTCGCTGAACCAGCCGCAGCATGCAAGAGACGCAGCGTCAAGATGGATCCAAACCACATGAGTCCGATTGTACGGTCGAATGAACGGCGTTGGTGGATATGCAGCGAGTCGTGCGTCGCTGATACAAGTCGTCATTCAGTGCAGCCCCATTGGCGACAACAGTGGCAGCGGTTCTATGAACATGCACGGCAACGACTCACACTTTGATGAGTCCCTCGGCCTTGAGCTGGCCGCATAACCGATGGAGATCTTTTACAGACGAAATCCGGAGGTACTTTGCAAGCTCCTCGTCCCGCATCCTGCGATGGTATCGAACGGGCGGTACGGCGACCAATGAGTCTCAGCGATTAGCTTTGCTTTTGTCTGTCTATCCGTCTGTCTATCCGTCTGTCTGTTTGTCTGTCTCGAATCAATGCCAGACATTCCGGCCTATGTGCTTGCATCGGCAGCTCTCCGATGAAATCGCCATCGCGGCCAGGTCTGGTCCCCGGCCTGTCGTTGTTGCTGAAACCCAGGCAATACCCACGAATGGACATTCGACAGCAGGTCCAGGACGATGACTTCTTTCGGGCTGTAGTAGGCCCGTCCAACAAGTGCCACGAGCTTCTTGATGATGTCTTTCCACGACTCCATCGCGGGTTCGTCGGTCCAGTGCGATCGGCGATGGAGCAGGATGGAGACTGATCTTGGGTCGGTGGTTCAGCATATCCGCGCTCTCGGCGTCTCCTCGGATGGCGAGAGCACCAGGCGAGAGAGAGAGCATCAAACGATAGCTTCGTTCACAGCCGGGATAACGCATCCATGCGGCAGCTGCAGGGGCATTGCGATTCTGGATTCCGATGCCATCCCTTTCTTGCACAGTCCCGGATGAAGTGCGGCTTTGCGATAGCAGCTGCGATGGAGGAACGAGGCTCTGGCCAGAGCACGGACATGGATCGAGAACGCATTCTGGTCATTGCGCCGACCGGTCCTGGTTCGTCCCGCATCTGCCAGATCCCTGACAGATCCCTGATCCCTGACAGATCCCTGATCCCAGACAGATCGTCGCTTCCTCTGCCTGCGGCCCGCACATCATGCTCTCCATTGCATTTGCTCGAAGATCTCTACAGTCGCTGACCGGCCGCAACGGTGCAGCTCGTCTGTTGTCAACAAGCCAATCGTCGCTGGCGTCCTATGGCTTCGTCACCTCGCCCATCTATTACGTGAATGCAGGTCGGCCATGCTGCCGTTCGGCGGCCTCTGTCCGCATTACGCAAGCATCCTCCCTCGATGGATCCTGCTCTCTTCCGCCGCATCATCTTCAGTGACTTGCTGTTGCTCGCAACTTGAACCGATCTCGTCCTCACCAGTATATCCGGTCCTCATCCAGATCCCCACATTGGCCATCTCTACACCACCGTCCTTGCCGACACCATCAAGCGGTACAGCGAGCTCAAAGGTGTCAGCACAATCTACAGCACCGGCACAGACGAGCACGGACTCAAGGTTGGACACCAAGATGTGAATCTGCGTCATCGTTTGGCAGTCGATCATCCAGAGCGGGCCATGACTCGTTGTTCTCGGCCGCAAAGTCAACGGAAATGCTTACGCTGCCGTCTTTGGATGAAATCGACATGCTGATCGCTCATTACCGCTATGCCGACTGCAGATCCAGCAAGCTGCGGCCAAGGCGGGCACCAGTCCGCAACAGTTCTGCGACCAAATCTCCACCAGGTTCCAACGACTCTTTGACCGATCAAGTGTCTCGTACACGGACTACATCCGCACGACCGAGGAACGGCACGTCCGTGCTGTGCAGCATCTCTGGGTAAGTTCGATACCCGAGCTTCGTACGAGCGGCCATGTATGAGCAGATGGCGGCCACCAAGTTGATCCATATGCTCTTTGGCTTACTTCCGGATCGATGCTCGATGCTCAATGTTTGCTGGTGTGTCGGTTGGTTCCATGAAACCCAAATGCATCTCTAGACGGTGCTCTACGACAACGGATACATCTACAAAGGCCACCACGAAGGATGGTACTGTGTCTCCGACGAAACATTCTATCCAGAGAATCAAGTCGAGGAGGCCACTGACGCACACGGCAAGAAGAAGATGGTATGTGTGTTCGTTGCAATCTCGCAGATGTCGTCGGGTAGAGCCGGGGATACACGACGAGGTCGGTGGATGGCGGCCATGTTGCCTGCAGCATCAGTTGCGCTCAGCATCGGTCTAACAATCATGCCGATAGATCTCGAAAGAGAGCGGAAAGGATGTCGAATGGACCCGCGAGGAAAACTACAAGTTCAGGCTCAGCGAGTTCCGAGAGAAGCTGATCGCATGGATGAAGCAGGATCCGTCAGGTATGTCTGATTCCCTACTACTCATCAATGTCGGGACTCGACTTTCCGGATGCTCCCACAGCCTTCGAGTCGTCCCTTCCCACCGATCATCTGGCAATCGTGGGGGCATCTCATGCACACAGCGGCGCTGGAAACCCCTTCTGCTTGGCAAACTCGAGGAAACCGATACCGATGCTCTTGCAGTCATTGTCCCATCGTCGCAGTATAACATCATCATGAGTATCCTCGAATCCAAAGACGGCCTACCTGACCTGAGTGTCTCAAGGCTGCGGAGCAAGCTGCAGTGGGGCATCTCTGTCCCGAACGACCCCGACCATGTTGTCTACGTCTGGCTGGATGCTCTGACCAACTACCTCACTGTCGCGGGATATCCATGGGCCTCAACGGCAAGCACGGATGATCGAATGTGGCCCCCGACAGTCCACGTTGTCGGAAAGGACATTATCAAATTCCACGCAATCTACTGGCCAGCGTTCCTCATGGCAGCAGACCTACCTCTGCCAAAGCGCATTGTTTCGCATGCCCACTGGATTGTCGGCAGCCAAAAAATGTCCAAGAGCCTCGGCAACGTCGTCGATCCCGTGAAGATGACGGAAAAATACGGCGTCGACCCTACCCGATTCTATCTTATGCAGATCGGCAGCATTGAAAACGACAGCGGTAAGTCCGTGAGTGTCTGTGAGGCTGGCGAGCCGAGTTGCACTGCCTGCGGCGTGCGTCGAAATCGCAGCATGACGCTATGAATAGGACCCCGGTTGCCATAAATGCTCACTCTAATGTTTTTGATGTGCACAGTGTTTGACGAAACCGCCCTCGAGGCGACCTACAACAGCCTCGCTAACGGGCTCGGCAACCTGATGATGAGAGCAATGACCCCCAAAACGAACATTTGGATGGCAATCCCCACCCGCGCATCAGTCGATGTCGACCCAGATGCATCGGAGCAGCAGCTTATCGATGCGATCGAGGAGGCCAGGTTGATCTTCAACAAGAGTATGGATGATGTTGCTTTCCCCAAGGCCCTTGATGCTGTCAACCAGTTGATTGCGCAGGTCAATCATTTTTGGGACCGCAGCACTCCCTGGAAGGTTGCCAAGGCCAAGACGCCCGAGTCCGAGCAGCATCTCCGGCACATCCTCTACTATACCTTTGAAGGGCTCCGCAACATTGGCATCATGGTACAGCCATTCATGCCCACGAAAGGCTCGCAGATTTTGGATGCCCTCAAAGTCGATGCAACCGAACGCGGATGGGCGAACTGTGGCGTTGGTAAGCGATGGAGAGAGTCGGGCCATGACCATCCGGCCGAGATTCCAATCGAACGGGCCTCACCGTTGTTCCCACGAGAGAAGTGACAAGTCAGACGAACGAAAGCCCATTGGCGGGCCCATGCGCTGTTGTCGCAGCGATGACGTGCGCCGATGACTCAATACACCGAAATCTCTGGCAACTGTCGTTGTGCCCCATCTTGACCCCGGGTGCCGGCAAATGGACACTCGCAGCCTGCAGCTGACTCCGAGCCGTACGGGCGGGGTGCTTCCCCTGCTCTACCGAAAGTCCATCGTCGAAGACTCAAGTGTCTGGAGTGCCTTGACCGACATGCACCAGGGCTTTCGAATACGAGGTACTGGTGCGAGTTTTCAGCGCTCTCCGAGTGAGACGCCGCCAGTTCTTGGGTGTGCATGGTCGTTGCGAGACACTGATTCGATGTTCTGGCTGCAGGGATGGATTACTCGCCTCACTGTCCGGCGGTAGGCCCGCGACTCGATTCGCAATGGCTCGAAAGCGGTGCAAGTGCGCTGGACTTTCGCTGATACGGGATATAACTGATGCGTCGCTTGGTGACTCAGGATGTGCTCTGTCCAAAGCTGCTCATCTCCCTCATATGTTTGGAGGCCGAGCAGCTGGCAAACGAGCAGCTGATGCAGATTGGCTCATCTCTCTCCGAAAGGCAAGTGCCCTGATCAGTCCGCGACGGCCGTTGACGATGCCTCATGGGACACACAGCTCGATTGATACTTTGCAGTTGCATCTACGATCAGAATCCACCAGCTCCAGCGAATCGAGCACAGGGTCTTCCTGGCAGTGCATATCCCAGAGGCCGTGGGTGCTGGCGCCGCATCGTTGCTTTGCCACATTCAGAACAGCCTTCAGCAGCACCATTATATCAGGCCCCCTTGCGTCCTACCCGTGGTATCCAAGGCCCAGTTTGAGGGTTTGCTCCGGAACGTATTTGTTGATCCACAATATGCAGATGGGGACTGGATGAAGATCCAAGACGAGGTAAGGAGTGTCCAGAGGTAGCTTTCCTATGTACCTATTTGGCTGCTGACTGTCTCGCAGCTTGCGCCGCTACTGCCCAGCATCCAAGAGCAGGTATGCGGTAACTCCCTCAAGCATTGGCCATATTGTCCAAGAATGCGGCTGCTGCCGTCACTAGCGCTGTGCTTGTGGCTGAGATGCTGGCTGACCAAGCACTCCATAGCACACCTGGACTCAAGTCCTCCATAATGCATACGAGCAGCTCGGGCCCCTCAGTTCACATGGTGCGCACACTGCGCCGCATTCCATCGCCGGCCCTATAATTCTGATGCTGGTACCTCTCGCCAGAGTGCTGGGTGATCCAGGAAACGATGCCGACTCTCCGAGAGATATCGAATGCTTCCGTCGGCCAGCTCCAAGACTGCTCACTCACGATCCATCGCGCCAAGGATGTCCATCGGTTTTTCAACTCGACTCTGTGACCAGATGTTCGCAGTGGAGGAGGCGAATGCACACCGCTTGTCGTTGAGCCGATATTGAGGCACAATCAATATTTGACCATCTGGATAGCTAGTTGGTTCGATGGACATGCTTCCCTTGCCCCACGAGGCACTCCCAAAGCCAGCTCAGTATCCAGTGACATTCACATGACCATGCTCGAGCATCCAGTCACATCCTGGCCCCAGACAGCCCCGGTTTGCTTTCGTCCTGAGCCAGCGCCCGCCATGAGCACATATCCGAGCGAGCCAGCCAGCCAGGATCGGCACAGCGACAGCCTCCGGACCCTCCAGCGACTGCACGCCCTTCTCTCTGATACCAGCGCCGATGCCAGCAGGATCCTCGTCGTCAAGCGAGCCCTCCTCGCCCCCCTTGCTCGGATCTTCAAGCTGACCGAGGCCGCCGAGGAGCTTGCTCGCCTTGACTCGGCCATCGGCTCTCATGACGAAACCTTGGGCAGCCCCACACAGCCCTGGACGCATTCGGATCGATCCTTTTTCCTGCAAACCCATCTACCTTTTCTCCTCAAGATCGTTTCGGTCAACTGGGTGCCCCTGCTCTCCAGCGACGAGCTACAGGGCTACTACGACGCCTACTTCTTGCTGGCCAAGCACATCGATGTGTCCTTCTCGGTGATCTGCAATCATATCCTCCAGCGGGGTGCGGTGCCGGCACACTCATTTTCAGTGCAGACAGCGACCCGGCTTCTCCAGCGGCTGCTGAGTTGCTATCCTCTGGCATCGTTCATCAGCATCTCCGAGATCGATGAGGCCGTCTCAGATTACGAAGGAAGTCATGCACACATCCTGTCTCTCTACTGCTCCCTCCCGGATCGCATGGCCAATTCCTTTGGCTCCAGAACCCCGAGTTTCTTTCTGCCAGGGTATGCTCGTCTCGACCGAGCGTCAGTCCCAGCGACTTGGGTGTCTCATTGGCTGCTGGAGGGATGGGAGCTTACCAGTGACCAGGACCGCCAATCTTGCTTCTGTTCTTTGCATTCCAGGCTCACCACTTGTCTGTTTTACACAGGGCATACTTTACTCGGGCTGGAGCCGAGATCGCCAGTGCTGTGAAGCAGTTCTCGACACAGCCCCTGAGCACGAGTGCTGTCAAGCGAATATGCTCAGTAATCACCAAGACAGCTCGAGTTGGCCATCTAGGTCTGTCCTGAAGCCAGCCCTCATGCCCAGGAGCAATCGGGCTGAACCGCAAGCTGTTCTCGGCTCTGACCATATCTTGGACTTGCTCTCCGACAGACTCTCTGATAGCCGGATGCTTCTCGGGTGCCAAACCTTCAAGTGTGAGCAGCAATAGTGCTGCCTTTTGGAGGCATATCTTGAACGAAATGTCCTCGCGCGAGCTCGAGCAGTTTGCGGTGGGCCTCCTGCACCACCTCCGGAAATCGCAGAGTAAGCCCGATCTCGCACTCTATTGGCAGAGACCTATTCTATCCGCTCGTTTCTGACGATATATCAACTCTGTTGCTTCAGACACGATCGAGGAATCTGGCGAGATCATGTCCACACTCTTTGGACAGCTGGCAAACGAGAACGAGCTTGCGGCGAACGTCTTTCTGCACCAACTGCTGGTCGTGCGGTACTTCCACATCGATATCTTGAAGACGCTGATATGCATGTTCAGCCTCGAGCGCCAGCAATCGGGTGAGAAACCAGAAGCCCCGCATTGGCCCAGCGAGAGTGTTTGCTTTGACGTGATCCAGATCGACTGTGCTGATTCTGGCCCTGATTGCCTGCCGCTTGCGCAAACACAACCAGACATTTCGGTCGTCAAGGCCCTCGACCATCTCATGGAAGTATGGGTAGATCCCACGTTTATCCGCTTCGCCAATCTGGAACAGCACAAATGTACTTCCCGCAAAGCTAAGCAAACGCTCGCCTCAATCGCCTGTGAGGATGTGACTGGTGCACGGCGTTCCAGCAGAGCAGGGCTTCTCACCAGTGTACCATCGTTACTTTTGCCAGATGTCACGTATGGCATCCTGGTCTGCCTTGCCTATATCTCTACCGAGGCGCTGAACCTCTCCGGGCTTCCTGCGAAATTTATCTCCGGCATGCGGCCCTATATGGACAGCTCTGTGCCCGAAGTCCGAGTCATGGGATTGGTGAGTTGGACTCCAGAGGGCGCAGTGTCGTGTTCGTCGCGAAAGTTAATGGGCAAAACAACTCTGACACGGCCGCTCTCCGTTCGACAGGTGACGGCCGAGTGCTTCGCCGGTCTGGCCCAGCCTGAATCCAAACTCGAGTTTGGTTTGGAGGAAACTGCAGAGAGCCGGCTCATGCGTAGCCTTACCACTCGCACTGGGGCGTTGTCAAAAGAACATGCGCCGACACCATCGACTCCCGTCCCATCCGACAAGCCGATTGAATCTGGTATGTGCTATATCAAGCCAACCGTTCCCGGCCGCTTGCTGAGCGCATCTGGGCTGCGTATGCCAAGCTCATGCGAATCGTGTGATGTTTGCGCTGTGGATATGCGTCCCAAGACTCCCGCGCTCGCGAAGCTGGAGAATCTGGCGATGGCCCATCATCGATTCTGGCAGAAGATGGTCAAGAAGAACAGCTCGACGATCCAGACGAGGTCATCAACTTTTACTCGTTTGGAGCTCGCGGTGAGTTTGGTCAACACAACTCAGACATTCGAGCTGGCCATACGCCAGTGCCCTGGTTGGTCATATACACACAGCCATACGGTCTGTGTACTGATTACATTTTGGCCCGCATCTTCCATACCTATTCAGATGCCCAGGACTCTGACACGGACGAGAGTGCTGATGCAGACAGCGACGACGAGGATGGCGACTTGGTGCCGTACCATATCGACGATCAGAAGCACAAGAACAACATCAAACCGCCAGTGTAAGCGCTTTCCCGTAGCACATGTGTTTGATACGGATCCTCGACTTGGTATCTCATCCCCTGTGCGCCGATAGATTCCTTGCCGAACTGGTTACCGGCATCAAGAAAGAAGACGATCCGATGACTCTCGAAGTCGCCCTTGGCGAGGCTGTCCGTGTGATCAACAATGCCGGAGAGCATGCAATCGGTATGGGGCTCTGTCTTCGTTCGGGCGATCCGTCTGTGAGCCTGAGACTCCGCATCTCACGTTGTGATATCCTGCGTACATGTCCCCTTGAAGACGAGTGGAGCTACACCGTCGCCGATAGCTTGTTCCGACTGCAAGATAATTACGATCTCGACAACTTTGAGAAGCTGCGGATGGAGGCCCTGAGCGAGATCCTTTCCCGCGCGCCTCGCACGGTGTCTGCGTATGTATCGCAGTTGACAATGTGAACGAGGCTTTGGTGGATCCTGGAGAGCTGGCCGCACCACCCAATGCTGCATGAAGCTACCGCTGGCATGTGAGATCTCTGCTTCTGATGGATTATTTGCTAACCAGTTCGATGCGCGCTGGCAGGTATTTGATTGATCAGTTCTATGACCGGAACATGAGCGTCCGCCAGCGTATGGATGTTTTGACGGCACTCGTCATCGCTGCCCAGAAGCTCAGTGCGATTGTGGTTATGCCGCCGGTACGGCCCAGCAGAACAGGTTCCTATGCTTGACCTGCGCGCAATATGATGTATCAGCAAATATGTGCTCATCCCACGCGGCTCTTTTACTTGACCAGAACGAATACGAGCTCTCTGGGGATGCCCTGCAGTCGGTCGCTAACAGCAACCCGAAGGTGAACAGGCGATCCAAGAAACTGGTCGTCCCAAAGCCAACCACACAGAAGAACCGGTTCAGTCAGGTTGCAGGGTACTTTTTCTTCCCGCTTATTGGGCGATTTGCCTCTACCGAGTGAGTATCAGACATATTTTCGTTCTGAATCCCGCAATGACTTGCTGTGCCTTTGGCGACTCATTCTGCGATGCGAACGTGTAGGAGCCATCGCATGATGAACAGCGACGTGACCTACGTGCTGGAAAAGTATATCACGGCCCTGGGTCTCATCCTGTATTGTGCTGGTAAGTCGAGGGCGATATCTTGCATACATCTGAGGATAGATCAGTGCGTTGGTTGACAGCATCGACATTATCTTGCTTTCCCAGTCAACACACCGTCGCTCCGACGGATGGTGCGCGAATACTATGGATTTCTGAACTACATGCGGTTCACGACACTGGTCCAAGTGTCCAGCGTCAGATCAGCCTGGCTGTTTGGAATGTCCATAGTCGTATCCGTTCTGTCGCCGGGAGTCTTCATGTCTGAGTTTTACAGCGAAGCAGACGAAATGCGCCAACTGATCGTTGGTAGGTTCGGATGGCGGTCCGCGAGTCGGGCTTTGACTGGCCAAGCTGTGGGTTGGTGCTGTCGATGCGATTCAGCCGCAAGTCTGGTTGATGAATTGTCCAGTCTGCCTGGCCCTGTCGTTGACGGGCTATTGCTGCAACTGTGCTGATATTACTCCCACGCACAGATCTAGGCATGGCGGAAACCGACCAGAAGAATATGGAACTTTGTGTCGGCATTGTCGAAAGGCTGACGGAGACACTCGAGCTGCGAAACACAATCGGGTACTGAAGATGATACACTCGGCCCGGTTGGGGACTAGCGTCTGCTGTTTCTGGTCCTGAGCATATATTCATCGTCTCGATATCCGTCCAATGCACCCTCGTTATAATTTGTCCATTCGTCTGTGGCTGCAACGGCGCTCACGGACAGAAGTGTGCTGGGCTCGCCAGTATATTGGGTGTGAGGGCATGCAGCTGCGGCGGCCAGGTTTGGCAGGGCCTGGGAGGAAGAGCGGCCAATGGCGCGAGGGCGCTGATTCTGGAGCAGGATCTGGTCAGACTTGCATCGGCTTTCTCGCCAGGGCCGAGTTCACAGCCGCGCTCCCTTCTCAGGACCGACCCGGATCGCATCCATCCACAGCATTGCGCATATATGGGTCGACCAAAAGCAAGCACGGCTTCGAGGAGCCAGCAGGCTGCTCCCACCGTCTTTGTCATCGACGACAGCGACAGCGAGCAGGACGCAGATCCCAGTCACGGATCCAATCCGACCAAGTCAACACAAGACGTCCGGCCCTCGACCCCAGCTCCAGCCCCGATTCCATCGATAGCGCAAGCTCTGGTCCTAGCACTGTCTCCGGCCTCAGCTCCGGCTCCAGCTCCGGTCTCAGCTCCAGCTCCGGTCTCAGTTCTAGCTCCGGCTCCAGGTTCGATCAGCACATCGCAATCGTCAACCGGATCGGCTCAACGGATCCGATATGGAAAGACTGCATCAAAAGGACCGGGTCAGGGACAAGAGTCGACGTCGGAGCAGGCTGTGAGCGACATTGACGACGACGAATTGGTCCAGAGTCTGAAGAAACAGCACCGCCCGAACCGGGTACCCGGCCGAACCATAGCGCTGCCTCGGGCCTTTAGCGGAGCCGATTCGTTTCTGACGGCAGACTCGGACGACGATATCCTATTCCAGAAGCCATCGAGCAGCCAGACGATTCCGTGTGAGTATCAATCTCCATCGATCCAGCTGCCTGAGCGGGTGCTTGGGGAGGGCCGTGCTCGGGATAGGCAGCACAGGCAGCACACTTAAAGCCGACCGCTTGCATGGAATCTGCGAACAGCCCAGCCAAGCATTATCTCGCTCTCGATCGACTCGTCGTCTGTCGAGTCTGTGCGCTCGGGAAAGAAGCGGGGACGGCCACAAAAAAATGTGAGTATCCCGGCCGATGCCAAAGGCGGCCTGCATCTTTGGCCATTTCCATACCCGCCGTCTTGCCTGCTGCTGGATTGACCTGGCTCCCCATTCGATCAATCAGTATGACCTATCGCCGCCTCGAAAAGTCTTCAGAGCCCAAGCATCAGATCTGTCGAGTGACGAGGACTCGGACTTTAGTATCAAGGCGACGCCGACAAGGTTGGAGGGTTTATGGATGCTGGAGCTGCAGGAGCCTCTATCGGTGGAAATCGGGCCAGCAAAGCCAAGCCAAGCTGCAAGTGTCAGCTCGGCTATGGATGTGCCCGGCGGGTCTGGAAGAGCGTATTTGTAGGCCGTAACTGACTTGGAATGGTCTGATCCATCTCGTTCAGCTCCCAGGCCGTGCCGGTTGCCGAAGCTGTGGTGATCGACGACTCGGACGACGACGACATCCCGCGGGCCCTTCCTCGGCCTCGGTTAGTTTGCTTCTGTGGCAGCACTATCGTCAATTGACGGCACCGGCGGTAGTTAGCGTCCGTACGCACGGATCTAATCGCCCTCGTTTTGGGATGGCCTCAACCACCAATGCTCTAGGCCATTCGTATCGCCCGAGCCGACCGGGCCGGCCGACTTTCGGTTGCTTTCGATGGGCTCTCCAACTCTGAGCGAAGCCGACGCTCCATTTGCACCACTCTCGCCGTCCAATATGTCATTTTCGCTCCCTGAAACACTGCTCGACGAGCCCGAGATCGAGCAACTCGATGTTCACCTGACGTGGTTCAGTCATCAAGGTGGAACAATCTCAAGCACTGTTTTGGTATTCAAAGATCTAACCAAGGCAAGTGCATGATTCTCAGAGCTTCTGGCTGGCAGCAGCACATGATCTCTGGTTTCGCCCCAGTGGACGCCCCCCCCCGCAGCGATATGTCCCTAACCGCTTTTTACCCAATCCTGCGACAGGATGGGCGGTGGTCCCGTTTTCGCGAGCTTGAGCTGCCCAAGAGGATTCCGCTATCCCAGGGAGAGAGTATTCACCTCGAGTCCAAGGGCATCAAGCTGTCGATGCACAGCACCGTCAAGAGCATCCAAAGGGATGGCGTCGTCCGTGTCGGTAAGCCGCTGCAGTACATCTGAGGCACAGGGGTATCGAGCATACCCAAATCGAGGCAGATCTCGCAGCGACTCACGCAAAACGTGAATGCTCCAGAGGGATGGAGGCTGGCAGATCACCATGCCATCATGACCTTCAAACAAACCGAGCGAGAAGCTTCTCAACGCACCCTGACCGAGCAGCTCAACGAAGCAGCGGCGGCAATTGCGGAGCAAGACAAAGAAACGGACGCCCGCGATGGCTTCGATCTGCAAGAGGATGCCGCCGAGGAGGAACGTATTATTCTGAAGGTGCTGATCCGCAAAGGCGAGGACAGCGACAAGATTGAGGAGCTCAAAGTCAAGATCAGGAAGGTTTGTGCAGACGGCGTGCTCCTTCGGTTTGGTCGGCATCAAGTGGGAACCGGAGTCGTTGCACCGGCTTCCTGGATGTTTCTTCGACAGCTGCATGATGCGAACCGTGCTATATGCAAACCGAGCTGTATGAAAATCTCATTCGTGCATTGTGCGTTTTGCAGACAACACCATTGATCACGCTGAAAAAGCGATGCGCCGAAAAGACCGGTGTCGACGAGGAGCTTATCGTGCTTACCTTTGATGGCGAGGGCGTGTCCGAAGGCGACAACGCCTTGACTCTCGCCATGGAAGACGAGGACGTTATCCAAGCGACCTTTGCGAGCCAGGCCGACTCGGAGCAGCGAATCACCATCAAGGTGGTTTTCCAACTCGCAGTTGGCGGGATCACCAAGCTGGAGGAATTCAAGTTGAAAATCAAAACGGTAAGAGTGGCAGCGGAACGGAGACAGAGACGAAGGCACAAATGCAGGAGGCTGCTGTTGACTGCTATTGGATGAACGGTGGATGAGTGCCAGACGAATGCTGGATGAAGGGTGAGGTGGATGCTTTTGGACTCATGTTTGTACTAACGGTCGCGAACGGCCATGTCACGACGAACTCGACTGCGTTCGGATGCATCGGCCACCTGCTCCGTAATGGGACGAGCACAGACAACGCCCCTCGCCCAGATCAAGAAAAAGTGTGCCGAGAAAGTCCAAGGGTCCGAGGACAATGTCCGGCTGTACTTTGACGGCGACCTAATCGACGACGAGCAAAGTGCCCAGGACCTAGATATGGAGGACGGCGACCAAATCCAAGCAAAGCTCAAGCAATCGTGAGCCTCTGCTGCGCCGGCTTGCGGACTGCTTTTGCGACGGGATATTGAAAGGGAAGAGGGAAGTGGTGCTCAAGTATACCTGGGATTTCTGTCGGAGAAATGGCGGGGAGGACCTCTGCGCGTCCGGCTTGCGCTGCATCACCAGCTTACCGCATCGCTGCGAGATGGCGCAATGAAAGACGGGAGCGGACCTCCGTCATGAATCCATAATGTCCCCTCTCGCTGCTAGCCCCAGCGGCACAGCGTCTCCTGTTACATTGTGTGATGTAATAAATATCTTTGTTGGTAGAGAGCGAAAAGGGCAACAAGATGAGACGAAGCAAATACACGACACTTCCTGAACACCAAACACAAGTTCACGGGCAGTGCTGGCTACACAGAAACATGGAAAAAGGAAAGAAATGGCACGGCAGGGGCGAGTGATGTGGGGTGTATGTGCAAAACTGCATATGGATGGGTGAATTGAGATATTGGAGCGCAAATAGCAAGTGGAAATGGCGGAGAGGAGTGGAGCGAGATGAGAGATGGGATGGGGTGGGATGGGTGCATTGTGGTGAGGGTGTGCCGGCCGAGACGCAAGTGGGGACCAACAAGTAACCAAAAGTCAAAACCTACAGCGCAGTCAAAAACTGCCAAAAGAAATCAATGGGCCAAGGCACATCGGAACAACCAGCTCCACGGGAGGATAAAGTTGGTGGGTCTGGATGCGACCGCTTCGCATCGACGCACTCACGAGGCGTCGAGGTCGCCAGAGCTCGACTTGGGCCGAGGCTTGAAGAGATTCTTGACGGTGAACTTTTTCTTCTTGTCACCGGCCTCGCTGTGCAGATCCTCGTGCGAATCCTGGGGAGGTGAGCTGGAGCCGCTCGATCCGCCATCGTGCGAGCCAAGTCGGTCTTCCTTGGACGAGCTGTGCATGAGTTTCTTGAACTTTCCGAATCGGAAGGCGCCCTTCTCCTTGTCTCTGTGCTCGCTCGTATGGGAGGCTTCGCTCGACCGTCGACTGCCGTGGTAGTCGTTGTTCGAAGCCATGCTCTCGCGACTGACAGAGCGCATCGGGGCGGGGACGTTCTGGGGGTTGTCCTGGAGGGCGCTGGTCGGGGCGGTCACGTTGCGCGACAGGGTGATGGAAGTGACTCCGGACACAATCGAGCCAATCTCATCGGAGTCAGTGGGGGGAGGCGAGACACCGGTGTTAGAGACTGGGATGGACTGATGGATAAGTTTGCTGCCCTGACTGGTGCTCACGGCTATGTCTGGCATCGACTGGGAGAGATTCGGGGCAGAGGAATCGCTGCGCTCCGGGACGCTGGGAGGCTGGACAGGAAGCACCAACGGCTCGGGCAGCTTGGGGACCTCTTGAGAGGACGGCGCAGGAGTTTCGGCGATGGGCATCTGAGACACCGGAGGCTCGCGCTCAACCTCACGAGCTTCATCGGCCGCGGGCTGGGCTGCAGTGGCAACCAGCTTGGCGGGCACGGCGGCAGGTTCGACAGCGACCGGCTTGATCGATTCGGTAGCGGACTTGATCGATTCGGCGGCAGCGACCGGTTTCACAGGTTCGGCAGGGGGCTGTGTATACTCCGAAGCCAAAGACGCAACGTCCTCCTCGCGGATGCTGCTGATTCCAGAGATGGAGGGTCTTGCGGCGCCAGGGAGGCGGGCGGGAGCCGAAGAATAGCGACTGTGGCTAGACAGAGACTCGGCCGCCATGTCGTTCGAACGGCGCTCCGAGGCGGCGATGATGTTTTGCCATGTCATGTTGCTGTTCACGCCCTCGAGGAAAGCCGGGGCATATGAAATCAAGATGCGGACGCTCGAGCGGGGCTGGGACGAAAAATCAATCACTTGGAGCTTGCCGATGATGGTCTTGATGTCCCCGTTCCACTTGCCGATGACAGGGTCGGTCGACGAGCCTTCCTTCTTGGCCTTGAGCACAAACTCGACTCGGTCGTCCAGCATGTTGGTCGCAAGGACGTTGATTTGCTCGTCCCAGAGCGGATCACGCTCGCTGTGGTGGGTGGTACGGCTAACAAACTTGCCGTTGTGGATGACCTCGATGTAGGTGCCGGTGGCGGTGACGTTGATGCCCTGGTAGAAATGCACATTCAGCACTCCGGACGGATGGCTGCTCAGGACGCTGGCGACGGTGGGGGCCTCGACCAGCGACAGAATAGACTGGCTATATCCAATCAAGGGCTCCTCTTTGATCGGGTGCAGGAAGATCTTGAATTCGATCACGCCCTCGTGCTCAAACTTCTGTCCGTTTTGAAGGTAGACGGGCGCAATCACATGCGCCTTGAACTGGTCGATGCGGAATATCTTGAAGCCGTCGCGGACAGCACGGTTGACGTACTCGTCCGTGCTTGTCTCCACGCTGTCCTGGATCCGGAACATCTCGCGGAAAGGGATATCGACGCGACCGAGGGGCTTTTCCTTGCCATCCTTGTTCCAGTCCTTGAGTACAAGCATCAGACGCTCCTGCTGGTTCATCAGGATACCATTGAAGCTCTCGTTCCAGACGGGATCGAGAGTCTTTTCGCGGACCGTGGTTGTGCCCATTTCGCGGTGTTCGATCATGACCTTGGCATAGGGATCCGACTTGCCAAAGAGGCCATCCACCTTCTTCAAATCGCGCGCGCTCTCAATGAGGATGGTGCAGGCGGCAATCGGGGCTGCGGGCTGGGTCGAGCTGCCGTTTGACGACAGCTGCAACGGCGAGTATCGCAAGGTGACCGAGAGGCTTCTGTGATCCTTCAGGACAGCTTCGCCGGGACTACCAGCTCCAAGGGTAATGGATCGCTCGAGCTGAATGACATGCTGGCCGATGCCGATGAAGCTGCTGACCGGGCCTTCCCAGGCACCGACGAGCGGGTCGCTGGACGGGTCGGCATCCTCACCCCGCTGCTGGAACAGCTGGAACTTGATGGAGGCAGAATGGATATCCGAAGTAACCCAGTAGCTCTCCTCGTCCCAGATCGCAGGAGCGTCGGACTGCGTGGAGGTGGTTAAAATGACATCCTGGTTCCGGCTGACGCGGACATAGGTGTTTTCCTGGGAAACATCGGGCGACTCGTTGACCTGGATGTGGAGAACACCCGAGGCTGGAGCATCAATTGAGACGAGGCGAGAGCAGAACCCGGTGGCGATTAGTGTACCTGCCCCTCGCGGAACACGGCCCCCCACACGGCGATGGAATCGCATTGGCGCTTAACACCACATCACTTACGGAAGCTGTTCAGAATGTCATCACGCATGCCCTCTGTGAGCAGCGTGCCGCCCTGTGAACTCAGTATGCTCTGTTGAGACTTTATGGTTGCCAGCTGTCCCGGGTTCAAGGACTCGGTCGAGATCTTGCTGCCTCTGTCAAGCGACTGGTGGCCCAAGGTGATGTTTGCATCGGATGGCGATAGGCGCAGCGACTGGCTCTTATCGGCAGCGCCACCGGCAACAGCCGCGGCGGCGGCGGCTGGCTCTTTGAGGGATTCGTTGCTGCCCTGGCTCTGGATGGCACGGGGCACCACGACAATGCTGCTGTAGCCGATCGTGCAATCGCCAAGGATGTTCTGAAGCTTGGCATCGAACTCGATGGTGCCCTGAAGCTCCGACTTTTTCTTTCCGGTCAGGTAAATAGGCGCCGTGCTGTTGGGCGGGAGGAGAAAGTCAGTGGTGGTCAATCAGGGCCGACACAGACCAGTCTGGCTTAAAGCACCATGACGCCACACAGTCAAGCGGCACAGACACGGAGAATCGCTTCGGCCGAGACCCGCACAACTGGCTTACACAGTAACGCCGTTCTGGTCGTTCTTGGCAATGGTCAGGCCATCTGCCAGCGCGCGGGTGTAGTACGGGTCTTCGGCCCTTGTTCCAGTTGCGCCCGACTCTGTCTCGATTTCAAAAAGCTTGGTCAGCGGCAAGTCGATGCGACCGAGAGGCTTGACGACACCGCTCTTGTTCCAGTCACAAATCACCATGGTGAGCTTGGCAGACGGATGGAAGACAACGGTCTTGAAGGACTCGTTCCAGATGGGGTTGAGCGTCTTTTCTCTGACGGTGGTCCGGCCAATCTCGACGTTGGCCATCTCGACAATCACGTACGGATCGGACTTTTGGAACGGTCCATCAACCGACTTGAGATCGTTGGCCTTCTTGATGTCGAAAGAGAGTGCAGCAATGGGCACTCTGGACTTTTGCAGGGCACTCTCGCGCACAGGGACGGCGAAGAAGCGCAGAGTCAGGGCAACGTTACCGGCCTCCGAGCCAGACAGAGCGTAAAACTCGTGCGTCTTGTTCAAGCCCGAGCGAAGGAGGTCCTCGTCCAGCGGAAGGTAGGCAATGGGTTTGCGGCCGTTCTTGGAGTAGACCTCGATACGGTTGTGCAGCTTGGTGTGGTCCGGCACATACATGGTGTACGACTCTTCGATGACGGGGTGAGTTCCGTGGACAAACTTTGTCTGGAACAACGAGCGACCCTTGTCGGTCTTGATGGCGACGCTGTACGAGTTTTTGAGCTCGTGGAAGCCGTCGAGCTTGTGCACGTGCACTTGCAAGATGCCGGACTTTGTCGAGCCGAGCAGGGCATCGGGGTCGATCGTGGCCTCGTTCGGCAGGGCCTTGAAGTAGCTGAGGCCAAGTTGGATCTCGCTGTTGCCTCCTCGTTCGCGGGTGGGTGCTGTCTCTTTCTTGTTGACGCGGTGAAGCTGCTTCCACACAAAGTTGGGCTCGCTGGGATCGCCCCACTGAGAGCGGAGCTTTTCGAGCTCTTCATCGACAGCGGGAGCCGAGCTTTCTGAGGCGTCCGTGCCGTTCTCGGCGCCATCCGTACCGGGGGCGGATTCGTCCGCAGCGACAGGATCGGAGTTGACGTCCAGAAGACGGATCCATTGGGAGAGCGACAGAGGATCGGAGACACCCATAACAGCGTCCTTGCCAACAGTTGTGTCTGCGTCCTTGACCTTGAAAACGATTTGGTCGGAGCCGTTCGCGATGTTGGTGAGGGTCTCGCGGTCGATGACGACATAGTGGACCTCGTTCCATTTGGGTTCCAGGCTACAGGATGGAGCCGGATCAAGGGCAGACATCGGTCAGTCGGCGACTCATCACATACGCAACACACGATGGAGACGGTGCTCATTACAAACGTACCTGTCCTTGACAGAGACGGTCTGGGCGACTTGCTTGTTGCCGCCCAGGTAGACGCTCGCGTATGGGTCGCTCTTCTTCAGGGCCTCAGAGTTTCGCAGACCGCGAGCGCGACGGATCTCAACCTTGAGAACACCAACCGGAGCGGTTTCTGTATATGCATGTGCGAAAGGAAACACAAACAGCATTGGTACAAAAGGTGCGATGCGGAGTGTGACTGACTGGCTGGCTGGCTGGCTGGCTGGATGAATGAATGCGCAAGGGCTGGCCAGAGTTTGACATGCAGACACTGGCTTTGCCAGGGCAACGAGGCTGTCACTCACCGATGGTGGCAACAGAGAGATCGACGGGGTACTTGTTGGGGGCAACCAAGATGGCCTTGAGGTTATCTTCGACGATAGCGAGGATCTGGGATCGGAGCACCGGGATGTCCATCAGGTCGAAGGACTCGGTAATGGGATTGATAGAAAAGTCCAGAGAGGGAGGATGATAGAAGCTAGCGTTGATCAATTTCAAATGAGGGAAGACAGAGTAGAATGTGATTTCGATTCTCATCTATACGGAGCACGTTGAGACGATAATCCATTGACATGAGGGGCAGTAGGTGGAAGCACAGCAGCGCAGAGAATGGCAGCGCAGTGGACAGAGACAAGCAAAGAGAGAGTATACATGGTTAGAATATACAGCGGCTTGACCGAGGGCAGGAAGCTTAAGCAGCGGCAGGAAGAGAACTGCATCGCGGTCGGCAACAATGAAGCACCCGTGCCTGTTGCAGGACCGACGCAGGACCGACGCAGGACCGTCGCAGGACTGGTGTAAGATCGATGCAGAAACGTCGCAGGAGACTCACCACACCAGAAAACTTGATGTCTTTTACGTGGACATTGATGTCCTGGCGGAGGAGCCACTCGAGACGACTCCAGATCTTGGATCGAACGAGTAGATTCTTGATATACGGCGGGATCTGCACGGTCTCAAGCAGGCCGCTTGCCAAGCGAGCAGTCAGGGTGATGTGCGAGGGCTTCTTGATGGTGCCGGCCATTAGAGGCTCGGTTTCCATATCATAGGTGGGCATTTCGACGGCCATGTCCATGATCTGCAGTCGAGAAAGGCGAATGCAAGATGAGGGATGAGATACAAGATGAGGAATGACGAGCGCCGGAGCGATGAGGGTCCCGCCAAGCACATACCATGACATCTGGCTTGGGGCTGCTGTGGAGCTTGATGTAGTTGACCCTGATAGGCGAGGAGCCCAAAGTGAACTTTGAAAGGGCAAGTTCGTCCTGCAGCCAAATCAAATGTTAGCTCGATGGCCAAGACGGACGATATGAGCGACGGGCTGGCCAGAGTGCGCTGGAGATGGGAGGGAGCGGCATACCAGCTCCTTGGTTTTGAAGGGAACAACAATGTCGTTGACGGTCTTTTGGATCATAGCAGAAAGGTCGTTCTCGTACTGATGCCAGAAACACTCGAGAAACGAATTGATCCAGCCGGCGGACTCGGCTTCGGGGCGGGTCTATTGGTTTACCAAGCAAGGACGGTTGGGGCATTAGCGAGCTGTCGCTCCAGCATTGTGGAAGCATCTGGACATTCGTCTGACAAGAGATGCGAGAAAAGGCTGTGGCTCGAGGCCGGAGAAGTCGGAAGTGCCGCCGAGGCTGTCGGGAGTGCCGACGGACTGCACGGATCAATGCGGAAGCAAGCGGCCAACGCCAAATGCGGGCTGTGACAGGGCTGAAGCCAACAAGCAGAGGAAAGGCCGGCTCACCTTCTCAGCGAGCTTGGAGATGGTGTTCAGCTCCTTCTTGAACTTGATGCGTAGGTGCTTGAGATTGGCTTTGAAAAAGACCATGGTCAGGCCAAGAAGCACGGTGGTGAGGAAGAGCGAGGACCAGGTGCGCTGGGTGAGGATGGAGGCGATCCAGAAGCCGAGGAAGCCGTAGAAGCTTGCTCGGAAGCCGTCCCACTGGACAAAGATCGAGTTGGTGTAGGACGACAGGCCAATGAGAGAGCCAACCGAGAACGGGTTGTAGAGCGCCGCCGGGTCGACCAGAGACAGGTCCGAGGAGGACTCAAAGACCTTGAAGGCGGCGTCGAAGAAGAAGTGCCAGAACTGCCGCGAGTGGGTCTTGAGCTGCAGATGATCCATCTGAGGATAGTTGGGCTGGCTGGCGGACGCGAAGGCGTCCAGGTCCTCCAGAAGCGACATGTCGGGAGGAGGAGGACGGGACGGGGCGGTCGGCAGCGGATGAGGGGCGGCGAACGAGGGGGGGGGTGACGGCGTAGAAGTAGACGAGGAAGAAGCAGACGAAGACAGAGAGGAGGAGGACGGTGGTGGAGAGCGGCAAGAACGATATCCGGGTGGGGGAGCGGCCAGCGGGTGTCAGGATTGCTCGCGACCGAGGCCGGATGGGGAGGGGCCCTGGGTCTTTGGTTGGTGGCGCGCGGCAGAATGGACGGGCGGGGCAGGCAGTGCTGATGCGCTTGGTGGCTTGGTCCTAACACCGGATTGTTAACGCCGGGTTGTTAACGCCGGGTTGTTAACGCCGGATTGTTAACGCAGGGGTGTTACTGCAGAGGCGACGGCGTTGCGTCGATGCTGATATCCTGACATGTCGATTTCGCATTCCTGGCCGGGCTTTGCTGCACTCGCAACAGCCACAGCGCAACAGCCACAGCGCAACAGCCGCCTGTCGCACAAACCCTCTTCGCGCCCGCTCCGCCCGCGCGCCACAGGCCGGCTGGCCACGCGTCTCCATTGTCGATGGGGCACGTGGGATCTGCTGCGCGCGCTGCGTGATGTCCACGTGGACGAGCGGCATCGCCCTCGCCCGCGCTCATTCCAGGCCTTCGCGATCGGGCCTGGCTGGGTTGGGCTGCGATCCAAGCACCCCGTCCGCCACAGCGACCATGGAGTCAACGTCGATCAAGGTAGCAGCGGGACGGGGCAGGGCAGGGCAGGGCAGGGCAGAGGAGGGCTCTGGCAGCGTGTGCAGGGCACCGGAACCAGCACGCTGCATCTCGTCCGGCCACCCGCTTGCTGGTGTCGCTGACTCGGTTTGCTCCTGCTCGACTTTGCTGTCCAACAGGGCAATGTCCATGAATACCTCAACTCGCTGCCAAAACCCACACTCGACAAGCTGTATGCTCAGCCGGCGACATGTCTGGCCGTGCTACGGTAGGCCATCTTTTCTTGCCGGCATAGGTCGATGTGCCGGCAGATCAGGCATGGCCCTATCGGTGCCTTGGACTGCCAACAGAACCAGCCAAAGTGCCGCGACAATGGACCCGCAGTCGAGCTATCGATCAAGGACAGCTCCCGCTCTGCATGTGGCCGCAGGGATATACTCGGTGCTGCAGCTAACCGACCATCTCGGCCTCTCGGCCTCTCAGGCTGCTGCCCAACTTTGCCCAGCACATCATCATGCGGTTGGTGTATACCTTTGTCGAGAAAATCACCGCCCGGGATCTCGAAGCCTGGTGTCTGTCCACCCATCTGACGTGAGTAGCTCTCGAGCGATTGGATCCTTTGACCGGATCTCTGACTCACCACGGCACGCCTTCTCTCATGCATGTTCCTATCTATTCTCGGCGGCGTTACAAACCCCCACCCTGGCTGCCAGGGATCTGCACGACTCGATCAAGAAGCTCCTCAAGCTCAACATCCTCGTGGCCGTCGGTCCCCAAGATCCGCTGCACGGCGTCTTTTCGATGAACCGAGGCTTTCAGGAGAGCTTGCGCAACGCTCTCGTTGGCGGGTAACCATCCAAAGCCACGACCCTCGCTGGCGGAACCCTGACGGCCTTCTCCGATAGTTCCCTGACACATCGCGCCGCGCGACTGTCGGCGCACGTCCAGCACCAAATCGAATCGATCTCTAACAATATCCTTCCATACGGTTTCATATCGCGACCTTCGACTGGAACGTGTTGGTTATCAATCTCGGATGTGAATGACCACGACCTGTACAAATCTCACCCAACACGCTGCTGTGACGGATATACAGCGGCAATCACACAAGCTTTGGCGAGGTGGCCGGCAGTGACAAGCATAACGTTGACGTCAAGTTCTTGGACGAGTACGCCTCTCAAGCCTGGGAGGTGTGTTGCTCGCCCCCCTCCTTTCCGATGCATGATCTCCGGACCCTGGAGCTGCGACGGACTGCTGATTACATGGCGACGATATACAGGCTGTTCTGCATTATATGGTCGGCACTCCGAGTGAACAGAGGTCGGGGGCCGTTCAAACGCTCCTCGAAAAGTCGGGTCTTATGGCACGCAGGTATGCACCGCTGAGCTCGATTGGATGCAGCCCCACAGGCGCAGAGAAAGGTGGATATTTGGTCAGCTCTCTATCGTGGGCGACCGTACAGACTGCGGCGCGAATATGCCGACATCAGCAGGCGTGCCAGCAAACCACAGCAGCGCTTGATTTGCAGCGTGCTCGTCCAAGACTCTTGTCACAGCAACTTGACTGCGATGACGTATCCATGTTCCTCCACTTCCAAAGCGAGAAACGGGATAGCGACGAGCTGAGGATCACCAACAAAGGATTCCAGTTCCTACTTCAAGACGTCAATGTGCAAGTTTGGGCCTTTCTGCTGCAGTACCTCGATATGGCCGATGTAAGCATTCGAGTCGCTGGAAGCAGTGCCGTCGAAGCGAAACAAAGACTGCCGCGGTGCTCTTGGACGGCTGTAGCCCCGATCCACTTTGCCGCCATATCCAGTCGGCATCTCGCCAAATTTGCTGATCTTCCCTCCATGAACTCCGCGCTTAACCAGGAACTCAACTTGGATCTTGTCGACGAGCTCAATTTTCTGTTCCAGCTCGGGAGTCTGGAGCTTGGGCAGGTAAGAGCGGTGCCAGGATCTCAGCAAACCAACCGACACGTTTCACTGACGCTGTTTTGTGGATGGTGCGAATGTGCTCTTTGTCGACAGGGATATTCTGTCGAGCGACTGACGGTCACCCAACGGCACATGCTCGACGATCTGAAGCATTTTGGCATCGTATACCAGAGAAAGGTTGGACGACACCCATCAACACAAGCAACCGCAAGGATGGCAGTGCTAGAAAGATGGATACCGCCACCGCCCTCTGCCCCGTGCACCCACCTTCCAGAGTGTCCTCCTTTCTGCATACGGTGCCTGTTCCCATTGTGGGAGAGCGGGACTTGGGCTGCTCCGATGCATCTTGCCCCTCGGTGCACTCGCTCGTGCCCATCGCTTACAGCGGATATCTCGATTTTGACTCTCAGAAAAAATCGACTCGGTTCTATCCGACCAAGCTTGCGACGTCGCTGACATCCGGATGGAGCCGCGTCGGCAAAGCCGAGGAAAAGGGATTCATCATCGTCGAGACCAACTTTCGCATCTATGCGTACACAGGTACGATGCAGCATCCTCCGTGTATCCGTCGCTCAGGGACAAGACACTGACTCTCAAGCCTGCTGATCCGGCACCACTGCCTCCGTGACCCTGCAGACTCGCCGCTGCAGATCGCCGTTCTGAGCCTCTTTGTCGAACCCAAGTCGCGGTTCGTCAACATGATCGTTGGTGCGCTCACCCGAGACAGCGTTCGCGGAGCCATGGAGAATGGAATCACAGCCGACCAGGTAGGCTTGGCCTCACGACCGTCGCCCGCGGGACCTTGCATCCGCAGAGCCCATGGTGCGCATCCACAGCTCAGCTCTGACCAGAATGAGATGCATTCCGTCAATCGAATCAAACAGATTATCATGTATCTGACCACCCACGCGCATCCCGAGATGCGAAAGACGGCCACGGTCCTGCCACCAACAGTCGTCGACCAAATCCGCTTGTGGGAGCTGGAGCGAAACCGCATGAGCGTGCAGCGAGGTTGGTTGAACATATGGACTATTGCATCAAAGGGCCGAGCGAGCGAGCGAGCAGAGCGCGGCAGCGAAATGTGAAAGTAGATGAGAATGTGAATGTGCATGCTGGTGTGGGATGGAGTACAAGCGACGACGGCAAGCGACATCGAGTGGCATCGAGTAGCATCGATTGCTCCGCTAACACAGCGTACCGTTCTGCTGGCTTTCAAGGCTGTTTATACAAGGACTTTTCCCGGGAAGCCGACTACCGGAGCGTCCTCAACTTTGCCAAGCAATCCAACTACTTGCTATGGCAGGATGATCAGCACATGGTCATGGTGATTGCGGCGGAGGGACATGAGGCCGTGAAGAGCTATGTGCGCCAGCGGCAAGTATCCCGCTCGGCAAACTGAGCCTTGCTTGGCGAGCCAATACACCAGCACCAAAATACCTCGTTGATCCTCCTCCACCCCGCTTCCTCTTCACCCTTTCTCCGGATCCACTCCGTATCTGGCCCTTAGCCCACCTGGGAAAGAGAAAAGAACAAGGGTCGCCCGTGGGGATCGTCAGAGCGATGGCGGACTGCGGTAACCCCAGAGGGACGAGAGGGACGATGGCGGCGATCGTTCTGCTCCTTGGCAAACAGCCCCGCCTCCATCCATGGCCGCTCTGCTCTTGAGGGTGGCGATTCCACCGATCACATCCGAGACCCAACGAGGCCCAGCGACCCCGATCGTACAATGCCCCGCCTCGCCCTTCTCGCACCGGCGACCCGCCCTCATTGTTTCATCCGTATCTCGACCGGTCTTCCCAACCAGCATCATACGCCTCTGCGCACTCTACCCTGTATCCGATGACAAGCACCACCACCAGAAGTGCCCTCTTACTCGTTCTTGCCGCGATCATGCTTCCACTGGCTTGGTTTGAGGCCGACCACAGGTTCGTCAATGCCTGCTCGGCGGTATCGATCTGCCTTTCTGATGCAGCATGTTAGCTGATGTCTGCCTTCCGCCGCCTCAGACTGGCCGTCGTCGCTGGCTCCGTAGCTCTATGGCTTCTCGTCTCCCAGAAACACTCCGCCCCAGCGCCCCGGAGCAGCATCGCCTTGGTTGTGGCTGTCCTTGGCATCGCTGCGGTAATCTGGAACCTTTGCGACAGCATCGCTGGTTTACAAGCACAAGTCCAGCAGATGCAAGCTCAGATCGTGCGCTTGCAGATCCAGGTCGCGCAGGCCCAGAGTGAGGTCGAGGTCGATGCCCACTCCCGCAATTTCTGGAATGCTGCTGCAATGGACCGGCTCGAGCTCGCTGTTCCGGCCCAACCGGCACCGGCACCGGCACCATCCGAAATCCTCTACTTTCTCAGCAGAGACGACCTGAACCAGCAGCATAACCGAGAGCTTGCGCTGTACAAGTTTTCGCAACGGTGGAAGCTGGATCTGCCGTTCCGGCATGCACACAACATTACCCGCCTCACCCTCGCCGGCAACCGGCTATTCCCTCAGCATCTCAGCGCCGACGACCTCGAAGCCCTGACGCTCCTGGGCAACCTGACAACCCTGGATCTCTCGTTTTCGTCGCTCTCGGACCTGGGCTTTGTGCGGCACATGCCGAACCTCAAGGTGCTGAAGCTTCGGCAAACCCACATTCGCGACTTGTCGATGCTGCGCTACGCCCAGCGTCTGCGGGAACTGGATCTGTCGTGGACCCATATCGACAACATCGAGCCGCTTGCCTCGCTGGCCGATCTCGCCGTGCTCGACTTGTCCTTCACTCGAATCGCCGATCTGTCGGATCTGGCACGGCTCGACAGCCTCGTCGATCTGAATCTCTTTTGGACCAGGATCGACAGCGTTGCTCCTCTGTCTGGTCTCCGCAAGCTCAAGCGACTCAACCTGGGACTAACTCGGGTGGCTTCGTTGGAGCCGATCGGGCTCATGAGACAGCTCGAGGAGCTCGAGACCTACTTGCTGGGGATTCGCCCCTCGCTCATCAACTCGGTCATCAATAGCCATCCGCGGCTGAAGAAAGCCATCGAGAGGGGATACCATGAGTAGTGGCGGCAAGTCAAAGCGAGTCATAGCAACATGGACGGCGATGGAGATTTGAGTCGTTGTATTGTCGTGGCAACGATGAACGCCGTGAAACCAGAGACAATGCGGGCAAATACTGCAAGGACAGACCAAAGATCAGCGATAGCTCCTGCGACTGGCTCGATATCCGAGGCTCTGATGAATATACCCGCTATCTGACGCCGCGCGCAAATGAAGTGATCAGCGCCCATGTACAGAGCAGGCAAGCCCAGAACACAATCTGGTATGCAATCCATGGCCACACACAATATTGTGAGCCGGCTGCGATGACAGCAGCAAGCAGCCATTAAAACCCCCCAAGGAATCGACACAGTACCATCGGTGCGCCACAGACGGACTGCGGCATCGGGTTGAAATCATGCTAATGCAGCTCATTGGCTTTCTTGGAGACGCCGTGAGTGCCGCTCAAAAGTCGTAAACAAGAGGGTAGGAGTGCCCCAACTCCTTCGACTTGTTTCCCAGGACATACTTTTCAAACGAGCCAAAATCAAACTCCTCGCGCCAGCTTGTCAGATGCATGGCTTTGTAGTTCTGGATGTCCCCGTGGTAGACCTCGAAGAGCATATGCATCTCGCACATGCGCTGGACAACGTCGAACAGAGAGATGTTGGTGTTCTGTTCAATGTACCTCATGCACAGCTTGCTGTCGCTTCGCCTTGACAGACCCCGGTGCTCCAGACCGTGATCTATCAGCCGCGTTCGAAGCTCCCGCGGCGATATGGAGATCTCAGGCTCGGAGCCGTCGCGCAGAATCTTGTTCTCGGACTGGATCCACATGTGTCGCTCGACGATGTAGTGGACGAGCTTGCGCAGGTGGCCCTGATGGCTCGGATTGCTTGGATTTCGTGTGAAATCGTAGGTCAGGTACTGCTTCACGGCCCGATGTGGGCTGACCTGGGCCTTGTTGGACGCAAAGCTGCTGTAGCTGCTCTGGCTCTTGATATCTGCCACGGTGATCCCCACGGAGGCTTGAAGGATCGATGTGAGCTCTTGCTCCCGCAAGTCCTGCGAGGACGGAGGGATGTGGTCTGGCGGAACTCGTTCGGCCGCGGCTTCGGCTGCGGCCTTGGCGGATTCGAATAAGCCTTCGAGCTTGGCAGTGAACTTGCGTTCGTTGGCAATCTGCGTGCGGACATGGTCGCGGAGCTGCTCAGGCGTTTGGATCAGCTCGTCTCGGTACTGCTCATAGTCGAGCTGGCTAAACTTGAACTTTTCCTCGTTCACGACGTGGAGAAAGTCATAGTCGCGTTCCATGCGCTCCTTGAGGGCCTTGAAGTTCTTGCCGTTCGAAATGTAGCTGTCGATCATATACTGAGAGAAGCGATTGGTTTTCTTGAAAAGGGCATCGAACTTGGCCTTCCGGGATGCCTGCAACCTGCTGCGGCTATCGCGGCGCTGCAAGCGCTTTTCGTCGCGCTCGTCTTGCCAGAGACAAACGGCTTGCCAGCTGCCGTGCAGCTCGGCGGCCCGGGCCTTGACCTCGGGATGCAGATAGTAGGTCCCGGTGTTGAACCGGCCCTTGCTCTTCACCGTCTTTGCAGCATACGGCATGTCACTGGGGCTGAGGTTGTAAGTCTTGCTCATCGAGGTTACCGAAATCAGACCGTTCTCTCCAGACTCGTCGCCCTTCTCAAAGACGCAGAGCTTGCATATGGGGTAGACAAAGATGGAGAAGGCACTCTTGGCGGTGGGTTTCATGCACTCGACACAAAGCTTGCTTTCAACGCAGTGCATCCATATGAGGATGGTGTTGACGCCAAAGCCTTCGATGAAGCCCGGTCGATGAGGATAAGACTTGAAGCGCTGCACCCAGTAGGTCTCGTCCCGGGAGGCTGCGCGGAGAAAGCGGCAGGACTTGGCGAGCCGGGCCGACGCCGTCGCCGGCAGATAGTCGAGGACATGATAGATGACCTCGGTCGGAAAATCGACGATCGAAACGGCAATGGCTCGGCTGGCTTGGTGTTGGTCGCGGATGCAGCGAGGCATTTTCGGGTGCCATTTCGGCTTGCTCAAAGCCCGTCGCCCAGCGAGCGAGCGCGAGACCGGTCTCGCAAGAGGGAGAGGAGAATGCATCTCGAAAGTCCCGCGCAGACCAAGCAGCCCAAATGGCCAGCGCCTGACTGCACTGCCATCGGCAGAGAGACAGCGACCGGAGCCGACGAAGCAGCACGGATCCTCAACCAGTTGGCCGAGCGGTGCAGGCCGTGCGGGGCAGCCTTGCAAGATTGAGGCAAAGCCGAACATGGCGGCAACAAGGCTGTGGCAGAGTCGAACCGGCCACCACCGAACGAGCAGCAGGACCTCAAGCCAGGAACATGCTTCCCATCCCATCGTCCATCGTCCATCATCGCCTATCGATCATCGCCCATCGATCATCGCCCATCGATCATCGCCTATCGTCTTTCCGCCATGAGCTCAGGAGCTTCTCAGCCATCCATCCACGCCTCTGCCCGACCGGGCCGCCAGGATCGGCGCGCACGCAACGACGATCCAGATGTCGTTCTGTCCAAGAGCATGTCGTATGTCCTACGGCATGGCGCTGAAAAGGACGGCGTTCCCATCCGCAAGGACGGCTTTGTCCGAATCGAGGATCTGGTGAGCCTCACTCCGTTCGCTCGAGGAGCTGATCAAGATGGATGCTGATCGACACGAATGCTGATCGACATGAGCGCCGTTGCTGCGTGACCCCGATAGCTCCGGCACAAGCGGCTGCGAGGGACCACTTTCGAAAAGATCCAACAGATTGTCGAGGCCAACGATAAACAGCGATTCACTCTGAAGCTCGAGGAGTCTGCTGGAGGCTCGGAGTGGCTCATCAAAGCAAATCAGGGGCACTCGCTGCAAAGTGTAAGTGGGCTCGATGCTCCCTTGCTATTGATCGAGCATCCGCCCCTCCCCCGATTCTGCTCAAGATCTGTAAAGTTATTGGTCCCAATACTCGTCGACCAGGACTCATGCTCAATTTCTCGGGTTTGGGTTTGCCAGATCCAGGTCGATCTCGTCGAGCTGACACCCGATCAGCTTCCGGTGTGCATTCACGGAACATATCGCAACGCCTGGGGTAGCATCGGTGAGTCGGTCGATACGCTGCATATGTCGGTCTGTTCTCTCGCCGTTCACTTTGAGTCAGGACGGGCAGACGGCTCTGCGACTTGCTGTGTCGGTTCGTACTGAACATCGGGACCCACAAGTACTACGCTGTCTTATCGGACAGTCCAACTCGCTTACCCACCCATGTTCCCAACAGTGAGTTCCGGCGGGCTCTCAAAAATGGGCCGCAACCACATCCACTTTGCAGTAGGAAAGTACGGCGAGCCGGGGGTCATCAGGTGAGAACAAACCCGCTCCGGTCCTGGGCTGTTTCAACCAAACAGCTTCCACCAGGCAACATGTCCCCGCGATTCGATTCCAGGGGCTCCGGATGTGGACGCCGCTGCTGGTATCTGCTGTTATTAACCGTCACGATGTGCGTTGGGTGGCCCGGATGACTGGCAGCGGCATGAGGGCGAGCTGCGACGTGTTCATCTACATCGATGTTCCGAAGGCAGTGGCAGGCAAGTTGCAATGCTCTCACGCCACTGCGCTGCCCAGTAGCCCGACCCGCTGGCTTACTGGATGCTTCTTCACTCCCGACATCGGTGTTCCAGCCGGCGTTCGCTTTCTGCAGGCACCCAATGGCGTTGTGCTGAGCGACGGAATCAACGGCCGCATCCCCACCGACTTTTTCTTGACTGTACAGGACCGGAGCGGCACGACACTTGAGTTTTGAAAGGAAGACTTGCCCCAGCGAGAGAAGCATTAGAAGTACCTGGGATTTTACAGCGTTCCCGAAACGAAATGGGACACCCCGTCTTGAGCCAGAGCAGCTGTTTTGCTCTGGAACCTGAAAACACCCATCGTTCCCGTGGCCAAACAGTGTTTTCACAGTGCCGGCAAGCCAAGTGACTCGAGAAGGCCGAGTATCTTGATATTGAGCAACCATGGAACTGCCCAGAGGGTCGAGTGAATGCACCACACATTGAGACTGCCAACCAGGACGGGAAACAATCTCATGGCTTGCTCACTGGAGCCTACAGTAGGCCAGCAGGCTTCAGACATCTGAAACCAGAAAGGGGAACTGCCCCGTTTCTTCTGGATCTACTGTTTTGGCGAAATACATGGTTGGCTCGACCCGGCAAGGCATGGTCGATGCCACAGACCTGTTCCAATCACACATACGTCAGCAATGCCGATTGGAGATGCATATGTTTTCTGCATCGGCTTGGTGGGGAGCAGCGCTCCCATCTCGAGCCCAGATATGCACCGCTCACTTCCGCCGGAGATATCATCAGTCATTCCACTCCAGCGTCCCAGCGAGCCTCTGCAGCCAAGTCTCAGTTTAGCAATCTTATTTTATCACAACGGTCGTTTTTGGTGCCCGAAGCGTCAAAAATGAAGGTAGCCATGTTCCCCTCTGATGTCGCTGGCGATGGACAAGCAATCATATCGTATCCCCCATCCAGCCACGACTGGAATCGGCCAACCCTTGGTTTGCAACGAACTCTCTCATAATCGAGGAGCGGGAACCATGCTCCTTCGCCGTTTGCGATTGACCGACAGCTTTTGGTGCAAAGGCTAAAATCCATGACGCTGCCTCTATAGGAGCCCACTCTTCCCCTCGACCGTCTCGGTCTTGAGGAATGGACACAGATCCTGACGACTTGGGATCGTCAGCTCATGTCTCAGCCCCGAGAGTCGTCGATGGAGCAACTCGACGCCGATACAGATGCCGCCGTGGGAGAGTTTGTCCCTCGCCACAGCTGCATTCGTCTGCCCTCAGCCAGACCCAGGACAAAGGCATCTGGCACAACGCACAGGGGCCGATGGAACTATTTCACTTTCTTTGAGGGCTCGGAAGTCGACAAGTCGACACCCCCAAGCTCCGGTAGCGCTTCGGCCGCAGTCTCAGCCGGCACTCCCTCACTTCCCAAGGGTACTCCCTCAGCTCCCAAGGCCACGACCCAATCTGTTTCAGGCACAAAGCCAGTAACACCGAACGGAAAGCCACAGACCCCAGGCGGAAAGCCACTCACCCCAGGTAGCAAACCAGCGACGCCAACTGGCAAACCAGCGACACCAACTGGCAAACCAGCGACACCAACTGGCAAGCCGGCAACACCAACTGGCAAGCCAGCGACTCCCGGCAGCAAGTCGGGCAGCAAAGCCAGTGTTTCATCTCAAGGCTCGGCAGAGGCAAATCGGGCAGGAAACTCTACCCCCAAGAGTACTCGTCAGAGCGCCGTGCCCACTCGTGCCTCAACCCAGCCCAAGCTTCCTCTCCAGGGCGACAGCGTCGGTGTGGCCCAGTTCTTGACACTCTGGTCTCGACCAACGAAGGCCCTCCCGGTGCCGCGGGCCAAGGCGGCGGTCTGGGGCCTCTATGACAACCGAGAGTCGGTGAGTGCATCGAGGATATATGGCTGCGACCGTCCAACGCCCTGGATACATCGTCTGTTACAGCCAGCACCAGACCTGGTTGTGTCGTGTCAGGCTCGTTTCTCACATATCTGCGTTCCCACGGTCCTCCCATCGGCAAATACGGCACCAAGACCGCAGCAGTGGCCTATCGCTTCGAGCACCAGCGCTTGGACCACAAAATCACTGTCCCCAGCGCCGAGTGCAAAGATCTTATCGATGGCCATACCCTCATGAGGCCGCAGAAACGGGTGAGTCAAGTGCTCGATTCCAAGCTGCTGACCAGCGATGCCATCGAACGAGGCGAGCTTCTCGGTGGCTCCAGACAGATTACCGAGCCTGTGCCTGAAGAAATAGCCTCGAGCGACGATTTGCTGTCCGAGGATCAGGCAGCCGCCATGGCGATGCGAACCGAGAAACGAATGTCGGCGACCGAGCGAGAGATCTCTGGGGCACTTGGGCAGACATACAGCTCTCGCCAACCGAGCGTCGTCGCCCCGCCGCCGCATATTACATCGATTCCAGAGGGCGCCAGTACCGCAGCCATAGGCCAAGATCCATCAACGATACAGCCTGAAAGCGCCCCGACCGCGCAAACATCGACGACTGCACAGATAGCATCGGTGGTGATAGTACCTCCGCCAGCTGCCCTTTCCGACACACCCACCCGCCGAGACATGCTCTTCAGCAAACGGGGTGCCGTTCTGAAACATCTCTTGGGCGAGAAAGAGGTCGCCTTATGTACAGTTGCGGATCCACTCCAGATCCGCCCCGCACCCACGTTCATCCTTGACGATGCCGTTATCGATCCGCCCCCATCGGATCTCACTGCCGAGATGATTATGAGGCGCGAGCACCTGGCAGTCGGGTACTTCAACCCAGACTTCAAGGACTGGGAAGACTCGCCGCCACCGTCGCCGTCGCCACTCGACCAACTGGAGGCAATCTTTTCCAATAAGCCTCTATATGCGCCGTCACAGCACTTTGTGGCTGGTTCGCGGCTGGATGAAGACCTGGCTGATTTGATCGAAGGCGCAGAAGACGACGACATCGAGGCCGCGACGGAACAGCGTTTGGCCGAAGCAGAACCCAGCCATCCTCAGCAGCCGCAAACCGAGGATACACAAGGCGAGGAGGTTCCTCTTGGCGAGAGCGAGAGACAAGACAGAGTCTCTGGGAATACCAGCGAGCCTGCAGCCGGGCCCATACCAGAGCGCATACCAGAGCCCACGGCGGAGCCTACACCGGAGCCTGAGACAGAAATTGGCCCAGACACACCGGTTGATGCTGTGCCCGATGACTTGGACAAAGCTGCTCCCGGAACGCTGGCCGAGGACACACCGGAGACCATACCCGACACTGCATCCGAGGTGGTGCCCGAGGACATTCCGGAGCCTGTTGCCGAGCCTGTTGCCGAGCCTGTTGCCGAGCCTGTTGCCGAGCCTGTTGCCGAGGCCGAGCTCGTAGAAGAGGCTGTCGATACCGAAACTGGGCAACCCGAGGTCCCAGGCGACGAAGCCGCGCTGGAGAACCCGACAGAGGCTCTTGGTGACGAGCCCGGGCCAGAATCGACTGTCGACAGTAACTAAACCGAAATAGATGAGCCACACGTAGTCTTCCCCCGCATATCCTGCTCATGCCCACGATCGCCTGGCGCGGGGTGATGTCGTCCCAGCGGCCTCACCATCATTACCGCGAAATGAACACTGACTCGTATCAGCCCGAGTTGGTTGGCCTATGACCACAAGTAACGACTGGGTCGAGCAGCCGCGAGATGGTTTGCTCCACACGCAAGCAGCGGCATCAATAATCGCACATGATGGCCGCCTTGTTCGTCAGTAGATGTGTATTCGAAGCGTCTCCGCACAGGCGTGGGGGACTACAGCTCTGCAGAGACCGTGCCCATGCATATCCACTTCTCGGCGTAGGTTGCTGCACGGTAGCATCAAGGCACAGGAGCGAGCGCGGGGGAATAAAGGGCGGTTGGCAAGCGGTAAAAAAGTGAGAACGATGGACCGGACAGCATGTAAATGGACAAAAGGGAAGCACCGTATCCGGGAAATATGAGCTTCTGCCGCAGCATGTACTTACAGGTCCAGAGGCGCACCTTTCCATCGTCGCCGCTGCTCGAAAGTACCGTGCCGGTCACGTTCCACTCGACTTTCCAAACTTGCTGTATTGTCCGAGCGTATGCGGGCACAAGATCGTGAGACATCCGGCCGCCTCACTTGCTCAACCATCGCGCATCCGGCATCGTCACTTGCCCTTGTCCCGACCCAGGTCTCTGACATGCCGCAAACTCACCTCGCCGCCATGGTCCAGCGTCTCGACTGAATCGACGGTGAACTGATTTGCGAGCTTGAACGAGTCCCCATGTTTGCCCGAGCGTTCCTCCCGAAGCTTGAATATTCGGACCTTGCCGTCCTTGGACGCCGTCGCAATGAGGTGATAGGATCTGTATCATGTGGCGGTCAGCAGCTGGATGTGAAGACATAAGGTGCTGGTGGCAACTCACACAGCACAGAAAATAGAGGCGGTGTTGATGTTGTTGCACTCAGAGCTGCTCGTACATACCTTCCGATGTTTGGCGCCCAAGCAATGTCGCAGATGACGCCCTCGTGTCCACCGAGGATCTCATGGGATCCCCACTTGCTCTGGTCCTGTCGATAGATCTAATGCGGACAACCTCGCATTAGCACAATATTCAGGTCATCGAAACAGACAGACCAACCCGCGACTCGTCAGACATATCGTCCGGGCCAACCAAATCAATCACAGCATCGTATCCTTCCCGGACTGCTCTCTGCTTGTTCCGAGGACAAGGCGGTGGCAACGAAGACGAACCCGGGCCTCTCGACCGCAACCGACGGCGATCATGGGTGGCTGGAAGGGCGAGGTGCACCAAGACAGGCAGTAGAGTGCGGCACTATCTCGGCTGCTCCCAGACACGATATCAATGTCCTCCTACGAGAAGATGGCCGATCCAGCGTGAGTCTGATGAGCTACGGTTCGCAGAAACCAGCTCGCTGTTGTGCGTTTCATTGGGGCCACGATGTGCTGCCTTGCCGATCTACCTGCATGGTCCAGTTGTTTAGGCCGACAGGGTCCATGGCTTCGTAGATTCGGAGGAAACCGTCGGACGAACAAGCAGCCTGGACGAAGCAATCAAAATTAAGGGTCGGCGGGTATGTGGGGTCAATGCCTCTGCGATTCGCAGTCTCGGTCTAGCCGTATGGCTGCTGCGGACGAGCACCGAATAAATGCCTCACCAGCTTCAGACCCAAATGCTGAGGGGCGAACTCAATGTCCAGCACAGCGCCTCGACTATCCTGGAGCTTGGCTCGTTCAAACCACCGCTTCAAGGTACCCTTTCCATCTTATCGAACAGAGTGTGAGTATATGCATCTTTACGCCGCCTGTTCGGTCTGCGTGCCGGCGCGGGTACCCACCGAAATCTTGTTCCTCCCAGATCTTGATGGATTTGTCGAAGGAGCATGAAGCCAGGATCTGTCCAAACTCAGGGTGCGCCCAAGTGACTCGCAGGACGGAGCCGTCATGAGCCTGTCGGCACCAAGTGCGAGCCAGGAGACCGAGCGGCCACAGAGTTCAGCATGAGGCATGAATGAGCGACCGCAGGCCCTCACAGAGCATCGACAGGAAAGCATCCCGCTCCACAACAGCCACGCACGGTCGCCCAAGCTCCATCGACACCCAGCTGCCCAGGACGCACCTTCCAGCCGCCGTTCTCAGGGTTGATCCACTTGTTCTCGTGCTCCAGGAACTCCCAAATCTTGATCCTCAGATCCGAAGAGCATGTCTGAACGGGCATCCAGCGGCGCGTGCATTAGCAGCATGTTCCTTCGCGAGCTGTCCAGGGCCGAGCAGCTCGCCATATCAGCGCAGCTGGCTGTGCAGATGCAGGAGAGCATAGCTCACCGCAAGACGGCGGCCGTAGTAGTCATAGGCCATATGGTGGATCAGGTCCTCATGTTTGGTTGCAAAGTCGCAGGTCTTGACGAGATTCATAGCGGCGAAATCGGGGTGGTTGATAGTATGTCGTATCGGCGGTTTGGCCTGGCGTTGATGGACGCTTCAGAACCCTGGTCTAGCGTCTCTGGTAGCCTCGATCTGGGCGATCCGCGGTGTCGGCGTGCGGATGCAGGTATGTCCGTCCGAGCTGTGTGTGCTTGGGCGATCGCAGTCGAGGCTGGCTCGGTTGTTGTGTTGGGGACGGGCTGCAAGCAGGACCAGGGCGGGGCTCTCGCTGCGGCCTCTCTGCCTCTCGCTGCCTCTCGCTGCCTCTCGCTGCCTCTCGCTGCCTCTCGGTTCGAGCCGCCCAACACTGCTGGCATCTTGGATCCAGCCCGGATCCAGCCCGGATCCAGCCGGCGCGCAAAAATTTTATGACCGCGGGACATTGGCAAAACCAGATCGCTTTTGCGTTTTCTCGCGACACACCAGCAGCAGCACCCCGAATCAGCCAGATCCACATCCAGGCCGGCCAGATCGACCGCTGTCTCAAGCGCACCGACCGAGCAAGCCATTCGACTGACAGCCGAAGCAGCCAGCTCGCTCTCAGCCACCCACTCCCGCTGCCCCATCCACAGCCTCGATTCGCCTCGCACGCACACGACCAGCCATGCTCTGGAAATCGCTGCTTCCGTCGACCCGTCCGGCTGTCTCGCCGCTTGCCTCCAGCACGATCGCTCGCGGGTTCTCGAGCTCGGCGCCGGCAGCATCAAAGATCGGCCGCCTGCCTCTGAAATATCCATTCGAGGTCAGCATCAAGCTGGAGCCCTACACACCCACGGCAGCCTTCCCGAGATGCACCCAGCAGGTCGTCGTGGCGGGGCCGCGAGGCTCCCTTGCGATGCCCGTGCATCCGTTCGTTCAACTGGACTTTGTGGACGTCCCGCAGGATGCTCCGAAAAAGATCATCCGGGTCTCGGTCGAGAACACCAACGACCGCAAGCAAAAGGCCATGTGGGGCACAACACGGGCCCTACTCAACAACATGGTCGAGGGAGTCTCGGAGGGCTTCACGATCCCGATCCGATTCAACGGCGTCGGCTACAGAGCGCTGTTTGAAGAGGGCAAGCTGTCGCTAAAGCTGGGCTTCTCGCACCCGATCCTGCTGGACATCCCCAAGACGATCCAGGTGCAGATTCCGGCTCCCCAGCGCATCATTCTGCAGGGCAACGATCTCCAGGAAATCACCCAGTACGCCGCCAAGATCCGCGCATGGCGGCCCCCGGAGCCCTATAACCAGAAGGGCGTTTTTGTCGGCGACGAGACGATCAAGAAGAAGGAGGGCAAGAAGCGATAAGCAATGAGGAGGTTCGCCGACGGCACCATCCAGATGAACACTATATTTCATGTACTCACTCTGCACGTTGCAGCCACAGCCACGGCCATGACCCTACTCGCCCGGGCATGATACTTTCCATGCGGAAACAATGGGCTGTTGCCTGGGGGCCCGTCGCTGCAGTCATTGGCTGGAAATACAAATTCCTGGACGCACTCGCCATTGACACCGACCCCGGCGAGGTCGAGGTCCAAGACCCGCTGCGAGGGAAGCTCGTGTCTGAGACTGCACAAGAATCGGCATTATTGTGAACCGATGGGCTGGTGCGACGGCGGATTGGCGAGCCGGTTTGCAGATGGATCGATGGGCAGCGGCTGGAAGCTCTTCGAGACAGGACTGTATGTGTTGAGCGATCGCCCGGCTGAGCGATATCGATCGGCGCTCTCGCTGTTGGAATGGGGCCGGTCGATGAGATATCAAGCGACGGACATTCAGGGAAACAACTCGGCCCACTCGGTCGTTCTCGGCGGAATATGGCCCAGCCGAGCCCGCCCCCGCCAGCCGGCCTGAGCCACGACAAATCGTCATGAGCATCATCAGCACACGCTCTCGACTCTGCAGCTGCGATGCATCCACACGGGCTTCATAGTGCAGGAGTACCGCTTGCGACTGATGCCATGTTCACCAGACCATGCACGATGCATCACCGGCCGGTGCCGCCGCCGTGCCCACCGGGTCCTGTGCTGCGGATCCGGCCGACAAGCAGCCCCCAAAAGGCACCCAGCAGCGATTCCCACGAGCAAACGGCCCTGGGTTTCCCGGCGGGTGGCGAGCCCCCGACGCACAGACGGCGTCGTTGTGGTCCATGCTGCCCCTTCTCCACGATCGATGCGGCTGGGAGCTGGCCGGTTGGGGGGGTGGGCCATGTGGATGCCTGACCACAGCGACTGCGATGGCTGCGATGATGATGGCAACGGCGGCGACAAGGCAGATCAACGGCAATAAAGCCCCCTCGCTGGCCCGCCTCCAGCCTCGGCAGCATTTCATCTGGCTCCCTCAGCCTCGATCCACCCCGTCGCAACCACCAGCCATGTTTCGTCTTGCTCGCACCCCGGCAGCTCTGGCCCCCTGGGCCCGCTCGTTCTCGGTTTCAAGCGCCCGTCTGCAGCAGGCTCCTGCCCTGACACCCTTCCATCATGCCTTCCCGGTCGAGGATCTGGAGCAGGCCCGCACCTTTTACAAGGGTGTGTTGGGTTGTCCCCAGGGTCGAGTACGTTGAGACGCTGGCGAGGCTTTCTCTAGCGCTGGCAGGGCCATCTATCGCCATCTCTGATCCTGTGCAGCACTGCCGTCGGATCTGGCTTGGCACCGTCCTCTGATCCGACATGCCGCTGTTCGCTCTCCTCTCAGGAGCAACCCGGTGTCTGGATCGACTTTGATCTCTTTGGGCACCAAATCGTCGCCCACCAGATGCCCTCGAAGATGATTGAGCTCAAGCACAGACTGGTGGGTGGCTACGCTTAAGCAAGTGATGGCCCAAACGGAGCATCTCTGATCTCCATCATCCGAGCTGACCATGTGCCGTGTCCAAGCAGAAGCAGGAAGGATACTCCAACACCAACCACGTTGATGGTAATCAGTAGCCAAGATATCCGAGCGCTTGTGGTTGCTTGCGACCATCGGTCAGAGCAGCATCATGGCATTTCCATTCACCAGCCTGTCTACCCACCCGCTTGATTATGCGTGGTCTCATCTGTATTCTTTCGCATCCGGCCCAGGCCATCAGGTCCCCATTCCCCATTTTGGCGTCGTCCTGGAGTGGGAAACTTTCCACAAGTTTGTCCAGAAGATCCGGGATGCTGGCATCAAGTTCGAGCTCGAGCCCTACATCCGCTTCGAGGGCCTCCCTGGCGAGCAGGCCACCATGGTAAGCCGCCCTTCACCCTGGCGGGTGAACCTGGTCGCGGGTCTGTCGATACTGGATACTAAACATGCACGCCGCCATCGCCGTCGGTTTCTCAACTGGTTTCGTCGGCCGCCAGTTCTTCCTGGATCCGTCTGGGTGAGTCGGGCTGTTGGGTCTGCGGGATGGCCGGTGAAATCTGTAAATGTCGCAGCATCGACACCGTGCGGCCACTGGGTGAACAGCACTAATGATTTGTATGTCTGGCGGCTCGCCCGACGAACTTGCCTCAGCAATGCTCTCGAGTTCAAGGCATTCAAGGACCCCAGCAAGCTCTTTGCTCCACAGAAGCCGCAGTAAATGGTGCATCTCGCATAAGCGCCATCCGCCCAGTGAAAGCGGATATGCCTGGCTTTCGGATGCTGGCGCCATATTTGTTGCCCGAATATAGTCTACCAACGAAACGGAGCATCCTGTTGTGTGTCTTCTTCTTGGTTCTGAGCTCTCATCCTTGCATCGCTGCTGCTATCCGCTGATGTTCAGCCACTGAGCCAACAGCGCAACAACCCGACCATCGCGTGCAGGCAATGAGGAGACCCAATCTCTTTGCTCGGAGACTGCCGAGGTGATCCCTTTGAATCGCAAATGACCTGCGGCTCTGCGAGCGGCACTGGTCTCGTCGCTGGGGACATGTCCGTCGCAGACCGGCACGGCCGACGGCTGACTCATTCCGACGCAGTGATCGGGCCGGCCTGGCCTTTGTTTGGTCTCGTCAATCTCGAACGCTCGCACTCCAACACCGGCCCCCATCGCTCTCATCTGCCCAGCCCCGTCCAAACTCGCCCTTCGACAATGCCAGAGACCGTCGATCCCTCGGCCCACGTCTGGCCCTCCCGTGACGACTCTCATGGCTGGACCCTCGCCCCGATCATCGTCTTTGAGAAGACATGGTGGTCATTCTTCCGGCTGGATCCGCTCGGTTCAGGGCAACCCCAGATGATCTCGATAAACGGCAAGAACGGCCTCATCCAAGACACCAAGCACAAGCTCTGGTCCGAGATCGACAAGCACCGCGACTCTGAGCTACTGTTCATATCGAGCGAGACGGCCACCGAAGAGAACCACCACTTTGACTACTGGCAGAGCTTCAGCAAGAAGCTGCTGTCCGAGCCATGGCCCAGCCGCCGGGATCTCAGGGGCTGGACCATGGCTTCCCCGCCCAACCTCTGCACCTCGCTCTTCCGCATGGCGCCCTCGGGGTCGGGCCATCCGCAGCTGATTTCGTGCGATGGCGTCGACGGCATCTGGGCCAAGGATCCCGAGGACTTTTGGGAAAAGATTGCCGCGCTCAAGGACACCCCGTTGATGTATATCCAGCCCATCGAGGGCGGCGAGCTGCATCGGGAGAAGTTTGGCATTACCGGATACGAGCCCGAGCTGGAGCACTGGGTCCTGTACGTCAAGCACCTCCTGGACTCGACCGCCCAGCGGTAGATCGTCGCAGGATAAGCCGGTGCCGGTGTCGAGGTCGTCGCCTCTGGCTGGCCACGGCTGACCACGGCGCTGTTGCTTCTCTGTCGGTGGCGGCTGCTTCGATGGCCGTTTGTCTTGCAGGAACTCGTCGAGAGGCTGTTACTTCATCGGCAGAAATGTCGATAATCAGCGGGCCACAATGGCGTCTCCTCGCTCCCGATGCCTCTGCATACATCTCTGTCCCTCGTCCGCGAAACCAGACCATTGTCGCCTTGGTACGCCAAAACGAATCGGACATCCTGTTCCCCGAGCCTGTCGACAGCCTTCTTTGGCAGGATTACGAATACACATGCGTATTGATCACGTCTGCGGGTGACGGCATTCCCATCCAGCGGGACTGCACACCTGTGCAGACCCAGATAACGACGACAACCAGAAGCAGTCCGACAGGCTTGGTCATGCGGCCCTTCTTGCCACTCGATCTGATGCAGATCCATAGGCGACCGGTCTGATATGGCAGTCGCCGATATGCTCTGTGGCGGCGACGGTGGTCGCTGACCCCTCTCTCCACAGGACTCCCCAGAGCTCAGCATGGCAGAGAGCAACTCGACCGGTGGCTGGCATGCAAAATGGGACGAATGCCAATACAGAGCAGAACGAATCGTCAGCGCAGACAGGAAAGACAGAGCGGCGCAGTGCATTTGTCGTTCGGTGCCCGCACAGATCGCCGCCTGGTCAAAACCTCGACCATGACCCCCGAATGCGCTCCTCCCCCTGCCTCGGCTTGCTTCGTCTGGTCTCGGTTCCGAATTGCTTCATTTACCCCGGCTCGTCTCGACATCGACTTGCCTCGACTTGCCGGCTGCAGCCATCCAACCTCATACTCCACCCACACCGCTTCGGCCGCCCCTTTTCGCCTGACCTCATGTCCTCCATCGTCCTTGGCCTCAAGACCTTCGTCGGGGGGTTTGCTGGCGCGGCCGTCTACTGCGCTGGCTCCTTTCTCTACATGGACCACTACATGCTGCCTCAACAGAGCCCACCGCCTGGCCACTCGCTCGCTTCTACCGATGAATCCATCCAGCACATCCAGCGGCACTCGCTGCAATGCTTCACCATCAAGGCCAAGGTCGCATCGCTGAAGGAGCACCTGAGAAAGCCGCACGACCGTCCGGGATATCCCGACTACATCACCGAAGAGCTCCTGCGGTCGTTTTTCACCTCGCCCCTCTACGAGTTCGAGCAGGCCGTCCTCTATCGTGCCCTGTGCTGGTTCGGCTCGACCACACCGCCCGCACCGCCCCCTGGTCGCCGGAACCTCGAGGCCATGCTGTTTGAATCCGGGCGACATATCCCGCCCACCAATGCCATCCTCTACCGGAGTCCATCCGAGGCCTTGGCCGTATGGGGCCTCGACGGCCGCATTGGCGGACTCAACTGGTTTTCGACCGAACGGGACGAGACCGACCGGGATACCCTGGTCTTTCACTACGGGACTACATGCTGGTGGGGCCCCACCCAGCAAGGCATCAGTCCCCTGGAGCCCGGCTTTTGGCTCTCGAGGCTGCTCGTGCTCCACAATCGGCTGCTGTTCGATCTGGCGGTGCGGGGCATGCAGCGCTATCAGCACCAGGCTTTTGATGGACTGCTGTATACGGCACTTCACTGAGTCTGGCGCTGCCGAGACAATCTTACTATCCATGAACTCTGCTCTCTATGATCCTGCTCCTCTGTCTCTTAATACACTTACTGCCTATCGAGCATAGGCCGGATGGACCTTTGCAGAGTCCTGGCAAAACGCAGCAGCAGGGGGCAGCAGCAGGAGCAGTCGGTGGCCCTTCTGGTCGAATCCGAGGCCGCGCGACAAAAAGCAACAGCGAGTCTTCCACCCACGAAGGATTCGTTCTTGCTCCCAATCGAACCTGCGTCCCCCGCCCCCCTGCTCCCTCGAATGGAGCCCTCTTGAACCAGACTCTGTGCGCTCTCTGTCCATTGCCGTTCCCGCCCAACCCTCGCTGCGATGTCGTCGCAAGAGCCCAAGCCTCGAGAGACCACCCTGGTCACCTCTCCGGCCTCGCTGGAACCACATTCCGGACCGGGTCTCGAGACCGCCCCTCACTCCATTTCGTCCGGCGACGCTGCGTCTCCCTCGCCATCTCAGCAGCAGCAACAGCAACAACAGCAACAACAGCAACAACAGCAACAACAGCAACAACAGCAACAACAGCAACAACAGCAACAACAGCAACAACAGCAACAACAGCAACAACAGCAACAACAGCAACGCCATCCTCCCCAGCCGTCAGCTGCATCAGCAGGTAGCATCGGCGGCCTCGTCAAGCAAGTTCCACGATCCCTTTCGTGGCGGCAAGAATACGATCAGCTCGACGTCGAGGAAATCTTCCCGTGCGAGAACTTCAATCTGGTGGCAAAGGGCATCTACCGCAGTGCCTTCCCGAAGAAGAAGAACTTTGCCTTTCTCAAGAAGCTCGGCCTCAAGTCGATACTGTATGTGGTTGCTCTGGAACATCACTTCTCCAGACTTGCGCCCAGGACCGCCATCATCGGGCCGAGCGTTATGACGGGAATTCTCGCTGCTTGATGCGCACAGCATTGCCTGCTAGGCTGGGTATGGCTGGTTGACCCTTTGGCTGACTTTTGTGCCTCCCTTGAACAGAACTCTGATTCTCGAAGAGTATCCCGAGCAAAATCAAAAGTTTCTCGACGATAACGGCATCACGCTGTTTCAGTTTGGCGTCGCTGGAAACAAAGAGCCCTTCGTCGATATCCCTGAAGACACCATCTGCGCGGCACTCTCGGTGATGCTTGGTGGGTGTTGCGGGAGGCTGCCTCTGAAGGCGGCAACATGCGCGGGGGCTGATCCGTCTGTCGGGCCAGATCTCCATCTGAAGCTGCCCTCGCGGCCGGGATTGGTGTGAGTCCGGCATCGATTGATCTTGTCCCGGTCTGTCTGCCGAAAAGGTTTGGCCGGCAGAATGATGGCCCAGGTCGGGCTTGCCATCTTCCCATCGAGGCTATTCCCATCGAGGCTATTCTCATCGAGGCTATTCTCCTCCCTCTCTTCCCTCAATCGACCTTGATTCCGGTGGGCGGGATGGGGTCCTTTCTGGGGCTGGACACGAATGCGAATCAGACCAACGAAATCATCCCAGTGAGTATCTTTGACCTGCCCTGACGCCGCAACATGCTGAACTTGGCGGGCGAGGGCGCTCATGGGGAAGCGGCTACTAATCAAGCGGCTCGGTCTTGCCATGCTCGCCAGTCTTGATCCACTGCAATAAGGGCAAGGTAGCTTCGTGCGTCAGCTGCGGCGATTCACCTTCTGACTTTGCTCTCTGTCTGGGTGTTGGTTGATCGGGCGATCGTTTGGCCGAGGACTCTGTCTACCCGGCATCGGTCTCGACACTGCACTGCACTGCATCTCTCCTCTGCCTCGATCGCTGATCTGTGGCCGGGTCCATCCAGCATCGAACAGGCTGTCTGATCGGCTGCCTGCGCAAGCTGCAGCACTGGAGCCACACCTCAATCTTTGACGAATACCGGCGGTTCTCGCACCCAAAGAGCCGCTCCATGGACCAACAGTTTATCGAGCTCTTCGACACCTCCAAGGTACCCTACGACCCCCGCTATCTGCCCAGCTGGCCCGAGATTGATCTACCTCGGACTCGTCGCTGAGTCCCCAAGTACTCACCAGCTTAGTGATCGTCATCCACGGACACGAAATGGCGCTGGAGCAGACTTTGGACGGTCGACAGCCATGCTGAATGTGCGTTATGATCACATGGCAAGTCGTGGCTGATGATCAGGACCGGCTATCGTTTCAGCCGAACCAGATAGCTCATAGATCACCCCGTACGACCGATTCGCCTCCCCATCTGCCCTTGCGGAGAGTCGCTTACTTGAAATCAAGGCTGGATCGACCTGCCACCTGCCGCCGTCGCCTCCCCGCCTTTGCCATCACTCTATATGAATGCCCTGGAAGATTATCCAGACGTCGGCTATACCGGTTGACGCTGTCTATGCACTTCCTCTTTTGCTCTCCTCTCTCGCTGCCCTTCAATCTATTGAATCCATATCATGTTGATGACTGAGTATGAGACGCGATCTACCGAGTCGTGCGTCCTGTGGAATAAAATGCATGAATCCTCACGAAGCTCTGCGGAGCAGAACCGAGACGAGTGGCGCAGTCGTGCATCAGGGACGCATACACGGCCCCATCTCGTCGCAAGTCGGGCGACAGCTATCGGCAGAGCTGGCCAAGCAGCAATGACCGGGCACCAGACGGTGGTACTAAATCACAGGCAGGACTTTTGATATCGACTGATCCGTCGCCATTTAATGTAATTGTTAGATACATCTGCCATAAAACGAGTCCTTCGACTACGCCGGTACGCTTGCGTCGCTCGGCGGCCCCTCGCCATGCTCGGATCTGGCGGCTATCGGATCCATCCCCGGTGTATCCACCCCGAATCTACCGAAAGCAGCCTCGGATTGGTAGATCTTCTCAAACTCGTCCAGCTCGGCCCATGGACAGTTCTTGAGCTTCTCGATCTCCTTGAGTTTCTGTGCTGCTCTCCGGATCCGCCGCTGCTCCTCCAACTGCGCAGCGGCGGCCGATGTATTTTGCTTTTGCGATAGACGAGCTGTACACATTGGGAAAAAAGAGGAGGTAGAGGCAGAGTCACTTTCGTGCCAGTAACGTGTTCTGCTAACACCTTCTGGAGTCAGCTATGGGATGGAATAAACGGGACGTATCTGATCCAACGTCTCTCAGCATCGGGAACAAATGCCGTGCGGGCCACGGGTGTCTGTCATTGTATAGCATCGAGCCTCACCTTCTTTTTTCGCCTCCAGCTTCTCATATAGAGATCGGAGTTTTGGATCCACCCATGTCGACGAGCCAGCGCTGCCTTTCGAAGCCGTGGCAGTGTACGAGCCTGTGGCAGACGTCGGTCGAGTTGACCTCGTCCGCGACGCCAGCGACCCCGAGGACGGCGCCGATGTCGATGTCGATGTCGATGTCGATGTCGATGTCGATGTCGAGGACTGCATCGAGAGCGATGACTTGGCGCCCTCGCGAGTCGATCGCCTGGCCTCTCGCTCGAGCTTGATCTCCTCAAGCCTTCTCTGTAAATCCAGGTACTTTTTCTCCTTGCTATCAATGATTTGCGAACGCCGCTTCTCTTCCCACTCGGCATGGCGAGCCTTGGCTCGGACGAGGCGCTCTTGGAGCTGAACAGTCAACAAATCGAGTTCAGTGATCAGTGGCGAGTGGTGATGAGTGTGTCGGAATGTGACCACATGCGCCACAGACATTGCGAATCGCGGATGTATGTGATAGATGGCTTTAGCATGAGATGGTGCTGCAGCCGAGCAGAACGGGCACCGAGATCTGCGGTTCGCCATCAAATGCGCGGCAACGGGGGCCATTCGTGGCTGACTCACCTCCAAGACGGACATTTCGGTCAGTAGGCCGTACCCGCCAGACTCGGTCATATCGACTGCCTTGATATAGCTGCCGACAGGCAAGATGCTCTTTTCGATCATCCGGATCTGCTGGATAAGCTCGGTCTTTCTTGCCAGCTCCTCCTCAGCTTCCCGCTGAGCCTTCTCCTTCAGGACCGAGTTTTCCATGGACACATCGATGGCCTTTTGGGTGTTGTCCTCAAGCACCTTCTTCTTGGCCTTGACGACGTTCTCCTTGATGTCGTGTACGGCAGAGATCTTCTTGCGATTCGAGTGGTCTGTCTCCACCTTGATCTTGGACACGACTTCCTTCAGAATATCGCTCGCCTCCTTGACCTCCAGGGCTTTCTCTCTGCCACAACGTGAACAAATAGGGAGGAAAGCTGCGGAATCAATCATCCGAACCTGTCGATGGCAGCGAAGGCGCCCTTCAAACTGCCTCCCTTACTTGTTCTCCTTTTGCTTCTCTTGCTTGGCGAGAAATGCATCTTCGTGCAGAAGCTGGATTTCAAGCCGTTTGCGCTCCATCTCGAGCTGCTTTTCGTTTTCCGCTGCATTCATGTTGGCGTTCACGGCCCAATACGATTGATTCACATCACAAGGATTGCGCCAGCAGATGGAAATGTCCGCCGTCGTAAGCACATGCATCTCCATGCTGAATAAGCTGAGCGAGTCCCAAAGACACCTCGATAGTCGGCCCCCTGGTAATTAATGTTCAGCCACCGGCTTCAATCCTGACGCCCTCCCCCTGCGCCCCAACTCCACCATAACTCAATCTCGCTACCTTTGGCACGGAGCTCTTCCTGCCACTGCTTGAACTCGGATCCGTCCTTCAGGCTGACTTCCACGTTCGAGAGTGCTCGTTCCTCGACATTCTTTTGCCTCCGGACAAGTGCATCCTCGCGCAGCACAGCCGCAGTCGTTAGCTTGACACCGATATCGTCGTAGTGGGATGGTGGGATGGAGCGTGCCCGGATGCGAAGCGGAGGGGTTTCGCGATTGAGCTCCGCAATCATGTGCTCTCGAAACTGCCGAAGAAGACGGCAACTCATCAGTAGACTGCCGATGGATCAATGACGAGACTGCGATGGGGCGTTGTTTGGGTGGAGGGTGGGGCGATGGAGGCGGCTGGTCGATTCTGGGAGTGGTCGGGGTGGCTGCGATGGCAGCTTCGGATCAAATACATGAGTGGCAAGCCACACCTTCTTCGCTCTCTGAGTCGGCTGGTGCTTCAGAACAGAGAACATGTCGTTCTGTGCTGCCTCAAGGAGTTCCTGGTATATACGAAGAATTATATCATGATGAGGCAAGGCAGGAGCGAGGCAATAAGCGGGCGTGGGAACGCGCATTTGGGTGGCTTCCCGGTAGAGTTCCACCGGTGGCCCGGATTGTGCTCTCCCTCCCCTGGTGACTCTCATGAGCCAGCACATACACTGCATCTCTTTATCGTACCTGTGCCCTGGCCCGATTCTCGCGCCGGGCTCGCTCGAGCTCCTCTCGGTCGCGACTGCCTTCCAAAACGCCCTCGGCAATCGGCGACGCCTGACGGACAGCGAGGTACACCGCCGGGATCCAGAACAAGTGGGTTCGATCAGACGAGCAGTCTATCAATACATAACGCCCTCTGTCTGTTATCAGACGGTCGTCTGTTCAAGCGATTGCTACGGTTGAGCCATCAAGGAGCCGCACCTTCACTTGGTTTGAGAATACATCTGTGGGCAGTGGAAGCTTTCTGGGTCGCGGTCTTGTGAGCAGAAAGGGTGCTTGCTCTGCAGATCCATGGGGATACATGCGGTAAACCACCACCCGGAATGAGTCAAGAATGATGGACAGAGCTCCGCGAGACGAGAAACTGGTTTGGGCTTGGCCGGTCGCCGCGGGAGTTCTCGACATCGCCGTGTCGCTCACCTGTCAACTGCTTGGTCGATTTCTGCGGAACCATGCCGCGCTCGACCTTCTCACATAGTTCCTTGAGCAGCGCCAAGCCATCGTTCATGTTGTGTATGAGGGGGTCAATGAGTTTCTCCTGGACATATTCGTGGTCGAGCATCTTGCCGAACTCGGGCCGGAGAACCTGCTCCAGATTGGTTTGGTCAAAGAGAAAGGACATGAACTGGGCCATCTTGGCGGCATAGTTGAATCCGCAACCGTGGTGGCAGAACTTGCGGAACTCGGCAAAGGTCAGCTCCTCCAGTCGGAAGAGGGCAAGGTAGAATAGAACGACGAATAGGTTGTATTCGTGCCGGAGAAGGCGGGTGCCGTTTTTGAGATAGAACTGATGCAGCGCGATCTGTCCATGGGAAAGAAGACGCCCCCCGGGGCCGAGACGGTGTGTGGTCAAATCGGAATGTCTCGATAGAGCACGCAGGCTGAGCAGGCAATGGAACCCTGGTGTGTTGGAAGTGAGAGAATGCAGGGAGGCAGAGGTGGGTACTGAGATTCAGGGCCGCGCACCTTGAGCACAATCTTTTGCCTCACGCAGCCCTTCAGAGTCTCCTCGAGAAAGATGCAGACGCCCTCGTCGATGATCTGAAGGCAAGAAGAAACGCGGTTTAGCTATGGCGCATACTTCCGAGTAGTCCCTGTCGGGCACTCTGAGTGGTGGCCCGGAATCGGTGCTAAGGGCTGCCTTGCCGTGCCGCACAAACGTACATTGTTCTCGATAAAGTACGTGAACAAGATATCGTCCTCCTCCATGACCATTGGATCGACCGCCCGAGAAGCCGTCGCGGCCTCGACGGGCCGGTCGGGCGAGTAGTAGTACAGCTTGGCTGGCTTTGGCTGGAGCGTTGCTGAGGCCCCGGTGTGGATCTCGGAGGGGTTGGAGGGCAACACCGGGCCCTCCTGACGCGAAAACTCGTGGTGCAGAGATATAATTGTTCGGGCATGGTTCATCAGCATGCGATACATGGACATTGCGGCTGGATTAAAGATGCATGCACGCACGCACGCACGCAAGGGGGAAGGGGCAGGGAGAACAGTCGACCGAGCAAGCTGGCAGCTGCGTGTCTCGTCGATGGAATCGGGGCTGATGGAGCAAAGACAAAGAGGGGCGTGAACTGCATTGCCGGCGGGCTCAATCACATCGCGCCGCATCGGCCTCATCAGCTCAGGCCAAGCGAGGCATCCGGGCCCACTGTTCTTCCATTCCCACTGCTGTCGCTTTCTGGGTCACTGGCGAACGAGGGTGCAGTCCGTCCCCATGAATCCACGCAGTATTGCAGCCAGGCTCTCCTTTGATTTCACCGCTCCATCATGGAGATCAGCCCTGGAGTTCGGGACTGGGGAAATCTAATGTATTCAAGGGCCGGGGTGTTTTGGTCGCTCAAGCTGTCCGTGGAGCCGCCCCCGACGACAGGGACAAAGGCTTGCGCGAAGGCATGTTGCGCTGCGTCTGGGAATTGGCGGCAGAAGGGAAAAACCAGAGTCACAGCAACCGGCGAACACAGCAATGGATGTCGTCACTCTGTCCACCAAGGCCACGGTGAAAAATTGAAATGCAACGCCGGGTCGGGTGCCCACCGAGTCTGCCTAATGCCGAGTCTGCTCAAAGTCGAGTCTGGTTAGTGCTTGACCTCGTACTTTTCCCATCCAACGGACTCCAGGGTCTCGATCTTGGTCAGGACTTCGGCCTCCTGTTTCTTCATATACGCCTCCATCCGCTTGAGGTAGACTGGCGTATCGGCGCCGAGGATTCGGACAGCGAGTAGGGCAGCGTTGGTGGAGTTGTTGATGGCAACGGTGGCCACAGGGATGCCCCTCTGTGTTGTAGAACGATTGGCTGCATCAGCATATGTGTGTCCGAGGCATGGGGAGCAAGACATAGACATAATTCTAGGCAGCGCAGCAAAGACCGAACGGATCCCGCGAGGAAGTAGCGAGTGCTCAGCGCTCCAGCGTGGGACGTCAATCAAGGGTGAGCGAGTCGATTGCCCTTGCAGATTGCGCGATCCGCACTTGCGTCGCTGGCGCTGCACTTACCGGCATCTGGACGATCGAGTAGAGCGAGTCCATGCCATCCAGGACACGCAGGGCGACCGGAACGCCAATGACAGGCAGAGGAGTCAGAGCAGCGACCATGCCGGGCAGATGGGCGGCTCCGCCAGCAGCAGCAATGATGACCTTGATGCCGCGCTCGTGCGCCGTCTTGGCATAGTTGACCATCCGCAGGGGCGTGCGGTGGGCCGAGACGATGCTGAGCTCAAAGGGCACGCCAAAGTCCTTCAGGATGGTGGCCGCGGCTTTGAGGGTCGGCAGATCCGAGTCCGAGCCCATGATGATGCCAACGACGGGGCGTACGCTGAGGACGCTCGATTTTTCGGTGCCGGGCATGAGCGCCAGCATCTCGTCGACGGCCTTGAAGACTTCGGGCATGGTTTCGCCGACGATGGTGACGTGGCCCATCTTGCGGCCCTTCCGGCAGGAGCCCTTTCCGTAGAGGTGGATGGTGGCGCCCTTGAGAGCCATGGCTGCGACGCAGGGCTTGAGGGTTTCATCCATGCCGGCATCGCCATCACCGAGGCCGAGAATGTTGACCATGACGGAGGCCGGCACCTTCATCTCGGTGCTGCCGAGGGGCAGACCCAGGATGCAGCGGAGATGCTGCTCGAACTGCGAGGTGTGGCAAGCCTCGATGGTGTAGTGGCCCGAGTTGTGAGGACGGGGGGCGATCTCGTTCAGGACGATGGATCCTGCCGTCATGATGCCAGATCAGCACGCGAGAGAGTGAATGCGGGCGAGTTGTGCCATGTGTCGATCCAAAGCACAGCGTGATTTGATGGGAGGGTGCGAAAAGCAACGGGTTAGCAAGCATCTGAATCAGCGGTGGGTGCGGCTTCGTCCCTCAGCGATCGGTGCAGCGTCGCTGCCTGAAGCTACGCTCATCGAAGCATCCCCGGCTCCAGGAGAGGCTCGCGGTCTGTCTGCTGAGCCCAATGAGTGCCTACCATCATCAAGCAGGAACATCTCGACGCCAAAGACGCCGGCGCCAGGAAGCGAGGCAATCGCCTGCTCGGCAATGTCGCGGGCGTTCCTGGCAACCAGCCCGTCGATCTGGGCGGGAGCAATCACCAAGTGGCAGATGTTGTCCTTCTGGACGGTCTCGACGCAGGGATACGACAGGATGGCGCCGTCAAGGCCGCGGGCGACCATGACGGCGAGCTCCTTTTTGAACGAGACCCACTTCTCGACGTAGAGTTGCGGGCCATTCTTTTGCTGGCCGCCGCCGAGATCGTTGACGGCGGCCTCGACATCGGCTTCGTTCTTGACGACGCGGTTGCCTCGGCCGTCATAGGCAAGGGTCTTGGACTTGAGCATGAGCGGGAAGCCAAAGCCAACAGCCGTGCTCTTGATCGAAGCGACCTCGTTTCCGGGCTCGACCTCGGCAAACTCAGGCAGCGGCACGCTGTGCTTGGCGAGATGGACCTTCTGGACGTACTTGTCCTGGATGACCCGGATGGTGGCCGGGGTGGGCTGGACGGAGATGCCGAGCTCTTTCTCGGCGCGCTCCAGGGCATCGCAGTTGACGTGCTCGATTTCGACAGTGAGGTTGTTGCACTGCTTGGCGAGCTCCATGATCCGGTCGGCATCCTTGAAGGTGCCGTCGACATGGGGAGCGACCGAGGAGATTTGGGCGGCGGGATTGCCGGCCGTGTCGAGCACGGCGACCGAGATGTTGAGGCGGTTTGCGGCCTCGATGGTCATGCTGGGACGAGCCGGAGACGAGATGAGCCAGAGCAGGGCGAGCCGGAAACCATCGCGTCGGAAGTGCAGATCCGATAGGATGTGGACGTCGATGTGGCATCACTGCTGAGCGTCGTCGACGCAGTCGGGCGTCGAGCCCTAAAGCCGTCGCGGATGCTTACCGTCCGAGCTGGCCGCCGCCAAGGATTCCAATCATTCGCTTGTCCATGGTGATGATGCAGGTGTGCGATCGGCGAGGCTGGGGGTGATGCGAGCGCAAGAGGATCAGCTTGGATGGGGAACTTGGGGCTGGCGATCTGGGGCCTGCGAGGTCACCGGCAATGACGTGACGGACAGAAGAAAAAACACATCACATGACCTGGCTGGACTTTGCGACCCATGCACGGCGAGGGCAATGCATGAGCGGCGCTCTTGCGCAGACGGAGGATCGCCTATGTTCTGGATGCGGCTGCGTGACCAGAGGCGGGCTTGTGGGAGGGGGTGCAGGGCTGGTGGGTGGAGGTGGCATTGGGCATTGAGGATCAAACAGCGAGTATTGGACACTGAGTATTGAGGGTTGAGTACTCGGCATAAGACACCACGCATCCAGCATCGAGAATCCAGCATCGAGTATCTAGTACTCAGTATCAGACACCGAGTACCCAACATCGAGTACTCAGTATCAGACACCACGCATCAGACACCGCATCAGACACATCAGACACCACGCATCCAGTGTTAGCGCCAAGTGCTGCACCCGCACCGAACATGCCGCCCGCCCCATGGACCGATTGTTTCTGGCGCCTGTGGCGGTGGCGATTGGGCTGGAGCGGTGTCACCCCAACCCAAAGCGCGGCCGCTGCAGCAAGCTTGCTGCATTGTCCTGCTCCTTTGTGCGGGTCCTTGGCCCTTTTTGCGCCCCCGTCATCGCCTGGTCGCTGCCCGGTCGACCGGCTCGGAGGCCGTCTTGGTCGCCGTCTTGGTCGCATCCGTCGTCGCCCATCTTGGTCGCCCATCTTGGTTTCTGTTTCAGCCCCGGTCGCCTGCACCTCCCATCCCCCCAGGTCTCCGTCGTGAACCAAACCGGCTCGTTCAAGCACTCGACCACAATCCTCCACTCGGCCCAATGCAGACAGAGGAGACGCTGGATTTTTTGGATGGGGCCGAATTCGTCGTCATGGAGGGCGAGCAATCAAGCATCCCCGAGGTAAGGCATCGACCCCCAGCCGCCAGCAGTCCCGTTGCTGTCGCCGAGACCGGCAGCCGCAGCGATGTTCCCGACAGCGTCCCCTGTGATGTCTCTGCGTTGCCGCCCCCTTTTTGGAGATACCCCCGACGCCTGCAGAGCGGGGCTTGCCCTTTCTGCGAGTCCAGGGACTGTTCCTCATCCAGCGCCTGTGACGGTGCGGCTGTGGGCCAGGGGAGCAGCTCCAGCGACTAATATCGGACTGGCCCCTCAAGGTTGCTGCCACAATCCCGGTGGTCGACGACCCAACGCTGCCGTGCATCACTCTGCGTTTCTGGGTGATCTCGACGGTGCTGTGCTGCTTCCTGTCGCTGATTAGGTAGGTCGTGTGGATGGAGCTGCTTCGATAAAAGCTCGCTCCGAAGCGGGTGCGGATTTAGATTGTTCCTTGGAGGAGACGGGCTCGTCTTGGGAGGGATTTCGGCCCAGAACGGATTGTTGCATGAGATCCATCGTCCTGTTGGCCACTGGATGCCATCGACAACGCCGTGCCAGGCTTGGTCTGACCGGCTTCCTATCTGCGCACCACCATCTTCTGCCTCGCAGCGCATATTTCAACCTGGTATGTTCTCGATGCTCCGCAAAGGGTGTTTGGTTCGTGGCGGCCCCATCCAGCCACGGCGCATCGGCTCGTCCAGATTATCCGGTTTCCTCATGCCAGCTAACAACGATGTCCCGTTCATCACCACTCGTTTGCAACGCTAATCGCTGGCTGCACTGCTCCTGCTCGGTGCCGCTCCGGATATGAATTGGCCGACCACATCCTCGATTCGCCCTCTCGCCTTCTCGCCCTCACGGCGCTTCCCCATCATCGACACCGCAACACCGCTCTCCAGCGGCGGTCAGTGTTGATGCTGACGCAGCTGTGCACCGCGCTGCTGATATACCCGCTCGGCCATCTCATGGCCCGACTACCCAGCCGAGACATATTCTTTGGTCGAGTTGGACTCCGGCTGAATCCTGGCCCGTTCAACTACAAAGAGCACACCCTGATTATCGCTGCCGTGGGCACAGCGCTGTTCCAGCCCATCGCCATCAACATCATCGTCATGCTCAAGTTCATCGTCACCGCCTCTCCGGTCGACTCGACCAATACCGAGTCCCTCAAATGGTACAAGGATCTGGACCCGCTGCTGGCGATCCTGTTTGTGTTCACGACCCAGTCGTTCGGATACATGATCGCGGGGCTCTTTTACCGGATCTTTGTCGAGTGGGAAAAGATGTGGTGGCCGTCGACGCTGGTCATTGGCAATCTGCTCCACACGCTGCATGCCACCACCACCCAGACTCTCACTCGGTCGCGGCTGAAGCTCTTCAACTGGGTGATGATCTTTTCGTTGATCTACGCCTTTGTGCCGTCGTATTTTGCGCACTTTTTCCAGTCCGTGGCGCTGCTGTGCCTCTTTGGCGGAGGCCCGGCTCGGAAACTCGTCAACAACCCAAGCTCCATGTCGCCCTCGGATCCAGCCCCGATGCTGGTGCAGATGGGCTCGTCGGTCCATGTCAACTCTGGCGGCGTCCTGGCGCTGTCCTTTGACTGGTCGTGCATCGCCCAGTTCATGCCCTTCTATACCCCGCTCTGGGCCACGCTCAACGTGCTGCTCTCCTCGATCCTTTTCACATGGATTGTGGTGCCTCTGCTCTACGTCAAGAACTTTTGGAATGCACAGCTCTTTCCAATGTACGGCAGCGGCGTCTACTCCAACAACGGCAGCGACTACAACATCGACCTGATTCTGGACTCGGGTTTCTTCAACAGCACAAAGTACGATAGCTATCCGATGAACCTCTCGCCGGGCTATGCCCTCTCGTTTGGCTTTGGCATCGCATCGCTCGCGGCGACCATCGTCCATGTCCTGCTCTACCACGGAAAGGAAATCATCGACAGCCTACGGTCACCCAAGGACTCACTCGCCATCCTGAAGCGGGACGTCCACGCCAAGCTGATGAACGCCTATCCATCCGTGCCGGACAAGTGGTATTACCTCTTTGGCGCCACGGTGATCTCGTTTGCGATCTTTGTGCTCCAAAACTCGTATCAGCTGCGGGCGCAGTGGTGGATATTGTTTATGTGCACGATCTTGCTTGGCATCTTCATCATGCCGATGGTGGCCATCACGGCAATCGCGGGCCTCAACGTCAACTCGAGCATTCTGTTCCTGTTCCTGGGCGGCATCCTGCAGGCGGGCGAGCCCGTGTCCGTGGCCGTCTTCAACGCATACACAACCCAGGCCCTCTACGGCGCCATGGGCTTTCTGTGGAACTTCAAGCTTGGCCACTACATGAAGGTTCCGCCGCGGGCCACGTTTGTGGCCCAGATCTATGGAACCGCCCTGAGCAGCATCTTTGGATACGCCTTCACAATCATGTTCATGTCGACGATCCCGTATTACACCCAGCACGACAAGATCTACGGTCCGCCCAACCGCGACGGGTGGTTCCCCATCAGCGCCTACCTCCTCAACTCGACGACGCTCATCTATGGACTGATCTCGCCGATCCGCGAGTTTGAGGGCGCCTACTGGCCGCTGATGCTCTTTATCCCGATCGGGCTCATTGTGCCGGCGATATTTTACTTGTTGCACCGGATCTTTCCCAAGTGGGGGCTGTACTATGTAAGTAGCACCGGAACCCAACGTCCTGAGGGAACGGGCGGACGGGCTGTGAGTTGCTGGCTGTGGGCTGCTGGCTGTGAGCTGCTGGTCGCTGACTGTGCTCTCCTCTGTGCTCTCCTCTGTGCTCAGATCAACTGGCCGATCATCTTCTTCGGCACCGGCGTCAGCTTCAACTTTGGCCCAACGGGCGTCTTCTCGGCACTGATTGTTGCGATCATATCGCAGTACTATGTGCGCAAGCGGTTCCCCAACTGGTACTTCAAGTACAACTATATCTTTGGCGGTGCGCTCGACGTCGGTACCGTCTTACAGGCGTTCATCCAGTTCCTGTTGCTGCTGCTGGTCCCGTCGCAGCTGCAATCGACAGCGAACGAATGGCCCAACTGGGTCCTGAACAACTGGGACAAATACTCGGACGGCTCGTATGTCTGGGAGACTTTTGAATACTGCCTGCTGAACGATCCGCCGTCGTCTTGATGGCGCCAGCAGCCACCTTTTGCCCTTACTTCCTGATCAGCGGCCTGTGCCCACCTTCCCTCCGCTTCGGCCAGCAGCGCCGCCAGACCGCCGCGCCTGACTGGGCGCCTCGTCTCCCTCTATCGTCATGGCCGCTGGGATCAACACGGCGTTGATCTCATTCGGCACTGTGTCTGTTCTTGCTCCTGGCCCCGGCTCCGACCTGTCTCTGGCAGCTGCACCAGCTCTTCCGCCAAGGTTTTGGCCTGTCGTCGTGCTTGGGCCGAGAGGCGAGTCCTCCATCTCCATCCGCAAGCCTCCGACAGCCGCTCTGTGGATATTGTTTGCTTCTCGGAGTTGGCGCCTGCTTGCCTGCTTGTTTGCCTGCTTGCTTGCCTGCTCGCTTGCCTGCTTGCTTGCCTGCTCGCTTGCCTGCTTGCTTGCCTCTCGGCCCCCGACCTGGGATGGGATGGGACGGATCCTTTCGCTCTTGCCTCGGTGGCCCTGTCCCTTCGGCTCCCGACTGCAGCACTGTCTCCCGGCCGCATCGGTGCGCGGCTGGTGTGACGAATATATCCTGAATTGCCACCGGAAGTCTCAATGTCCGAGGAGAGGATGCAGCACGAGCGCCGCTGGATCCCGCTGGGTTGTTTCTGGTCACCTTTGTGGTTGACATGCAGCGGCTCCTCCGGCCTTGATCAGCCCCATGGCCGCCCATGGCCGCCCATGCCAGATCGCCCACTGGGATCAGCCCCACCCGATCGATAGGATGGCTGTGGAGCGGGAAGTGGGATGGAAGGCCAGGCGCAAGGCCAGCCAGCGGCCTGCCACGGCCGCTCGATGGACCAGCACAGCCCTCGACGTGGCGGCAGAACAGGCAAGCGGGAAGGCACCACTTGGGGTGCGACGAGCCATGGCCGGACAAGAGCGGCCCGCAAAACCACCCAGCAGGCGATCAGGCGACGCAGCAGCATTATATCGTTGCCGGGGATGCTCCTCGGTGGTAGATGCATTGTTAGGTGTCGAGCATCGGCTGTTGAGCATCGGTTGTTGAGCGTCGGGTGTCGAGTGTCGAGGAGGCCATGGTATGGACGAGAGCCTCGACAAACAGCATCAGTCTGGCATGAGACAGGGCCGAATGCCGCGGCCTCAGTGTTTGTGCCGCAAAAAAGCGCCAATGCACCATCAGTCACGATGACTCAGACAGGGGGAAGCTTTGGCGGTGTATCGAAGAGATCGTCGATGTCGGCAGTCGGTGTTGGAGATGGGTGTTGGATGTTGATGTTGAATGATGCATCAACTTTGGCGGCACCGGTCACATGGGCATTGGATATATCAACACGAACACACATCAACACGAACACAAATATCAACATCAACACAAATATCAACACCACCACCAACGGCATGAACAACGGCATGAACAATGGCATGAGCAGCACCGACGTCTGCTGGCTGTGCCCACGGAGCCACGAGGCGGACCAGCCGAGTCGTTATCCGCCCGCAACAGCCCGCAGCAGCCCGCAGCAGCCCGCAGCAGCCCGTGGCAGCCAACACACTCCGGCCCACTGCTAACACACCCACTAACACACCCACTAACACTCCCACTAACACCATACCAGCCTATCTGCTAACGCCCTTCGCTAACACTACCTGCTAACACTATCTGCTAACACCCCTGGCTGCGGGGCTGAGCATTCCGGACATGTCGCAACCCCCCCCCACGCCCGCTTGCCCTCCCTCTCCTTGCCGACCCTCCATCGCACAAGCGGCGGCTCAAAGGGCCGCCGCGCTGAAAAGGGCTGCACAAGCCCGCGCTCCTCCCGCCGTGCGCTCTCGTCCTGCCCGTGCGCTTGCTTTTCTTTCCCGCTGCTGCCGCGCCTGCCCCGTTTTCCTGGCATTCGTCGCCTCTTCGTCTGCCTCCTCCCTCCCTCCCTCTTCCTCTCCCAAGCACTGTCTGGCTTTCGGGCTCTGCGTCTTCGCCGTATCTCTCGCTAATATGTCGTCCCGCAACCACAAGCGTCCCGTCTATGTCTATCCCACTGCCGAGGAGTGTGCTCTCATCAAGCAGGTACAGTCGATCGCACATCCATGCGCCTTGGCTCTGGGACGCCCAAGCCCGCGGCTCAAGTGTGCCTCTTGGGTCTCCTGCCCCGATGCATCGTCCGCGGCGCCAGCGATGCATCCCGCTTGCTCAATCGCCCAGTGCACTCTGCGGATCCCCCCCCCCTGCACTCTTGAGCTTTACTTTGGTTCGGATGGTCGTGTACTTGGTTCTTACCCTCGGCCCCGCCGATCCTGTCTCCGTCTTCCAGAGTTGGGACTATATCCTCTCCCCTCCTGTCTCCGAGTCTGGCGCCGACACCTCCACCATCAACCTGACCATTGCCCCGACTGAGCATAGCGCCCTCAGCGATCACAGCCAGAACCATGTCGTCAGCACCACGGGCTTTGTCACCACCCAATCGGCCGCCTTCACGGGTACTCAGCAATACCCCAACTCGCCCGCCACCCAGTTCACCATTGCATTCTACACCAATCTCTTCCACACCAACCCCGAGTACCGGTTCCTCTTCACGGATGTCTTCCGACAGAGCAGCGCCCTGTCTGGAATGCTCTCCCGAATCGTCCGCAACGTTGATCGTATCTCCGAGGGCGCCGACGCCATGCGGCGGCTGGGCTATCGACATGCTGCAGGTAAGACCGGGCGGCTCGGTATCCACTCCCCAGTCATGCTTGGAGAGCTGCAGGCTCTTGGTGGCTCGACTCTGCGTGATAGTGTTCTTGGCATGCTCCGGGCTTGCCTGGGCTTGCCTGGCGACTGTCTCCCATCCGAGCGTCTCCCATTCGAGTGTCTGCCGTCTCCCATGGTGGCTTGACCTCTCTGGTCTCGGCCCGTCATCGGACTGCACCAGATCACTCGAGCTCCGCCGATTCCATCGTCGCAACGGACCCTGCTTTGCACCCGTTTTGACCCCCCGCCTCCCCCCACACCAGTCTACAAGATCAGAGATGAAATGTACGAGACCGTTGGACGCAACATGGTCTGCACCGTGCGCGAGACTTTGATGAAGCGTAAGTTCCATCGCTCTGCAGTCGAGACACGGGGAACCTGGATGCGGCTCATCGCTCAGCCGATCTCGAATGCAGCTGGCTTACCAGTGCCGCTTCCTCATTTTGCTCGCTTGTTTGATTCCGGCCCTGGCTACGGTGTCTCCAATCTGTCTATCCGTCTGTCTGTCTGGCTGACTCGGTCCCGGTGCTATCACCCAGAGGGTCGATGGTCGCCCGAGATCGATTGGGCCTGGTTGACTGTCTGGACTCTTCTCTCGACCTGGATGAAGGAAGGCGCTCACATGAACCCCGACGAGAGCGAGCTCGACCAGAAGGAAAAGTGCTCAGTCATGTAGACGGCCCCGAGCCCCCAACAGACAAATACGCCAGCAGGGGGCACATTCGCCGTCCCCTGGCGGTTTCGTCTCGACAAGTCTCTCCGCGCTGTTTGCCAACCTCACCCCATGCCCCCATGCACGACTTTGATCGACCCCAGTTCCTTGCAAGCTTTGCATTTCTCCCCCGCCTCACTCGTCTCCTCCTCTTTCCCTTCCCCACATCTTTGCTCTTGGGCGAGACTCTCCTTGTACTCACTAAACCCCGTCTGCATCCCTCGCCCCTCAGCCCCAAACTGACCTTTCGTCAAGCCATCCCCAACCATTCACTCCAACTCATGTCATTCCAGGACTGTTGATTTGTAGCTTTCCTTCCTTGCCTGCTTTCATTGTCTCCAAATCGGCGCACCCTTACTATTCTCCCTGCGCTCCCATCGTATACAAAGCCATCCGAAAGCCCCTCCGCCACTTCAATCAACAGAAAAAAAAAAATACAGCTAGGCTGTGTGTACAACCCCCTCCCTATCATTTCCTTTTTTCTTCTTTTCTCTTCCTTTCTTCTTCTCATTGATTGCTGATGATCCCGAGCGGACTTTATGCACATCATCTCCTCATCTTGATCGCTTTCGCATCCCACTCCTCATCGAAATCCAAAAGCACTAGCCAATCTACTCAGTGAAAAATCGAAATAACGGCCTCCTCGTCTCGCTGTCCAGCCTATGATTGGAGTTAGGGGGGTGGGTCTCCTGGTTTGTTGCCGGGCTTCCCCTTTGCTGCGCCGCGGGAAGAATCACGGCTCCGACTTTCGACCGATCGCGTGGGCACTCGGTTCTGCCCATCCCCTCGGCGTGCTATGATGATCGATGTGCCTGTGTATTCGTCATCGTGCGCACATTACATCCAGGTCACTGAGGGTTGCTGCGAATGCGAGGGCATATCCGAGCAGCATGTGCGGTGCTTTGGTTCTCGAGGAACTGTCTTCCATTCAGTCCTATTTCTCAGTCCCTGAGATGTGAGTCCCGGAGTAGCCGCGACGGTAGCGAAGAAGAAAGCGTCTGGCCTTCCATCCGCTTCGCTGCTTCCAGGTTCAGGGCGTCACTGCCTTTCGAGTGCGATGGAATTCGCAGTTAAACGCCGCGCTCGCTTGAGGATCCTGGGATACTTCTTTGGGCGGCAGCGACGACAGCGCGGCGGTGAGGACTGCCGCTGGCGGCTGGGTCTCGGCAGATGGGGCTGGCGCAGGTGTGACTTGGCGATGAGGACCGCTTCTCCGACAGCATGCCTTACACAGCCCGAAGGTGCATTGGGTCGATCGGACGTTGGGACACTCGCCACAGAGCGTCATGAGTTTCTGTTTCTTGGGAACTAATGCGAATCACAGTCAACACCCCCGCCGTTTCCACCTCGATGCATGAGCAAAATGTATCGGCTACCCACACAGGATACCTCAATCGGAGCAAGCCGACTATTTGAGCATTATCCGCATCTCGCATCCCCTTACCTTTTGGTGGTCTGGGCGACTGTTTGGCTGGAAGAGGCTCCTGGGTCGGTTCGATAGCCGGACAATCGGCATCCTTGCTCTCTTCCATAGGCGCAGCTTCGTCCTCGGCGGCACGCTTGAGCGGGCTCATTTGGTCAACTTTCTCCTCGACCTGATCACTCGCGGTGGGCTGGGCCGCTGTTTCGTCGTGTTCGGCTGCTTCCTGCTCGAGACGCTCCTTTTCTCTCCGGCCAAGCTCGCCTGGCTTGGGGAGCTCAGGGCGAACGTATGGCTGCAAAGCCCATCGTGGGAGCTTTCGGAGCTGGTGGTCGTCGTGCTCGTACGGCTCGGGGACATAGTCGGCCCCATTGGCGTCGACAACAAGTCGGCTCTTCAGGATTTGAACGATCTCAAAGAAGCCTTCGATTGTATTAGCTTTGACGAGCGCCGTCCGCATGTCAGTGTACTCGGAGAGACTGGTGAAACGAGCCGCAGAGAGTCGAAGATGAAGGAATGATTGGCCAGGGTGGTGAGTCAAGGCCAAGTAATGCCAAGCAATGCCAAAGCAGCGCTCCGTATGGCATGGCAGCCAAAGGCATCTCGCTCCGTCGCAGCGAACAGGTGAGGCGGTACTCCGATTGTCGATGCACGTACCATGCGTGGAACAGTTTGAACAGATGCGCCCGGATCATGCTGATGGTTGCGCTCTTGGGGACGTCGCGGCAGATTTCAAGGTACTGAAAGCCAACCGTCGTTGGTGATGAGTCTCTTTCTACAAGCCCATGCTGACTGGAGACGGCAGAATCTCGCTCCCGCGACCAGCAAAACCCTCTGTCAGTGCGTTGTCCAATTCTGCCACACGGCCACGGGGTACGCTACCTCCTGGGCCAGTTTCCACGAGGGCAGATGCTTGCCCGAGAAGAGGGCAGGATTGTACAGGTTGCCCTCAGCCGTCATGACGCCATCGACCTTGGTGTACTCGATGCACCGCTGGATATCTTCGTAGTACAGAATGTTTCCGTTGGCAAAGACCGGGATCTTGACTGCCTCTCTGGGAGATGACAAGCAAGCGAGGACAGCAGGCATGGTTAGATCAGGCTGCTCATTGCGACTTGATGATGGGTAATAACGCGACCAGGTCCTTTCGTTGCGAAGACACCGGGGGCTTACTTGACCCGGCGGATCTGTTCCCAGTCGGCAAGTCCGGTCTTGTGCCCCTTTTGCTCTCGGAAACGTCCGTGCACCGTCAGCAACTGCATACGGGACAGGAATCAATATGCCGGTTGCTGAGTTAATGACGATCGTGGGGCAAGATGGCAGCGTCCACATTCAAAGACGACAGGCTATGAGAACAGGATCGGCCAGACTGGGGTCGCTCCGTCCGCCAGAGTGGGATTGTAGCTGTGTGTCCTCTGTCGATCCAACACACCTGACACCCCGCTGCCTCGATCATCTTGGCGTACTGAAGCGTTTTCTCGACGTCGGGGAAGATCCTGATCTTGCAGGTCACCGGAATCGACAGCTCCCTGTGGAGGGTGCGGACTATGTTCGGAGATAATCCCAGTTAGCAGCGACGCTTTCGCCTCTATGACTGGATGGTGTGGATATGCTGTCTCGGCAGCCCCAATGACCGAGATCCATATGCTCTACACAACGGTGACGTCCGCGGCATCAGCGATGGAGATCTGCCAGAGATGCGAATGCAGATTCCAGCGAGAATACCGACCCATCTCTGCGATGAGATCCCATTCTTCCATGAGGAACGAGCCGTAGTGGCCTGGGAGTGTTGACAGGGTCGACGATGCCGGTCAGTGTCTGAAGTCGAGGCAGCGATGGCATCTTCATTCGGGACATGTCCCTCAAGTCTACCCGAACCAGGGCTTTGCCACAAAATGAAACCGCCCGATGGCCGGTCAGCGCAAACGGAGCATGAACACATTCCACACCTCGCTTTGCAATGTGCTGTGGGCATCCGAGGTTGATGTCGACGGCATCGCATTCGTGCTCGATGAGCTTGGCGGCAGCAAGGAGATGCTGTGGATCGTTGGCACAAAACTGGGACACAGCGATGGGAGACGGGAGAGACAGGGTCAACAGCGACGCTTTCATCCTGGAGGGAATCATCGGACTGACGCTCAAACAGGATGCCCTCGACTCGGGCTCCACTCCACCCCCGCATTATTCCACCACATACTGCATCGCTCCATCGACACCTTGAGAGACATAGAGGCAGCGTACCTGCGCTACGAGGGGCCGGTCGCCGGGGCCGGTCTGCCAGTTCTCGTTCTTGTATTTGCGGTCGGGCTCGCCAAACATGCGGGCGTGGAACATGGGTGTGTAGCAGAGATCGGCCTTGTATCGACGAGACAGGATCCGCCACGCCTACCATTGCGGTTTCCAATTCAGCGAATTGCAGCAGCGATTGGAGAGAACCGAGCGAAATACAGACAGGATCAAGATCGGATCGCTGCACAGAGACCCATTCAGATGGGCTGCGTCTGCTGACACATACGAGGCACCTACATATTCGGACTGGTCGACCTGGAAAATGGATGGATGAGGCAATCGTCAGTATGGGAGCCACAGGGATCCAGGAACGGCAAGTCCAGTCAAATGCGATGGGAATGACGTTGTCGGCCAAGGGAATCGGGCTGAGTCATATCCGGGTCTGGCGAGAGCCCGCCATGAAAGCGGGAGCGGGAGAGACAGTTGCGCCAACATTTCCTGCATATCCAGCAAACGAGCTTCCGGGGCAAGAGCACATTACCATCGGAGCGACCACCAGCTTGGGGCTTTTCAGGATCTTCTCGTAGAACTCGTATCCGCCGAGCTTGCGGTTCTCGGTCTGCGGCGAAGCCATGTCTCAGTCGGTGCAGGGGACAGGGCCGGACCGATGGGCGGGTGAAGGCAGTGATTGGGAGGCGGGAAGCAGGGCAACAGAAGCAGCAGCAGCAGCAGAGCTCTCTCGGATCAAGGCAAGACCGCCCGAGCGAGATGGAGGACAGATCGATGGCGGAGAGCGAGCGATGCCGTCGCTTGGTTGTCAACAACCGACCGGCCCGATCGGCAACAACGCAGCGGCAGACAGCGCCGCAACAAGGGCGAGCGAGTTTTTTCTGTGCGCACATGCACGGCCAGCGATTGGCTGGCGGCCGCTGCAGTCTCTGTGGGCGCCGCCGAGCCGCGGGTCAGCCCGTCTGACGTCATCCAGCGCCCGCCCCTGGAATCACTCCTGATCACTCCTGGGATCGCCCCTGGGATCGCTCCTAGGCTGCTCGCCATGCCAGGGGAAAGCCTGGGCGGCATTCAATATGCATGTTGGGCTTCGCACTTGATATTCGCATCAGGTTGCATGCTCTTGCTCGCTCGCATTCGCCCCTGCAGGTCTCCCCGCCCATCAGCGATGCGCAAGCCGGCCCGTCCACCAGCGGATCAGCTGCGATGCCCTCGCCGATCATGCCCTGTCGGCCAACTTGCCGCTCTCACAGCGAGCCCGGGAGACGCATGGCGGTAAGTGCAACCGAGGACATCCCGCGAGCGGCATGATGGCGAGCCCTGCGGCATCCCATGCCCAGGCGGCCTCCAGTTTCAGCGCCAATCGGCTTGGCCTGATCGGACCAACGTCATCCCATCGCGGGATCGTATGACGCTCTTCATCCTTAGCGCTTTTGTCCTCTGATCGTGCCTTCCCCTTGCTCTCGATCGGCGGCCCTGCCTGAAGCAGCCGGCGGTGCACGCTGCCTCACGACACGTCAGACCCCCCCCCTCGAACGAATGTCTGCTCGATCGCCCTGAATTGCATACTTTAGGCTCCGTCACTTCCTGAAGCACCCAGACCAATATACGTTGCTCAGCAGATCGCTCGTAACCAGCGCATCCTTGCCCCAAGACAGTTCGCATCCGATCAAGCGCGACCATGCTCTCTCCATACGACATCCTCGACCAAGGCTTCTCGGGCGACACCGATACGGTCTTTCCAGCGACGAGCGATGCCAAGTTCTCCTTTTCATCTCTGAGCGACGCCGATCCCGTCTTCTGTGTACAGAGTGACGACAGCCCCATTTTTCTCCCCTCAAGCGACACCGATCTGGGGTTCCTCGAAGACCCAGAGGCCTCCTCGAATGTACTCGATCCGCTACCGCATCTCGAAGCTGTTGACGAGATAGCGACGGTGATGCCGGGGACCATCCATGAACACCACGAATCGCAGCACAGCCATGGCTCTTACGCGGCCTTGGGGTCGCCTGGGTCATGGCACGGCCTGGGACCGCATCCGACAGGCATGTCGCGGAGGGTGCTGGATATCCTGGAGGCCGAGAGCCTGGCCAAATACGCTGCCCTCAGCGAAATCACGCCTCACGATGTCCTGGTGGCCGCGTTCGAGCGGCTCATCGACCTCGCCGGCACCAAGGAGTTCTTGCCGTCATACTCGCGGCTGCAACAGTATTTGATCGAGATCCGCGCTGCCCGCGAGAAGCGTTTTGGGCTGGGATACTTTGTGCCCTACCAGCACATTTGCGGCCTCAGCGGCCTGGCATGGGATTCGCTTGACCCGTTCAATGTGGAGGTCAATCCGCTGGACATTCTCGAGATGGGTCTGGCCAAGCCGACGCCCGAGGACGCACGGTGTCTCGCCAAGACCGAGTGCCATCCGTCGCCATGCGCCATGGTTCTGTCGAGGTGGGAGCGATCGAGACACACCCGTCCTGCAAAGAGCGACAGCCCCCGTCATCTGCGGGACGACTCTATTGCAAAGAAGCTCGTCGACTCGACCGACAAGATGGCTGGCCGGGCCAAGACCATCGGCGACTCGGCCATCTGGGAGATGCAGCGGATTGATGAGTCCGAGTACCTTGACCTGGATCTGATTTACAAGCTGCACCCGGAACAGCATGTCTCACATCATCTTCCCGAAAAGCACCAGCCCCAGCAGTCTTCCCATCCACACCAGCACCAGCAGCCGCATCCGCACCAGCTACAACATCAGCAACTACATCAGCAGCAGCAGCAGCATCCGCAACAACCACAACACCAGCACTCGCAGCATCCTCTATATGCATACTCACACTCGCACTCGCGCCAACAGCCATACTCACAGTCGTATCAGCTACCACATTCGCACCCGTTTCAGTATACGCTCCAGCGCCATGCCGGCCAGCACCAGCTCCTTCAGCTCCATCAGCTCCATCAGCAGTATCCCTATGCGGGTCACGCACAACCTTATCCCTAGACAACCACTCGACCACGCACCGACTGCACATAGACGCCATAGACCTTGCTCGATCTCGGCTTTCTGATACACACATCTCACCCACTCGCCCTCCAGATTCGCACACCACTCGCTGGCCCACCTCATTGCATGCTCAATACATCGTGCTTGAACGTACAGTGCTGCGTGGCCGGCGGGTTTGTAGCCAATGATGCTGCGTGGCCGTCACAGCGGTTTGGGCAATCGATCCTCAGGCGTGTGGATATCGGCTTGATCCAAGTGAATCACAGCGAATGCATGTACCTCCGTTCACATCGCATTCCCAGGATGCAGTCGATCCCGGGATGCACTCATTCCCAGCATGTATCACATTCCCACGACCCAGACCCGCTCATCCCAGCACGCGCAATGCCCAACCACCCACAGCGCGCCGACCGCGTCTCGTGTCACGCTCCTCCACCCTTCGCGTGCCAGGCCGTTGCAACCCAGCTCTCCTACTTGGGCTTGCATCTGGGTCGCCCTCTCTCCCCTCTGTCTCTCATCCCGCCGACTCCGGCTGCCGCTCTGCTCCCTCTCCTTGTCGAGAACATGTCCGCTAGCAACGTCGATTCCCCATCTGTACCTTCGTCCGATGGACAGGCCCAGCCCGTCCCTTCCCTCGATGCCGATGCCGTCTCTCGTGGCCTGCCCCAAGAGCCAGCCAAAGAAACTCCTCGGGAGGTCGCTGATGCCCAGGAAGCCTCGCGCGAACCTGCCTCCGAAGACCATGCGGATGGCAAAGGTGTGATCGCTAGCGTCTTCCAGATCGTCTCGGATGCCCAAACAGCTGTCAGCCAGACCTTCAAGGACGCCATGCCCGCGTTCTCCCCCGAGATCAAGGAGGAGGGCGATGCTACCGATGCCGCCGGCAAATCCAACGCCGAGCACACCGTCGAGGTCCTCACCACCCAGGATGTCATTCTTGGGGCCTTCACGGGCTCGGTCGGAAACAAACCTGTCACAATCATGGTTGCCGAGGAGACGGTGGAGGTCACCGAGGATGTCACCGAGCATGTCGACGATTTTATGAAGCGTCCCGGCATGACCATCCACCAAGCCCAGGAGGCTCTCGAGCTCGCCGTTCTCGGAAAGATCTCTCACAAGACATCCGAAACAGGCAACTGGGACATGCCTCTGTGTAAGTAGACAGCGGCCAAGTCAGGTGAATGCAGGGAGGGACTGCTCCGTCAAGCACTGGCTGCTCTGTGTCGAGGAGAAATGGCGGATGATAAGGCAAATACCTCAGAGATTGTGTTTTCACGACGCACATGTTGAGTGACACGCCACCGACCCAATCATTCTAGGCGATTGCTTCCTGGCCCATGTCAAGTGTCTTGGCTCGTACATCTTCCCCTGCTACATCGACGAGAAGCACCGCAAGCTTCGCGGCTGGGAAACGATCAGCTGCGGTAAGAACATGCGGGCGAGCTGGCCGCCGCTATTTCGTCGCAGAGAATCGAATACCAAACCAGTGTACTCATCCTGGCATTGTGTCTTCCGCAGCCGGCACATCGATTTGGTTCTACTGCTGCCAGGCACCTTGCTTGGCTATCAAGCTCCGGTCCCAGATGAGAAAGCGTATGTTGTGTCCTGGACGAGATGAGATGCGTCGCGGGAGTGGTGGCTGATGGCTCGCTGTGATGCAATGGATTAAGACGAGCTGTGGAAAGCTCGTCGTGATATGCAGCGAGATACAAAGACAGCGCGATGATCATGCTACGAGGCTCACAGAGTTGTTGCTTGCTCGTTTGTCGATCGGATCTGGCCAGTCTTCGGCATCAAGGTAGGGCTATGATCCATATCATGCGCTGCAGCATCTGATGCCCATCGGCTGTGCAGGGTTGACCACTGGTACCTCTACGATGACGCCGTTCTGTCAGAAATCTGCTCTGGGGCTATCTTATTCGCGTTGTCACTTTGAACCTCGGTCTAACCTGAATCACCGTGTCTTGGATCCAGGGCCACCCCTTCACCGACTGTCTGACGCATACCTTCTGCTGCTGCTGTGCCCTTGCCCAAGAGCGTCGTCAGCTCGAGGTCATGGGCCTGCTCACCACGAACGTCGGCCTCCAGAACGTGGACAATGTCGTCCACGCCGTCTCGGCAATTTCCGAGACTGTCGTCGCCATTCCCGAGGAGGTCATGGAACTGGGCGGCGCCAAGAAACAAAACTGAAGGTCAATGATGCCTCGACGCTACAGAAAGTCGTTCCGTCGCCTTCAATGATTTTTTCACCTTTTTTTGGATTTGGATTTGGATTTGGATTTGGATTTGGATTTGGTTCGTGTATCGCCAGCTGAGCGCTGGAATCTCAATAGACTATGGTCATCGCTTATCCCAGCTTGATGAACAAGGCGCTGTGCATTGCTGCTACTCGATCGAAGCTGCGACGGAGGTGCATATGGACTGACGAGGAAAGTCGATTCGATGTATTCGTAATCAAGCGAAGAAGGAATGCAGACAGGAGTCGAATTCGTCTACCAAAAGAAAGCCAGTGCTCCAAGAATGCGCTTGCCAACTCGCTCACAGCGCGACAATACAGATCTGGGACACCAAGTCTACTTTGGGCACTATCGACTCGCACTGTTTGGTAAAGAGGCATGCCGCGATGAATTCGATCTGAGCTGAGGGCTCATTTCCAGCCGGCGGGACAGTTGCGGTAGTGTCTGATAGGCACCAGGACTCGGCCGCATGACTGACCCGAGCTGTTGAGTACTCGCCAATGTGCGATATGGGGACGGTTGCAAAGGCAAATGCTCATGGGAATGCCCGGGCGTTACGAGCCAATGTTGCGAGCCAGATCGCTGTAGTTCAGCTTGGACCGAAGATGGCCGTGAGTCGATGCGGTACACTTCGGTGCTTCCCAGAGAAGGCGAAGGACGAAGACTGAGTCGTCTCGGAGTGGCCACTCCCGCTGATAACGATGGCCCTGCGCGGAAATGAGGCGACGGGCTCGGTTGCCGCGAATGCATCGCCGTTGCGGCGCGATGCTGACCCGAGTCCGAATAGAGTGCAACAGGGCTACTTGCAAAGCGAGTGGCTGCTCGTTCACCGACAGAGGAACAGCCGGAGCAGCGACGGACTTGCAACAGCTCTTGAGAGAGGCCGTTGAGCCGGGTCTGCAGCAAGCGGTTCTCGTTGTGCACCGTCCGAATCTCTCTGAGCCGACCCGAGCCAAAAAGCACTGTCAGAAACGGGGAGAAGTTGACCGGTGACACATCGATCAGGCGGCTTTGACTTACTCCTGTGCACGCTTTAGTGCCGGCTGGGATTGCTCTAGCAGTTGGCCCTGCTTCTCAATCTTGGAGCGGAGTGCTTTAATAAGAGCATCCATGTTCTGCATCTGGAACTGGGGTGTGCTAAAGTGGGTAAGATCAGCCAGCCGAGAGCTAGAGGAGCCAGATGGCTGGCCAGAGGGCCAGCGTTTTGATAACCCACACTCTGCCTCGCAAGATGTTGTGCGCCTGGCCCGGGTTGGTCGCTACGGACGACTTACTTTGGTGACCCGGGTATACTCCTCGAGTGCAGCTGTGGGTGATTCAAAGAGGCTCCGGACATCGCTGGGAAGCTGATTTGCAGACAAATCAAGTGCGAGACCGTCAGTGGCTATTCGCAGTGGAGAGGATGATGGAGTTGGTTGTTTGGGCGACAAAGTCAAACATATCGAGCAACGCATCGATGACACTTGCTGCACGATTGGGGGGCCCACCTCGTCTCCGAGCTGCAGCGCCCGACAGCTCCGGTGACAGACTGGGCAGAGAAGCGCCTTGGATGTACCGTTCCCGAAATGCTGATTTGGCAGCTGAGAGGCAGAGGCAAGGCAGGGATCGCAAAGCGTGTGGCCGCACTGCGTGATAAAAAATGTTGGGTTCTGACCGTTGCCGAAGATCAAAGCACATCTGACCGAGTCTTGGGTGAGTCCACGGCAAGTGTGTGTGATGCGGCTGCAAGTTGTCACGGCAATTGCGAGGCATCGAAAAATGGACTTGCCTGCGGCAGTGGAGCCACTCTGGCGAGAGCGATACAGATACGGCATCAGCCATGTCTCCAGATCCAGGTTGTTCCGCTGGATCAAGATGGCGATGGCAGAATCATTGCTGGTGAGAACAGTCGAGCCTGTGGGAACTTGTTTGGCCATGCACCCAAGATCGCTCATCAACCGATGTGTCATCGCCGCTGTCTGTCATGCCGTGTCTCCAAGACACCTCCATGCCCATGATATGAGGACCACCTCGGCCCTGTAGCCACCACCGTCTAACTGTGCGGCAGTCGAATGTCCAATCACTGCGGATGCTGCCTCTGTCCTGTCGCTGCTCCCGGCGTGCTCTCCAGATCATTGCTGATTGAGGTACCAATTGCCTCAGAGACAGTCAGACAATGCGCCATCCACAACTGCATATGTACACGATGCACATTGTCTTGGTCGAGCCACCGGTATCCACTGCCAACTCTCATGCGACGCTAGAGACTCGATCCACCATTCTTCACCGTGTTGAAGAAAAAATGGGACATATCGTCTCATTTAGACAAACACGGCGAAGTCAGATCATATTACAAGTGGATCTAATCATTTCCCTGTGTGAGGGAGATGCATAGAGTGAGTGGGCACGACGAGGACCAGCGAGTCGCTGCAGATGCAGTCGCTGTAGGCCAGAGCAAGAAGACATACCTGAGACGAGGGAGAAAGACGCAGGACAAAGAGCAATATCGCTGGTTTGGGTACCGATCAAAGCCGTACAGCCAGATCGATCAACGCCAACCGATCCACAAGCCATCCGTGTGTGAAAGTGTCCCGTTTTAAATAAGTTCGCTGGAATCTTGCCCTCGTCAGCATTGTCTTTCAACCCAGCAATAGCAATATTTACGCAGGACAAGATGGCCGGCTAGTCAAAAGCCCAGATTTCCCCACCTCAGCGGCCGAGGCCCCACGACTGAGTCTGTCGCAAACTCTTCCGGACCGCACCCCAGCCTCTCTGCATTTGATATCGCTGCCGCCTCGGCCTTGACAAGTGGACTCATACAGAATGATTTGGGCCAAGACCGAGCACTTTGCCTTTGCGGCGCTGCAGTTGTCTGCATTACTCCCTTCGGGTAGGTACCACAGAGTCTCGTTAGCAACAGATGCTTGCTGCGAACTGGCATCGCAGGTTCAACCAGGATGCCATATGATACCCCGACGCAGTGAGGCGTTGATGATGGGTGGTGGTGGTTGGGGTTGGTGTGCAAGTATTGCCCTTGCAGATTACCAATTGTCAATGCTAGGGAATGATTCGGGTCACACGATTGGACTGCTGACTCAACCCTGCATTCCCTCAAAGGTGTGTATGGAGCCGCAAGCTGCCTAGGCTGCTTCCAGGACATCAGTGGACAAGGGTACCAGCGAGTTCTCAGCGACTGGATCGATTTCTCGGTATGCTGGTGGTCATTCCTCTTTGTTCACTCAGACAGGCATTCCATGTCGTCGATTCTAACTCTACCGTCCGGCATCAACAGGATACCAGCCACAATACACTCGAGAAATGCCAGGGCCACTGCAGGTCGAAAGGCTACAGGTGGGACGATGGGACTGAAATGACACCATGAGAGAGCTGTCAGCCAAGTATGGTGGGCTTTGTGAGTGTCTGAGCGAAGCTGACATCCATATTCTATCGGAATACAACCGCAGCTATGCTGGAAACCATGGCGGACAGAACTGCTTCTGCGGCAACTGCATGTACAGCAGCTCGGACTACGGCGCCTCCGGATCGCTTGGTTCCCAGGTTTCCCGTGGCAAGTGCTCGCGCTGGTGTGCCGGTGACCCCACAGGCACCTGCGGCGGTGTCAAGTATGTCCAGGTATCCTATACATCGGATTATGGGTGCTACGACTATGACAAGCGAGCCGTGCCATCTGATGTCTTGACGATGTCGATGAGCAACTATGGGCCAAGTGACGGCATCCAGGCCTGCAAGGATTACTGTGCTTCGAACTACTACGTGTAAGTTGATCTCGCATCTGCGTCGCTTGAGTGGCTCGCCAGATGCAAGGCTGGCATCCAAAATCCTTCGTTCACACGTTAATGGGTGCTGGAATGCTTCATCGACCGCTAAAATATCATCATCATGCCCTGTCTACTCATCTCGGCCCGCAGATACGTTGGTGTTCGTACCAACAACAATCGCTATGGCACACCCAACGAATGCAACTGCTTCAACACCGTGCAGTTCAATCCTCGCAACGACACTTCCCAGTGCGTGGGTCGATCGGACCAGATCTACGTCACCTACACGCAATTCAACAAGAAGTCGGGTTGCTCCTCGAGCGGCTACAATCCACCTCCGCAACCTTACAACCCCCCAATGCCAACCATAGCCCCCAAGCCATCTACGGCGTTGCCATCAGCCACAAGCAACCCCGTCCCGATCCCATCCAATCGCTGCACCACCAACACCGTGCGCAAGAGCTGGGACGACATGACAACAACGCAGCGCCAAAACTTCCTCAAGGCTCTCAAAAAGTTCAACAGCGCCACCTCAGTTCTGCCGGGCAACAAGTACACCTATGCCGATTTTGTCTCGATTCACTCCCGCAACATGAACTCCATCCACGGCACGGTAATGAATGCCAGAGTGCAAAGTCCGACGATCAGGATGCACGGACGAGGCTCGTTGGCTGACCCCGTCGCTTGAGCCGTCACGATTGCCCAGACCCGATCTGCCGCCCGCTGCGCTGACTCTTGGTTATGCTGGCCATGATGTGCAGTCCCTCTTTCTGCCGTTCCATCGCTACTTTATTCGCCTCTTTGAGCAGCATCTCCAGGCCATCGATGCTACCGTCTTCCTTCCCTACTGGGACTGGTCCCGGGCGAGTATCTATCAGGATCCCCAGAGCGGGCTGGTATTCAGTTCCTCCGCTCTGGGGTCGGTTACTGCCCTCCTCAACTCCAACACGGGATATTGCCTGAACATTGGCGACGGAAGCGGCTCGACATATCGTGAGTCTTTGAACAAATGGCCTTTCCGACACGCACCAGACTAGACTTTGCCAGCATTCCGATACAGCCGCTCTTTGGTGCCGACTTCGAGGCTGACAGATACCGTGGACTCTTTGCCCAGAGCTCAGCAACTCGGGCGACTCCAACTGTGTCCAACGCCTTGGCGGCACAGATTCCAGCGGATTCTATACGGGTCGTATTGGCGGACCACTCACAGCCCCGAACGTGATCGACAGCTACACCACTTCTGCAAGCCTGGACAGCTTCAATACCTATGCCAAGGTCATCGAGTACATTCACGGAGATGTACATGGTGAGGAGCGGCATTGGCGGGCAGAGACGCTGAGCTCCGAGACTCTGACTGCGGCTGATAGAGGGTCGATCGACTAATACTTTGGTGCGCTGATTACCCAGTCAAGTGTGGTGGAGACATGAGTCATCTCAACACGTCGCCCAAGGACCCGCTGTTCTTCTTCCACCATGCGTGAGTCTCTCGGATCTATTCGATGCTGCTTGCTCGGCCCAACAACACACAGGACCAACTATTGACGCCGCTCTCGCGACTGTTCGTTCGCAGGAACGTTGATCGCTTCTGGAGCAACTGGCAAAGCTATGACAACTACCGTCGCCAATTTGCCTACGCCTCCAGCACCAGCGACAAGCTCGTCGAGTTCACCACCGTGACTGTCGCCAGTGTACTTGACCATCAGAACAGCCTGTGCTATTCGTATCAGCCACCAGCCTCGGGCTTTGAAGCCCAGTCTGAGCCAGCGCAAACGCAGGAGGCTCTCCCGGAGGAGTGGCACAGCATGATCTTTAGCTCCCCGGAAGAGGCCAACGACATTCTGTCCACCATCGCCAGCATTACCCAGAGTGTCAACGACGATCTCGCCGCCAACGGCAACTGACATTCTATGCACAAGCGCATGGTTTCGAGCAGACGAAATCTGCTACGTGGCTCTGACGGAGAGAAGCTTAGGCCCGTAGTCACCGTGAAGGAGTGTATTGGCGGGAACAACAAGATGACGAAGGACAAGGGAGCGTGGAAGGTCGAGGTCGCAAGTGAGGGGCAAGTGGAAGAACATGCGACCCATGCAGCTGTGGCTTCGAGTTTGCGACAAAATCCCGTGCAATGCACTTGACACCTGAGCAAACGGGCCAAGATGCCTTGCTGTGGCGACTTTCTGGGCGGGAATATATACAAATGTCTCCCACGGCGCATGGCAGAGGACAGGTGCATGGGAGGGACAATCACCCATGTGCAATGCGCCATGCGAGCTGGCCAGAGCGGTGCTGGCTCTGGATCGGTTTGTAACTTGGGTGGCGGCCAGTGCTTTGAATGCCTGACCTCCAAGTTGTCCCTGGCTCCGAGTCCGCGAGGAACCTGCACAGCCAGTCTCGCTCTGACCCATGATGCAAGTGACTCAAAGGACTTGTGGGTCACAACAGACAACGAGGTTCCGTGCTGAGAGCCCATCGGATCTGTTGTCTCGGGCGACTTGATGCGCCGCTACTTGTCCTGCTGTGTGCCTCGGCCACGTTAGCGCATCTATCCGAACATGCCAGCGGTGATAGCTTGGATATGCTCTGCGGACTTGGTGTCGACCGACAACCTGCGACCCCCTGTGTGATTGCCTGGTAGTCCATTCGAAAGGCAAGACATTTCAAGGTCGACTCGGCGAGCAAGTTGTTACTGTGGCCCACGCAGATGCCCAAATAGATGGAGATTGTCAGTGAGGACGACCAGCACCAGGGCGAGGGCCGGTTGGAGCGAGAGCACTTCCTCGTTGTGCTTGAATGGGGCTCCCAGGGGTCTCTTGCACAACATTTGACCGCCGGCTGATTCGGGCCGGGATCTGGTTGGCGTTCTGTTGCATTCGCCCTCCCCCTCGGCGCATTTCCATCTCCATCTCCATCTCCATCTCCCCGCATACTCCCGGCATGCACATCGTTCTCGCCATCGCCGGCAGCGGCTACCTGGCATACAGCGGCCTCAAGAAGAAATCGCTGTCGCCCTCCGGCGCTGCTGCGGCCTGTGCCCTGGGACTTGCTGTCTTCACGCATCCCTACCACCTGTTCGCTGTTGTTCTCGTTGTCTTCTACCTCTCGGGGTCTCGCCTGACCAAGTACAAGGCGGAGCGCAAGCGCCAGCTGGAAGAAAGCTATCTCGATGGCGGCCAGCGAACAGCCTACCAGGTGTTCTGTAACGGCTTCCTGGCTGGCGTGGTCTGCGTTCTCCATCGGCTCTTGGTCCTCCAGACCGCCCAGCAGCAATCGTCACCCGACCGGGATCTGGCCCAGGAGCCCCTGTGTTTTGCCTTTGGCTCCGAGACCGACTCGGCCACAAGGCTGAATGCGGTCCTGATTATTTCCTATGTTGCGCTCATCGCAGCGTGCTGCGGCGACACCTTCTCGTCCGAGCTCGGCATCCTGAGCAAGTCGCCGCCCTATCTGATCACGACGTTCAAGCAAGTGCCCCCTGGCACCAACGGCGGTGGGTGCTGATGCCGATTCACCTTGCATGGGTGGATGCTGGCGCCCTGGGACTATGCTCTGCTTGCTTGCCTGCTTGCCTGCCTGCCTGCTTGCCTGACTCATGTGGATGCTGATCATGCCATGCGTTATGGCGAATGGTGCTCGCCAGGTGTTAGCCCACTTGGCCTGCTCGGCAGCTTGCTCGGCGGACTCATGGTTGGCGTCTTTGGTGGCCTTCTGGTTCCGCTCGGTCCCGGCTGCCCAAGAGTGCTGCCCACCCTCCAGCTGGTGGTCACAGGGGCTGCTGCTGGTGTCGTCGGCTCGCTGGCAAGTATTGTGAATGCATATTCCGCCGGCACTTTTCTCCATCCACATCGCCTTCCCGGGCCGACTCTGATCCTAACTTGCCTCATGCTCTGCCCACTCGACATATCTGCGTTTCTTGAATCGTCCAGATCGATTCGCTCATGGGAGCAACTTTGCAGAAGAGCGTCTACAACAAGTCGACCAAGAAGATCGCTGGCGACCATCGCGTCGTTCAAAAGGGCGAAAGCGCGAGCGATTTCGAGCATGTTTCTGGGCTCGAGATCCTCGACAACCACATGGTGGGTGGTCTGGTCTGGTCTGCTTTGAAGACAGGTTATCGCAGAGATGGACTCGAGCTCGTTGGGTGTTGCATCAGCCGCTGAATCGCTCACGCTGCTTCGTTTCTGGCGGACAGGTCAACCTGCTCTCGTCGCTTGCGACAGGCCTCGTCTTTGCCGCTCTGGCGTCCCTTTGACTTTCCGCCTCTCGTCCTGCGTGATTGGTGTCTCTATTCAAAACGCAACGGGAGCTGTGCCCGCTCTTTCTGCTCGTGTCTCGGGCAGCTGCGTCGCCCATCTCTGTCGATCCCAGAATCCATTTGCTGTTCCCACAACGATCTGCCATGAAGGTCAAGATTCATCAAGAGGCGGCAAATAAACGTCAGTGCATAGCTCCCATCTCTGCCCATTGCCTTTGAGTCCATGGGATCTGCTGGCTCCGTGTTGCAGCCAGCCACATACAAAATGGCTATCGGCACGCATCGCCGCCTGAAACGCGGCGCATTATCGATTGCCAGGACGGCCCTGCATTCTTCATCGAGCGTCCCTCGACAACTCTCCCTTTTGCCACGAGCCTCTCCCACGCGACGGAGAATGCTCCTCGGGCTGCAGTTGCTGTTGCTGCCTTCTGGGCGATAACCACATTCATGATCATGCAAAACGCGTCGCCGAGGCACCTGCGAGCATGCAGCCGCCATTCGCTCCAAGAGAAATATGCGTCGCGGGGCTCTGACGGTGCTCGATGCGTCCTATGGTGTGTGCTATGGTGGTTCTGACGAGGCCCGGTGCATGCTGTGGTGCTTCTTTCCCATACCCACAGACACGGACCTGGTCACCTGTGTCGGCTGGACCAGCAACAACGAGTTGTTTTCATGCGGGTAGGTGCTTATTCTTGGCGACGAGCGACAGGGACTAATCGAATCCACGCCGCCATTTACCCATCTGCATGAACGCTGATCGGCTCTCCTTCGCCCTCACCGCTATCGATGCCCCCACAGCGACGATCAACAAATGCTGCGCTGGTCTGGCGATGGAGAGCATCTCGGCGCCGTTCCCATCGCGCTGTTCAGCAAGTCCAAGACGCTCGCTGCTGCTCAAAAAGCAGGTCCAAGCCCCGAGGCCCAGGGTAGTCTCTACTTTACCGATATCCAGTGGTTCCCAGTTGCTCCGTCAAAGGGATCGTCGATCGGGGCAGATCTGTTTGTGGCCGCCGGCACCGATGGTACGTTTGATCCGCTCTGGCGTCGCGAGCAAGGATCAGCGTGGGAAACGAAGGAAACTCCTGGACCGTGATGGAGGAGATTCGCGAAGACTCGGTGGGGGGGGGCTCTGCAGTCGCTCTGAATTCTCGGGTCATCCACGGGCACCGATGCGGTACTCATCATTCCTTGCTGCTCACCGCCAGGCAAATTCCACTTGTGTACCAAGGCCGGCCGAGTCGAGAAGAGCGTCGAGGCCCACCGAGGCGCCCTTTTGTCACTGAAGTGGAATTATGAAGGGTCGGCATTGGTTACAGGTGAGGAGTAACAAAGGGCGAGAGTTATTGGCTGGCCCCGGATACAGAGCCATGTGCGCACTTCTGGTCCTGAGACTCGCTACACTCTGAATTGAAGGCCTCGGCGCTCTCCGCTGACCAGGCTTGACCATCATCCCCCCCCTCTTATTCATCCAAACAGCCGGAGAAGATGGCCAGATCAAAATCTACTCCAGGAGCGGCATGCTGCGGTCGGTTTTGGTTCAAATCGGTCAGTGCCTTACTTGCAGCATATGTAGAGCATTGAAGCCAATCTGTTGTCCCACTGGTGTGGTGTTCTCCGGTCTGGCACGGCATATTGTCTCCCCGGGCCGCGGTTTGACACTTTGCTGGGGGTTGGATGGGGCTTGCAGGATATCCTGTCTACTCTATTGCCTGGTCGCCCGACAACGACCAGATACTCTTCACCAACGGTCGCAATCTCATCATCAAGCCCATCCAGCCGTCCAACAAGCCCAACCAGTGGAAAGCGCACGACGGCGTGATCCTCAAGGTCGACTGGAGCCGGGTCAGCAACTTGATCGTGTCTGGAGGCGAGGATCGAAAGTACAAGGTGAGAAGCCTGGGTCTGTCTCTGTAGCACCAGAGTGTCTAGAGCTGGCACAGTTCCTTGATTCTGTCAGCCATCTCAAGGCCGTGTCAGCATACTCCCCCCCCCCAGCTGTTTGTGAGTCGAGTTATTTCTCCAATCCATCTGACTATGGTATATGCAGGTTTGGGACACATACGGGCGTCAGATCTACTCCTCCACTCAGCAAGACCACCCAACCACCTCTGTATCCTGGGCACCCTCTGGCGAGATGTTTGCCGTCGGCTCCTTCAACACCCTGAGAATATGCGATAAACTGGGGGTGAGTCGTGGGCCGCGGCATATTTTGCGGGCCGAGAGCCGCGAATGCTTCGGCTTGATATGGAAATCTGACTCAACATGCGCGTTTCCATGGATACTCCTTCCTTCATTCCCGATGGCGGTGACGGTGATGGTTGTTGTGGATGCACAGTGGTCCTATACACTCGCCAAGCCCAAGAGTGGCTCGATTTACAACATCGCATGGACTCCCGACGGCACCCAGCTGGCCGGAGGCGGTGGATCCGGCGCGGTTGTGTTTGCAAACCTCGTCAACAGGTGAGAGCCTGTGCTGTGCATACAAGTGTGAGCATTATGGTGTCTCTGCAGCCGAGCGATGGCTGTGGCAAGGTTGGGCGGGGAGAATGCGGCTAATGTCCGTCGTTGGCCAACAGGAAGCTCGAGTGGAAGAACCTGGAGGTCCTGATCCTGGACGATCACAAGATCCGAGTCAACGACGTCGTCAACGGCACGAACGAAAATCTCGGTATGGACGAGATGGAATGGCATTGGATGGGAGAGGCTTGGGTGAATTGGCACGAAGCAGAGTAGAACCGAGCGGGTCGAGATGAAGAGTATGCCATCCGGCATAGAGGGGGATCGCTATGGATGCGAAAGCGCGGTCGAGTGTCCAGGGCTCCTTCCAGCATTGTTCAGCAGGGACGCTCGATTAACGTCAGCATGTTCGCCGAACAGAGTTCCGGGATCGCGTCATCCAGGCATCGATTGGGTTCCAGCATTTGATCGTGGCAACATCATCACAGTGCTATGTCTACAGCGAGAAGAACTGGAACACGCCGATGATTGTGGATCTGTCGAACAACGGCCGAGTGATTTGCATCCAGCAGAGTCCAAGGTGAGTAGCGTGTGTCCGGTTCAGCGATGCAACGTTATCTGTGGCTGGGAAGAGAATGGGGTGCACAGCAATGCCGCAACAGCCATCACAGGAAGTGCACATTCTTCTACGTCTATCCTCCCTCCCTCCCACCCCGATGGACGTAGGAACGAGGACGGATAGGCATCTCCACTAATCGTCAGTATCCAACAGCTACTTTTTGATTGTCGACAACTTTGCGGGCATCCAGATCTACTCGTACGACGCGCGGTTCGTAAGCTCGCCAAAGTACCCTGGGCTGCGTGCCGAGTTTATCACGCGCCAGACCATTTCGCTATCGAACGACGTGCTGGCGATCACAGACAGAACAGATCAGAAATGTAAGTACACGAAGGCGGTCGAGACCACCGAAGGGAGGAGGGGGCGATGGGCAAGGTGCTGAAACAAAAGAACAGCCGATTATAGTGGGGGTTTGTGCCGAGTGTGTGGACGAGCTTGATCCCGCAGAAGCCTTTGTTCAAGCCGCGGATGCCTCTCGGTGTCTTGAAAACAGTGTCTGCGTCTTCGATCGACATGGCTGCTCTGCAAAAAGAGAGAGAGGAGGCCGCATGGGCCTGCTGCGGATGCACTCACGAACAATCTCACTGGACAGGCATCTATTTGTTCGACGTCGTGTCGGGGCGAGCCATAGGAGACGGTCCACTGCGACACCAAACCGAGGTGCTGGAGATAGGAATGAACCAGAGTGCCTCGGCCGGCGTTGGAAGACAACTCGTTCTCGTGGACAAGAATCGCGACATGCATATTACGATTGTGATGAGACCCAGCTTCAAAAAGATCGGTAATGCAGTCGGGCGTGTTGGGATCAGCAAGCACAAAGTGGCACAGGATGGGGAAATGTGTCTGGCAGGTGCCAGGAGAGATGTGTCTGGCTCAGGCTTCGTGGCAAACGGCGGAGACACAGGATTGAGATTGCTGACGATCCGACGCCGCTTGGTAAATGATCCACACAGGAACGATGGTGGAGACGTTCATCTGGAATGACGAAATTGACATTCTCGCTGCGATCGTGGACAGCAAGCTTGTGGTGTGGTACTATCCGAACATTGTGTTTGTGGACGAGGATATTTCGCTGATGACTCGTTATGAGCGCGACGGAAGGTAAGTCGTTCGCACACGGGTACCTTGAACATCAGATGGTGCCAGTGCATGAGGATGCTGGTGCGATGCTGGCCGAGGTCGTTTACTGACGCGAATGTCGTTACCGCCGCTATGCCGTATATTGACCGGGATTGGAACAGTCACTTTGGAAAGAACGCACAATTCACTGGATTCTGGGGTACAATGTGCACGCTGCGAAAGGCAGATGGCGCTTCGGTCTCGGTGAGGTACGCTACAACGAGTCGGGAGTCTTTGGGCACCGAGACTGCGGGGCACTTCGCGGGCAAACGCTGTCGCCACTCATACTCCGAGTCTTGTACTCGTGGCGGGGAATGTGGTTTAGTCTGGGCCGGGACTTGCTTGGGCTCGGAGCTGTAAGGGCAGTAACACGAGCTTGATTTCTCGTTCATGCCAGCAACATTTCGCCGTTTCCGGGCATGCTTCAAGACCAGACCCGGCGCAAGCAATGGGAGGAAGCGATTCGGCTCTGTAGATTTGCAAAGGTATTGGCCGTCTTGCCTGACGCAGTGCTGTGCCCGTTGCGACACACCTCGGCGCCTTGCTGACCTGGTTGGGTTTGTTGGTGTAAGATGAACGAGCTGTGGGCGTGCCTCGCTGGCATGGCTGTCCACGCGCAGGAGCTCAACACTGCCGAAGTGGCATATGCCAGTATCGACGAGGTGGGTCTCATGGAGTTGGATTGCGTTGGGTCATTGCAGTTTGGTGTCTGAATGGACACGAAAGAGTTCTCGGACCTGGCGTTGAGCAGGGGCAGCTGTTTCCTGATCGCCTCGGGCCGACCACAATATCTCCAGGCCGCCAAGGTGCAGTTCGTGTGCTATGTCAAGAGTATCCCGACGCCCGAGGGAAGGGCCGCCGAGCTGGCGCTGCTGCGCCGTCAGCCCAAGGAATCCGAGGCGATCCTGCTTTCTGCATCGCTCATCTATCGCGCGATCCAGATGTGGATCACGCTGTTTAATTGGGACAGGTGAGAGCGAGCGCGGACTTGAGCATTGGGAAGCCAGTGGAAGGCAAAGCGACGCTGGGATCAGCGACTGGACGCCGCCGCCACACAACTGATAGGACTGGCAATGCGGTGGAATGTTTCTGGGGCTCACCAGGGCGCTTGAGATCGCAGTCAAGTACAAGACGCACGTCGATACGGTGCTGTACTTCCGAGACCGGTATCTGAAGGCCATGGGGCGCAAGGAAGCGAACAAGCGGTTCTTGCAGTACGCCGAAGGAGTAAGTGTGGCCCCAAGCGCATGTAGAAGTGATGTGATATATGTCTGTTGGAGGGATGAGGAAGATGAATCAAGAGGGTGGGAAGTGCTGGGTTACTTACTGGCTGGCGAGACGATGTGAGAAACATGCGGCGTTGGATTGGGTGTGCTGGATTCGACTGAATGGGTGGATTGGGTGGATTGCACAGATGGGTGGACGGAACGAGTCTCTGACCACTGCAGCCTGCATCAGGTGACGGTGGACTATGAGAAGATCAAGGCCAAGGTTGCGATGGAGGAGGAGTCGGAGAAGCAGCGCAAGAACGTCAAGCCCTACAACTGAGCCGACACCGGGCGCCGCAACAGGAGTGGTGGAAAATACGAACGTGTGTGTGGTCTGCACGAGGCGTGTGCTCGAGTGGAGAGGACGACGGAACGACGCTGGATGGACGGTATTCGGGAGGGGAGCGGATCGCGACGGAAGGGCTCCGGGCGGACATGCACAAGCAACAGAGAGGCAATACACATGGGCAGATACCCTCCCTGCTGGCGAGGCGACGGCTGCGGGATAGGACATGGTGGCTGCCTGGCAGGGTACTTGCCCATCAGGTGATTGATGATCTGCACACGGCCAGGCAGCCCAGCAGAGGGCGGTTTTTCATGGCCGCACTGGCTGTTTGGCATGGCCGCCAGGCCGACATGTCATGCGGCCAAAGGGGGTCGCAGCACAGGCCTCGTGGCAGAGGCCAGCGGCCGGTGGGGGAAATCGGGACAGGCGATTGGGGCGGGCCGCTGATTGGGCGGCTGGCTGGCTGGGGCGGTTCCGAAGTGGTTCGCGCGTGAGCCACAGTGACAGCATGGCCGGAGCAAACCGCGGATGCCTGTATGTGTGTGCTGCGGCTTGGGCCAATCAGAGGCGCACGACACTATTTGCGGAAATCGCGGGTGTGGCACAGACCACGAGGCTGCAGGCTTCGGGCTCGTTGCTGCACACTGACAGTGGGGGGCGATAGCACGGAGCGCCACACACACACGCGGATTGATACCGCACAACAGCACACAGCGGCACAGCAGCACACAGGCACAGCAGCACGGCTCACTATCGCTCACATCCACTCACGCCAGCCAGGACACGCGCCCGGCTCGTCTGTTTGGTGCCCCCGCCTGCCATATCGGGCCAGGCGCACCTGATGATTGGCTGGATCCCGTGGCACGTTGCACCGCCGCGCGCCGCGTCCTCCGCCCGCCTCGCCCGCCCCGCCCGCCTCGCTGCGGCGAGAGCCAATCGCCGCCGCCCTCGCCCGGCAGTGTCGCTCTCCTGTCCGGCAGCGCCGCTCTCTCTTTTTTTTTCACCGTCCGCCCACCCTTTAAATACCTGGCCGCCAGCCTCTCGCTCCATCGACCCCATCACCACCAAGGTTCTTTCGCGACCTTTGCCTGCCATTGAATGATTTCCGTCCAAATCCTCATCTACTGCGCCGTCGAAACCCCGGGATAATTTGGTAGGCATCCGCGGCCTGCTCCTCGCTGCGATTCGCCGGTCTAGGCCGTCCTGGTTCTTGCACTCGCAGCCCCCTCTGGCTCTGGATGCATCTCGCTGGTGTGGGGTGTCGATGAGCTCATCGGCCCCGGGCACCCCGGGCTGGCCTCAAGGCGGCGGCGGTGGAGGCGAAGCAAGCAGTCATGGAGGCAGAGATGCTGGGACAGCCAGCGCCTGCTGCTCCTGCCATGAACGCCGTCGGATGTCGCTGTATGGATCGGTCGTCCGCCCCAGCCGCCGCCGGAATCCGCTCGCACCCCGCCGCACACCGCGCCGTCTATATAACCGCCTCGATGGCCCCTCCGATGCTGCCGAGACACCCTATCCATCGCTGCTGATGACCCGATCGTGCGTCGCTGCTCAACGCCTTCGTCCTGACGACTTTCCTCCTTCTCCTCCGATGGGCTAGCCCTCTGATCCTGCAGGCATCCATCCCCTCTCTGCTCGTCGTATAGCCTTCATCCGCTGAACGACTGCCAATTCCATCCCAACCTGCTCCCTCCGCTTTAGCTGCAGACTCGCCCTCGTCTCAGCTACTGCCCAGCCCCGTTTCGATCGTTCGACTCGCATCCTCGCTCAGCCACCACCACAGCGTCGTCCATCCCACACGACGTAGCCGACCCGCCTCACCCTCAACTGCGCCAGCAATCCATCCTCCCACACAACACCCTGCAAAGATGATGCCCCGTCTGACCTGCAACTTTTCCAACGTCCAGTACAAGAACATGAAGTTCTTGATCATGGACTGCCCCACTGAGCGCAACGCCAACCTGTATCTGCAGGTAAGCCTCTGCTCACGTCGCCGGACTGATCCCCCCGCTGTTTTCCTGCCCGCCGACGCGCCGTGTTGCGTTTTTGGCCTCGGCCATGTGCTGATTGCTCCGCCGTATATTGGCCAATCACTACAGGAGCTTAAAAAGGAAAACGTTACCGACATTGTGCGGCTGTGCGAGCCCACCTACTCCAAGGAAATGTTTGCGTCCAATGACATCGAGGTCACGGACATGTTCATTCCCGACGGCGGCATTCCTTCCGCTCAAACCATCGACACGTTCCTCAACCTGTGCACCAGCAAGTTCGGCGTCCTTGGGGCCGAGAGCGAGCCCGAGGCCGCCATCGCGGTCCACTGCATTGCCGGCCTGGGCCGCGCTCCCATCATGGTCTGCATCGCCCTCGTCGAAGGCGGCATGCCCGCGCTCGATGCTGTCGCCTACATCCGCAAGTGCCGCCGCGGCGCCCTCAACGCGGTGCAGATGGAGTTTATGGTCGACAAGTACCAGCCCCGCTCCAAGTCCCGCGGACGCTTCTTCCAGCTCTTCAAGCGCGGCTCCTCGCCCACCAGCCAGCGCGGATCGAGCCCTGACTCGTCGTCCTCGGGCGCCACCAGCCCCCAGTCGTCCTCGCTTGGCAGCGGCCTGAAGCGCTTCTCGGGCTTCCTCAACCGCAACCCCAGCCTTGTCTCCACCGAGGCCCGCTGAATCCATGGCCCCTGTCTTGCTCGCGGGAAGCACAATCGCCGTCTCTGCCAGTTTTGTCGTCTCCGCAAGCGCGCTGTCTCTCCCGTTGAGTCGATCCGCCAGCTTCCTGGCTGGGTAGACCGAGTCCCCGTTGCCATGCGATTCCTTTGTCATTGTCCAAGCCGCCATGCCGGCTGCTACGCCCAGAACCCATTCCGGCTCGCAACCCCGAATCACACTCTCGCTCACCTCTCAACTTTACTTCCGCCCTGGTCCAAGCATCATTGCACCCAAGGCGTCGCACGACCACCGTGCAGTGTACCGCCATCAATATCGTGTTTCTGCCAATCTATTCTCAATCATTCTTGCCGACCAGCCAAAAGGGCTTGGTTCTCTTTGCTTTTATACTCGCACACATACACAAATACGCCCGATCGTGCCATCGCCAATCTGAATACATGGATCCGTACACTGCCTCTGATATGAATCGATCTCGCCGCGACTGGGGCGATCTTTCGCACGGGGTGCGTCTGTATTTGGTGAATGGGAAAGGGACGGACTCGACTGCATCATGGATTGGGCAGTGCGCTGTTGTACGTGTATGATGTGGGGCAGTCCGTTATGGCGGTTCACTATGGCGGTTCGCCATGACAGGGGGGACATGCCTTCGTGAGGATTGGCTGCGTCCGAGCCACATCGGTCTATGCTTCGTCGTCTTCATAGTACTCTTCGTCGTCGTCATCGTCATCATGATCGTGGTGTGTATCATGGGAGATCTGAATGATCCCGCTTGCAAAGGCATAGCTGCACCGCCGTGACGAGATGCAATCAAACAGCATGAGTACCGGGAGAGACAGCAGGAGGGTGGCGCCATCAACGCAGAGCGCATTCCACGCCGTCATCGATCAGCATCCAAGCCTCGCCGTTGCGCCCTGTGCATTGACATGGTCGTACCCGACAAAGAAGACAATGCCGCCAATCACCATCGCGGTGTTGTAGATCAGCTCCTTGCGCTCCTCCTTGGTCTTCTGGCCGCCATCACCGTGCCACATGTGCGTGACATTGTCCTGGACCTGCCTCCATGCCGAGTACAGAATGGCCTTGGGGTCCTTGATCATCCAAGCCAGCATGGACTCATTGACGGGGCCCTGGCTGATCGGCAGGTTGAGCTTGTCGTTCGCCTCGACATCAAGCTTGGTCTGGATGCGCTTGACAAAGTCGACCAGGGTCGGGAACTCGAACGACAGCATGGTGAAGAGCTGCACGTTGGCGAGCGATGGGTAGGTGTGCAGTGCCAGATGGCCGTAAGCGACTGCATCGAGCGAGGTGGGCCTGGGCGAAGGAGGTATGACGGACGGTGTCAGATCCAAGCACCTCTCAGTCGTCACGATCAGCACAGTCGGCAGAACTGTCGATAGACAGATCGGTGTGATGAACTGGTGGATCGGCTCGCTAGCAGCAAGCCAACGACTTGAGCCTCGTTTGATATCTCACCCCTGCCATCTCTGCCAGTCGCCTCACCTGTCTCCGAAGAAGAAGGGCTTGTCGCCGAGCATTTTGGCAAGCTCCTTGTAGATGTCCCGAGCCTCCAAGTACACCTGCATCGTCAGCCAGATGCGATTCAGTGCTTGATTCTCGTCGGCGCCACATCGATTGGCACAGGTCCTCGATGCCAGAGACCTGGCCTCACCAGGCAAATCTCGGTGGAGAGCCACGATGCAGAAGGGGAGGCGAAAAAGAAGAGTCGAGGACGAAGGAGGCTCTCATACCTCCGGCACCTCCTTGCCGTCGGACTCAATCGTGCGGGTGCCCTTGAGTCGGAAGCGGGCCTTTTCGCGCAGCTGGTTCGGCACATAGTAACGGCTGATGAATCCGAGAGCCTTGGAGAACTTTGGACGAGTGGACTTGACAAAGTTTTCAGACTCGAGCCACCATGTATACAGCTGGCGGTGGGTCCACGATTATGACCGGATCAGCGGGGGCCAGAAGGTAAGAGTCGGGGAGGTCGGATGGGGTACACACGGAGCGAGTCATCAACGATACCGAGTGCAGTGGTGCTGCAAAGCTGGTACGGTGGCCATACCAGGGCGTTGTTGAGATTTTCCTCGATGAGACAAATCAATCTGGTGTTCAATAGATCGAGGCGACAGGCAAGGGCTTGGTGTCAACTAGCGTTTGATTCATGCGATGAGGATGCTGCTATCGAGACTGCAGCTGAGCAAGGACCAGTCGATGCGATTCTCGCAAGTCTCGTGAAGCTGCCATGCAACACTGCGAGAATGCGGATCTGCTTCCAGAGGGAAAGCCTCCGCAGGCCTTCCTGTCCAAGTCCTCCCCACGCCGAGACTGCTGGCCATGCCCCGGTCCCTCGATCGCGAGGTATGAGCGACGCCTGCTGCCCTGTGAAATACTGTGAGATATCTGACCAATGCCTCCAGCTCACTGTGAGATACATACGCTGTCGCCTGGGCGCGCTGCGATTCGGTCAGATGTGTGTCCAGATCGGCTCCATCGCGCTTCTTGAGAAAGGCCAGGATGTTGGAGGTGCCCGCAATGGGCTCGGCGCCGGCCAGGAGCATCGGAAAAGCACCGTTGGGCGAAAGCTGCGGGGTTGAGGACGGCTGGATCTGCCAGTGAGGCGAGCCGCGAGCGCACAGAGTCAGATAGGTGATCAGGGAGAGGCAGAAGGGATCGAGGCTGGGCAGGTTGAAGGCGCTTGGCCAGCTGTAGAGGGTCATGACATCGGGCGGGCTGCTGGACTCGTCGACAGCCATGGCGGGCGGTGTTGTATGCCGTGGGATGGACGGGGGGCAGAAGGTAAGTGGTGCGATGCGATGCGATGCGGTGGGCTGTTGGTATCGGCAAGACGCAGTCCACGATGCAGCTTGAGATGCAGTCCAAGATGCAAATCCGGGATGAGAAGTGTGCCTGACAAAGTCGCAAACGAGAGCAAGCGAGAGCCAGCGACGGCCAGCGAGGGCCGGCCGAGAGCGCAGCGAGAGCACATGGAGGCATTGTCTCCAGCTGGGTGGCTCCCCGCTCTCTCTCTCGCTCGCCCGTCCTCGCCCGCTCTCTGCGCAGCGAGACGGCCCTCGCCGCCGCGCTCGCTTTTCTTCGGGTCTCCTTTTGCGGCACCGCCCACCCGTCCGCTTGCCCCTCATCTTCGACCCCGTCGCCTCCGTTGTCGGCCAGCCCCCGATATCGTTTCTTTCTTCCACGCCATTATGGTGAGTACCGCTCTTCTGCCTGCGATCGCGTCCGTCGCTGCCGTGGGGGCCTCCTGCTGCTGCAAGCAGCTGCGAGCAAGGCTCTGGTCTCGCCTGGCCTGCTCCCCCCACCGTCCTTTGCAGCCCTCGTCTCCCAGCGCCCCGATGCCAAGTCCCAGGCACGAGACGGCCCGCTCCGGGCTGGCTTGCCCGATGGCATCGCAGGTGTCGTCGACATCGCATGCATCGACAGCATCGGCGGCATTGCTGAACCAGATGCGCATCTGCGATCGTCTCGATTCGGCTCGAATCCGGGGTGCTCGACTGGCTGAATTCCTCCTCTCGGTGGATGTGTGTTGCGAGGCTCATAGCCAATAGGCGATGTCCCCTGGGCGGACGGCTATCCGGCTGCATTGGCTCGCCTCGACCAATGTCCAGATCGTCTGCCATCGGAGACCGGCCTTCGTCGGGGCTCTCCAAGCACGTTGCTGCTACTGCTGCTGCTGTGTGCCCCGATGGCTGTCCAGGGTGGCATCAGAATGCTGTCCAGCTTGTCGCTGTGCAAACATGTGTTAACACTGCCGATTCCTCCACCCACCCTGGCGGCTGTTCAATCCGTGGCGGACATCATCTGCCATCCATCGTTCCTCTCTCCCTCCCCACCTTCCTCCCTCCGTATCCATCCTCTGGCTATGGAAACCCCGACTCGATGTTGCATCCCGTCGGCTGTACAGAGTTTTTTCTGGGGAACCTCCGAGCCAGCCGAGCCTGTGGCTGTCGAGCCCTTCGACCCAAGGTCCGAAATGCCAACCAACGGCCGATTGGGCCACCTCACACCCGAGCAGACCGCTGCCCTGGCTCAGTTCAAACAGGAGCTGGCGGCCGAGGGATACTATGACCCCGAGAAGCACGACGACTACATCCTGCTCCGCTTCCTGCGTGCCCGCAAGTTCGATCTGCCGGCCTCCAAGAAAATGTGGATCGATTTCCAGGAGTGGCGCAAGAAGTGGAACGTCGACAACACCGTCACCGACTTTGACTTTCCCGAGTGGGCCATCGTGCAGCAGTACTACCCGCGCTTCTACCACGGCGTCGACAAGTGCGGTCGCCCGATCTACGTCGAGCAGATCGGCCTGCTCGACATCCAGAAGCTCTTCACCATCACAACACAGGAGCGCATGATGCTGAACCACGTCCACGAGTACGAGCGCCTGATCCTGTACCGCCTCCCAGCAAGCTCGATCAAGACCGGCGTCCACCTCGAGCAGTCCTTCACCATCATGGATCTCAAGAACATCTCGCTGTCTCAGTTCTACAACGCCTTCCATCTCGTCCGCGAGGCCTCGACCATCGCCCAGAACTACTACCCCGAGATGCTGGGCAAGATGGTGGTCATCAACGCTCCCATGCTCTTCACCTCGCTGTGGCTCATGGTCAAGCCGCTCCTGGACGAGGTCACTGTCAAGAAGATCTCGATCTTTGGAGGTCCGTCCTCGTATCTCCCCGAGCTCCTCAAGTACATTGACGAAGACCAGCTCCCCGCCTTCATGGGCGGCAAGTGCAACTGCCCCGAGGGCTGCGAGCACTCGGACAAGGGCCCCTGGTCCGACGGCTCTGTCCCGGGGTACCCGGATCCAAAGTTTGAGCGCCTCCGCGATACCTACGGAATCATCCCAAAGAAGGCTCCTGCAACCAACTGATCGCTCCGTTTTGCTGTCTGTGCTTTCTCTGGCGATATGTATATGTGTGTGTTTCCCCCTCCCTCCCTCCCTCCCTCCGTCTCCTCTCCAATCCGAATAGCCTGCGATCGTCCTTCAAGGGCACCACAGAGGAGACGGGGAAACGGGACTGGCAAACATATCCGACTCGCTCTACAGCAACCATGGAAGCTTAAAAAGAAGAAAAGAACCCCCAAAATGAAAAAAGCCTCACCCGTGCATGCAATTTGATTATATATCTGCCTTTCGTTTTCCCGCTTGTCTCCTCCATCAGTTTGTGATTTTGGGAGGAGGGAGGAGCGGATACTGTTGAATAGGGCAATAATGCCATACAGGGGCAATCACTGCCACGATGGCTGTGGTGCAGTGGTGCAGAGAATGTAGTGTGGATCGCGGCCGGTAACCAAGTGAGCGAGTGAGTGAATGAGTATGAGTGAGTGAGTGAGTGAGTGAAAGGGGTGTGATGCCACCCTGATTTTTACATTCTATCGGGTGATTTATTGCTTGAAATCCGAGCCTCGATTCGCAACCAAGACCGGACAGCAACCACACGATCGGTTTGCCCTGGCTCTGTTTTGTTGCACAGGTTTTATCATCGGGTGAAGGTTTGTATTTTTGAATCCATGCTGTTTGAGGAAAGGAGAGGGGAGAACCGGTGCATGGCAGGATTGTCGCCAAGATCATAGGATCAACAAAAAACCATCAAGTGGCGATGCGCTTGGAGAACGATGCATTCAAAACAGTACAAATGAGAATAATGGACAATGGTCTTGACGAATGCGTGTTGAAGTTAAAGGAAGGGAGGGGGGATCAACCGGATCAACCGATCCACGGCATAGACACAAGCACCCAGTCGCGGGACAAGATGGCGGCATCCATGGGCGGTCTTTCTCACCGGCCCTGTCCCTCCAAGATTGTCTCTGCAGATGCAATTAGGGGCTGGGCGCGGTCAGAAATCTAGTGCCAAGAGCCCGTCTTAGAGGAAAAAGGCCGCAACGACAGCGCCGAGCAAGGCACCACCGAGAGAAGCTTGCGAGCCAAGAGCGCCTGACTTGCTGTTGGGGTCTTTGTTGTTGCCGTTGTTGCTGTTGGGCTGAATCGGGGTGGTGGGAAGACCCGGAGGCTGGATGGGAAGCGAGTTGCCGGCGACCGGGGCCAGACCAGAGCGCGCCGAGCCGTGATCGAAAATGGAGTAGTACTGGCGGAGGAAGATATCGCCGAGGATCCAGCCAGGGAGATCGGCGGCAACTTGGAGAGCGAGAATGCAGATCTTGTTGACAGGGTCGTAGGCAATGTACTGCTGGTACGAGACCGGGAAGGGGTTGCCTTGCAGGTAAATGACAATGTCCGGCAGCGTTGGCTTGACGTCCTGGCAGTTGACCACGAAAAGCGACTGTCCCTGGAAGACCTGGGTGGTGATGTTGATACCGAGTCCGGGCTGGATGACGTTGGTGAAGCTGGCCTGGTCGATGACAAGCAGCGACGTTCCTGTCGGACGATCGGGGCACAGAGTTATAGGGTGAGTCACTCAGCCAGCGCGCGCACCAGCCCACCGAGCGGGACAACGATGTCAAGCAGCGCAGAAACCCACCCGTATCCAGGATGCCGACTTGGTTGGTGTTGATGCTTGTCGAGCCAACCTTGATGCTGGTGAGGTTGTGGGCCCAGAAATAGCGCGAGGTGGTGCCAGGGATATAGTCGATCGGGAGCCAGGTGATGCTGCCCTGGAAGCGCTGGGTGTTGTACCCGCCCAGGGTAAACTCGCCGCCGGGGTACTGCACATTGCCCGAGGACGAGCCGTTGAGCCACATGGCAAACATGGGACTCTTGATGGCACCGCGGCGGATCAAGCCCTGGACAACGGTCTCATAGATGTAGTTGGCAGAGCTTGCTATAAGGCGTAAGGCGGTTGCCGTTAGCAGACGTTTGCGATGACAAAGTCGGGCTGAGGATCGCACAGCCGTTCTGCCCATGCATACCGCACAGGCAATCCATGTCGGTTGGCCACCATGTGATCGACGGCACAGTAGCCAAGAAGCTAAAACACTGGCCCCAACGCTCTGTCTGCAGCGTCAGACCCCGATCGTCGGAAACAAGCATCATACTTACTGGTGGCGCGCTCGTTGAAAGCCAAACCGGCGATGCCGTCCATGCCGCCCTGGATCTGCTGCTGGAAAGTCTGATCGACCTGGAAGACATCGCTGAAGATCTGGGCCGTCGATGTGTAGCCGCCGAACTGGACATTGTCCTAGGAACATCAAAGCACTCGGAGTCAACACCAAAAGCTGCGGCCCGAGGTCGTTGCCGCATTTCCCACCCGGGTGACACTCTCACACGAGAACAATGCAGCCCTCAAACACAAGGACGCTTACGTAGACAAGAGTGCCGTTCTCGCTTCCAAGGCCATACAGCTGACCTTCACCCATGTTGGTGACCTGCGCCGTCGAACTCAGCAGAGGGTTGTATGCGGGGCTGCCGCCAGGGTAGATACACGCTCGGCACTGCGAACCGCGGACCCAAAGACGGTTGGATCCGGTATCGAAATCGACAAAGAAGAGTTGGGCGGGAGTTCTGTTGCAGAAAATGATGACGGCGATGAGCACACAGTTTGCCTTCGAGGGCGGCCCGCACACGGACGAGTGAGCGAGAAAGCTGGATGATGAGGAGGCCCACGGCTTGCACCGGATTGGACGACGATGCAATCTGGTCGGGTGGGCTCTGCATTGCACTGCCATGGAACATACCCGATGGCAACAGGGCCGAGATACTGGGCCGGCGAATCAAATCGTGCAGAGGTGAAGCCAGGTTCGGAACGGATCAGTGATCGGCGTAGACAGGGATGAGCCTACTCGGCGCTGGCTGGAGGATGACGATCAGGACTTACGGCACTGTCTCCCAGGTCGACGAGGGCATTGGGCGAAATACTGTCGGTGGCGGCGAAGCTCCTGGAGGCGCTGTAGCTATTCGACCATCTGGTCAGGGCAGCCTGGCTGGCGGCGGCGTACATCTTCAGCACCGACGGGGCGCTATCGGCGCCGGTATAGGTCTTCTGGATCGGGATACTGTTGGAGGGTCAGGGGCAAGCGACGGACAGGATGGATACGGATGCCTGTCAGATGGGATGCGGATCGACAGCTGCGTTCCAAGGGCATCGAGGATGTTCCACGAAGGCCGGCGAATGTGGGCCTGATCAAGACCAAGCCATCTCCTCCGAAACACCTGGGAGGACAACACATCCACAGCCCGAATGATATCCACAACGAGACCCAGACAGCACATACGTCAGGACGGAAGGCGAAGAGTCTGCCGATGCGAGACTGGCGGCCCACGAGAGGGCCAAGGCAGCGCCGAACTGCAGCTTCATGGTTGCTGGTCGGTGCGGAGACGAGGCAGGGGAAGACGGGATGGTCAGATGGCGAGATGGCGAGATGGGATGAATGATCGAAGGGCAGCACCACGCAAGAAAGGCTCGGCGACGGCGACGAAGAGCGGCTGCTTGGCGGGCGGGCGGGTCCGGCTCTGCCGCTGAGGAGGCGACAAGGGGCCAGACGCGCAGACGCGCACACGTGTGCGCCCGTGGTGGCGGTGCCAAGAGAGACACACTCTCTGTGCCTCTGTCCAGCAAGGCGGTGTGCAGGTGGCGGTGTGTCTGTGTCACAGCGAGTGCAGAACGCGCAGCCCCCGTAGAATACTGCTGCGTAGGACACAGCCCTGTGCGCCCGATCTGGCGCGTCTGGCGCACCGGGCGTGTCGGGCGCGTTGCACATCCGCGACAAGTGTCTCTATGTTGTGGCTTGTGCTGTGTGTGTGTGTGTGTGTGGGCTGTGCGGGCGCGTCGCGGGCTGAGTGCGCCCCAGTGTGGCGCAACGCAGACGCGCTTTTGGGCGGATCAGGCGGCAGCCGCGTCCGGCTGGATCCAGATCGAGTGCGGGTCCAGCCACACTCCAGCCAGGATCGAGTGGATCGGCCTGTGCGACCTCGGCTTGTGCGACCTTGCCGATGTTGCCGATGTTGCCAATGTTGCTGACGGAGCCGATGTTGCCGACGGAATCGACAAGTCCTTGGCCTGGACGCTCGACAGAAGGCTGTCTCCAGCCAACCGCCGTCAGGACCCGCGACACGCTGCGATTCGCCAATGCCCCGACCAACATCCAAAACTCTATGCGAAAAAGAAAAGATTGCGCGCCGGTGCCTCGCCCACACCGCGGTCGGATGATCTTGTTGCTGGCCATTTCCGATGGGGCTGGTGATGGCGTTGGGCGTGCGGGCTTGTCGTCGGCGCTGACTCCTTCTTTGGGCATGTCGGTGGATCCATGTCCTGTCTGGCCCATGTCCTGCTCGGCCCATGTCCCCGTCCTGTCCAGGTCTTGTCGAGTACTTTCCGGTTGTCTCTGTCGCCTTTCTCTCCCGCTGCACTCCAAGCCGCTTTCCATTCCGGGCTCGTCTGCTCTCCTCCGCTAATGACCTCCGCAGCACCAGACCAACTCATCCCGAGCCGTCCCGGCCAACTCTAATCGAGGCGGAGCGCCAACCAGCCCGCGCCCTGTACAGCTCTGTACATCAGGTGGGGGTGGCCGAGGCGCCAGTGGGCCGGCTCGCACAAGCAGGCGTCGCCCGAAAAAGAAAAGGCCGGCTGTTGCTCCTTGCACCGAGGTCGCACGGAGCCCTGCAGGACCGTTTAGTGGTCGGGATCATGGTGCAGACCCAGACATATAAAGCCGTTGCGCCGTCGACCCTGTCTCCACACCCGTCACCGACAGAGCCAGCACCGGCCCAAGCCCGACTCCGACTCCGACTCTGACTTCTCGCCCCGCTCGTCTCTCCGCCATGCTGTTCAAGTCTTGCGCCGCCGCCCTGGTTCTCGGCCTCTCCCTGACGACCGGCGCCCTTGCCAAGGGCGACTTCTCCGAGTACATCAGCAACCTGGATCACCGCATCGGCTCCATCTCGGAGCAGCTCTCGTCCGATGCCACCGCGGCCTACACGGCCCACACCGACCTCCTCGAGGACGGCTCCTTCCAGGGATGGGTCAAGCAGGTCAAGGACCACATCGATGGGCAGAGCAGCTTCGGCGCCGCCGATGACAGCGAGAATGCCCATGAGGACAACGTCCAGTCGCTCGTCCAGACTGTCTTTGTAAGTAGTGCGCCGTTGTGGTGCCATCGGTCAGATTGTCGATCAAATTGCAGCGTCTGTCATGTTCCTGTCTGTGCAGCCGCATATGATATTGACGATATTCCCACGACCGCTTGGCGGACTATACGATCCACAGGGCCAAAGCCTCTCTGGCGACGACGCCGACAAGCAGCGCCAGGCTGTCCTCACTGCCGTCCTGCCCACCTCGTTTGATGCTCGCCAGAAGGGCTGGGTCAAGAACATCAAGAACCAGGCCAACTGCGGCAGCTGTGTCGCCTTCTCCACCGCCGAGGTCATCGAGGTTGCCCTGGCCACCACCGGCGTCTCTGCTGATGTCTCCGAGGCCGATCTCTTCTTCTGCCTCGGCGCCTCTGCCGGAGCCTCCTGCGCTACGGGCTGGTACCCTCATGATGCCATCGCCAAGGTTGCTGCCCAGGGCTTTGCCGACGAGTCCTGCTTCCCCTATACCCCGCGAGACACCCCCTGCCGACGCGGATGCGCCCGCCACACCGGCTTCAAGCAGGTCAACTTCCGCTCCATCAACGACATCAAGCAGCACGTCGCTGTTTACGGCTCTGCCATCACCGCTTTCACGGTCTACGACGACTTCCAGCAGTGCTGCCGCAACAACGCCGTCTACCACCAGGCCTCCAACCGTCGCGAGGGTGGCCATGCCGTCTCCATCATCGGTTGGGACGACAGCCGCCGCGCCTGGCTCTGCCGCAACCACTGGACCACCAACTGGGGCACGAACGGCTTCTTCTGGATCGGATACGGCGAGGCCGGCATCAACTCGCTCAGCGAGACTCTGGGACTCATTCCTCCCTCGGGCCCTGCTCCTCCCAAGACCACCGCGCCCGGCCCCAAGCCCACTAAGAAGACCAAGAAGACCAAGAAGGCCAAGAAGACCAAGGCCCACAAGTCTCAGTAAACAGCGAGTGCCTCTCCCCGGTGGACGAGCACCTTGACACCTTCTCTTCATGTCGATTTCTATGCCCTTCCGTGTCATTTTCGCGATTGGCTGTCCCTAAGTGCAGTGATGCAGGGATGTAGTTCCTTCACAAACAATGCCTCCGCTTTGACCATCGGGTGGCGGTCGGTGGCCCCTCTTTCGCCCTCACCGTCGCCGGTGTCACTGGTGTCGGCTGTCGATATCAGACTGTTGGTCAGCGGAGCTCCAAATACAAAATGTCGAGCTTTTACTGAACTTGCACAGCGAGATTGTGTCTGAACTGCGCTGGGTCCCTTTGGCCAGCTGAGTGTGCGAGGCGGTGTGCGATTGCGCCCTCGGTCATTCGTGTACTCGGGGTCGCTGACCACGGGCATCGCACTCTAATGACCAAGGCTGATCTCAGGACCCGTTTGGAGTCTATGCAGTCGCCAGAGCGGCTCCGTTCTTGCTCAACTATGCTTGTGTCGAGTGCTTTCTGCATGTTCGTGATGCGAAAGAACATTCGACGGACCGGCAGTTCCTTGTGGCAGCCAGACCAGACCAGAACAACAAGCCGGACCAGAAAGTCTGTTCTGATTATGATCGACCCCGCAAGAGGCCTGGCCATGGTGGCTGGACATGGCTGTCGCGCTGCGGGCTGTTGTTCCCACCCTCTGCGCCCCTGTCCGTTCTCGGATGACCTTGCGCACACCGCCAGCACCATATCTGCGCTCTTGGCGGTATCTGACCCCACACGCGCATGGTTCCTGGGTCTCCCGGCACCAGCAGACCCGCCGTCCTCGCTGCCAGGGATGCCGCTCCCCCACCATGCGCGACGTCGTGTGATCTGCGCAGCGTGCGCAGGAATGGTCCGTGCCCTCGGGCACTGAACCGCGTCGGTCCTTTCTCATTTTCCGCCTTGCTGGCCGATTGGTCCCTGGTCCCAGTCACAGACTCGTGACCGGCCACAAGGACATGCGTTCGCTGGGGCTCCTCGCGCTTCTTGGAAGCACAGCATTCCTCCGTCGCGGCGCATATGCAAATGTCGACATCCGTGTCGATGTCGAGCAGCGGGTGTGCTCCGATTCAACAGACAGCCGTGCCAGAGAGCAGCGCCGTCTGCCCAGTGCCGCCAACAGAACAACATGCCGTGGGCGACTGTGCCGATCGCTGCCGAGAAAGAAAGAGATGCCCCCCACATGGCCTTCGCGGCAGCACAGACAACCATGGCGCCGCGCTCTGCGACCCGTCGCGGGGTCACGTTCGCGGTCACGCCCGTCTTGTCGAGCCGTCAGGTGGGCCGCGCGTCGTCGTTGCTCCAACGTGCGGGCCTGCCGGGATAAATTCCCTGCTTCGGCGCTGCTGCCTTCTTTCTCCTCCGTCCCGCAATCCCTCTTCCCTCCTCTTCCCTCCTCCTCTCTTCCAAGTCCAGCCGGCAACGATGCTTACCGCCAAGTCTCTCCTCGGCACCCTCCTGCTCTCGGCCGCCGCCCAGGCCGCCTGCACCACCGACGGCTACTTCTGTGCCGCCTCGGGCTCCTCCCCGAGCTACACTGTCTGCGCCGGCGGTGCCTCATACAGCTTCACGTGCTCAGCTGGCACCGTTTGCGTCCAGAACGGATCCTCGGTCTACTGTGGCTTCTCGGTAAGCGGTTCTGCCATCATCGTATGCTGCACGCCTCGGCTGCGATTCCCGAATTGCGCACTGGCTGTCTCCCGACGCCATCGCCCCGACCCAAGATCGCCAGATCCATGCTCCTCTTTCTCAGATTGGCTCACTTTCCTCCCAACGCATTCGATATTCCCCAGACCGGCACCACCACCACCACCACCACCACCACTACTACTACTACCACCACCACTACCACCACCAAGCCGACCACCACCACCACCAAGCCGAGCTCCACTACCACTAAGCCGAGCACCATTGCCAAGTCCACCACCACTACTACTACCACTACCACTCCCGCCAAGACCACCACCACCACCACCACTCCCTCCAAGACCACCACTACCACCGCTACTCCCACTACCACCGGCTCGGCGTACGTCCCCGTCAACCTCCGCAGCAGGATCGGCAAGCTCGTCATGGGCTACTGGGGCAACCAGTCCGGCTACGGAGAGCAGTCCCTCGCCAGCTACTGTGACACCGGTGACTATGATGTCATCTACCTTGGTAAGTCTTGAGCCACAGGCTCTTCCTTTGCCATACGATCGCGCATCGCGATGGAATCCCACGCTGACCCGCTGCTCCCATTTCCAGCCTTCATGTACATCTGGGGCCAGGGACAGGCCCCCCAGGTCGATTTCTATGGAAACCCCAACGGCGCCGTGCCCAGCATTTACCAGCTCCCTCAGGTGGCCGCTGATGTCCAGCACTGCCAGTCCAAGGGTGTCGCCGTCATGATCTCCGTTGGCGGTGCCACCGGCACCTCGTATCTTTCCTCTGCCGCCGATGCCACCGACTTTGCCAACAAGCTGTGGAACCTCTACCTCGGCGGCAACGTCAACGACCCCAGCCGTCCCCTCGGCACCACCGTCCTCGATGGTGTCGACCTCGACATCGAGGATAACGTCCAGCAGTACTACGACGTCTTTGCCACCTCGCTCCGTGCTGCCGGTGCCAGCAAGGGTCTCTATTACCTCACCGGAGCCCCCCAGTGTGTCATGCCTGACGCCGGCCTGAACACTGCCCTCCAGAACGCTGGCAACCAGTTCGACTGGGTCAACGCCCAGTACTACAACAACTACTGCGGCGTAAGTCTCGCTGGCCGGCATGTCCTCCGCTCTGCCCGATCAAAGCCGGCCGTTCTCGTTGCCTATTGACCGCCCTAACCATGTCTCTCTCGTTTTGTGTCTCTGCATCCACCCTCCCCCGCTGACTCCAGGCCAACGCCTACTCAAGCCCTGCCGACATTGCCAACACCCAGGCTTCGTTCTCGTACGCCGCCTGGAACGCCCTCGGCGCCCAGAAGGGCTTCCAGTCCGGCCTCGGTCTCGCTGCCTCCTCCAACGCCGCCAACACCGGCTATGTCTCTCCCTCCACCGTCCAGAGCATCGTCAGCGCCATCCGTGCCAACCCCACCACCTCGCCCAACTTTGGTAAGTCGTCCTTCTTGTCCGCGTGATCTATGCGCGATGCATTCTGGATTCCCCCCTGCTATGGCCATCCGCCGACTGATATCTAAACATGCTTCAACTTGTTCTCTCCATCAAACGCACTCCATTCGGCCGCCACTCGCACCCGCTCTGCCATCATCCTCTCGAACGCACTCAAACAGCCGGTGTTATGTTCTGGTCGTGCGCTCACGCTGCCCAGAACGGCAACTTTGCTGCCTCGATGAGAAGCATCCTCGGATAAAGCCAAATGCCAGCCTTCCCTCCCACTATGATGCCTTTGCCTCCCTCTCCCGCCTTTCTAATGTACAGTGCTATCAGTCTAATACGTCTGTGGCCCTTTGATCCTGTGTCTTCCTGGTGTTGTCCTCGAGCAAAACTCCTTGTTATACGACCAATCCCGAGCAGTACAAATACAATCGACTGTCGTCCTTACAATCTGTCGCCAGGCCGTGTGTTATTTCTCCGATTTAAGGCCCGGAATTGGCTTGTCAAGAACACAGCCGCCCTGTGCGGCCTTGGCAAAGAGCTCGGTTGCTCTGGTCTGGCATTCCGGGTCGTCCGAACTGCTCAGGAACCTTGCCATCACAAAGTGGGTCTCTGGTGCGTCCTGGTATATGGGCTTTGAGCGGTGCAGATATTAGACGTGCGGCCATGAAGGCTGGCCAGGACTATGGGGCAACTTACATATAGGATGTACTTCAAAGCCTGAGGGGTTGATGTCGATGTGAACAAGCCGCTGTAAGGGTTGTTGTAACGACACCAAATGGGATCGACATTCTTGACCCAGACCAAATGCGGCCCGTGTTTGAACCACTTGGATGAAGCTGCCGTTTGGACCAGGCTCCAGCCTCCGTGCTTGATGCAAGTGTCGCCATTCTCGTATGTTAGAGGTTGCACCGCACTTGATTCGACGAATATACCATTTTCCAATTTCCAGGCGACTGTTTTATCATATCCTCTCGCTGTGATGATGCTCTCATCGGCTGATATGGTAAATTCGTGTATACTGCCGGTGTGACCAGAGAGAGATTGCATTGGTGCCCTCTTCTCAACATCCCATACTTTGATTGTGCTGTCAACATCTCGGAATACGGCCAACTTTCCACTTGGAGAAATGCCCACCACTGATGCACCCGAATGAAACAAAGTGATTCTGGTGAGTAATGCGCGAGCACTTGGTCTCTTTGATATCATGAACCTCAATTGGAGCGAGCAAATGTTGTCAACACACTGATGTATACATTACATCGTCCCTTTGGTCTTGGCAATGTGAGCCCGGATTCCCTTTCACCAGTGGCAACATCCCAAATATCGACAGTATCACCATATCCAGACACTATCTTGGTATCATCATCCGTTATTGCGAATGATTGAACTCCGCCGGATGTGGGGGTCAGAGTGTGCCTCAGACTGTAATTATTCGCATCACATATGATGAGCCTGCTCCTTGTCGATGCCACAAAGAACGAGCGGTCGTTCGATAGTCGAGCCGTTTTGAAATTGGCTCCATATGGCAACGAGCCGTAGTATTGGCCGGTGAAAGCATCCCAAACAGAACTATCTCCGTTTTTCCAATCAGAGTCGCTTCCCAATATATACTCTCCTTGTGGGGTCACAATGGCTCCACTGATTATATGAGGACTGGTCATGCCCGTTCGCGATCGGATTCATGCAGCGGCAGACATGGCGGAAGGTGGAGATTGCGCCAGGTGGTGGGAGATGACGAGATCCGCCAGATGACGGGACTGTTAAATGATACTATGAGACGATGGGGCATGTCGGGCTGTGGGAGATGGTAAAGACCGCCGAGTGGGATCGAGAAGCGAACGGATTGCCACGCCAGTGATCGGACGAGCAAGTCCCGCAAGACTCTGGTGCATGTGCTACTGGACAGCCATTGCAAGTCCATTCAGTGTCGATCACGGCGGCGATATCCCACTCCTTCGCAGAGCATCTGCATCATTGCCCACACGCCACGCAGCACGGTCGTGATTGCCGATGTGGAAGCTGTCGGCACCATCGTTGGGTCACAAGCAAGTGTATATTGAATGGCCATACCCTCAGTCCACGCCGGGCCACTGGCTGCTCTGTTGCTGTTGTGCTGTGCCGACACAAGCGACGTATCGACGGTGCGTGGATGTGTCCCGAAACTTGAAGTGTCTGTCTGCTGTCCATGTCGTCGATGTCGCTCTCGCATCGCCTGGATCGGAGTGCAGGTCTGTCGGAGCAACCGTGCGCAGCATCTCGATCGATTTTGGTCGCATTCCACTCGATCAACTTCCACTCGATCAACTTCCACTCCATCAACTTCCACTCGATCAACTTTCATCGCATCGCATCCCCGCGTCCCCGCATCTCGATTCATCCCGTCCGATCCCATCGCATCTTGGCCGCAAGATCGCGCTGCTCCGCGATTGCCGTCACGCCATGCCCCGACGTGCCCGGGATGATGATACTTCCAGCAACGGCTCCTTTCTTGATGCCCTTGGCGCATCCGAGCACATCCAGCAGGTGCGAGTGATTGCTCGCTCGCTCGGGTGCCGTCTGATGCCCGACTCATCTCACCCCGCCGCTCCACACAGGGCGATGTCTCGATCGACTGGAGTCACATACCACACAAGCTGAAGCAAGGTTGTGCGTCCTGTGCTCTTCACTCTGACCTGCTCAGCGCTCGCCGCTCCTGTTGCCCCAGACCCCACAACTGCCGCCTGACTTGCATTTTCTTCCTTGGCTGCAGAAATCCAAATCGGCCTGCAAAGGGCATCGGGGCCGCTGGATGGCGAGTCGACCCCATCGATTCGCTCCGTGGCCTCTGTCGATCTTGCCCGGAGAGCGGCGACGGCATACCCTCAGTCCTCTACTTCGTCCTCTCCGCAACGTTCGAGCTCTCCTGTCCCGCATCATCGCCCCAGACCCTCGTTCTCGGCATTTCTGGATGACGGCGACCGGCCTTTGGACCATCCGCCGCGATCGTCAATGCTCAGGGCACCAAGCTCCCCGTCCATATTCTTGCAAAACAAATCCTTCTCGGCGAGCCGCCTCCCCGCAGGCCGCCAGTTCGATGCCGGGACTCAAAGCACACCCGTATACACCCTTCTGCCCCATCATCGCTCATCATCGCCTCAGCCCCCGCTCCATGTCCAGTCGTCAACCCAAACCGATGCAATGCCCGTCCCAGAGCCTGTTTCCGACTCGCAGCCTGACTCCAAGCGCCTCAGCCCCACCCTGAAGGCGGCCGACCTGGATCAGCTCGCTGATGCCCCACGACCATCGCCCGACAAACAAGATCGATCGCCTCGTCTCGATCTCCGAGCCCTCGAGTCCCCTGCACGGCAAGATGGCGGGCCAGGGTACAAACGCAGCAAGCCGGAATCAGAGTCGGGACTGTTGAGCCGCACAGCTCGTCTGGTTGACCCCCGGCGAGAGCTCAACCACACAGATCCCGACATGGACGACGAAGATGCCTTTGAGAGAGCGGTGAGGATGTATGCATGTCAACATGGACCAAAGCAGCGCCGACCGATCCTATGCGCAAGCCGATGCACTGACTCGTGAGAGCGCCGACAATTTATCGTCCTGGATGTACACTCAGGATATGGCCCTCGAAGAGTCATTCCGGTAGGATTGCATTCGCACAGCCCAACGTGATCATCCAACAGCCGTCGATGCACCCATGCTGACATATGCAAACCACACACAGTGAGTCTCTGATCGCAACACAAGTGACGCTGCAAGAAAAGCAGAGCTCCCTGTTCAAGGTGCAGCACGAGCTCAACTGTATCGCCAAGTCGCTGAGGGTACAACCGGTGCTTTCGATGTCGGCGAGCAGCAACCGTGCTGATTGCTTGTGAATGAATGGGTGGCATCAGAAATCGTCATTCACACTGATCCCTCACAGAAACGAAGCAAAAAACTGAGTCTCCGCGAAGCCGAGCTCAATGATCGCGACAAATCCCTCGAGGCTCGCATCAGCCAGGAGGTTGCTCGCCGAGTTGAGGAGGAGCTGCAGCGACAGCAAGAGCGCTGGAAAAAGGTATTGCCTTTCTTGAGGGCGGATCGGCACTGGCTGATCGATGCAAACCGCATATCAAAGCATCGAGCCGCTCTCTAGCCCACTGGATCCTGATGCTACTGGCATGGTCTCCTTTGGAACAAAGGAGCTCGATATGGTCCTGGATCGCTGCGACAGCTCATTGAACATGCTATCCAAAGAGAACAAGAGGCTCCAAAACGCCATGAAGGACATGGTCGTTGTCAACAAGAAGCTGCGGGAGCAACTCAACCAGGTCACAGAGGAGGGCTTGGCGAAGAATGCCCGCATCGACAAGCTGACGGCCCAGTTCAAGGAGGTGCGCCATCGTCTGCGTCTTTGAAGCTCGAGCATGTGCTGGCGGATATCTAACCGAGCCGTGGCAGTACCGCGATCGCAGTGAGCGGCTCAAATCAACGCTGAGCGCCAAGCAAGCAGTCGAGCCGGTGTTGAACACGTTGGCGCTACGCAAAAAGGAGGCGCCGGTCGAACCAAAGACTGAGCAGCAGCCAAAGAAGATCAGTGCCGCTGCAAAGCGCACAGGTAGGAAGTATAGAGCCTGCGAGCTGAACGAACGTATCCAGCTGGTTGTTGCGATCGCAGGCGAGCGTGGTTGATCGCGATCGAGTGTGCTCATGCACTCGCTTTGCATCTCGATTGCTCTAGCGAGCACCCAGACCGAGTCGCATATACTTCCGAGTATGGCCGTATGCACAAGTCAGTGCTACATCAAAAACAATCAGGTATTGGCCGACGGGTGATAGGCCGGCCATATAACTCAATCGCATAATACTGCTACGCATAGCCATCGAATGCGGGTCTCGAACCAACCACTTGTTATGCATCGTCTCTGCAATATCGACGCCCTTTAACACCACAGGCGACGGCAAAGCTCAAAAACTACACCCAGATTCTACTTGCAATCATCTGCCGATTATCGCAGCGGCCCACAGTCGAACACGAGCGCGTCAGAGCGCTTATCCACGAAAATCGGTCATTTGTAAGCAGCGTGCACCCTCTGGAGAGTCAGTAACTCGATGAAGCTGGACTTGATCAAACTCAGCCGAGCCATGGTGTCGACGGTAGCCACAACTTACGCCCGCATCTGCGATGCTTCTGCTTCACGATCCAGGTGCTGGACACGGTAGTATCAACGTTTATCGAGGTTTGCGATCACAAGTGTCAGCTGGTGGACCAAGGCGCAATCCTGGACTTGTCGACCGCATACTATGATATCATCTTGGGCATCTGCAGATCCGATCTGTTATCGAGTGAGCAGGTACGGACGCTGCAGCTCTGCGGAGAATTGAATCCGCTGGATTACCATTCAAGCGGACATGCAGTTTGTGCGGTGAACGTCGGCGCGCACCGCCGCAAGGGCGATTTGGACTTTATCGAGTGCAGAGAGCTGTTGGGGACTGAATACAGCCATTTGCTGAGATTTCTTGGTGTCGGAACAGACCTTCCAACTGGCACAGGTGGCATACAAGCGCTATACCGACCTGGTGGCGAGCGATGAGGCGCAACACGCCGACACCGGGATCGATCGCGTACTACTTTCGTTGATCATTGCATCTGGGGTCCAGCAAATCGACGTCCTTGAATCTGTGCTCGATCGACTGCTGCTCGACTTGGCAGCGGATCAGGTTGGGATTATGTGTGCTTGGGTGTCATCTGCAGGCATGCTTCGATGCTCCGGCGCTCCGATGCTCAACTTCTGTCGCTGCATTCTGTCCCGCGACCATCGTCAATTCTACCGGCATCCAGGCGAAACTCTGTTTCCTCGACCACGACGGGCTCGGTATCGTGGCGGCGTTTCTTGAGAAGAATAGCTACGGAACCATTGGCGAGCTAGTTAGCTCGATTGTGCTGAGTCTTTGCTCGGAGGGACGTAAGTATCGAGGTGTCGCTCAGCCTTGAACAGGATCGGCGGATACGGATTTGCAGGAAGCGCCGCCGGCAACGGGCAGATCTGGCGTGGTCGCATATCCAGCCAACTCGGCACACTCGACTCACTCCAACTCGCTCGAATTCGCTGCTGACTGGCCCGCGTCCAGCGTATCTGCACAAGTTCCTTGAGATGTGTGGCAAGAGCAATCGACTGTTGGATGCGGTAGCATCGGCACTGGGTTCCTCCAAGATGACCGTGGCCGAGAACCTCTCCGTACTGGTCCAGAAGCTCTCGAAAACAGTGTAAGTCCCGTGTGGCATCGATGAATCCATGGACCGATGCCGCTGGCGATCAAGTGGCAGGTAGCGAGGCTATCGGCACTGACACAGCGCCGCCAACAGACTCGGTCAAGAAGCCATTGCCAACCACCGCGCTCTCTTCGGTCTGCTGCGTGACATCAAGAAGAACCAGGTCCAGTACCAGAGCAGCGGCGGCGAGTTTCTGATTCTCAACGTAACTTCGGCGCTGAACTTCCTGGACACCTGACGGCCTGGCCGTAGACTCTGTGTTAGGACATGTGCGGTGCAGCGCACAGCTGTATCGGTACCCAGAGCCATGTTCCAAATAGATTTGGCTATCGTTTCCATATCATGTGCACAGCGCAAGCTGAAACCACCGCCACAGAGTCGAGGTGGCCCTGGCAGGACCAAGCCCTCCCTCCCCCCGAGCACAGGCGCATGGGAATCAATCACACATACGTCAGCGACGCCGATGATGCACACTGATGATGCATATGGTATCACGCCGCGAAACGCTGAGGTCAGACTTTTGGCTGCGACGGGAAGACACTGCCTCAGGCCAAGTTGTGCTCTTCTCTGGGACATCCATCTCCCTGTTCACCACGGCGCTCACCAGTAGACCAGCCACACCACAAGATCTTGCTGCAGTCGCCTACAACAATGAAAGCACATATGACGATGGAGGTGCTCGAGTCGGGCTCGACCCAGAAGCGCAATCGAAACGAGACCCTGGAAGCGTTTCTGTCGCGAGTGACCCACATTGCACTCCACAACAAGGGCATCGAGAAGATGGTAACGAACGTGCCCGCAGTGTTCATTGCACCTCAGGGACAGCAATGCATGCGGCTGTGCCTGCGTCGTGCCGTGCCCCAAGATAGCTCGCTGCCCGACGTTAATATCGTCGCAAGCCGCTGTCGTCTGTCGTTGATCATAACTTTGACGCGTTCATGGCGAGCCCCAGAGGACAATGTTGTTTGATGCATGCTGGCCTTTGGTCTAACAGTGCCCATTCCACGGCTGGCTCTAGGAAAACCTCAGCATTTGCAGGCACCTGTCGGGTACGATGTCTTTAGACTCGGGTAGAAGGGTTGTGGATGGCCGAAGGGCTCCCGTGGCTGGTTTTGAAGAACGACGAATGGCATCACACCACTGAATCCTCCCATCGCTCTGGCCACGGCTGGTGTCGTGTGCAGTTCTCTATCTCTACGACAACAGAATCACGGAGATCTCTGGGCTTGAGGGCTGCGTGAATCTCGAGCGCTTGTATTTGCAGAACAACTGCATCACAAGGATTGACAATCTGAGCTTTGGCCTGCCCAAACTCAAAGTCCTGTAAGCAGCGAGTGTCGACCGCCAGCATTATCAAGAAGTTGCTGTGGGTGACCCTTTGGGCTGGCATTGAATACTGAGACCAGTGCCACCGTCCGGATTGCGCATGGATTCGTCGAAACCAGACACTTGAGCCACAACCAGATCCGCGTTCTCGAGCACCTCGCAAACCTGCCCATGCTAGAGGCGCTGCATGTGGATCACCAGCGGTCCGACGGCCCGTTTGAAATCGATGACGACTGTATGGCCGAGCTCGGCGTAGGTCATCTTCATTCGATTCTGTCGCATCGCTGGATCGCCATGTCCATCGCTTCTCGATTCCCACGATGCATGCATTGTGCTTGCAACAGCAGATACCCCCTCCTCTCTGCAAGCAATGTGCATCTAATTGCTGTATTTCCCCGGGCTTATCTAGAAAACGCTCAAAACTTTGACCCTCAGTAGCAACCGGATCACGAGCATCCGCTCGCTCGTCCACTGCCAGGAGTTGATGGAACTCGTGTTGGCAAACAATCAGATCCAAGACTGGCCGGTACGAGGCTGCTGAGCAGCGCTGCATCCTTGCCGGAGGCATGATGGGCCCAACACTCCCTCCAGCCCAGCTCGACTCGCTCACTGTTTGTCGCTTGTGGTCAATTTAGGAGCTTGAGAGCGTACTGTGCTCGTGCAGCGCCTTGATCAAGTTGGACATTACTCAGAACCCGATATGCCATATGATCAAGTTCCGCCCCAAGGTGATCTTGGCCGCGACCAATCTCGGTATGTCTTGGCCGAAGGATGGCACTTTCTGAAGGAGAATACTTTGCGAGGCAGACCACTTGCTCATACCCACATGTCAGGGCAAATGCCGCTCGCCCAACAATATTGACTCATCCGAGGTGTGCTCCTCAGTCACGCTCAACGACAAGGATATTCCTGACATCGAGCGCCAGTTCTTGCAGTCCATGGAGATGGCACAACTGCATCGACGGGCACGTTTGGGCTCTGGACCGACAGGCGATATGCTCCAGGGGCTCACCAGCCAGATGGAGATGATGGGAACGTCAGTTGCTGAGTTTGAGGAACAGCTCTCGAACGACAGCTACGGGCACAGGCCAATCCCACACCTGCCGCCCTATGCGAGCCAGTACAGGTACTATCGGATGCCATCAGTCTTTTCAGACCCTCGGCAGTGCGCTGGCAAATCTGGGTTGCTTCTGCGGGCAGTCGATTCAGGAGCTCCACCGTCGCAATGCATGCTCACACTCATCGTAACACATCGCTGCGGACAGAGATCTGATGCTGCATCAGCTCAACACCATCTCGAAGCTCCAGAGCCTGGAAATCACAAACTCGCTGGGCAAACCCGGCACCCGGACGCGGCCCTCTCCTCCGTTTAGTCGGACACTCTCGCAGAGCAGCATCAACTCGCACAAACTGTCGGAACCCCCAGGACTGGTCTCGGCCGCGCCGTATCAAACTGCTGCCATACCGTACCAAGCCGCCACCCTCAACAACTGGAAAAAGCCAAGCTTCCTGGACGCAGGGGAGAAGGTACCCATGAGTCTGAAAGCTGCGCGTGCTGCCGAGAGGGCATCGCAGCGGGTGGCTACATTCGCCTCCTCCATGGAGAGCCGCGAACGGGAGGTTGGTCTCTCGGGATCGAGCCCAGCAAAGCCATAGCCGCCATCGTTCGTTGCAGACATCATCTTAGTACGTCCGAAGAGACGTGGCTGCGGTCGCGAGCCGCCCAAGATGCAAATCGGATCTGATCATCGTGCCACACTCCAACACAACTGGTACACAATACAGCGACGGCGAGCTGCTCCCTCAGAACCGCCGCCCAAAGTTGCACATATGCAGCTTGTTGTATTAGAGCCTGGAGGACATCAGAACAGAGTCCACTCGCGTGGAAGCTCGGCAGAGCGGAGGAGGCCGGCGACTCTCTCAACCACGGCGCCGTCTTCAGGCACGATCGAGACAGCGCCAATGTCATAGAGCTCTTTGACTGAGGCAGAACCCACGAGGACAGCAGTAAGATGCCCGATGGTCGTTGAGACAACAGCATCGTATGCGTGGCCGGCCTGACCGTCCTGTCGAGGCGACCATTTGGACTCGACCACGCTACTTTTGCCATTGACAAACTCGATGCCGATCCATCCATTGGTGCTCTCGTGGAACGAGTCCGAGACCTCGAAACGCACCCGGATCGATTGGTTGTTGAAGTTGCGGTTGGCGCCGAGTCGGCCCTCGCGGAAGAATCCGTCGAGGTCAACGAGGCGGTACATAATGCCAGGTGCTCGCTGGCCTGCGGGTTGGCACAATCGGCGGATCAGATGGGTCGGGAATTCGTTGCGATCGCGCTCGTCAGAAAGCAGTCGGTGCAGCTGCGGGATTTGGGTGGGGAACTTGACCTGTAGAGCAAGATCAGGGAGAGCCCCATTAGGTGCCGTCAGGCACGGAGCAGCGGCGACATGAGAATCAGAGCCAAGACAGTCAGCTCACATGGCGAATCTGGTCCAGCTGTACATGCAGGAATCCAAGGAGTCCAGAGAGTGCGTGTTTGTTTTCATGGGTCAGCTCGACGACCTGGATGTCGTTAGTGAGGAACGCCTGGGGTTTGGAGAGGGGGTTTGAAAAGCGTGCCGTCAGACCACAGAGGAATCAAGGAGGAATGCGCACCCGGGCAACACAGATCGATGGCTCGGCCCTTGGGGATCGATGGGCGGAGGAGGGCACATGCGCCGGTCGACTGTTCGTCAGTTCGCACCTCGGTGGTTTTGAAAGTATAGATGATATATCCACGTAGCTTGCCGTCGCCGTCCCTCCAGCCCACAGCCTGCGAGTCTCCGTTGGTATCGAACAGTGCCTTGATCTCCGCCTTGGTTCGCTGAAACATGCCGTGGACCTTCTCGGCATAGCGGGTGTAGTGCTCGTGTGCCTCTTCAATGTCGGCCGGGCCCAAAGGGACCAAGGACGAGTTCGCGGGCATGGGAACAAGCTGCCGGGGGAAGGCCGCCGGGGTGACGGTGTACTCGATCCAGGGAGTAGATGCGGAAAAGCCCATCTTGGCTGTGATCGCACAGAGCGGATGGGGTAAGTACGTGCGATCAGTCAACGGCGGGGTCCGCCAAGTGAATGTGCTGCCAGTTGCCGGGGATGTCGACGAAGCTCAGGCTGGTGCTGTTCCGATCGAAGTCTAGGCTGGTGCTGTTCCGATCGAAGCTACGGCACAAGGCCTATTTGTCCATACTATACCCCGGATACGCACCGTAGAACTCGGGCCGGAAGGCATAGAGGGCCACGAGGGAGTGTTGCTTTCGCTGCGCCTCGCTCAAGAAGAACTGGACCGTAGCCTTGGCAAGGCCCTTTTTCTTCTGGAGAAGGTCGGTGCCGACGAATCCGAGGCCGAGGACATCGGTGGGCACCCCATAGAGGTTGACGATGAAGTCGGTGTGGCCAGAATATGCCAGCAAGCCCGGGGTCGGCGTGATCTGGGTGCTGGCGGGCTTGTCCTTCTCGGGCAACTCGGACGATGAGCTGCCGACCGCAGGAGCGCTGACCACGACCGAGAGCGACTTTGGATTCGATGCTGTCGTTTGAATGCCCTCGGTGTTGTTGGCAAAGATGCCCCACATGCTGTGGATTTCGGTCCGGCAAGCAGGATGGCGAGCGCACGGTGATCAGAGACGAAAGCGTCCTGCATTCTCTTGGACCTCAAGGCCGATCTGAGAGACAGCAGCCGCACCCGCAAGATCATGCGATATCGCCGGCGCACGAATGATGGCGATATGCGATCCAAATGGTTTGGCAACGGCGACCTACGTCTTGGCAGGGTTGACCTGGATAGCCTGGTACCATTCAGAGGCTTTCTTTGATCGGGTCTCGAAGGAGGTGAACTGCCGATGCAACCACGGCGATAAAATGGAGTGTAAAGTCAGTATGACCAGCAACGGTAACAGCAGCGATGACAGTGTGCATGTTTGTGTGCGAATGTCGGAGAACTCTCGAAAGCCGAGCACGGACGAGCAGCCCCCACCTTCATTCCAGGATAGCTGTTTGCCGATTTCGCAGGGTAAGGTGAATTAGTGAGTGTAAGCACTGCTGTGGCAACGAGGGTTTGCATGTTGTCTGCATCAGCGATGTCTCGCCGTGCACGGATGGACGACAGATGCGTCGCAGGATCATACCAGAGCACGGCCGAGTTGCTGAGGGCAGCAAAGTCTTCGATCGACTCGAGCTTCCGGAACGAATACGCAGATGATGAAGCCATGTTGGAGGGCTGCTGGTGCTGGATGGCAGCCGAGGCCGCTGGCGAGACGGTCGATGGCTTTATAGGGCATGAACCGGGGGCATGAACCGGGCTGGTGGGTGAGTCATGTGCGTCTTGGCAGCGGGGTGCGCTGCGGCATCCAGACCCATGGCCACGAGCCAGGGGTTCCCAAGGGCGCACGGGGCTGGCTGGCTGAGGACCCATGCCGAGAGGCATGGCTGCATGGCCGGCCTGGGATGCCGGGGTGTGATGGCCGACAGACAGACATGGCCCCGATGGCCAGCCTCTCGACGCCCAGCCGAGCCGATCAGAGACACAATGGCAACATTGTCTCTGCGCCGGATCAGCGATCCCGACCAGGGCGAGACAACCGACCCGCCATCGCTTCCACAGCAGGCCACACCAGCCAGCTGTTCCCAACACCGTATCGAGCCCACCCGCCCCCGCCCAACACAGCTACAGCCGCCCAGCAGCTTTACCCAAGCAAGTCATCGATCGCACTCCTGCAAGCTTCAGCTATAGATTAGGACCGAGATGTTCTTGAAGCCCAACCGGTAACACTCGCAACGAGGCTGAAGCAGGCAACGCGATACCCATGGCAGATCGCAGCGAAATCCGGTCCTGACTGATAGCGGGTGGTCTGTTCGTTGCCCTGGAAACTCTTCGATAACAGTAGCTCTGGCAAGCTCTCAAATGCAGTCAGCGTTTCATCGCAAGATCTGCCCAGGAGCCGCAGCCGTGGCTCGATTTCACCGACGCTGCCTGATCAAACACACAAACCAATGGCCAGAATCATGTAAGAGTGGGAGGGCTCAGTCTATGGAGCTGCCGCCCAGATTGTTTTGCCTTTGGTTGTTCCAACGAATTCCACGTTTGCATCGGTATCGTGAAATGGATCTGTTGATTGCGCTGCGACTGCGACTGATATGTCGGTATCGTGGCGGTATCGTGGCGATACCCAGGTTCGAAAAGTAAGTGTCGACGAAGAACTGGCCCTTGGCGGAGTGCATATGACAGGAGCACGGATTGCGCTGCGTCAACCATGAGCAAGTGCACGCGGACTATGGCGCTGCTGATTGTCCGGCTTGCACTAGATACGACATTGATGGGTCCGGAAGCATCAGCATTCACGAGTTTCGGAAGTTATGCTATGACCTCGGATACTATCGTAAGCGGGCATGCCACAAGAGAACCGTTGCAGCGAAAGGCCGTGCAAAGCCCCACAGCCTCCGAGCGGACAGGCTGACAGATCCATCGCGCTCGTTGGGTCGGTTTGGAAACATCTCTGCCTCTGCAGTCTCGGATAAGGAACTGGAAATCGACATCAAGCTGCTGGATGTCAACGGCGATCGGGAGATTACATATGACGAATGTGAGCGTGCCTTGCTTTTGAATCTGGCGCGGTACATCCGCTGAGACGGAGTGACAGTCGGCTTGGAGCAGACGAAGGCGAACGGGTTCTGATAGCCACCACTAAAGCGAGCGTGGTCCATTGAACTGAGCAGTCATCAAGTGGTGGATGAGCGACCACAGGTTCAAGATGCTGCAGCTAACACCCGAGGACTATGTCCAGCTCCAGAAGGCATGCCAAGACTTTCAAAAGTTCGTCATCCCCCCCCGTGCCGCGACGCATAAGTGTACATGTGTCCATCATGGCATTTACCGATACCAGTGCGGCCTCCCAGGTTTGACAAGGACGATAGCGGATGCATTGATATCCGTGAGTTCAGGGGACTCTACAACGACTTGGTCAAGAAAAACATGGCGCCGAGCTCGCTGACGGCCACACTACAAGTAATAATGCAACTGTCGCTCACCGCAGAGGGCAATGGCTCACCGCAGAGGGCGGATGGCTCACCGGACGCGAAAGTACAAGATCCGAACGGGTTCGGGGCACTCACTCGACTCCACTAACGTCTCATCTAATCCGATTCATCCACTGCACGGGAGCAGCAAATCGATACGAACAAGGATGGGAAAGTGAGCTTCAACGAATATGTATATTGGCTGGTTGAAGGTAAGCGTGAGGGCGTGGAGGCCAAGGGTGTGATGTTCAGTACATGAACGAACAGGATGGGGAAGAGGTCGCTCTGGTGGCGGACTGGGAGGGTGCTCGGAGCAAAGTTATCGCCAAGTAGCACGGTCAGACTAGACGCTGTCTGTGCGATGCTCCGTGGTGGTGAAGGGCGGACGCAGCCCTGGCGTCGTTCTGACATCCTCCAATATTGGGTACGTCTGTCTCGATTTGGACTTTGGCTTGATCAAACAACGAATCCCGTGCCTCGAAATGACGTTCGGGCTCGCGTGCATGCCTTGAAACGCCACAGGGAGATTGAATCCACCTCTGAGTCGTCGAAAAAGCACCGATGCACCCTTACGACAGAGGTCTACTCAATGAAGACGATCGCTGGTCTTGGGATTGGCCAGACTGCCCGACAATGTACCGCCACTTCCCATCCATCATCCCTCCTTTCCCCTCGCCGTCCACCCCGGTTGTTCCTACAGCTTGTGCAGGCGAAAGGAACCGAGCAACTCCACTTTGAAGTCAGATGCCACCATTAGAGTATTCAAAAATGGAAACGAGGCGCTCTGTAATTGTGGCTTTGTTTTGGGAATACATACGCACATGTACCATTCACAACGAGTATCCATCGCGCCATGGACTTTCGCCTCGTTGCAGTGCAATTCTATGACTTGATATACAGCTCGTGGGGGTCAAAAGTATCACCGGTGTGTTCAAGCCAGTGCCTCACAAGTCATATCCGCTCTCGATAGTGGGCGACAGCATCATGGGGGACAAAGACAGTGGTCGTACATTGAACGAGACGACCAGCCGTACTGCTTGCTGAGACCCAGAACCCAGGATGGCCAGTCACAGGTGTTCGGGCGATGTGACATTCGAGTTCTTAATAGGAGCCGTGTATTAAACGCATAGAAAAAGGTAGCAATTGCTCGCACATACCGACTTTTTCAGTTTGGCTGCATGTTGTCCGCACTCTAGATCAGCAAGCGGCTCCACGCCAACAGCATTGGCAACCAGGTCCGTCACAACGGTGCAGGCGCTGATCGACGTCACTCAGCCCGTCGGCCGATCGACATCATCCGACACACATATATAGAGTCCCTCGTTTCAGCTTGGGCGCGATGCAGAGGACTGACCCGTCTCGACAGAGTGGGCAAAGCCACATCCATTTTCGACTGAACACCCTCTCCGACTTTCGACACCGCAGAGCAAAGTCTCGGAGCTCTGACGTCGCTATATCACTCTCGCAAAGTGGTCGCTAGACTGAGAAACGAAGCGGATATATCACCTCTGATCGATTGAACCACACCTATCGTATTCCTCCGACCCCCTTTCCCATCGCCATCACCCTATTGTGTATCGTGGCATACTATGCAAAACCTGACTCTCAAGTTTAACCCCAAGGAGCATGCCTCCGGACCTGCAAGGGGAGAAACCAACCGGTCGCCCGTCAGAACATCTCCATCTTACTCTGGGAACAACGCCTCGGCTAACAGCACTACCCAGGCAATGTCTGTGCTTTGGATTCCTGCAATTGAAGGCGGGTTGGGTTGGGCTGGAACAGATGCACCGCCTCACGGAACGGAAGGAGGCGCATGAAACAACGCTGATGCCTGGTTCGATGTTTTGTTTCCTTGCGCCGCTTCATGCAGGTTCAACAAGTAAGCAGCGTCTCGCACAAGAGTAACAAAAGTCGTGTGGTCCACCCACCCCTATCTCTCGCCCACTCCCCCGGTCTCACACAAACACGTCTGTTGATTCTCCCGATGACCTTGCTCGCTTTCTCCATCTCCAGATACGACATTGACGGTTCGGGCGCGATCAGCACAAAAGAATTCCGCAAGCTCTGCTATGACCTCGGATACTATCGTATGTAGAGCTGTCGTTTGCTGTTGGCGAGAACGGAGATGAACCGAGAGAGGGGTGGATGGTGGATGGTGGATGGTGGATGGTGGATGGTGAATGGTGAATGGCGTTAGAAAGATTGACAGAGAGAGAGAGAGGTGGGAAAGCTGCGAGGAGACTGTAGGTACCAAGGGGCTGGCCTAGTTATGCTGGTGCGATCAAAGGATTTGACTTGCACGAGAATCGACGGCCATGCAGAACGACTTCATCGATAAGCTCCTGACATTCTTTGAAACACCACATTTCTGTCAAAAAGTGTCCGACTTGGAGCTGGAGATGGATTTGAAGCTGTTGGACGCGAACGGCGACGGGGAAATCAGCTACAGCGAATGTAAGATGCCGATTGGGGCCGAGGCGAGAGCGTGGTTCGATGCCTTTGGAGAGTGAGAGACTCAACGGGGTGTTTTGAGGTCCGACAACGTGTCGTTAAGGTCCGACGGCATCCTGAGCGGCGAGGAAGAAGATCAGGGTGCAAATCCCCCCGGGGTAGTCGTGCTGCATCATGATAAGCCAAAGACTCGAGCGGCTTTCACGGCGCCGATGGGAAACAAGCCTCTGAAAGCATATTTATGGATTTCGATCAGTTATAAAGTGGTGGAAGAACGACAAGCGCTTTGAGATGCTGCAAATGCCGCCACAAGAGTTTGTCACGGTTCAGCAGTCAAGCTCGTATTTTCAAAAGTACGGTGACCCCCCCCCTCTACCAAAGGGAATTTGCCCATCGACACCTCCGTCACACACCCACGATCCCATCGTATGAATGCTGGGTGGTAGTAGATAGGGCATCTATGCAACAATGAGGCTGCGATGAAGTAGCGGCGTGAAAAGCCGAGGCGGTGGGCGGGCGATCGAATGGCCAACCAAGTGATCAACTGGATCATCGATATGATAATCAACTCGATCACCAGCCGGATCATCGACTAAATCGTCGACTGATGGATCGAAAATGTCCTGACACTGGCATCCCTTTCTAGATTCGACAAGGACAACAGCGGCAGCATTGACGCTCGCGAGTTCAAGGAGCTTTACAACGACCTTGCCAAGCACAATTTAACGACCAAGTCTGTGACGGCAACGCTCAGAGTACGTCGCCATTCGGCATGCCTGGCAGTGTCACCGGGAACAGGAGAGAGAGGGCGATGGACGACGGGGATAAGGGTTGGGTGTCGGCGCCGGGTGGGAGTTTATGCTCCCCAACAAAGCCATACTCAAAGCGGGTCCTAACCTTGCGTTCGGTTGCAACCCAATATCAGGAAATCGACTCGAGCAAGGATGGCAAGATTAGTTTCAACGAATACATTGCCTGGCTGTTGCAGGGTGAGCTCGCGCTTGACATGGACCGACTTGGCTTGTCTACGTATGATCTGCGATGAGTCTGCGATGAGTCTGCTTGGGATAGATTGACCCATATGCCATCGGCACATATCCTCATCTCGGGCGATTCAATGCGAGCGAGCACCATGACTGAGGCCATCATGATGTTTACATTCGCCATGCAGGAAAGGGTGCGGCCAAGTAGCAAGCATCGTTTCTGATCTGAATGATAGTGCGCGGGTTGTGCTCCCACACCCGAAAGCACAGATTCTCTCTCGGAAGGAGGTGCAAGCCGCCGGTGACAGGCTCAACTTTTACCGTTGTATCAATGAAATACAAGGGACTGGGCGGGGGCTTGAATCCAACCTCGCCGATGAAATGTTTATTGATGCATGGGCTGGGGAGCCGTGTCAGTGCACAGAGGACGAGGAGAGACGGACCAAACAAGGAAACCACATGGACTGCTATGGCAGCGTGGGTAACTGAACGCAAGGGATGGAGTGACGATGAGCGAGCATGAGTGTGGGGATACGGTGGTAGTACTGAGCAAGAAGAAGGCAAGAGGACTGATTCGTGGCGAGGGCGATGAGAGCGTATGGTTGCACGGACAATCGATATATGGCCAATGATATAAAAGGGATTGGGGGGGGGCCATCAGACGGGAATGACATCGAGGAGAGCAAGATTCTTGGGACTCTGGCGGATCTGGAATATATCTGGACAACGGCAAGTGATGCCGCCAAGGAAATGTGCGGAAGAAAGGCTTGGCTGGGGAACGAAAAAAATGGAAAGGAGGAGGTGCGAGCGATGCGCGAGTGAAGGTGGTGGAAGCATGGGAAGGCCAAAAGCGCAAAACAACAAAGGGAGCATGTGCAAGGATGGACATCATCTATATCAACCGAGCGACAGCAAGACGGTAGAGCAGTGCAGAGTGTAGAATGGAGCAAGAAGGGAAGGGGAATCAGTCGTGGCTCAAACAGGTGCAAAACGCCAGGAGCAAAAGAGTCCAAGGTGCGCCAGCGTTGCCGCGAGGGAGACAAAGACCCAAATATGGCTGGATGCTGTTGCGGACCCGCTTTGATCTAGAGCCGATCAAGATCGGTTGCGTTGACGGGCGAGAAGCCATTCTTGGGGGCGATCGCGATGCCTGTCGAGGAGATGCCAAAGGCCAGGCCCGAGGCGGACGACGAGTGGTTGAAGGCCAGGTCGTTGAGGCTGTCCACGGACGTCGACAGGCGACTATGGGTGTCATCTTCGTCGATCATGATGCTCATGACATCTTCTTCCTGATTTATCGACAGCGTGGATTTGTACTGGTGCAGACGCGCTTTGATGACGGCATCTGTAAGCCAAGCTTGGACAATGTTCATGATCAGGGGAATAACCAGCATCACGACAAGGACCTGAAGCCGCACGTTGTGGCTGTCGATGAGGGGCTGGAGCAACCATTTTCCCAAGGTAGCGAACGCCGGGATTGATTCCAGAGCCAGCACCACGGTGGTCTTGACCAGGACCCAGGCAATGATGAACAGGTTCAGTTGCTTGTACCAAGGATAGAATCTGCACTCGGACATGATATCGAGAATACACAACGAGCATGGCGCCGATTATTGTCGGTCAGAGCCAATCAGTGGGTCGCAGAATAGGCCAGATAGTGGGTCAGAGTGAGGGGCATGCAGAGGAGCCCATGCGACTGCTACACCATCGAACGCACTCGTGTCGCTATCATTGGGTAGCGCTGCACAGTTCAGAGCCGAAAAGAGCCCCGCATCGGACTGCATCGAGTACCCAAGTCGATCACCGACCGGCGCATACCTGGGAGGGTTTCCATAGTCACCAGAATGCATGTCGGTGATCCCACACATGTACGCCATCGAATGCAAGATTCTCAGGAACATGTAGAGGATGGCAACTCCGATCGTGGTATCGAGCATGATCTATGGCAGTACGAACGAGACGCATATGTTGACTCAGAGACGGACGGCTTTGAGTTGGGTGCGGCTCAGGCGCTCACGAAATGAGCGGGTCCCACGGGGTAAACGTAGCAAGCCCCAGCCCCCTCATTGACAGAGGACCAGATCAGTCGACAAGTCCGAGGCCAAGACCGAGACCGAGACTGCAGCAGGCTCGACAGGATCGCGGGTGAGCAATCTCGGCGCGAGGCGAGTATTACGTTGAGAAAGTACCACACACAAGGGTTGTTGGAATCGCGGTGGCCGTTGCTGGAGGACAAATCCGAGAGTGCAACGTTGACAAAATGCACAATCAAGGCCGCAAATCCCTGCTTGCTGGTGTCCATGAACCTGGAGGAACGGCGCAACACCACGTGTGTTGGGGTCGCATGCATTAGATCGGTACAGGCACCCGATTCCAGGCGATCGTGAGCGAGGCGCGATGACCATCCAAGCACCGAGCGCTGCAGACACACACACGGCCGCATCGACGGAGCTTGGCAAGATGAGCCAAAGACAAGACGAACCAGATGACAATGGGCCGCCTTGGCCGCTCGCGGAAGCGTTTGACTGAAGCGTCCAAGGGCGGATAGGTGGCGTGCATTCCAAGATAGCAGTGCGGCCAATCCGGTCGACAGCCGAGCAAACGGAGCAAATCGGATGAGTAAATGCGATCGGTAGCGCCCAGGGTATGGGCAAGATCTTGTGGTGTACCAAGAGAGGTTGGTGCCCGTGGAACGTACAGGAAACAGCGATGGAGAGGAACTGGCTGAGGCACTCCAGACACGGGCAAGCGGCCAGACGATCGCCTCGATTGGGACTTACACAGCAAAGATGCCACGACGATTGTGCCCAGCAAGACTTGGACGGCAATGGCGAATCCTACGAATCGATACAAGCGTGGATATCGAAGCCTGTCAGCAGAGTGGGGCGCGAGTTCCTTCCGGGAATGCGCTCCTGTCGCCAAGGTGATTCTGGGAAGGCTCGGGTTCAAGCAAACCAAGCGATATCACATGGACAGGAACGGAGCTGAGCGACAGGCTCTTCGGAGGGGAATAAAAGACGGTACCATCCATGAGCTTGCAATTCAGCTCGTGATCGTCGACGGAAGCAACATTCATGATGAGATGGACGAGGGCGAGGGACGACTGGGCTGGGTTGGTCTGGGCTGGGGCGACGCAGGGACGAGGGACTGGGCGATACCGAAGACGCCGGAGACAGGCAGCACAGCTGAAGACGAGCGAGGGGGGAGCGACACGACCGAGCCACGGGAGAAGAGCGGGGGCGCCAATCGGAGGGGTGTTCTAGATTCGAGGCGATGCGATGCGATGCGATGCGATGCGATGCGATGCGAGGAGCGGGCGGATGGACCGGGGTGCCGAAGAGGGCTGTGTTGGGGAGCGCGAGCCGAACGAGCAAACCCGGGGCGGCTGGACGAGCAATCCGCGACACGTGCGTGGCGCTGCGCTGGGTCGATCCTGGGTCGAGTCGGATCGAGTCGGATCGACCCGGGCTTGGCGGAGAGCAGCACGTGAATGCGGAGTTGCTGGACACCGACAGGGCCGCAGCGATTGGTGCGCCGGACGGGCTTGTGGGGGGTGGCGGGCAAGCCAAGCGCAGCCACAGCCTGTGTCGACAGAGGCTGTGCGCGACACAGCATTTGCTGCAGGCGGCTGTTTGGCTGCGTCATCGCGCCTCATGGCCCCCCCGGCACAGGAGCGTGGCGGTGCGCCGTGGGATACAGCGTGGGCCTGATCGCTGTGGGCTCGGGCCTATTGTGCCGCCTGTCGCAGAGCCGGTCCAGCCGGATCGATCAGGCGCCAGAAAGATCAACGACGAGCGGCCGAGAGCAATCCCAGGCCGGATCCCATCGGACGACGGGCGGGTCAGACGACGAAGACCGAGGGATTCATATCGCTGACCCGGTCCCTGCGGGTGCGGCATTGCCTGGCAGGCGTGGGTCGTCGAGTGCGGGTGATCGAGTGCGGGTCGTCGAGTGCAGGTGGATGGGGGGGAGCAAGGCAAGCCCACCGATATCGGGCTGGCACCGTCGCCTCTCGGCAACCAGCCCATCTGCCATGGAGTGCTTGGCATTCGGGCGTCGTTTGCGATTGCAGCGGGCTGGGGTGGATCGGATTCGAGTCCTGCTTGGCGGTGGCGTTGCGTCGACAGGCGGTTTTCATGTTAATTGTTGATTGTCACTTGTTGATTGTCACCTGTTGATTGTTAATTGTTGATATCACCCGCATTCTATGCACACCTCCACTCTATCCACACCACCACCACTCTATCCAAACATCACCATCGCCAACAAGACACCATCGCCATGTCGTCGCTCTCGTCGCTGCGGGCCCATGGGCGCGCGTCGCCGCTGCCCATTCGCTTGTCCCTCTTTGCGGTGCTGATCATCCGCCCAGACGCCTCCGTCCTCTTGGGTCGCTTTCCACGGCCCTCCTGTCCGACACCCTTACTGCACCCCTTCTCGCCCAACCTTCGCCCGGCTGCACTCTCTCACTTCCCCCATCTGCACTCCTGCATTCCTGCGCTCGTCTGCGCCATCTGCTCCACAGATAGACAAATAGACACTGGCGCCTGTCACAGCACTCTCCCCAAACCGTGTATTCCGACGAATCAGGCTGCATCCCCATCCGCCCGACATCAGTCTTCTGCTGCTCGCCCATCCCTCTTCGTCGTCTCTATCCACCACCCACTGGCCTTCTCGCCCCGGGCCGCCCCACGCATCCCCCAGTTCTGCACTGTGCTCTCGAAGAACACCTTTCCCTCAGCCCGCTGCCGCCAAGCCAAGCCAAGGCCCATCCGTCCGCGATGTGGGTGATGTCACCGTTTTGTACATGTTGCGATTCAGTCCCGTCCAGCCCAGTCCAGCCCCAATCCAATCCAATCCAATTCAGTTCGGCCCAGCCCGGTCCCATCGCCATCTTTGCTTGCCTTTGCCTTCCTCCTGCTGCTTTTCCTCCTGCTGCTGCCTCTGCTCCCGCCTATTTGGATGACCGTCGCTGACTCCCCCTTCATCCTCTCCTCCAACGTTTGGTCATCATTCGCCCTCCGCTCCTGATCCGTGCGCTGACATGCACAACCTCTACGACCCAAACCGCATCGACGGGCCCTTCTATAGGTTCTTTGCCTTCAACTCCAAGAAAAAGAAGCCCGACCAGGACTTGCGCACCTCCCTTCTCCATGCCCTGCGACTACCAAACCCGTCCTTGCGAATGTCGGCCGCACCCATGGATATTCCCCAAACCGCCTTTGCCGGCGGCGCTCAATCAGGGCTGTCGCAGTCAAAGTCCACCTATACCAGCTCGCTGAGGCTGCGGTTCGGCCGCGAACGGGCCGACAGCTTCCGGACCGAGACAAGTAGCGTCTGCACCGACTCGACCGACATCTCGGCCTTTTATGGCCCTGGGATGATGTCGCTTCCGTACGAGGTACTACATCCGTGCCATGACGGCCCCGTTCTGTCCTGCGTCTCTTCGTTTTCATTGGGTGCAAATACGGCCGCTCCTTCGTCGCTGGCTGAATATTTGGTCATCCAGCATCCCTATTCGCTGCATTTCCTGTCCACGATCACTCTCACTCGCTGCATTTCTCGTTGACGGTTCCAAGGCGTTTGGGCTGGCCTGTATGCACCCTGTCTGCTCCTCCCCACTTGGCTCGCATGCTTTGCATCTCCGTCCTCTGCTTGGAGGTCGCCTGCGTGCATTCATGCAGCCACCATGCCGTGCCCTTCCTATTTGAGATCCTGTCACTCGATGCTAGAGTCATCACCAAACCACTGATCATTGCTCCCATCTATTTGGTTTGGTTATCTCCCGATCTGATCCGATCCGATGGCCTGGAAACCTTCTTCGGTACCGCGGTGACCCATATCCATCGTATCCATCGTATCCATCGTATCCATCGTATCCATCGTACCAACTCTTGGCTTCTTGGCTCGCTCTCGCCGCATCTCGCTGTGCTTCGGTCCCATCGCCGTCGTCTGTTTCCGCGTAATGCTCGGACTTGTCTGCGGATGAATTCCTGCGCCTGGCTGGCGCCTTGCCTTGGACAACACATCCCACCTCGACTCATCTCCACTCATCTCGACTCGTCTCGCGTCAATCATCACTCCCACGACTCTCACTCGGATGCATTGGCTCATCTCATACGACCAACTGTCTCATCCGCCAAACTCACCTCTCGTCAACCCTCCACCTTGAACCCATCACCAGGTTTGGGCCCGTGTCGTCCACTTCCTGCCAAACCCAACCAACTTTACCCGCCTGTGTCGATGGAGCTACTGCATCTCCAAAGAACCCACCTTGCGTCGCGACTGGCTGCTGACCCAGTATGGCCGGCTTGCCCTCTACTACGGCCTCAAGAAGCACAAGAACCTGCTCACTCTGTCGCTTGCCGAGCTGCTGATCCAGGAAGAACGAGTCGTCCCGCGTTTCTTCTGCCAGCTCATCAACAGAACCATCTACAAGCCGCCGTCGCCGTCGACAACCCTAAACGACTCTGAATCGCAGCCTCAGCAGACACAGCTCGTTCGCCAACCAACCGAGATCGAGCGGCTGATTATCTTGCAAGGCTACCATCTGTACGGCGACGAGTCCGGTATTGCCTGCGACGACATCGGGGCCTTTGAGCAGCACGCCAACAACATGGCGGCCTCCAAAAACATGATTCGCGAGCTCATCGTCAAGTACGGCTTTGTTCCATTGGAAGAGCTCACGCCTATGGCTGCCCTCCGCATCTACCAGATCGCCAAACTCGATATGCTCCTGCTGTCCGCCCTCGAGTCCAACGGCCTGCATCTGAGACGTATCAACAACCCCTTCATGAAGCTCATCCTGCGCGACAACCACGCCTCGATCGATCAAGTCCGCATGTACATCTCCCGAGGCATGCGCTTCACCAAGTCGCTCGTCAGCGAGGTCATCCGCGAAGGCTTTGAGCCAAGCGCGCTCCAGCTCCTCGAGTCGTTCGTGCCGCAAGAGGTCCTGTTCCACTGCTCCAGGAAGCTGCTCCAGGACTTTATGGGACCCAGCGGCCACGCCAACATCCCGGCCATGAGCACGATCGTCTCGCTCATCAAGGTGCCCGAGTCCTACATCGAGGAGGCGCTCATGAATGACAACCATCGCGGCGGCGCATGCTTTACCCGCTGCTACGAGCAGCCCCAGCCCGCCGTGATCTGGACCTGGGTCCTCAACACCTACGGCGCCAAGCATCGCTTTTCGGTGACCTGCTTCGACGACCTCATTACCTGGGTCGGCGAGCTCGGCACCTCGAGTCGCGCGGCGTACTACCAGCGCGATCCCAGCGCCGACCCCATGAAGCTCGTGCTGTCGTTTGTCGCCAGCGGCTGCCGCATCCAGATCCGCCACGTCAAGAGCATCGCGCACGGCGCCTTGCAGAGCGCCTCAGACTCATCGGCCCAGATCGTGCGCGGCCTGATGCAGCGCTTCTGCGGCGAGATCTACGAGCGCAAAATGACCGAGACCGAGAAGACACAGTGGATCTCGGCCTGGAAAGACGCCATTTTGATGAACCAGGAGTGGAAGAAGCAGTTCAAGGCGCTCGCTGCCTCTGGCTCCAGCGTGTACGGCACCCGCCTGCAGTCCTTTGCGACCCTTCGTGGATCCTCGAGCCGGTCCAAGTCGCCGTCGATCTACTCGCCCGATCGCCAGGACGGAATCCATCTCCATGGCCACCACAGCGTCATCAGCCTCGCGTCGTCTCACTCCCCTCAGAGCCCGACCTTCCCGGGCGATGTTCCGATGGTCAAGCTGCCGTCCATGACTCGCATCGGCTCGGCGTCTGGATCGGACCGAGTTCTGTACCAGGAGTCCTTCCTCGAGGCTGTGCACGAGTTGCTCACGTTCCTGACGAACTCGCTGGACAGCAAAACCAAGATGACCCGCAGCCGATCACGATACACCGAGAAGCTTATCAAGTTTGGCAAGACTCTTACCATCTGAGTCGAGGCCGCTGGTGTTCGGGGACATGGCCCGGGGGTCGTGGTCGTTGCCATGTGTTTGCCGTTGGACCTATTCTCTCTATTCACATTTGCCATTCTTTTGCTTCCCTTTTTTATATACGACCATTCGATGTGTGGTGCCTACGAGCCTTCCTTTGCCGCTTCCCCTTCTTTCCATTTCCTCGGCGCTTGTTTGCTCTCGCACGCTCTCCTTCATTGCAGCATTATCCACCCATGACATCATATTCTAATCTTACTTGCGACCACGAGGCAAGGTTTCGCATCCACAGCGCAAGGCTTGGATGCACTCCTCTTGCCCTTTTCCTCCGTTGCCCTAATGACTCTGACTTTTGTTTCGACTGGCTTTGTTGTACACATATCGTGTGCTCTCTCAATTTTTGACTACGCTTGCAACCTCTCTTCGTAATTGCCCACCACCTTCACTCCCTCTCTCACACATCTGTCCTTATTCTTGCTTTCTTGCAGTCTTGCCTTCTTGCAGTCCTATTTGCTTGCTTGCACTTCGCGCCTCGAATATTCCCCTCCCCGCTCCGCCTCCGTTTGATTTCATTAGCCCGACCAGCTCACAGCCTCTGCAAGACTGGCCCTCTTGCCCTTCTCCTCGAATATCCATTTCGTTTGCAGCTCGTTCAGAAATACCCTCCTCCTCTTCCTCTTCTGCGCCAGCGATGTTGGAGAGGACGAATTGCCCCTGTCTTGTGGCAGGGCATGAATACACCAATATCCTTGCGTGTCTGCCTTTCCTGTCTCTCGCGACCAATGTCTTCGATGTCGCCACCTTCGGCACCGAGCCATTGTCCCATCCCCTGTGTCCAGGAGTGAGCGAATGTCTGGCTCGAGAAGGCGGGCGGATGCAGCCAGCAGCCAGGAGCACAAGGGACACATCGTTGGTCATGTTTCGTGTTGGGTCGGAGCTGTCCGGGCTCTTGCCTCATCTCCATCCCGGCCATGACAAGAGCGAGCGACGAGGCCTCCGACGATGCCCAGTGTCTGCGTCCGAGCAGGACAAAACTCACAGCGACTGCCTGTAGCGCTCCAACTGAAGCTGATACAGAGAGGTATCACCCCAGCCGCCGCTTGTCTGGATCTCTGATGGCCCCGCTGTCTCATTTGTTTCCCCGCACACCAAGTTCGTCCGGCCGCCTCACCTCCCACCTGTTTTTGTTGCTAACTGCACCTGCAGGCTCTTCCCGAGCAACTGGGCGCTGGCTTGCGGCATCACCGAGCCGCCAGTGCTGGTGCGGGCCGGCAGCGGAGACAGCAAAGCATCCTTCCATGTCCATCGAGGCGTCCTGACGACCGTCCCGTTCTTTGAGGCATGCCTATCGGGCACCTTCCGAGAGTCGCGGCTCAACCAAATCGACATGCCCGAGGACGAGCCTCATGTCGTCCAGCATCTGCTCGAGTTTCTGTATACGGGGCGCCTCAGCCTGGGTCTGGGTCTGGGTCTGGGCCGCGCCGAGACCAAACCCAAGGCCAAGTCCGGGCTGTCGAGCCATATGCTCGTGGCGGTCGAGCTCTTTGTCCTCGCCGACAAGCTGGGGCATGAGCGGCTGCAAGATCTTCTCTTTGGTGCGATATCGGAGTTTGAGTTTGAAGAGGCCAGGACATCGTTTGCCTTCTGGAAGTTTGTCTACGAACGCACCCCGCCGTCGTCCAGGCTTCGGCTCGGCTATCTGGTGCATTTCCAAGCCGAGAAGCTCAGGAATATGATCGACGGCTGGACACAGGCTGGGCTGTTGGGCCTGGACCTCGACTTGGACTTGAACCGGGGCCTGGACACGGGCCCGGATACGAATACGGATACGGATACGAATACGGATACGGATACAGATACAGATACATATACGGAAACGGATATGAAGATCGACATGGGCCATGGACTGGCGGATTATTCTGATCTGATAGCCGACGCCGCGCAGATTGCCAGTCTGGATCTCGACCTCCTGGTGCTGTTCCCGACCCTGGCCGGGGCCAGCCGCGACTACGGCATCTTCAAATGGATCATCCCGCTGTGGAGCCATGTTCAGCGCACTCGCCTGGTCAACAGCCCCGTCTGGACTCTCCGGCAGACCCAGTGGTAAGGACTGGCAGAGCATCCTGGGCTCGGCAAGCAGCCGCAGTATATGGGCGGCAATGCCCTGACCACAAAGGCAGCAACGACACCGAGCCCGGGCATTTCGATCACTCGGACCTAATCAAAACACACATCCTCCTCGCCTGCAGGTGCTTGAAGCTGGGTCTCAGCCGCCATCGCACGGTTTCCCTCTTCCTCTACTGCTGCGGCCCGTCGTCATCGTCGAACAAAGCCCTGTCGTCGGTCTGTGTCGAGTTTTGCTTTTGTCTGGCCAACCCACAGCAGCCCAAGATCCAGTATTCCAGCGGCCGACTCTCGAGTGAGTACTGCTGCACAGCGGAGACGCATGGATCGCAAGAACGAACCGTGAGAAATCAGCGTCTCCATGGACTAAGGGAGGGGGGTTGATAGGACTCAGCGACTGACCGATGGAACACTTTGCCACCGCAACAGATCACCGGTTCCTCCCCGAGACCCGAGGTATCGGATTCAAGCGGCTGGTCAGTCAAGCGCGATTGATGAGGCCGGCAGACTCCAAAGCCCGCAGCATCATCGAAGGCGATTGCGTCATGGTCGCCCTCTTTCTCCGGGTGCTCGATTGCGACGGAGACCTGTGCGTGCATGCAAAGGGCGCCGCTGGCCAACCGAGGCCAGACACGGACCTGAGCGAGGCTCGGAGCGGGGAGTGAGAAGTGTGAATGCCGTGGTGTGAATGCCGTGTGAATGCCATCAGTGCTGTGGATGTTCAGGGTGCTGTTCGTTTTTGTCAATGGATGGATGCGGGGCCGTGTTTGCGGGTTGTCGGAGCGGCCAAGGCCTGCTCCATGGTGGAGTGCCTGCATCGACACACCAGGATCCCATGAGCGCAACGAACACGAGCGGTAACGACATGGGCCCAACAGCGGCGTCGCCCCTGCACCATTCTCGACATGCACCCGATGGTGTCGTGGACATGGGTCCGTTGTCGCTGGATTTGGGTTGCGACCCATCTTTCCCCTTTGCCTCTGTTTCGCGCGACAGAGTTGCTTCTGTGCGCGGCTGTCGCACCGCGTCCGCCCGAATAGGAAAGCCCAGGCGCTCCTGGCCCAAAAGACTCGCTCGGGTTGCTCTGAACTTTGGTCTCCTCTGGACTGGACTTTGGGTTCGTCTGGATTGGACTTGCTTGGACGAGTCTCGCCTGCATCGATTCTACTCCTGCATCGATTCTACTCCAGCATCAATCTCGTCCCCCCCCCGTCATGGTTGCTCCGCCGAGGGACATCCTCGAGATCGTCTTTCTGTCCCGGACCACCGATGCGTCCACCCGCTTCAGGCTCTCGCTCGTCTCGCGGCGGCTCTACCGCCATCCCCAGGCTGCCCGAGTCTGGCTGCAGGCCTTTGCGGACATCCTCCTGATCCGCAGCACAGCGCTGCCCAAGTCGCTGCGGGCGCCCAACACATCCCTGAAACATGTCTCCTTGGGCGCATTCCACCTCTTGAATCGCACCACCACCACCCCGCACCCAGCCGAGGCTCTGTTCTGGGAGCTTGTCGCCCAGGATTCGGCGCTGTTCGAGGCCATCATGCGCCGTATCCAAGCACAGCATGCGCCCTTGTACGATCGCTGGTTCAACTCCCTCCAGCCGAACCAGCAGGCCGCGACCGTCTCCAAGTTCGGCGCCAAGCATATGGACCCGATTGGCCCGCTGCAGCTCTCGTACTTTGACAGCGAGCTGCAGACCTTGCCCGAGTCGATGGGCAACATGGTCGCCGCCCGGGAGCTGCGGGTCGACTACAACCAGCTGTCCTGGCTGCCCGACTCGATCGCCAACCTGCCGTACCTCGTCCGCCTGAGCGCCAGCAACAACCACCTGCAGCGTCTCCCGGCCTCGTTCCCCCGTCTGCGGCAGCTCTCGCAGCTCGTCCTCTACGACAACCAGCTGACGGAGCTTCCCGAGGCCATCGGCAGCCTCTCGACACTGACATACCTGGCCCTCGAAAACAACCAGCTGACGTCGCTGCCGGACTCGTTCTGCGACCTGGTGCAGCTTTCGTACCTGGATCTGGGGCGGAACCGGCTTTCGCACCTGCCCGAGGCCTTTGGCAACCTCAACCGCATCACACAGCTCTACCTCAGCGACAACCAGCTGGTGGAGCTGCCCGAGTCCATCGGCGGCCTTGAACTGCTGTCGCAGCTATACCTCTGCAAGAACAAGCTCTCGCGCCTTCCTGAATCCATCGGCCAGCTGACCGAGCTGACCTATCTGGACGTCAAGGATAACAGGATCGAGGGACTGCCGGACTCGATCGGCGGACTGGAGTCGCTCTCGCGCTTCATCCTCAACAACAACTGTCTGCGCGTCCTCCCGGACTCGGTCGGCCAGCTGCATGCCCTCACCAAGCTTCATCTCTGGAAGAACGCGCTGGTGACGCTGCCAGAGAGCATCCATGCCCTCGGCCTGCTTGCCAGTCTCGACGTCGGCAGCAACGGCCTGCGGTATCTGCCCGACTCGTTCGGCAACATGGGCTCGCTCACGCACCTGAGCCTGTCCAGCAACCAGCTCGCCAGCCTGCCAGAGTCGTTTTGGTCCCTCCCCGTCGAGTGTGAGATCGATCTGTCGTACAACAACTTTGAGACGCCGCCTATTTCTCTCGACGACCTGAAGCGCTGCCCGAACCTGAATCTTTCCGGCAATCCGTTCACGAGGCCCGCTGCCAGTCGACAGCCGGACGACACCGAGCGGTCGCTGACGCTCAAGCGACGGGCCAGCAAGTTTGCCAGCCTGTTCTTCTGGAAGGGCCGGTAGATAGACTGGCACGCAGAATCCTCGACTCCTTTTATAGCCACAGTCCAAGTTCAACTACATTCACGAGACACACTGGTCAGCCCCCCCCCACCACTACTACTACTACCACCAGCCTGTCCAACGGTGGTATCTGTCCATCTGCAATCCCTCGACAATAGAGCACATGCCCTCCACCTCCTATTCTTTCTATCATCGAATCATCCCCCTCGTCTATCATTCTACGTCCTTTCCCCATCAGTCAAAGTCTGGATGGCCTCTGTTTTGCATTGATTTCATGTTTGTTCTCACTGTCGAGAATGGTAAAGAAAAGAAAGAAAGAAAGAAAAAATAGCAGTACAAGCGGGAAGATCTCGCCGCAAACAAGAGGAGGGACACGCAAAACGGTGCCGTGGTGGGGACATTGTTCGAGTTAGTGGCTGAGCCAGAACATTTGTGGCCAGGGGAAGACACTCGAGTACGGCCGCGCCAATTAGGTGTTGATGACGTTTTGGCGGTACCAAGTCGAGTAGTAAAGAAGGATGGCCGTGGGTTGGCCAACTGTCGGATCGAGCAAGTAGTCGCGGAGAGAGGGCGAGACAAAGAGAGGAGAGACGGAGGTTGTTGAAGCTACGGTGCCAAGGTATATCCATCACAGCGACACGCACAGAGCAAGAGAATCCCACGGCCATGAGATGCAGCATCAGACACGTACCGATCGTGAAGGAGATCCAGAAGACCAGATTGCCGATCGTGTCAAACAGCTTCTTGCGGCGATTGAAGCGGAGGCTGCGGATGGCCATCAGCCACTTGGTCAGGAAGATGAGCGGGATCTGGCCGAGCATGCCCCAGAAAGCCAAGCCGCTGATCGAGTGCACGGGCACGCCAATGATGAGCTCGTGCAGGACCGCCGAGATCAGAAAGATGACGACCGAGGCCACGACCGGGGGTACTTTGTAGTTGATGACCAGAGGGAGGTAGACATGTCGCTTTCCTGAGAAGGGAGCAGCCCAGCGTGAGATGTCGGTGCCGATACATGCGCCTTATTCCGGCACATGAACGCCGCGGTGCTCTTAGAGCCGGGATGCTTACCCCAATTGTACACAGGCGAGTTCCAAAGTCTCCAGTACTCGGCAATGTCGGTTGCGTTCCACCACTAGGGTCCACGGCAAGATGTAGTCAGCTCAAGATATTACCACGGGCATCCGGTTGCCGCTGAGTCAGCCCAAGCAGACGGCCGTCCATAACAACTTACCGACTGATAGAAACGACGGTCGCCGAATCCGAGGATCTCAGCATTCAGATTGAGGAACGAATGGAAAAACTGAAGCGGCCCATGAGTCACGATTTAAACCGCAGCACCATATCGTATCGTATCGCGCATTCTCCGTCGAACTTCCACGTACCGCGTAAAACATCAGCAACCAAACGAGCACGTTGATGATGGAGAGCTTGAGGATGCGCTCGGTGAGCTTGAGGGCGCTCAGCTCATCTAGAGCCGTCAGAGAGTTCCGCAGGGTTGGGGCTGCATCGGTGCGGGTTTCCAACAAGTTAGCGCAGGAAGGCTTTGGGCGAGGGGCTGAAGGAAGCAACTGCAACCTACCCATGTACTGATGCGTGAGAAAGTACATTCCGAAGAGCGCCATCGTAAGCTCCATGACTCGCTTTACCAGCTCCGACTTTGAGAACTTTGCCGATCTGGGATAGCTCGGCTGGTACACCTGCATCAAATATATATATGAGGACCGATCAGCAGCGATACGGGTGGCCATTTGGGGTCCGGAGAGACGTGTGGGAATACAGCAGAAACGAGCATGCGAGGGGGGAGAGTCAACAGGAAAGAACAGATACCAGCGTCGGGGCGGCGACAAAATAGAGCAGGTTGCCGAGCGTGATGTTGGAGGGGTAGGGCACTTGATCGATGTCAAAGTCAACGGGCTCGGAAACCTCGAACTGGCGAGCGTTGCGATCCTCGTAGCGGGTCGGATGGATCTGGATGTATTTGACAGAGAGGGAGCCGCTCAGTCGCGGATATCGCAGCATCGGCACTGCGCATCGTCGCCACTGTGCATCGTTGCATATTATCCAGCCCGTACATAGCCAGCTGGATGTGCCTGCCCTCAAGAACCGGTGTCTGGCAATTACCTTTTGGGCCATTTCTCGGCGCAACTCGGCGCACACGAGCATGTATGAGATCAACTTGAGAAACAGAATCGTTGCCGCAAAGACAGGAACCGCGGCGATGGCCTGAGACATATGCCAAGAGCAAATGGGATGTCAGCGAGAGCAACGGGGTAAGGGAGTAGTACTGGCACTCGAGCTCAACTCCACATATGTATGGCAGCCACGCAAAACTACGTCCCCGACGACTCTCTCGCCCATGCCATATTCTCGTACCGGATGCCAGATGAGGAACCACGATATGAGGGTCGGTGTTGCAAGGGCCAGAGTGATATTTGCCCAGTGGGACAGCCAGACCGCCGTGGGGGTGGGATTGCGTGGATCCAGCTTCTTGGAAGCATTCTTCTCGAGGGCGAGGGCGACAAAAACAGAGCCCTGATATCAAAGAGTATCCTGGTCAGTTTGGCCTGCGCCGGGTAAGAGAAGCAGCCACAGTTCCAGGCATCCAGGCATCCAGGCATCCAGGCATCCAAGCATCTAACAACCACAACAGGATCGGGCAATTGAGCCCCATCCCAGTCGACACCTACGGCCATAAACGGAAAGGCCAGCAGACAGAAGAAGAGGTCATTCGAGTGGGCGCCGATGGTGGGGAACTGGAGCAGGAAGCCGTATTTCTGGTAGTTTTCGATGACGAGGCGAACGTTGAGGACAAACAGGCACAACACCGTCAAGTTGTAAAAGCCGCGATAGTTTTGCTCTGGAGACTGGATCAGGACGAGATTCGGCAAGAGGCGTTGTGGCGGATGCGCCAATGGTGCAGCATATCGCCGACGAAGTAGCCAGGGAGTAGATGACGGTCAGTCGAATGAAGACGGACCGAGTCCATTTGGTGACGCTTGGGCTGACTGAGGGACCGTCGCTGGCGAGCGCACATCCATCCCTGGAGGACATGATGCTTGTCGGATGCAATGTCTGCCATGTGGGCAGAGAGTGCGCAAGTGCACACCAGAGACATGGGGCCAGACGCGGGGCCAAAACGCACCTCGGACGACAGCGGCGAGGACCGAATGACGGTGTGAATCAAGAAGGTGTGCGAAAAGTAGGCGGGCTTCTTGCGGGACTTGCTTGCGGGATTGCGTTGGTCCGTATCGGTTTCGCTCTCAGGGTGCCGCTCGAGGGGCTGGGGTGAGTTTTCGGAGCGGGAAGGGTCATCGCCGTCGACTGGCGACTGCGGGGTGTCGGGACGATCCGACGCAGGACGATCGGGCTCGTCGTCCGAAGATGAGGCCGGCTTGGGGATTCGCTGCTTGAGCTCCGAGGCCATGGTTGAGCAGTTGCAGGGACGAGGGCAAAGGACAGACCGGGCCGAGGGCAGGACCCTGTCGGGGAAGACGAGCGAGGGCAACTCAGAAACAAGCCGGCAGAGCCAAGGCCGGATGGCGACACGGCAAGGCATTGATCGCGAATGATCGGGCCGACGAGCGTGATTGCGGCTATCGCTCCGTTCACCCGCTGCACGGGCAAGCATGTGGTTTGCGGGCCTGGCTCGGTCGATACGGCGGCGGCCATGGCTGGGATGTCCGTAGATATCGCATGTCCATGGAGAATAGACTTGCACACCGAGATCATGCCCCCGGCTGTGTTGATGCTGCGATGCTGGATCGCGGTGCATCAAATCGATGCTGGATCGCTTTGCGCCAACAGCATCATCTGCAGCACAAGCACAAGCACACCTTGATGGCCACTGTCGACGGCGGATGGATATGTTCCTGGCTCACTGCGCGAGCGCCGTCGCAACCACACCGGCCCGAAGCATGGCCGCTTAGCATGATGTTTTGTTTCTGCCTGGGAGCGAATCTGGAACGGCAGCCAGGCCAATCAGATCCGTCTCCTGGACAAAGCTTTTTTTCTTCTCCGCCCTTTGAACTGTGCTGGCTGTTGGCAACTCTGTCTGCCGCGACCAGGGAAGCTGATCTGACCCCAGCACCGGCGAGCCACCACCAACATCAGGCAGCAACCCACTGCGACCGCCCATACCCACAACCAGCATGGCCAAGAAGAAGGCCCCGACCAAGCCCCCGCCGGCCGCCAGAGCCAGCTCGTCCAAGAAGGATGCAGCCATATCCAAACCCGCCTCGTCCAAGGCTGCGGCGCAGGCGGTCAAGAAGGCCGTCTCGTCCCAGTCGCTGCGGGCCAGAGATGCTCTGCTGAAGGAGCAGCTGGACGAATCGGTCCACGACGTTCTTTCTCTCCTGTCGTCCAAGAAATCGGCCCTGAACGCCAACGACCGTCTGCAGGAGAAGCAGCGCAAACTCGAGGCCTTTGACAAGATGGAGGATGACTTTGAAGCGACTCTGTCGATGATGTCGGGGCTGAAGCAGTCCCAATGACGGTGTGCGTCGCTCTCCCATTTCCTGGATCCGACACCTCCGCCTGCTCCGTCACTCATACGAGTGCTTTGCCATCCCAGTCGTAACCCGGAATCGAATCCCCCATCTTCGACGCAGAGCCAGCTCCCGCCTCAGTTCGCTCTCGAGACTGGCTGTCACATTCTTGGTGCATCGACGATAATGTCGCTGGATTCGCGGGCCATTCCGGTCGGCAGAAACGTCGCCTGGTATGCCGGCCTCAGTCCGACTGATAGCTCGCTGTCGACAGCATCCCAATACACCGCATCGGCTTCTCTCGATCAAGTCCATCGTGCTTGTGTCTGAGAGGCAGCAACCTCACGTAACCTCAAGTGTCTGCGCGAGTGGCAAGCGGCATAGCAATCATCAGCATCCGCTCGTCGTTTATTGGATCTGCTGCTGCGAGTGTGAACCATGTGTATTCTGAAGAACATGACTGCGTCCAGTCAGCACCATGGGGGGCTTGCATATGCCACACCGAGACGATGTTTCCGTGGACGCCCGATTGACACTTGGGACAGTGCATATGGTACCACACTCACTGGCAGTCGACTGTTGCTGATGTTGATCGACTGCGACAGATACCAAGTCCGTCCGAGAACAGCGTATGCTCCGTGGCTTGGCCGCATCGATCGACTGGATTCGGTGGTGATCGATGAATTGGCCTCTTGCTGCATCAGACGACGTGCCATCGAGTGCTCCCCGGACCATCGAGCCGATGGAGCTCGGTTCTAGTGCACCCACCCGACCTCATGGCCGTTCTCCATGAACGGCTCGAGGAACCCACGAAACTCGATGGCCATGGTGCCGGAGATCCGCAGCTTGGCTCCGAGAGACTCGGGCCGAGCCTTCGCCGGAGCATCGATGCGATCAGGAGCTGCAGCGTCGGGATCGGGGTCTGTCCCTGGCTCTGGATCGTCCGCTGGAGGAAGCGGCTCCTCGGTCAGATACCACCGCGCCCCATACCCCTGCAGAGTACGGATCTCGTAGACCCGGATGTTGTGCTGAAAGTGCGGATGGATACACTGTGATGAGCAGTCACGGCAGTCACGGCAGCCGCCGCACGGACGCTGAGCCATCGGGATTCCGGCGGGCTCGCTCTGCGATGCCGGGGACATATTGGCATGAATTCTCCCTCCGATATTGCTTACCGGCAGCGCGTGGATGTTGAACCAAACGGCCTCAGAAAATATGCGTGCGAGCAGCTTCGCGGCCGTTTCGTTCTTATCTTGAGTAGCTGCATGGATGCATATCCGAAGGAGTCGATGAAGGCATGGACAGTGGCGACAGAGTGGCCGTGATGTCAGCGATTGCTCCTGGGCCAGCCTCATTGACTAGAGCAAGCGGTTGGACAAGCAAAGAGCCACCAGGCGTACTGACTCCCTTTGACAGATCCCCAGTATCCAGTTGTCGCCCGATGCGCATGCTTGCTCCAGGCCTTTGCCCCAACCGTCAATCCGATGGCGTTCTTGAGATCGCGGGGATGCCGCAGGGCAAACGAGCCAAAGCAGTCTTCGACCATCGGTGGCAAAGTGTTCTGGCTACTGCCGACCGTGAAGCTGTGGCCCAGGATTATGAGTAGGTTTGGCATGGTGAAGTGCTGCGAGGGATGCAACCAGGTCAAGGAGTCGGAAAGTGGGCAGGACAACCATGGTAGAACGACGACGAGGGTGAGCAGAGCGACGGTGGTGGGTTGAATGGCGGGCATTGAGCACCATGACCATCGGGTTTCTGGATCGTGCTAATCGCAGCGCACCTGTTCAATGAAGGCTGCGACCATCTTGGATTGCGCTTCAGCCGGGTCGTCCAAGCCGTCTGCGACACGGGCCATGTTGTCTTCGAACGCTATGCAAATCTGCTCGACTTGAGCTTGGCTAATATTGGAACGACCCTCCCCAACGCCACCACCATCGGACCCAGGGATGGAATTAATAGCGAGTCCAGAGCAGTAGATGAGGGCAGTTCGCAGGTTCGCAGGTGCAGGTCGAGAAACAATGGCAGCTGCGGTTGATCTGAATCCTGACCTTGCGGCAAAGCTGTCGAGGAGGGCAACCCCTGGCAGGACGAACGGCGTGAATCTCGACTTGGCGATCGCAAAGATGCGGTCGACGATCCACTCGACATGGTCGGCATAAACTCGGTCTCCAGAGGGCAGCCCGTTGCGGAACACGATCTCGAGCGGGCTGGGTTCGACAGCGAGTGGCCGGATTGGCTTTGCAAGAAGGAGGGCCGCCAGCGACTGCTGTGGGTGAGCTGGATCGGCGCGGATGCGGTCGAGGTGGCTGTAAAAGTGCCCGATGATGCTCAGGGGACCATGAGAGTGCGATGTCGCCATGGCGAGGCGGGTCGGGCGGCAGCGCAGGAGATCCAAGATGCCAAGCCGAGGGGGTATGTGTGCTCCATGACGAGACAAATACGATCTGGTGGCCAAGCAAAGCCGCGGAGGTGCGATCGATGACGCTGGCCGCCAAGTGCCTTTGCCACTCCCGAGACACAACGCATGCGAGAGAAGAAAGAGCTCGCTGGGGTCCAAAGAGGCGGGCGGCGAACAGCCGACAGGCTATCGGCAAGGTTTCAGTGGTATTGTGCTGTTGTATTGGTGATCAAGCGACGACATCGTGCATGTGTTGGGCAGCAGACCCTGCCGGCCGATTCAGGAATCAGAACTCTTCGATATCTTCAGCATGTCCGTTGTTGGTGTTCATGGCCCGGTCAATGGACGGCCAGACAACGTCGCTGTCACCATCGCCCTCGACGATCGAGTCTTCTCGTTTGAGGGTGGCCGGGGTCAGTCCAGGCCGGAGAGCGGCCGATTCTGCCGGATCATCTTCGATTTCGTCCATGGGCAAGCGATCGTGGTCGCGGAAGGTGCGCTGCGGCACGGCACTGAGCCGGTCTCGGGTTGGGAAGAACGTGAGTTGCTGAAGATACTCGACATGGCGAGGCCCTGGCAGCGATTGCGACAAACGAGAGCGCGAGGACAAGAAGTGAGGATGTGTGCCCGAGCGACTGAGACCGACAGATCGTCATCCGGTCCCACGGATGCTGTGAGGGGGTGGAGCTGGAGCAGCAGCGCAACTGACGGCAGCACCCACGGACACATACCAAGAGTCATTCGCTGCCTCCCTGGTCCCGGTCCGGCCTCGTGGAATCGTCGGCCATGCTGAAACCGGTTGATGAGACAGGTGAACGGAAAGATGTCGGAGAAGAGCTCGGTGCTGTTGTAGGCGCCTGGATGCAGACAGAGCGAGGATGCAGACAGAGCGAGGATGCAGACAGAGCGAGGATGCAGACAGAGCGGGCGGGGGCGACATCAATATATATCGGTGTGCCAGGATCAGGATGTCGTCCACTGTCTTGCCCAGCCGCAGTGTTGTCCATTGACCAGCCTCTCATCGCTGATGGCCGGGACAAAAAACATACGGAAGAGCGTCATGTCCTGACTGCTTCTGTCATCGCGATGGGCGTCGATTCCTTGCTTGATCCATTCTGGCAACAGCGACTTGAGCCCGTCGTGCTCAAGCTCTCGCCGCCGCTTCTGCGTTTGCCAAAACTCGGGTTTCCGGAAGGGCTCAAACCCTCGCAGCGAACCAGAGTCCGACTGCGATGATGTCAATGCGCTGTTCTTGGAAAACAAGAGGCCGCGGATGCCCACGGATGCGCTGTACGGTGCTAACTGGGCACGGTTCTGTCGGAGAGCAGTGCAATGGCGAGATGTGAACAATATGGTACAGTACAACATTGCATAGCATGGCATTCGCGGGTGCGTCTCCATCGCCCTTGTCGGGTACCAACCTTCCAGTTGTTCATGAACAGGTCGGCGTCGCTGAAATACTGGCTCGCCATCAGGACCTCGTCAATGTCTTCCAGATAGTCCGGGTAGTTCCCGTGGAGAAATAGCGCGTACTTGTCAAAGTCCATGTGGGCCATCTCGAAGGTTGGCTGCAATCAAGGAATGGGCATGTGCGCAGTGAGTATTGTCTAATATGCCGCAAGTGCCTGGATTGTAGAAGCCACGAAGCGAGACGACCCAGTCTACCTCAGGATCAAATTTGAGCCTTGGCCGTGAATGGTGGGAGAGGTGCTCAGGCAGCAACGATGTCGAGTCCCCGTCCGTTGGTGCATCTGTCTCGCCTGGGCGATAGCAAGTATTCGGATGTAGTTAGCGAGCATTATTGATCAGCGGTGCCTCTGCACGGCCCGCACACACTCTCGTCGAAGCCACTCGCTTGACAGATCATTGTATGCCAAAGCAGGAGCCTGAAATGTTCAAGCCAAGGACTCACGCTTGTTGTGCAGGATCCTTCCGAGCGAATGATAGAGTGACAGCGACATATCTCGTCCAGACAACTCTGGAGGCGATGCCTGCGCAAGTTCGTTTAGGGCCAGGAACTGCAACGAATTGATCGCATTACGCAAGTCTCCGTCGCTGCTCTTGACGATCCGGTCGACCCAGTCCCTGTTGGGTCTCTTGGGATCGACGGGCGGGGCCTGGAGCTTGGACGCACCGGCTCGGCTGCGCTTGCGCACCAGGAACGGCGCTGCGACCGGAAACTCAAAGTCGAGGATGCGGTTGAGTGCCTTGGTCATGATAGTAGGCGCCACGGGATTGAACCTGGGGATCAGGCAAGCGGGTCAGTCGCTCGGTCGCTATGGCTCGCTTTTGGGCACTGGGAGTTTGGTGGTGAATCAATTTTTTTTTTTTTTGCCGACTCACTTGATTTCTGTGCACTGAGGAGACGACAGCACATCCGGGGGGACCAAGTTCCGAATCGAGATGACAGACTCGAGTGAGCCCTCGAGGCGGCCGCCGGTTTCCTCGGACACATCGCTGATCACCAGGACCAGCGGGCAGATGGAAAACCTCGATTCGATGTATTTTCGAATCGCCGCGTGGAAGCTCTGCCGGGTATGCAGTTCGGTGACATTGGGCAGGTCTTCGATTAGGATAACGCGCCGACTGCTCTTGGGCAATGTCGATTCGTGGGCAGGGTCAGTGCCGTCGAAAGTCAGCTGCAAAGCCGATAGCCGAGACGAGCGTTCGAGAAACTCGTTGAACTTTGTACTTATGGAAGTCCAGTCTGAGAAAGCCCGCGGCGACCGATGGAGCGTGTCAATTGGGCTCGGAGAGCTGCGTCGCAAGTGCCGATTCATGCTTCCGCCGTACCTGCAAAGTCAGACGAGTCCGAGTTCCGTTTGTCGTCCGTGTACATGACTTGCAGAGAGTTGGTGTTGATGGGATTGGTCCACTCGCTGATCTCATAGGACAGCTCGGCCGCAAGCGACTGGAGGGTTGCGGTCTTGCCCGATCCGGACGGCCCCGTAAGCAGCAATAGCGATCCTTTCTGAGAAAGAGCTTAATTTCAGCATCGACGACAGAGACTGGACAGCCGAGTGCAGAATCAATGGGGAATGCCTCGCTAGGGACCAGGCTGAAAGCGGTGGGCTGAGCTGGGCTGGGCTGGGGTTCACCTTGGATCCGCTCTGAAAGGCCAGCTGTAGCCACTGCTTGACTTGCTCGACTTTCTTCTTGTGCACCGCAAGTTCGGCCTGAAACCAAGCATTCGATGCCGAGTCAATGGCGACGCAGTTACTGGGCTCAGGGCGCTCCAGACGGTCACTCCAGGAAGCGGTCACGTTCCATCGAGCACGATCAAGCGGGCTCGTCGACTGCCTGCTGTGGGAACTGATTCGACAACGGCTTGTCCTGAGCCAGCGCCCGTGCTTTTTGGATTGCACCTGCTGAGCAGCACACATACTCCTTGGTATCCAGGACGATATTTGTCAATCCAGAGTTGGTTGTCGGGCACTGAGGGACAATGGCACATGCGTTCATCAGTCGTGAGACATCAGTCATAAGGCGACGGAAACAAGGCGAGAAATCCCACCAAGAATGCATAGATCGGCAGTGTCCGTTGATGCCAAACCCAACTTGGAGCCACTCGGCGACTCTCGAGGATAGCCACTGGTTCGGGCAGGACATACCTCTTCCAGCATTGGGTATCTCGACAGGGAATCGTTTCGGCGGACTGGATGGTCGGTCGATGGGTTGCTGATGGCGGGAGGGTCAAGCAGGGCATACGATAGGCAAGGAGTTATGTGATTCCGTCGCTGCCCAGCCACGGATGCGATGCTGACGCAAGGCTACTTGACCCGACCGAATTGCAGCTTACCTTTGTCGACCTCGACGAGCTCATGCGTCCAGGGGACGCTGGCCGCTGCGAGCCCCTATCTGATTTCTGAGACCCATCCAGCGGCGCTTCACCGCGGGCGGTCTCACCGCCGTTCGAAGAGGTCTGTGAATTAAACTGGCTGGCCCTGACCCCGTCTCCGTCTTGATCCCCGGCTCGATGATAGCCGCTGCTGTCATCGTCGTCGTCAACGAGAATGTCATCGTGTGGTACGCCCTTTGCGTCCCATAGCGAGCGTCCCCAGCCGACTTGAGTGCGATGAGACGCTCGAGTGGACCGAGACGAGGAGGGCCGCTGTTGGATCGTGCGGGTTGTCTGGGACGATGAAAAGGATGATGATGACACATGCGGCTGGGGAGCCGATGATGGCGGAGAGCCGGTGGACGAGGGCGACGACGACACCGATCCTGATGGCCGACGGGCTCTGGATGCCGAATCCCTGGATGTTGATGCCTCTGCAAAAGCCGATATCGATGCCGCGGCCCCACGCCTGGATGCCAGAGTCGCTTCGGAAGCCGGTGTGGGCAGTGGCAGAGCTGTTGCTTTGGCAGCGGTGTTGGTCTGCTCCCGCTCGCGTCGGGGCAAGGATGATGGTATTCCCTGCGACGAGCCAAAGTCAGTGTCGGATTCCGAGTCGTCGTCAATATCCTCGGCAGATTGTGCAAGCGAGCGCTTTGAGCTGGACGACAGGAGCCGGCCGGCTGGGGCGTGCGATCGCAGGCGAGATGATGATGCTGGCTGTGCTGGTTGTGCTGAACCGGCATCCGAAGCAGAGCCTGGACGAGCCGCAACTCGATCGCTTGGCTTTGACGCCACTGCCTGGGATCGCCTGAGAGTGCTCTCGGAGAGCGTCGGCGGCTTCGTCCTCCTGGTGCTGATCCATTTGGAGGCCGAGGCAACAGGCCTGGCCGACTGCTGGGAGAGCGATGGCTGCGACGCCGATGTCCGGGATTGCGACAAAGTGCTGGCGGAACCTTGGCTGGGCTGCACAGTCCGGGGGCTAGATTCCGTCTCGCTCGATGAATCCGAGGAGATAACGATGGCTGAGGGTTTGGTCGTCTGCTTGGTGTCGCTGCGATGCTTGGCAGCAGATTTCATGGTGGCGAGGAGGCAAGGAGACGAGGAGGCTGGTGGTCGGTGTCGATCGGCCTCCCAGAGTCGCAGGACAGGCGGAACGGGTCGGAGTCGATGGCTGGTGGGCACCTGCCGACAGTCCTGTTGGATCTGGCTCGCTCAGCCGGGAGATGCAGACGGCCCGGGCGACGAGATGCGACGGCGAAGGCAAGTGCCAGGCCGGCCGATTGAGCGAGGAACCCGAACAGCGCCACGACCGAGGCAAAGCCAGCACGAAGCGGTGCGAGGGCCGTCGGAGTTTGCAAGAGCAAACGAACGCCGAGAATGAAGCGAATGGCGAACGGCGAACGGCGGACGGAACGGCTGAAGAAATGAGCAAAGAGTCGAATGAAGGATTGAATGAATGGACGACACAACGAGGCGAAGTGTCGATGCGGAAATGGGTCGCTATCGCAGCCAAGACGGACACAACTTGGAATGGCACTCTCCTGTGCTGGCCGACCGAGCATCGCTGTCACGCATTCGGAACCTTGCGATATCGACGTGAGGGATATATTACAGATCCGCAACTGGACACTAGATCAACGATGGTCCATGCAGGATACTAGCCTTGCCTCGCGACTCTGTGCAGCGAGATAAAGGGCAAGGCAGCGGAGGCGAAGAACGAAACGGGGGAGGGGAAGCCCAACGTATGCAGAAAGGGCTGGATGGCAAAGGAAAATGAACTGTGGGAGAGGGAAACGAAAAGAGCAAGAGGGGGCACGCAGATTGAAGGGCAGAAGACACAGGAACTGGCCGCAGGCTCTGTCCATTCGAGAGACGAGCAGGACCAGCCGAATGCATGTCCAAGGCGCGAGTCCATGACGGAGCCGAGAAGGAGGCGAGGGCGTCTGAAAGGACGACAGACGGTCGAGGGTTTACTTGGATTGTTTCTCCTTGGACGAAGAGGGCTTCGAGTCCTCCATGCCCATGCTGCCCTTATCCCCATGGCCGTGGGGAATGGCGTGCGTTGCTACAGGAGCGCCAGGCGGCTGTGTAGGCGAGGGTAGAGGATTAGAAACAGATCGGTCGCCCGGCGAGTAGAGAGGAGGACCTTGCACGGCGTGAGGGTGGCCAGCCATGTGCTGCTGTTGGCTGTGTTGGAGACCCACCATGCCACCGTAGCCGTCACCGAGCGGTTGGTACGGAGGGTACATGTACGGCACGCCCACGGCGCCGTTGGAGGAAGTCGAGGGCGGCATGGGCGGGAAGGCGCCTTGGGAATGGTAGGGCAAGTACAATGCAAGGTGGGCGTTGTTGGGATTCTAGAGGAGGCGCACCGGCAATCAGAGACAAATGGCCAAGCAAAAAAATGGGAATACGGTCAGCAAGGCCGCCACAGTAGCAACCAAGGCCGCCGATCGATGAAACCGGCGACTGGAGCATCAACTGCACGCTATGCTGGGCCGCACTCGACTTGAGTGCAGCGCGCAACAGAGCAATGGCGGGAGTCATACACATGGGGCGATTGACCGGGCCGGACCGCACGCTCGTGGCAGTATACGACCGTACCTTGTCGTCGCGATAAACATCCGAGGTCTGCACAGAGGAGCCTTGGTCGCTGCTGACAACCATCCCGGAGCTACTGACGGAGCTGCCGACGGAATCCATGCCGACCGGCAGACCCGAATGAGGAACGTAGCCGGCGGGAGGGACGGGGTATGGGCTACCGTTGACACCGGGCGGTACGGGCTGGTATACCTGGGGCACAGGAGGATTGACAATGTCAGGGGCGTTGAGGCAGGCTTGGATCAGGCTCTTGCCCTCGGCCTTGGTGATGAGCGGCTGGAGCTTGGGGGTTGCGAAGGTGTAGACATGGCCGGTCTCGGAGGCGACCAGGAGGAGGACCTGGGTTCCGGTCAGGGTGGAGAGCTCGTAGGCCTACGGGGTATCCGAGGGACGAACGTGGATGAGCAAAGGTGAAGAATGCGCACAGCATGTGCACAGCATGCGCATAGCATGAGCGGATGATGCTGTCGGGAGCACCGAGACAGGCACCATCCGCACCGACGCCCCCCACACGGAGCACACTGTCTGCGCATAGTTCCGAGGCGAGCGCACCTTTTTCATGATACCGGCCTTGCGCTTGCTGAAGGTGATGTGTCGCCTGGACTTGTCGTCGATGTACTCGATCTTGATCTTTCTTCGGCCAGAGCGCTTGGGTTTGTTGGTGTCCTCATCGTCCTCCGACTCGGCTCCAGAGAGCTCCTGCGCGTCATTGCCGAGGATGAGATGGCCGGTCTCGGCGGCGTCGAGTGAGGCCTCGCCAGCGTCCCGCTTCAGGCCCCGCACGGACGAAACCGAGTCGGAGCGATCCGATGCCTGGGAGGAGAGCGACTTGATGGCTGGTGGTCCAGGCGAGGCATTGGCCACCAAGACAGAGATACGCATGCGGCGTTGGCAGGGTCGAGGGCAGCAGAAATGTCAGCGAATCTGCCATGACGAACTGCTCGGCCCTGCCCTGGGCAAGTGACGAGGCGCCGATGATGATGCTTCATGCACCAAGCCCGCAAGCCGCTCAGAAATTGCTGGCGGCAAGCCAAGCCAAGACCAACAACTGTCAATACTGACCTTTCTTGGAGTCAGGCGACATGGCTGGAACAGCAAGTCCACAAGGGCCGGAGGGGTGCGGATGCGACATGGCGGCAGAGACGGTTAGGAAGGGTCAGTGGCCAAAGCTGGTGACAGATCCGCTACCGTCGCCGCAAGAGACGGGTTCGCCCAGGAGGTCGCCGACACCGGCAGGCTCAAGAAGCAGCCGCTTGGGGGCGGGTGTTGGGCCGACGGTATCGGCAGAGCGCCAACACCGCAGCCCCAGACGACGCTCCGAGCCTGACGCTGGCTGGTGCCGGTGCTGGTGCTTGGAGGACCATGGGAGATGGATCCAGAGCAAGCCAGGAGAGCGAGCCAGGAGCAGCAGCAGCTAAAGCAACCGACGGCGCTGGGGGGTGGCCAGGGGCCGGGCCGCAGCCAGGGGACAAACGCAGGCCGCGACAGGGGTCAAGGGCATGCGCTCATGAGCAGAGGCTTCCGGTACCTGGATTCGGTTGCTCTCGTTGGACGACAGAGGGGCAGAAGGACGACGGATAGGGAGCCAAAATAGGCAGTTGCCTTTTCTGGATGGAGGAAAAGGCAAAAAAAGGACCGCAAGACCGAGGGCGACCCGGGCGAGGAAGGCCGCGGAGACGCCGGGCCGGTGTGTGTGTGCGCCTCGGCGTGCGGCGCTCTCGCGGGGCAGCCCTCGGCGGGAGAGAGCTGCTCTCGGCTGGCCCTCGGCTGGCCCTCGTCGGCGCCTCGCCGCACAGAGAGGCTGCCGAGGGCGTCTCGCTGCACCGAGAAGCCCGGACACGCGGCGGCGGCGAAAAAAAGCGCGTCACGTTTCGACGCGCCAATTGGCCCATGGCCATCTGTGTGCGACGCCTGTGCAACGCGCCGGGTCGCGCCGGATCGAGCCAGCTCGCGTGACATGGCAGCTGCGCCACAGACGCATCCGTGCCCGGTGTACGCGTGTCGGTTCGTGCACATCGGTCGACCCCGAGCACACAGCGCGGTAATGGATCGAGCAAGCGCACCTCATTTGCAGAGGTGCGATGTATTGGCTGCATCGCGCAGATCCACCGGGTGACCCTTGGCACAGGAAAGATCGAGCCCCACACTCCCACAGAAACGAAAGCAGAGTCTGTTCGTGTTTCGTCGTCTCTGCATCCATGCCCAGTCGTCGGGCAGGAGTGATTGCGTGCTCTTTGCTCAGACAAATCCGGCGCCGACCTTCTCCTCCAGGATGTGCCGAATGGCCTTCTCGCCAACGGCCTTGTTGCCGCCCTCGGTTTCAACAAAGATGCATCGCTTGGGCAGGCCCTCGAGATCGACCAGAACCTGGGGCGCAATGTCCCTGTACTCCACAGGCACGAATCCGAGCTGGGTCGATTCGGTCGGCACAGACTCGTTGATGGCCGTCAAGACCGCCTCGGGGAACTTGCCGGGGCTGGCCGTCGAGAGGCAAACCACGTTGACAGCCGCTGCCGAGCCAATGCTGGCGTCGCTCAGCAGGATGCGCTCTGCAGCGACGACACCGACGGCTGTGTGGGGATCCAGCACGTACGACGAGCGTGCGCCAGCGGGCAGCGTCGGGTTGCTGAGCTGGTCCTGGTCCAGCGCTTGGCTGTATTGGTGGTGGTAGTAGCGCTTGATGGCGTCGGTGGTGTCGGCATTCGACACGCAGACCGAGTCAAAGACCTGGCGAGCGCGCTCGAGGACCGTCTCGGGCACAGAGAAGCCGCCGGTGCTCTTCAGGGTCGACATCCATTCGCGAATCGCCTCGCTGGCGGCCTGGGCATCGGGCGACTCGGCCGGGGTGCGGCCGTCGCCGTTGGCCAGGTACCACAGCAGCCGCTCAAAGTTGGAGCTGATGAGAATGTCCATCGCCGGCGAAAGCGTCGCGCGCACAAGGTCGCCTGAGACCGGGCACGTCGTCGTGGGTTTGGTGTAGCTGCCGGTCTCGAGGAATCGGTGGAGAATGTCGTTCTCGTTTGTCGCGATAATGAGCCGGTCGATGGGCAGACCCATGCGCAGAGCAAAGTAGCCCGCGAGGATGTCGCCAAAGTTGCCCGTGGGCACCGAGAAGCGAATCTTGGTCAGGACCGCATACGAGGCCGTGTCCAGGGGCACGCCCTTGGCCTTCAGCAGCGCAAAGTACGAGTAAAAGTAGTACGTGATCTGGGCCATGATGCGTGCCCAGTTGATCGAGTTGACGGCGCCAAGCTGGAAGCGCTTCTTGAAGTCCAGGTCCGAGAACAGCGCCTTGACAATGTCTTGGCAGTCGTCAAAGGAGCCTTCGACAGCAATGTTGAAGACATTGTCGTCCAACACGCTGGTCATTTGCTGCTCCTGGACTGGCGAGATGCGGCCCTTGGGGTGCAGAATGAACACCGAGACATTCTCCTTGCCGCGGAGGCCGTAGATGGCCGCGCCGCCAGTATCGCCCGACGTCGCTCCCACGACGGTGATGCGATGGTCGCGGTCGCTGGGACTGGCCTTGTTCTGGTTGCGGCGCTTCAAAAAGTACTCGAAGGCGTTGCCGACAAACTGCAGGGCAACATCCTTGAAGGCGCAGGTGGGGCCGTGGAAGAGCTCAAGGACATAGAGGTTTTCGAGGTTGTGGTGCGAGCGGGCATTCTCCTCCTCCGAGGCCACGTTCGGGAGCTTCACCAGCGGGGTGATGTCCTTGTGGGTGAAGGTGGCATACGAGCGCTCGACGATGTCGGCCAGGTCGCTGACAGAGATCTCGCTCTCGTCGATGTAGAGGCGGAAGATCTCGAGCGCCAGCTCCGAGTACGACAGGTTGGCCCACGACAGGATCTTGGACAGGGGCACTTGCGGGATGGCCTCGGGGATGTACAGGCCGCCATCGGGGGCGAGGCCTTCGAAGAGGGCTTGCTCAAAGGTGAGCTTCTGGGCGGAATCGACGTCGCGGGTGGATCGGTATCTCATGGCTCAAGGACGACAGTGGCTTATCCATGGAATCGAGATCGAATCGAAAGCGGAAGCGGAATCGGAATCGGAAGCGGAAGCGGAATCGAAATGTAATCGGAACCAGGGATCAGGTGGGGTTTGGGGAACGACGCAGAGCTTGTTAGCAAAACGAGTCACTGGCGACCGCTGGGTTGGCGGCCACGGAGTTCTGTAACGGGATCGCCGAGCACCCGCAGACACTCCACGGCCAGAACGAGCCAAGGCGCAGACACGGATGCGATGCCGACCGAGTTCGGTTCGGGTTCGGGCTCGGGTTCGGCGTGGCCCGACTCGACTCACCTCGCAGCAGACAGAAGGACAAGCAGACAGTGATGGGCGGAGCTGGCTTCTGGGCAGGCTTTGGAGCAGGTTTTATCACACACACTCATCTTATCTCCAAGCCACTTTGGCGGGCCAACCAAATGCGGTACCGGCACGGGACGGCGCCACAGGCACCCAAAACGGGCCGTGCTGCGCAGATGCTGCTGCGCACAGGTCAGCCGACCGGGTGACACAGCCCACAATCTCGCGACACAACCCGGCGCAAGGGGGAAGGGCAAGGCGCAAGGCGCAAGACGCAAGGCGCATGTGTGTGTGTGTGTGTGTGTGTGTGTGTGGTCGGAGAATACTTGCCCCATTGTTCGTGGGAACAGGCCAGGCTCGATCTGCACTGCATTGCACTGCATATCCGGTTCTCCTTCCGACCCCTCCGTACTCATTGCCCCCACCTTCCTCGCTGCCCGGTGCCCGCTCTCGCTCCTTGCGTCGCTGGCGACTCTGTTTCAGCAGCCCGCCTCGCGTTGAGTCGTATCAGATCTGCCAAATCCCGGAGCCGCCTTCTTGAAGTGTGTTCGAAGAGACAAAATGATGCGTCAAGTGTCGCCGCTGCCGGCGATCCCCGGTGACCCGATTCCACCGATTATTCAGACCGGGTACCAGAATATCGAGAGCCTCATTCCGCCAGAGCCTCCGACCATCACGGACGAGCAAGCTCAGAAAGGTAGTCAGGACTTGCATGTTCGGTATCTTCTGATACGGGATGTGGCACTTACGGTGGAGCATTTTTGTCGATGCATGCTGCCATACTGAGTGACAGATCCTCTGCGACAGCATTACCGCCGCCTCGTTGTCTAGGCAATGCCACTGACAATTCTCCTCGCCGCTTAGGTGGTCATGCGCTTCGGAGACTCAAGAACTACAGCGACAATCTCTACCACATCAACATGAGTAAGCTTCACGAGAAGCTCCACACTTTTCTGGGGAGATGAGAACCCTTTAGCAGACCTTCAACCGAGCTATTGCAAAGCCCCTTACTCACCAGCGCATCGATCGGCTCTGACCGACAGAGTTCCAGAGCGAGATCTGCATTGCCCGAAGCAGCCTTCAATCCGTCAAGCAAGAGAAGCAAAATCTCCTCTGTAAGTTCCATGCTATCATGGATAATTGCCCCCCCCCCATTTGCTATTCCTGGCAAACCCATCGGCCGGCGTGCAAGATGTGCTTCGTTAAGCTAATGCCTCTCCAAATGGCACAACGGCTGAACCTGGAGGAATCAGTGGATCTGCAACAAAAGAACAACATAATCGCCGAGCTGAAGAAGCAGCAGGGCCGAGAGTATCTGGCTGCGCGAACACAGTAAGCGTCTTACGCGCAAAGTCACAATCCTTGGCTTGGTTTGCGATCAGTGTGCGGTATCGTTGTCAAGACTGATTATTATTGCGTGTGCTGTCGCCAGACGAGAGTCTGAGGAATTGCTGTCACTGGAGACCGCAAAGCGCAAGAAAGCTGAGGGACAGATACAGGACCTGAAGAGCAAAATCCAGGCCTACGCGAAGCAGATCGAGAAGTACCGGGCGTACGTTCGATTGGAGCAGTCCCGCGAACGAATCGCATATGCGGAATGCTGCCGATGATCTCGTCCCAGCTCATCGACTGACGGCCACTCTCTGGCTGCAGCGAAGTGAAGACGGCTGTAACAAAGGAAGAGAACATGGACCACGTCATCGACGAGAAGGAGCACCAAATCCACCAGCAAGCAGAGATGATCAAGTACGTTGCCGTGCAGTCTACGCATCCAGAGTGACAATCCATGGATCTTGAGGTGCAGCTCTCACCAGCAGAGACCTCTCTTCTCTGACGTCATTGTACCGCCCGACCACCAGGGACCTCGAGTTTGTCGCTGACGAGCTGCGGGTCGAGCTGATCGTCGTGAAGCGGCGGAACGAGGATCTTGAGAAGGCCATGATGTAAGCATCGTCCAGCATGGCCAGATTGAGGAGCCTCCATTCTTTGTTGTTCCTGTCACTGTGCATCCATTCCCATTCCTGACCATGGCTGGATTGTGTTCATGCCTGGATGAGGGACTTGGGTCACCACCGACTGCTTTGCCCCGCAGATTTCATGAAACAGCTCTGATCCCGTCGAATCGCCGTCGCTTGGTCATCCAGTCAAACAGCACAGCAAAACGACTATCTGTCCAAAGCCGAGCTCACCTACCGAGAAGAAAATGTCAAGTTGCAAAAGCGACTCAGGTGAGATGCGAGCTGTTATCAGCGTGTCGACTATGCTGCTCAAGTGTATTTCTCCAGACGCAAACCACGGTGACTCATGCTCTGGATGGATTGGGGAGGCAGGGAGGTCATTGACGAAAACAAGATGGTCACGGCCAACTATAATGCCATCAAGAACAACCACGACCTGAAACGGGCAGAGTTTGAGCAGCTGGCCACCGAGGTCGAGGAGGCCAAGAATGCTTGTCAGATCGCCATTGTAGGTGCTGGAAGCGTATCGACGAGACTCGCGGACCAGATATAGGGAGCAGAGCCAAACCGACCAACCATATTCACCGCTGACCACCAAACCGTCTGGCTCATCTGCAACACAGAGGCAAAAAAAGCAACTGCAAGAAGAGACAAACTCCTTGACCAAGGAGCGCAACGATTTGCAGGAGAAGAACAAGAGCATCGAGGCGCTGCTTTTGCGGAAGGAAAAGGATATCTCGGACCTACTCACCAAGGTCAACGACACCATTAACGACTATGAGCTGAAGCTGGAGCGGAAAGAGGAGCAGATGTGGGCTATGAACATGCAGTTGACGGAAGGTATACATCTGGCGCAGGGTGAATATGACGGGAGAGTGGCGCCCGCTACCAACTGGACGAGCCGGATTTGTGCCGATAGGGTCTCTGCGATTGCCGACATGTGTGTCTCATACAATCTGTCTGCTGTGTGTATTTGCATTCCATGCCCCTGCCTCCAGAGCAAGAATCTGCAAAGCAGAAGCACCATGTCGAAATCGACCCAGAGTTGATCAACGATATGGAGAAGAAGTGGCAAGGTACGGAGTCGATTTTGGGACGATCGAGCAGCAGGCGCAGTCCACGCCACAGCGATTTGCAGCCCGCTTGAGTAGGGGGGGGGCTCCAAGACACCGCGAATATGCTGGGGAGATAGATTAAAACGCTTTCTGGGCTGGATACCCTCACGAACGTGGATGGTGCAGTCAAGGAGCGGCAGTACCTTGCTGAGGTCGACCGATTAACCAAGCAAATGTTCATCAAGGAGGAATCTGTGACAAGTGAGTGCAATGGTTGTCGCAGCCGAAAGCGGTTGTGGGGGGAGCGTTCAAGCCGGTATCGGCTCTGAATACCAAAGCCAGCATCGACACGAACGTCACGACACTGTGTCCACATCGACTCCCTGAGGGTCTTGGAGGTGCTCTTCACTATGTCCGGCTTACGTTCTTGGCGTATATGGCGCATCTCCCTGTCGACCCGCCCAGAGCTGAGCCAACAGGTCGAGGAGCTATCCAAGAAGCAGTTCCAGCCCCGAATGGAAAAGCTCAAGGCAATCGAGCAAGATGTCAAGATTCGCATGGAGGAGTATGCACTTGCAGAAGAGCGGCTGGAGGTCAGTATCGGCCACAATCCGGAGCAGCACGGGCATGTTTGCCAGGGGTTGGTGAGTGCGTGACAAGAGACTGGATAGCATGAGACTAATCGGCGTTCGGATCACGATATCGCAACCACAGACCGGGTTCATCTGTCCAAGAGACCTCATCGTGCTTGAGAAGCCAGTCACATTCGATCCATGCGGCGTAAGTAAAGCCCTCGACTCGCTTGTTTGCCACGCCAAACGTCACACTCGCCCATTCGTCACTCACTCACTCACTCACTCACTCGCTAGCACACGTATTGCAAGAAATGCGTCGACTCGATCCGCGAGGAAAACTTCAACAAGCTCAAGTGCCCGTCCTGCTTGGCCAACGTCGACTACGCCTTCCGGAACATGCAAATGGAAGCCGTATGCGAGCAGTTCTTGAAGCGCAAGTCCATGACGCTGTCTTTCCTGGAGTGGTATGCAAAGACCTGATCTTGTCGCCTTGCTCCTCCGCCACCAGCCGCCATCGACCAGTGGTCTAATGCAAACGTGTGTCGAATGCCAGGATCAAAACCCTCAAGATCCACCTCCCCGAGCGGGACTAGAGCACAACCCCCGCAAACCTACAAGCCGAGACCATACGACCGACGACGCGACAGTAATTAAGCAGCAAGATTGATGACAACAGTGCTGTCCATCATCCCTCAATCGGGGGTGCTCTGTTGTTGTCTAAATACGAATCAGCGCTGCGGTATTAGTTGTTATAGGCCAATCGATGTTCCAGTGGATGTATCAATCGATGTATCAAAAGATAAGCACCACGCAGGAGCGACGTGAGTCAATCCGAGCTCGCGGGACGATTCTACTTTTCGGGAGCGGATTCTATGTACAAATGTAATAAGGGTTCGGCGGTGCGAGAGGACGGGGCACATTCGATGCAACCTCCCTCGCGCAGAAAGCCCTCTGAAGATGGCCGCGACCATAAGAAAAGCCGCATCATATAGCTACTTGCACCTATTTGAAGAAGACAAGCCATCAGGCCCAACAAGTTGGTACCCCGGCACGTTGAGTAGACAGGCAAGCCTATCTACTCCTGTTGCAGCCTAGTGCTGCCTCAGCTGCCCACAAGGTCTGAGACCAAGCGAGTGAACACATTTTCGAGCAGCTCCCACAAGGGAACAGCAGGATCGAGGGGAGGTCGGGGTGGTGGAGTGGCAAGTGCTGGCACTATACTACGCTGTGCTGGGGGTGCAGGCGGAGACTTCAAGGGTGGGACTACACTGAGTGTGGGAGTGGGTGCTGGTGCTGGGTGTGCACCAAGTGCAAATGCTCGGAAGGCAGTGCGGGGAGCGGGTACATGTTTAGTGTTGTGAATTGCCTGTTTGGAAGGCATCCGGTAACATCGTCAGCGTCAGGGCCACTTGCCGAGGGATTTGAGAATGTTGATGGAATCTTCGTGGCCCTGGTCAGCTGACTTGCGCCACCAGTCAACGGCGGTGTCGATGTCTTGAGGGACACCAAAGCCATGCTTGTAGCAGCAACCGAGATAAATATATCCGTATCGATTTCCCTGTTCGGCAGACTTGCGATACCACTCAGCTGCCTTGATGTAGTCCTTGGCGACTCCGTTTTCATAGGAGTAGGAAAACCCAACAAACAACTGCCCGTACGAGTTGCCTTGATCAGCAGACTTGCTGTACCACTCGAATGCCTTCTTTCGGTAGAGAAAGAGAGGGAAGTTGTGGCGAAGCAGGCCAAATCCTGGCAAGCAATACCCTGGCAAGCAATACCCTGGCCATCGAAGGTACACACACAAGCCTGGCTCGATCCGCCCGGCGGAAATCAATTGTTGTGTTTGGTCTTGGCGGGCGATGGGTGGGGTGCGTATTCAGGCTCGGGAAGCTACGACAACCCTGACTCAAAATGGGTAGGTATATTATATGGACGGCACTGACATTGCTGCTGCTGCTGCTGCAATCCATCAAAGCTGCGTCCGACTCAAGCACGATCGCGACAAGCCCCATTGGCATATGGACCGGCATTCAAACTGCGCTCATGCTACCACATTCGGGGGCCATCACCGCGATGGCTGCAAAAAATATCGACAGACTCCGCTGTGTCGCGGATTACTTGGCACTGGCTGGACCACTGCTTCCCTTGACAGCCATCTTGATTGCAAACTTCAGGGGCAGGGGCCGCCTGGCTTTTGGTAAGGCAGACGAGGTCGCTGTCAAAGATCCATTCTCTTGCCCGCCAAAAGACTCGGCTGGCGGCTCGCCTGCTGGTGTTGCTCCTTCTGGCAGCTCGTGGGTCGAGGCTTGTCCGTTGACCGGAACAGGTGCCGTCTCGCCTCCGGCTGCTCCTTTGGCTTCGTCTGCAAGGCCCTCGGCAGGTGGCATTGAGTCGGCATTTTGATCGGGCTGGTCGGCATGGAGATTCAGCTTCTTGACAATATCGCTCGAGCGCAGGGCACGCCACTGCTCCGAGCTGGCTGCGGACGTGTCCTTGCAGCCAGCCGCAACCTCGGGATCGACAATCTCGGTCATCACGTCGGCTTCACGGAGCAGGTGAATGTCAATATCGGTCAGCTTCATGCCCTTTGATCCCGACTTGGTCAGGACCCATTTGACCCAGCGAGGGCATGCTTCGGGCCGTGACGAGTAGAGGGCGTCAAAGATGGCCGCGGCAACGGGGCTGGTTTCCAGGAGCTCCTTCTCCACGGTCGTCGCAACCCGCCGGGAGATGGAGGGATAGCGCTCAAGTAGCGCACGGCCAGACTTGAGCCCCATGAAGAGGCCAACCTGGAAATCGACCATGTACTTGACGGTGCTGCTGGTGCTTGAGGGAGGGGCTGCAGGGTCTGGCAGAGCGACAACGAAGAGAGGGAGACATCGCTGCCGGAGCCACCGCTCCAGTTCGCCTCTGGCTGGTTGGGGCGGCTCATAAGCCTCGACCGAGGGTTCGAGCTCGATTGACGGCTCGATCGAGGGCTCCGTCGAGGGTTCGGCTAAAACCTCAGCCGAGGGCTCGATTGACGGCTCAGACGACTCCTCGAGCGGCTCGGCCGTCAGCGGCATCGCGGCTCGGCGGGACTCTTGGCCGATTTTCTGATAACCCGAGATACCGAGCAGGCTCTTCTTCTTGATTCGTTTCTTGAGCTGAGTAGAAGCTGCAGGGGGTGCTGTCTGCATCTCCTCGTTTGATACGGAGGCTCGTCGAGATGGCGGCTGGGACAACCCACCGACTACGTCGATGATTTCCGAGTCGACCGACTCGGCTGCTTCGGAGCCGATCGTCGAGCGGTCCACATCAGCGTCCACCGTGGCGACGCGCCTACTGGATGCAGCCTTGTGGCTCACGTTGCCTGTCGTATCTTGCTCGCGGACACTGTCGCGGGTCAGTCCACCAACCCTGGTCGAGTCGATCGACTCGACCTCGCTACTGCTTTCCGTCTGAACCGAGAGACGCCGTCGCTTTTCCTTGTGTAGCTCCTTTGCTTCCTTTTCGCGGTTGCGCGCCAGAGCCTTGTGGGTGTCCTTGGGCTTCGTTGCTTCGGATGCACCGGCTATACTGGGACGATATCCATCGAGCTCCATGTCGCCCTCCGGAGCAGCCGTTGGGTCATCGAGCGGAAGGGCGGTCGGCTTGGAGTGGTCTGCGGATCCATCACGATCCGGCAGCACATCCAGAGCCTTGTCGGTTTCGGTGGCGGCACCCACAGCAACGGGCTTCATGTCAACAATCTCACCGGTGGCAGAGATCATGACACCGTCTCCATCCAGGCGCATATATCCCTTGGTAGCAAGCATCATTCGCTTCTTTCGCACAGGCGCGGGTTTGGCCGATGCCTCGTCGGTTTTGGTCTGTGTGTTCTTGGCTACTGTCCGAGCAACCTCGGGAGGTGCAGTCTTGTGCTGGGTGCTGACCGGCGGGGTAACGATTGGTTCCGCTGGTGGCTTTGTGGGTTGATCTGGCTCGTCTGACTCTGGCTCGGGCTTGACCTCCACAAGGGTGTCTTGGGGAATACTCACTGGGAGAGGAAGAGAGCAATGGGTGAGCCGCTGTCAATGACTGCTGCGAGGCACAAGTTCAATGAATTCTGCAGTGCGACAACACGGCGGCTAGCATGGTCGTGGGCCGACCATGACAAATTATGGGCGAATGGCACGACTGGATTTGCTGCGATCTCAGCGGCGAAGCTGACCGGCCAACTCACACGGCGGGACGTCGGCGATGATAACAGTGGGACGCGAGACCGGAGAGTCGACATTAAAGTAGTCGTCGATTTCCATAGGATCGACTTTGACATTGTCGAGGCTGGGGTGGCTGAAGAGTGCCTCCTCGCTCTCGCTGGGTCGGCTGTTCATGTCCAAGTCTGAATCGATCCGCAGATGGCGATATAGCAGAGCGGAGAGTCAGCATCGACGGGCAAGCAATTCCTGCGTCGCGTTGTTTAGAATTGCCCGTCTGCCTACCTTCCGACTTGACCGCGACAGCCCCTGTCCCGATTCCAGCTGGCTCGGATTGAGAGTGCGGTTCGCCGGACGAGCCCGTTCCATTGGGTCGGTCGCCGCTGTCCAATGCCGCCGGGACACCCAGAGGATCCGGAGGAGCCCTCTCGGAGGCGTGTGGCCGCCCCTTGGGTCCCCGTTCCACCGACAAAAGCAGTGATCGATCGGCCGTCTTGTTTCCGTCTCGGCTTTGGGTCTTGGCTTTGTCCGGGCTGGCCGTGCTGCGGCTTACAATGCTCTCTTCGAGCTCGAGATGCCGCTGCAGCTCCCGATATTCGTCATCGCCCTCGTCCTCTTCCTCTGTCGTGTCGTGAATCAGGCGATCACTTCGCTGCCGTCCACGAGACTGGACCCCGGATTCGTTCTCGGGCAAACCGGGCTCCCCGCGACCGACGCCGACCTTGAGCTTGGGCTTTTTATCACGATCGACCTCGGTGGCGGATTCTGACGGGTTGGGCTTTCGGCCTTTTGGGTCTGGCCCGGGCCGTTCCCGCTCATTGTCGTCCCGCTGCTTCTTGACTTGAGCCTCTTCGCTGGATCTGTGTCGGCCCTGCTCCCGTTCGGCATCGCGGCTCTTGTGCTTCTCGCTCTTGATAGGCTTGTGCTTGGAGCGGTCGTCCTCAAGGGCGTTGTCTCGGCCTCCATCCTTGGCTCGGGCGTCCGAACGCTTGACTTTTTCTTTCTTGACATCCTTATCGCCTTTGGAGTCCTTGGAAGCTTTGGATTGGCCTCGCTCCGGCTCGGTGTCCTTCCGTTTCCGACCTGAAACGCTGGTGTCGGCTCGTTCCGGCTCCCGCTTGTGCTTTTCATCGCTTGTGCTGCCAGCTACGGCCTGCTTGGTTCCGGATGACTTTACACGGCTCTTTGCTGAGGCGTCCTGGGATGCATGTGGCTGCCTCGAGTCCACTGTGCGCCGACGCTCTTCCTCTTCGAGACGACGATCCTCTTCCTCCTGCTTCTCCATCGCTGTCTGCAGCTTCGTTTCAAAGTCTGAATCATCTTCGCCACCCTCATCGCCATTGTCGCTGGAGGAAGTCGCCGAGGATTCCGAATGCCGTTGTGGCTTTCCATAATCAGACTCTCGTGACTTGTAGCGGCCGCGACCCGCGACTTTCATTTTTGCTCCGGCATCAGGCTTGCCGTTCGGATGTTCAAGAGAGTCAGGCTGGCGATAGACGTCGGCCATGTGCCTCTTTCCCTGGAGGCGGTTCTGGGTCTTCTTGCGTCCGGACTCGTCCTCGTTATCGCTTGAGTGCAGGTCGTGCATGTCCGTATCCTCTGGCGATCGCTCGGCATCATCTGTCGGCTTGCGAGGGCGGCCGCGCTTCTTCTGACCTTGCCCCGTCGGCGACATGGCCGTGTCTGTAGCCCGGTGGTCTTCTGGCGACGATGCGCCACTGCCGATGACCTCGCGTTTGCGTTTGCGGTGTCGACGCGACTGGGTGCTGCTGTCTTGGGCACTGACTTCTTGATGAGCGGCGGCTGGATCGCCACCGTAGATGGCCTCGATGGTTTTCAACAGCCCTCCAAACTTGCGCTCCTCGCGAGTCGACACAAAGGGTCCGTCGCGACTCCCCAGCCCTCCCCAAGCAAAGGCTTGATTTTGTCCGGCCGTGCTTGTTTCGACGCTGTCGCCGATTCCGACGCTGGTGTCGCGCCGCCGCAGGCTGGTCGATGTAGAAGAGTCCGAGCACAGCGAGCTGGCTCGCTTCCGGCGAGCGCTGGTCGCCGATGTGCGGCCATGGCCCGCAGTGTCGTCGTGGTCGTCCCGTTCACTGGCTCGGAACTTGACGGCGCTGGCGTAGTCGCGGATGGCACTGAGGCCGCTGGGTCCGCTCGGGTGGACGATTTGGGCACGGTATCGGGGCTCGCGGTATGGCTGCCAGTGCGTCTTGGGCTTGACGAGCAGTTCCTTGATTGCATCGCTCGTGCACATGTCCAGCGCCGACAGGTGCTGAGCGTTGCGCCGATCCTTGCTGGCACCAAACTCCAAGAGAATGCGCACACAGTCGAGGTGGCTGTTGGACACAGCGTCCATCAGCGGCGTTTCGTCATCGTATCCCATCAGATCGACCGTGGCGCCAAAGATCAACAGCTCCTCGGCAACGAGCGCGTGGCCCTCGAGAGCTGCCTCGTGCAGCGGTGTCCAACCGGCATTGTCTTGGGCATCAATATCAGCACCGTAGCGGATGCACTCGCGCACTTTGGCGATGCTCCCTGCTGCCGAGGCTCTGTGCAGCAATGTCTGTCCAGAGTCATCACGCTCGGTGACCTGGGCCATCATCTCGTCCCATTTGAGCAAGAGTGAGCGCATCTCCTCATCGTTGGCGACGTCAAGGGGCGTCTCTGATTTGGCGTTAGTGGCGTGGAGATAAGCGCCATGCGAGAGCAGGCATTCGACAACGCTGACATGTCCATTTTGCGCCGCATCGTGCAGGGCCGTGTCTTGGTTGTGGCCAGTGGCATTGACATCGGCGCCGTACTGGATCAGCAGCTTGACGACTTCGTCGTGGCCCTCGAGACAGGCCTCGTGCAGTGGTGTCCAGCCAGCGTGATCCTTGATGTTGAGATCGGCGCCAGCATTGACGAGCGAGAGACAGGTGCTGACGTCGCCAATCCTTGCGAAATTGAAGATCGGTGTCTGACCGCTGCGATCGGGAGCATTGATGGCCGAGTAAGGCAGGACGCGCTTCCGTCCAGCGACGATAATGCCGCTGTCCTCGCGAACGCTGCCACTGTCTTTCCTGGTCGCCGACGGGGGTGTCACCGATCGTCGCTGAATCACCGTGCGTGACAGGCGCTCTTCGGTCTCCTTGGGCTTACGCGGCGGGCGATCTTCCTTGCGCTTGTGTTGCTTGCGCTGATCGGACCGGTCGTCTGGATCAAGCAGGTCTCGATCGTCAGGGCTGTGTCGTGGATGTTTCTTGTTTGGCATTTTCGGCTTGGTTTCGTTGGTTTGCAGGGAGCTTGGGGGAGGCGACACAATTACAGCCGAAGACTCTGGCTTTGGCGCCTCCCAAGCGTCATTCGGGGGCGGCTTGGGTGGAGCTGACGCATGCGTGGTCCGCTCAAACTCCTTGAGTCTCTCGATCTGCGCGCGCTCCCAGTCCTGGAGGCTCTTGCTCCGACGGCTCGGCAGTCGGCCTCGCCGCTTCGCATCCTCGATGCGCCTCCGGTTCATGTGCTCGCTGTAATCGTCGTCATCGTCGTCGTCGCAGTCGAGGAGCATAAAGGCGCTGGGGTTTCGCTCCAGATACTCTTCAAGTATTTCTGGATTGTGGTCCATGTACTCCTTGACATCGGGCGAACCCTTTTTTGGACGATCCGAGACACGGGAGGCGGAAGCGTTGCTTGACTTGGCTGCCGGATCACGCCGGCCTTGCCCTTTCTGCTTTCTCCGTCGACGAGAGGTCTTCGCATCGGGCTCTCGGTCAGAGTGCTCGCTCGACGCAGACGTGCTCGAGATTCGACGCAGATTCTTGCGTTTCAACTTTCGCGCCTGAGATCTGGAGTTGTTGAGGGACTCGTCACTTGAACGCTTGGGAGCCTGTTTATCTTTCCTCGACAATCGCTCGCGCGCTTTGCTGTTGGAATCGTCACTCGAATAGGTGCTTTCCGAGTCCGAGGGGGATGAGCTGGACTCATCCACGTCGCTCAAGCTGCTGTCGCTCTGGCCCTCGTTCTCTGAAGCCGAGTCCGAATCCCTGTCGTCGTCCCCGGCGGCTTTTCGTTCACGCGAATCGGCTCGGTCCGACCCCTCACGACTGGGCTCGCGGCGATCACCGTTTGCTTCGGCGTCCCCACGAGATGACGATGACTTTGACGACTCGGGGCGGTCGCCTGCGCCAGGTTCGGAATTGCCGGAGCCGGGATTGTGGTCCCCGCAACGTCTGATCGAAGGCGGCTGAGTTCTGAACTGGTGTGGCTCAATCTACGAACATCACATGGTGCGATTTGGGCATCAGTATCGGCTTAATGGCTGGTGCAAAGTAGCATCCGGGACAGGCTCCACTCTCTATTCAGCATTTGCACCGACACAAAGCATGCGCATTCCGAACCAACCTGATCTGCAGGAAAGCGGGGCGTTGAGGCCCAGGGATTCATTATAAACGGTTCGTCCAGCATGCGGTGGTGCTCTTGAATTGATACCGAGAAATTTAATAGCTGACTTGATGGGGTGAATCTATGGACAGATTCGCGATTACGGCGCCGAGTATTATCCAGTATGGGGTCATTAGTTGCTGTCGATCCGAAATCCTGGATCTGTCGTTCAGGACAAGGCGATATGGGGGCCAGGAGCTCCGAAATGAAGGCGCACGGAGATGACACGGGAACGGCTTGCTCGTCCTCAAAGCCCAAGGCAGTCGGATCTGGTAGACAGATGATTTCGCCCGAACGCCTTGCTCGCGGAACATCTGTGCAGCGGCCAAAGTCATCGTCTCCATACACGCTCTGCAGGGAATCTGAAAACAGAGGGTCAAGGTCGTCGTAAAGATCAAGCAGGCTCTTGCTTCGGACAGTCTTGGTTTTCGGCGGGCCGGCTGCACCAGCGACTTTGTATGTGTTTGGATGCTGCGATTTCGGAGGGAAGCATTGCTCGAAATGGGAGTAATACGTCTCAAACATCGGGCTTCTTGATCTGGATGCCAACAAAACGAGTCGCGTATTACTACGCGGGCCGAATGCTGCAAGCTGCCTTGGAACACAGGATCGATGCAGTGGCTGTTACCAGATCAGTTGGGTCGATATCATTCGCCAGATGTCGGAAACAGGGGAAGTTGACAAGAACTAAAAGCGCCAAGGGCGGTACCAGAAGCGACGATGCAATACGATATACAAGCGAAAAGTTAGTTGGGCAGCCCCATGTGTGCTGCGACCCGCCCATCCCAAATCACCTCGACTCCTTCACTCATCAAGCGACGCACTCAGATGGGTCTGATGCCATCCAGGGTGCCAGTGTCGGCGGATAAAGGACGAGTCCCCGCCTCCCGTTTGTGGCCAGTCCAGTCCAGTTCGCCCAGCTCTCGACCATACGAGCTCCAAAGCCGCAAGCGAGCTGCAAGCGATTCCGAGACAGCCGGTGAGCAAGCATGCGCCGGTGGTGGGCGGTGCCAAAACACTTACCAACACTGCGGTGCAAACAGTCGTCCAAGCACGGAGGCGGGACGGATTATATACAGCTGTGGGGGCGATGGAGGGTGCGTGAGCCGACAGTGCGATGGGACTTCAGGGAGAATCCGAGCGACTCGGCTTGGATGAAGCACGAACCGGATGTACCTGAGAAACGACAGGACGGAATGAAGATGTAGACGTTAGATACAGGCTGATGCGCGGATGGTGAGAGACACAACCACACCGACGCTTTGCATACTATCAACAGCCGTCCACTTCCGATGTTATGGGGGGTGCGGCTCCAAAGGGGGAGTTGGAGGACGAGAAGGGTGTGCACAGCCAGCAGGGATCACAGCCAAACCACAGACTGGAGCACCCTGAATATGCCGACACCACATATGCAGAAAATATTGACAGCCATCGAGAAATATGCATGCGAGGCTGAATGCGGGTCTGCTATCGGGCAGGAGCGCAACGGCCATAATGACGAGCCATATCCGGCCGGGGCAGGGACGATGGGTGAACCGCCAAGGACAGAGGAAAGGGGACATGCGACATGCCGGAATAGACCAGGGGGCGGCAGCTCGGCCGGCAGCAGGGGACATCGCCGCGACCCAGCAGAGCGTGCGTGCATACTTGCCTCGGTGATATGTGGGTGTTCTGCTTTGGGCACGGACGCTGCGAGGGGGATGGCTGGTTCGGCTGTCGGTGATGATGCAGAAAGCAAAATGGGGGCCGAGGGCGCATTTGGGCCCGACTCCTCGCGAGCCCTGGGCGAGGCGCGAGGACGGCCGAGAGCGCAGCGAGGCTGTGGGCGAGAGCACTTTTTTTCTCGTGCTGGCTCGAGCCGGATCGATGTGGCCAGCTGGTGCCGACGCGGCCTTTGGCAAGGCGCCTTGTGCCAGCCCTGTTCTGGCTCTGTTCCCACGTCTCGATACGTCTCTCGGACCCTGGTTCGTCTTGGACGCCTGACTGCGAGCATAGGCCACGCTCTGCACCATCTCTGGCGCGCCCCATCGAGTGCATCAGCCGACCATCCATCCAGATCCTCCCTCAAGCACTGAATTGTGGCAGGGTACCTGGCAAACACACAGATGCCTGCATTTCAGCTCCCATCAAGCATCTCGACGAGCCCAGGCGCCGTGTCTATCGGAAGCTCCTGGCGCAACTCTGTCACGCTCAATGCATCAATGTAACTGCCTTTGCTCGTGTGGCTCTTGCTCTGACAATGCACTCGCTCAGATGTATCTATATGGGTGTCGATATGGGTGTCGATATGGGTGCCGATATGGGTGTCGATATGGGTGCCGATATGGGTGTCGATATGGGTGTCGATATTTGCGCTGCACACAGGCGGCGGGTTCCTATGGCCATAGTTGGGAAGAAAGGACGTGCTAGCCAACGCGGGCAATCAGGGCCACCGAGTCCCTCTCTGCCCTTGTGATTGTCGCTGCTCAGCGCGGGCTGCTTGCGCTAACCGACGAATATCCGCGGCGCGGACCAGTCGCCAAGACAAAATCCTGGACAGCCATGTGCACGCGCTGCCGAACTCTGTTGCGGCCTATTCGATGGTGTCTCTCATGGTATGATCGCTTGGGTCCGCAACCGCCGTGTCAGTGTCTGTGGCCGTGGCCGTGTGTGGGCCCATCTTAACCTCGAGCTCACTTGGCACAGGGAACACCATACTTTGTTGTGGGAACGGCTGACAAGTCCAACAACTTTTTCGTTATGGAGAATTGCTGCTCTGTCAAGTTTAGCGGTGATGACGACGAGGCATCTCCTCCGCCGCTGAAGGCAAGTAAAATTGCCTGCTCGCCCAGAACAACGTGGGACTCGACGCCACCAAATGGCACAGCTCACTGGGCTATGTATGCTGGATCCGTGCTCGAGGGCATGGCGGCGACCAGCTCTATCGCGTGCTTACCACGGTTGGCCAACTCGATGTCAGATCAAAGCTGTATTTTCTGTTCCGGAGCCCATCTTCGATATGGATGTCTTTGGGACCAAGATCCTCGCGGGCTCATTAAAGGGCGGCGTCCATCTCTTTGACATGGACAACAACGAGCTCGCCTCGTACGGAAAGGGGCTGTCCCATTCGGCGGAATTTTCCATTGGCAAATCGAGTCTGGTGAGTAGCTGCTGGTTTTGCTAGCCCTTGTGTCGCTGGTTCGCTGCCTGTGCTGATCTTCATGCATCCACCCCGCAACGACCAGAAAAACGTGAGCATTGCACCGCCAGGTACGGTCCTCCGGTGCAAACCATGCTAGTCTCATAGAGCCGAAGGAGCGGCGTTGCGAACATGAAGTATTCAGTCTGCCATGGCGCTTACCGGGCTGGCAATCGCATCGGACACCGCCGCTGTGTCGTCACAGGGAACATGGTCCGAACCATCAAGATTGGCCGAGTCAAGTTCGCGCCCAATGCCTCAAAAGAGTACATACAGAATCCCAGTCCATCACACTTCCTGGCGACACAGGGCAAGATCGCCTTCATCTGGGACATGGAACAGAACACTGTCACCGCCCGGGAAACGGTGGGGCCGTTGTCGAGCATGCATCCGCGCAAAATGAGGAGAGTACTGACTCTGTTGATCATCCACATCACTCCATGGGGATCTATCCCACACAATTGACCCTGGGTACCTCCAGTTTGCAAAAGACCATCTACTGTCCGTGGACTGGTCACCGCATCCATTCGGCCAATCGCTGATTGCCGCTGGTTCCGTTGACCGATCCGTCAGCCTGCTTGATCAGCGTCAGATGGGCCTCGGAGGGGTTAAATCCTCGGTGGTAAGCATACGATGTGTCATTTGCCGGATGTATACGTTTGGCACATCGATGGCATATCGACGAGCTGGATGAAGGGCTTGGTCCATGTACTATGCTGCTGACTGTGACTCTTCAACCCCCCCCCTCGCATGATAGGTGTGGAGCGTTGCGCGTGCTCACAATGGAGTAGTGTCATGCACTCAATTCAATCCGTTTGTGCCGTACTGGCTCGCCACTGCAGGTACGTTAGCAGTTGGTGGGCGTATGCGTGGCAGTATTGGTTCGCTTCGGGTGGATGAGATAGCCATGGTGGAGCTGAAACATCGTGCTTGCATCTGTGCATTTGATAGGCGACGATGCAGTGGTGCGACTGTGGGATATCCGATACTCCAAATATCCAGCTGGAAAACTTGAGGGCAGCTACTCCGCCATTGACTCGGTAACGATGCGTGTACAACTTGGTCGCATGGTCGCATGGTCGCATGGCCGCATGGTCGCATGGTCGCTCGCGGGGAGGGGGATTTATGCAAGTACTATCTGGCGGGCATCTGTATGCGCTTACAGCTGCCTTTCGCCAGGGAGCCCAAATCGATCGAGTACTGAGCCTCCTCACTGTGCGCCTGTATTCTATCCACAGATGTGCTGGTCCAACACGCACTGCGATGTTGTTTCGGTGGGGTGCCGAGACGGCGCCTGGAGGGCGTGGTCGTTCACAGCGTCCGTAACGGTGCCGCGGGAGACCTCTGGCACATCGTTCATCGGGCTGCCGAGCTCCGATGGCAGCATGTCCACCACAATCAAGACCCTGATCCGCGAAAGCGTTACCAAGGCCAAGGACGACCAAGGGTGTGCGACGGTTGTTGGCGGCACGATGATTGGCGAGTTTGTCGATAATGCCACCCGAGCCCCCATCGTATCCTGTGAGTACTTGCTTTGCAGCTCCACTCGTCGTCGCAAACGATTGGACGCACCTGCCTGTGGGTGAGGGCGATGGTGCCGTGAACAAGCCGGGCATCCCTGTGGAATGTGCCGCTCGCTCGATATCGGCCTGAGAAGTAGTGAATGAGCTGCGACCACGAAGCCAAACGCTGCGGTCACAAAACCAGATGCTGCGACCACAAAACCAAACCCAGATACTGACCGACACTTACATGGTGCAGGCATCCCATCTGCATCACACCCCGATACCTACTATTCTCTCAGCGGCACGGGCGACGTGATCATGACCACGCTGCGAGGCGAGCTCTTTGCAGCGACGACGCCACACCGCTACGATGCCCAGCGGCAGTCCGGCGAGTACGAGATCGAGTGCTTCGTCAACAACCGGGACCTAGTGTCGGCACTCAATGGAATCCTGCAGCTGTCCAAGTCATGTCGGTTTGAGGGGCGTCTGACATCAACATACGAAGGACAGTTGATCGAGCTGCTGACAGCAAGACCTCCAGTATCGCCGGACTCGTGGACGGTGGCCCCGAATGCGCTTGACAGCGAGCACAGGCTCTCGACGGGTCAGAAGATCGGCGGAAACGAGATGGTTGGAAAGCTGCGCAACGACCTCCAGCAGTGGACCTACTTTCTGCCGCCAAACTTTGAGGCGATGACGCAGTGGTGGGGATTGGTACGTTTTTTTCTTTGCCACTCTGCGTGAGGTCAAGGGTCGATCCGGTTTGTGATATGGCAGGGACAAATGGACCAGCCAGTGCATGGTGTTATCAGTGTGCCGGTCGACACAAAGCAGCGATGCACCGATCAGTGTCGCAGCAGGGATTGCTTCGTGGTGCACGATTTCATTTACCGACGGCATCTTGTCTGCTCTCGCTGCAGATCCCTGTCAAGCTCCGGAAGTCGTTCGAGCTCGAGACGCTAAGATTCAACTCGCTCCGGAGCGTTGAGCGAGGCAGCTGGGAACAAGCACTCCAGGCAGAAAAGTAAGCTTGGATCATCGCCCCCGTGTCTTGCCAATGTTATGCTCCCTGGATGGAGGAGCATGCATATGTTTGTGGGTGTGCGAGGGGATGCGCCGGGCTCTCGGAGCGTAGTCGGGGCAGCTAAACCAGATACTCAACGATCGTGCTTCCTTCGCTTGTCTGTGTCTGCCAGAGCCATCTGCGATGGGATGCAGGCCGACTCGACCTACATGGATGTCGAGTCGCTGCAGAGCCTGGTCGAATGTGTCCTCCAAAACGATTTTTGCAAGGGCATCGCCATGGGAATCAAGTTCACGGAGATATATGAAGACGACCCGGCGCGGCATCTGCAGGATCTGGCGGATCTGTACAACATCATGCTGTTCCCGACGGTTCACGACCAAGGCAGGTGGATGCCGCCGGTGACCGCTCTAGCGGGCGAAGACGCTCTGTTGACGACAGCTGGACAGAAGCCTCGTCAGACAATCATTGCAGAATACCACGAAGCCAAGCGGCAGGGCGAGATCGAGTTTGTGCCCATCCGCCCGTACCGCGCCGGTCCCTCGCGAGAGCGAAGCGAGTCTGTCACCAGCGTTATGCAAGGAGGTTCGGTCGGCAGCCAGACTCCATTCCTCGACACCAAACTCGCCAAGCTCGGCACACCAACTCTCAGAACGTCAATATCGGTGGCAGGGCCATCGACGCCGACGTCCATGACGATCAATAACCTGGCAAGCTTGGCAGAGGAGCCTAAGCTGGGTTTGAACGGGAAGGTGTCGATCCAAGTGAGTCCCCCAACCGACACGAACAGCCGCCGCAGGGCCATGATCGAGACGACCGTAACGAACCCAAAGAACGTTATCCCAATGTTAAAATTGGAGGCGTAAGTGTGAAGTGCGATGTGTGTGAAATGCGATGTGTGTGAAATGCGATGTGTGTGAAGTGCGATGTGTGTGAAATGCGATGTGTGTGAAGTGCGATGTGTGTGAAATGCGATGTGTGTGAAATGTGAGAAATCAAGTTGCGCCATGGTTTTGAAGTTCGGTTTCCTCAGAAACTATGACACGACACACCTCCGTGCCATTTTCCAGGCTGGTCATGAAGCTGCTGGCCAACCCAACCAGATCGGTGGAAGAAGATATTGTGCGCCTGTTTACTCCAGTCGGGAGCGACACCACCGGCGGACGGGATGGCCTCGGCCATCTTGTCGTGAACCGAGAAAAGACCATATCGGCATACAGCAGCCGCATTTACCTGGACTGCCTCGTGGCAACCAAACGTTTTGAAGAATACTTTATTGTGTTCTTTGAGATGAATACGGTGAGTAGTTAGTCTGCGTGGGGGCGAGCTTGGGGCGGATGACTGGATGAATGCATGGATCAATGAATGGATCAATCGATGGATGGATCAGTGAATGAATGGATTAGTCGATGGATGAACGAATGGATGGATGGATTAGTCGATGGATGAACGGAATGCGAGCTATAACTGCTGTCCTCGTCGTGGCATGTGCTCTCCATCAACACTTCGGTGGTGGGGGAATCTCGCCCACAATCAACAGAACTATCCGCAAACGGACTTTATCAAAACCGTCCTCAAGCACGCCGAGCGAGTGGCCCTCGTGCGTCTGAAACGGCACTCCGAGGGTCAGATCTTGAGCTGCATCACCAAGGTTCTTGAGGGCGGAGCCAAGTCGACCCTGGGCGAGCTGGCTCTGGAATTTGCGAAGCGGACACGGGAGCTGCTTGTGGTACAGCTGCGGATCGGATGCTACTTTGCCCAGGCGGGTGAGAACAAGAGCCAGTGGGACCGCGAAGGGCTCGAGGCTCTTCAGAGGATGGCACAGACCATGTGTGCGATTCTGAGGTAGGCAGAGTGCGAGGGAGCGTCGCGGCCGAGCAGGGTTGACTGGCTGTTACTTTGGGGCCCCAACCCATCGCAGACCGGTTGACCTCGCCGGGGTTGTCGAGCGACGAGGCAACGAAGCTGCTGTGCGGGAGGGATCTTGACTCAAGTGCCATCATGTCTTGCGACAGCAACACCGGTGCCAACGTGCTCACAAGCTTGGAGCACATCGAGAAATACATAGGCAAGTCTCCGGCCTCACCTGCACTCAGGTAAGCACTTGGGAGTGCACATTGTCCAACGAGATTGTTGAAGTCGTTTTGGCCAACACACCACACGGTTGAAGCGGCGGTGCTGACTTCTGTGGACTGCAGTGCTGACTGCTGAGTGCATTGCTGACTGCTATCTCCGTGTGCATCCTTCCTTGCTCGCCAGAGAGGCTGCCCAGGCTGCCGTCGAGATCATCCGCGAGGTGTATCTCAAGTTTCCCAAGCGTGACAAGCGAGATCCGGTCGTCGGCGGGGTCATCATCGAGGAGGTTTCGTCGCTCCAAGAGCGCCTCGGCAAGATCCTCAAGGCCGAGGGCGCTTCGGAAAGGAGCTGAGCGGGACGGTGCGAGAGATGTCGACCCATGTGGAGAATCGACTATATATACATATATATGCCGAGCGCCAGATACACTGTATTCAGGGGGGAAATGGGACACCTGCCCACAACCCATTTGTCAGCGGAGTATGCAATGTGCTTGCGTCTAACTATGCCATAAGAAATAGAACAGATCACTTTGGCAGCCTCCGAGTGAAGACCACCGGTCGCAGTGCAGCGATGCGGAAATCGAGGGTGCTGTGTTTGGCCATGACTGCGATGGGTGGGTGGGTGTATTCAGTTCAGAAAAAACAACTCTCATGGCTCAAAGCGGGGTGTCCCATATCATTTCGGATATGCTGTATGTGGCAGTGCTGGCAGCCAGGGTCAGGCTTCGGGCGGTGCTTTTGCGAATCGTCGCGGGCATCTTGGATCCTGATCTGCCCGACCATCGATCCGGCTCGCCTCCTCCTGCTCCCTCTGTCCGCGGGCCAACCACGATAGTCACCACCACCGCAAGCGCTGCTGAAACAGCAACCACGACAGCGCAATGAGCAGAATAAACGCACCCGACTCACGCACAAATCTGCCCCGTGCCGATGGCGATGGCGATGGCGATGGCGAGCGGCTGCGTCGATGGATCCAAAAGGCGATCATCCAATGCTCGGACCGCGGCCTGTTTCGATCGGCCAAGTGGTGAGCTCAAGCCCGCGGCCTCTGGTTGCTGGCTGCTGGCTGGTCGCTGGCTGGTTGCTGGGCAATTCTCGCCGTGGTCTCGGTCGTCCGGCCCTCGCCCGCGATACAATCAGCGGATTCCGAGGCATGACCAAGGCCATGGCTTCTCCATGCAGGGCCGTGTCTTCGCATTCAACAGCTCATCCATCGATTCCCTCGTCTATCCAGGCTTGCTGAACAGCTTGTCGCTTTCTCGGCCGACCAGCCCATCGCCCCCATCCACCTGTCAATGCTAGAGCAATCCTTGGGTAGCCAGCCGCAGCTCGATCTCGACTCGACGCATCCATGTTTCTCAGAATACCTGCTCGCCAGGACATACTTTGACCTGCGAGAGTTTGATCGGTGCAGCCATGTCCTGCAGTCGTGCCAGGGCAAAGCCGGCGGCCCAGAGCATCCAAAGATGCTGTTTCTGAGACTGTACTCGCAACTGCTGGTAGGAATCCCAAGGCAAGAGGGGCAAAGGAAGAAAGGGAGGGGGGATCTGTTGAGGGGGAGAGATCGGCAGATAGGGTGGATGAGCAACAAGACATTGATCTGAGTCGGCGGGTGTGTGCGTGAATCAGCGATTGTCGACGAGGGATCGAGGCTGGCGACAGCAGCAGCGACAATCTGGTGGCCGAACTGCGAGTTTTGTTCACCACCGCCACTGATCTGTCTTCCAGGGAGGCGAGAAGCGCAAAGAAGAAGAGGGCCTGGCGATCGCAGGTAACGTTCGTTGCTGTTGATGTGGTGAGGGTGAGGGGGTGTTGTTAGCACAGCGAGCGAGTTCCCTCCCTCGAATACTAGCGCAGATGCCATGGCGGATCTTTACAACAGTGGGCATCTCGCGGCTCAACTCTTCCGTCAATTCATTCCTTTCGTCCGCTGACGGACCCCAAGGTCCCCTCGAGAGCCAGCAGCCCAACCGCGAGCTCGGCAGCATTTACGATGAGCTCCTGCCGATGTATGAAGCAGACGAACTCGACGGATTCCTGCTGTACCTGTAAGTGAGCGTCGATCTTGACAGATGCATGGATGGATGCATGGAATGGATGGGGTGTGCGTTTGTGGATGATATCGAGGTTCGACGAGACAGTGAAGCAACCGCAGCCCCGCCCTCTCAACTCTCTACTCATGCACACTGGCTGCGAATGAATGGGCTGAATGGACGGATGAATCGATTCGTGGACAAATGCATGGCAGTTTTGGAGTGGTTTGCAGCAAGCAAAACGCGAAGGATTTGGCGAGAACGGCTCTCATCCGGTCGGTCCAGCGATATCCGCTCAACTGGAGCGCCTGGCTCGAGCTGACATCGGTGGTGGATTCGGTATCACTGGTAAGCGATGGTGTCGGTGAACACAGTGTCCAGAGTTGAATGGATGGATCTGGGGCCAGACAGCAACGTTTCGATTGAGTGAGGGCTGAAAGTCAGGTCTGGCTCCGATGATCTATGTATCGCTCACTCGATCTTCTCCATCACCGCTACAATCCAGCTGGATGAGCTTCAGACGCAACTTCCATCGCTGAACCACTTTACGACAACCGCGTTTCTGCTGAACCTGTCGATCGAGCTCAACCTGCTGGACGACAAAGCCGACGAGCGCATCGGGGTCCTGACGAAGCTCTTTCCCGAGAGCCTTCCGAACCAGGCGGCCAAGGCCATGTTGCTGTACAATAGCCAAGGTGGGTGGCCAGGGCACGATGTTAAGTGATAACGGGGGGGGGCCAAGGCTGGAGCAGGGTTAGGGACATTGCCATCTGGCAAGGTTGAAACAGCGCTGTACATCCGAGGCATGTTCAGCGAGTGAACGACGGTTTCTCAACTACCTCTGGCTGACTCGATCCAACAACTATTGCCTGCCTGTCTGTCTGTCTGTCTGTCTGTGGGAGCAGACTTTGAGCGCGCTGAGGTAGCATTCGAGAAGCTGCGAAAGGCCGACCCGCACTCGGTCGAGTTTATGGACACCTACTCGCACGTCCTCTTTGTGATGAAGAAGCGTGCCCAGCTGAGTTATTTGGCCCACAATGCTGTCGGCATTGACAAGTACAAGGCAGAGACCTGCTGCATCATTGGTACGAGTCGGAGCCCGGCGGTGGATTGTGAACGAGGGAGAGAGATAGCTGGATACATTTGAGGCGAATTGCGCTCGCTGATTCCGGTCCATGATCTGCTTCCCTGCCACGGCTTCGATCAGCCAACTACTACAGCCTACGCGACGAGCACGAGCGGGCAGTGCTCTACTGTAAGCGAGCGCTGAAACTGAATCGGAACTACATCCAAGCCTTCATTCTCATGGGCCATGAAATGGTCGAACTGAAGCTGCTCCAGGCGGCAATCGAAGCATACCGACGCGCGATAGGTATGTGGATACTCTCGATGAGGAGGCGGGGAGAAGGGAGTGCCACTGATGCTTGGCGATACCGAACGATGGGAAGAGGGCAGGTCAAAATCAGGTTGGTTCGAAATGCGTTTGTCAGAACAGGAGGGGAGACATGAATGCAATTGACGTTGCCTGATGTAACTTTGCCCTCCCCCCAACAGACATCAACGAGCGGGAGTATCGAGCATGGTATGGGCTGGGTCAGGCATACGAAATGCTGCGGATGCCCTCGTATGCGATCTATTACTACACCAAGGCCGTGACGATTCGGTAGGCAGACATTCGCCCCTCAGCCATGGTTGCAATGGCGACTGCTGTGCTGCAGGGAAAGACACACGAAAGCAGTCAGGGGTGGGGAGGGGAGGCTACGATTCGGCTGCGACAGATTCCCACACCCGACGAACTCACGCGCCCACGCTCAAACTTTGCTTGCAAATGGCAGACCCGAAGATGGCCGCTTCTGGGTGGCTCTGGGCAAGTGCTATGAGGAGAGCGATCGGCACGACGACGCCGTTCGATGCTACAAGCGATCGCTGGCGGGAATCGACATGGATCCTGGCGTGCTGGTTCGCCTGGCGCAGTACAGTCTGTCGGCCGGGGACGTGGCGGCGGCGGCACGATACTACAAATCAGCCGTCGAAAACGACAAGGTACGGGCAAGAGATGACCAGACCCTCTGATAGAATGGTGTGCATCGGCCAGAGAGCAAACAGCACCAGACCGATCCGAATGGCTGACACCTCATATATTCATCTGTTTCGAATGATCAACGATTCCCCCTCCCGAACGAATGAACCAAACGCTGTTCTGGCCGTCCATGGTCCTGGATATCCGACTTGCCTGCAACGATACCGCTGGCCCAGACAAAGCCAGAGGATCTGGACGAGGCAGAGCAGTTCCTGAGCCAGCACCGGCAAAAGTAATGCGGCGAACACGATTCGATCGGAGGGAAGCACCATCGCCCTCGCCCCCTCCACTCCACTGCACTCCACTGCACCCTCTCCAGCGAGCTCGCATCGGACGAGGCGGGGAGGAAGCATCTACTGTTCTGCTCGGGGTCTGGGCCGGACCCTCAACCACAGCAATCCACCAGACCTGTCCTGCCGACGCGATCAGCACGGGTATGGCGGGATGAAGGAGGGGGGAAGAGAGGAAAGAAGAAGCCCCGATCCAGTTTGGGTGAACACGGCGAACAAAGCCCGAAGGAGCAGAGGACGGAAACCTGAGTCATGGGACGAAGCCCTCAGGGTCACGCGCGGCTCTGGGCAGACCGCCAGCCAGAGCGAGGGGCCGAAGAAGCAAGATGCAGTTGTGGTGGGGGGGGGGCAGGTTGATGGGGAACCGGCAGATGACCAGCACAGAAAGAAAGGCAGGACCATGCCGGGGGGAAGTTGGTGGAAGTGGCACCGGGGGAAAAGCAGGGCGGACAGCAGCGAAAGAGTGCAGGGGTTGTTGTTGTTGTTGGAAGGACATGCCAAGCACGGCAAGGTGAACAGCAACAGGAGCAATAGGAGCAATAGGAGCAGTAGGAGCAATAGGAGCAATGGAGCAATGAGAGCAGAAGCGTCACACAAATCCATAAACAAGCTGGCAACAAAAGGCCGTGGGAACACGCTGCGATGTACATGTCCCTTTTCCCTCTTGGCGCGGCAGGTTGCACAGCAGACCAAGGTCTTTCTCGTTTGTTCCAGGCTGTTTTGTGGAAGTCGAAAGACCACCGACACGGATGACCGGCTGTGCGATCCAAGCTGGACAAGCGAGGCCAGGTGGCACCGTGCAGCGACCAGATGACAACGTCATGGGAGGCGGCGTCGGGAACAGAACTCGTCGCGGCGAGCCAATCCGGCAGCAGGGGAAGGAAAGAGTCCACCACAGACACGTCGAGACGAGGGACAAGCACGAATCCGGAAGGCGACCGGGGTGGGATAGCGGCCACAAATGAGGAGGGAGGAAAGGCCCGGAGATGGAGCGTGGATAGGGAGCAAGGAGCCCCGCAGCAGCTACACAGGCGCGATACATGCGCAGAACAGCCGGTCAGAGGTGGAATCGAAGGCGGTACACGGGATCCCCGCTGTGGCCGGACTGGGCAGCAAACAAACGGAGGCCGGCTGCGATTGGTGCATGGCGACTGAGCAGCGAGCCGAGTGGGGGGCAGCAGCAGATGTATAGAAGCGAATGTGTGTCGCCAGGAACCGGAGGGCCGAGGACAAGGCGGGCAGGCAAGCGAGGGGGCACTGCGGCGCCAAGGACAGAATCGGTTGTGCGATCTGAGCAAAGGACTTGCATGAGTCAAAGCGGTGCTGCCGAGGCCATTGATTGAACAGGATGGTCGCGGGCCTGGACTGAGCAGGAGCTGTGCGGGTTGGTTGTGCGGGCGCCGGTCCTTCGGAACGCGGAACCAACTGGCGGAGCACCGCACGGCTCGGGGCAGCGGTGCAGGCGGTGCAAGCGGTGCAGGCGGGGAGGTGGCTCTGACGGGGGCGATGTTTGACGGAGAGCGAGCAGGCAAGCGACAGGACCAGCACGCAAGCGACGCCGCCGGCCCCGATGACAGCCGCGGTTGTTCTTGCGGTGTGCTTCGACCATCTGCTGTTTGGCTCGACGGCGCCGAACGGTCGCACACAAGCCGAATCTGCGGCGGCCACGCGGACAGACGCAGAACACAGGCCCGCGCAGGCGGTGGCACAGATCGGCACAGATACAGCGCAGCGGGGGCACGTTTGCGACGCAGCGCTGGCCAATGACGCACTGCCAGAGCGGGATGGCGGCGGAGTGGCGTCGCTCGCACGCAGGGTATCCGCCGCGCAGAAGGATTCGCGCGGTCGCACGGCGGGGCTGCGCAGCCGCGATTGGGACCGCCTTGCTGGCAGGGCGCGGCGATCCAGCGGCCGCTGATTGGGCGGCGGCGAGTTCTTGGCATCCGCACGGGCTGTGCGGGTTGCGCGGGCGTGCGGGCTGGCCGTCGCTGAACATTCCTCTGCTGTACAGCGACATTCGATCATGTCTGTACAGAAACAACGGCGCGCCAGCCTCGGCGCGTGTGCGCACCACGCCGCCCCCGGCCTTGTGTGGCAGCGCGCACACACACACACGGCACGCACGATGTGTCACCGGCTGCCGCTTCTCGCTGCGTCCTCGCTGCGTTCTCGCCGGGGGGGGGGCAGGCTGGGTCGGGTCTCAGACCGGATCGGATGGCGTCTGCGGGAAGAGAGAAGGACGTCTGCGTTCGGATCAGACCGCCTTCTGCATGTGGCCGTCCAGCCGTGATCGGCTCTGTTCGCTCGTCGAGCTGCCCCAGTGATGGGCCGGGGATGGATTGCGCTGCCAAGCGTCGCCCGTGGGGGGTGGTCGCTGGTCACGATGGCATTCGCCTTGCGGGCCGCGCTTGCGTCAGCTGTCCTCGCTGGTGTTCATTGAGCGTCCCTGTGTCGCCGCTGAGTCGGTTGGACTGTTCGCGGTCTGTATCCTTCCGTTCCCAGTTGTACAGCAGCATCCCTGCCGCCCTCCCCGCCGCCTTCTCGGCTCGGTCTCGGTCTCGGTCTCGATCTCGGCTTGGGCTCGCTCGACGGCGAGCACGCCCTCCCAACACGTTTGCCGCAACTCGGGTCATCGGCCGAGACTGACGATCCTGGCTGGCAACTTGTCCTGTCTGCATCGACCGCGACCCTCACCGCTGCCGCCTCGATTGCCCTGTTCTCTATCACTCCATCGCCCTGTTCTCTATCACTCCATCGCCCTGTTCTATCACTCCATCGCTCTCTCGCTCTCGCTTCCTGTGTCTCCCCCCGCTCTTCAACGCCAACTCATTCAATCGCCCTTGCTCTCTCTCGCCCCTCTTTGTGGCCATTCCGTCTTCTCGATCGCCCTCCGGACGCCCTTGTTTCCCCCCAGGATTCCATTTTGGACGCCCCACCGCCAGCGATCCCTTGCTGCTGCCGCTGTTGTGCGCCCCAGTTGTTGCTTGTCCTGTCCGCGTGTTGGATACAAGACTGCTTGCCGTGTCAACAAGGGCTCCCCACTGCCCTTTTCCGTCCGTTCCACGCCTCCGCCGCCGACCCGCCAATCACTCGTTCGCCTTCCAATTCGGCCTCTGCACGTCCCCGTCCTCGACCCGCTCTTCGGCGGTTATATTCTCGAACTTTCCCCTCGCCCCGTTGCACCTCCATCTTTTGCTCGTCCGTTTTCCTCTCGGCCGTTCCTTTGCCCCCTGCGTGCTGCTGGCTTTCACTCCCTTCCTGGCCAGCCCCATCACGTTCCTGGACCCATCTGCATCCCATTCAATCGAATCCCTTTCGCTTCCCCCCCCCTGCTGCTCGCCGCTCGCTTTGGCCCTGTCCGTGCCTGCAATCTCCTGTTTGCACTTTCGCTCTCCTGCTCTTGAATGCTTGTCAGCCCGTTTCTCCCCTTGGCCTGATCCGACCCTGGCTTGTCTCCACAACCCTATCAAGCGCCAACCATCTCTGTCTGCTGAACATCCCAGGCCCCGCCTGTGCTCTCTCTCTCTCCGTTGCCGCCCTTCCTGATTGTATCTCCTGACCGGCTTCCCCTCTTGCTTTTGTACCAGTCAAAGCTCGATTCATCGGATCCTCCTCGCCTGTCTGCCCTCCCCCGTCGCCCCCTCGCTCTCCCTATCGCTCTGAATCCATTTTTTCGGGGTTCGGAAATTTCGTGATTCACCCTCCCAGTCAGTTGTGCACGTCTTCCCTTCCCTCCCAGTCTCGGCTGCCCTCCTTCCTTTATCCCGAACCCTTTTTTTGTCGGATTCTTTCTCTCCGACTGTCCTGTTTCAGAGCCGCTCCCTGCCTCACACGCACCCGACTCTGCCGAAAACCTTCCATTTGTTCATCGCACCCACCCATCCGCCTCAAACCAGCGCACACCTCTCCCCCATGGCTACCAACTCGCGCACTCACGCCGTGAACCTCAAGCTCGCCCAGAAGCATCGCTTCGACTCGAGGCACCAGGGCGAGTCCTACTCGCGATACCTCGACCAGCTCCTCCAGACCCTGTTGGATCTGCAGCGCTATCCGCACGGCTACCGCTTCTCCACTCATGCCCTGACCACCGTCCGGACCCGTCTCGAAGACGCCTCCAACTCTTCCGTCTCTGATCAAAAGTCCAAAATCTGGCGTCTTTGGCTTCAGACGGCGACCAAGGCCAAGATGGTTCTGCTGATGGACCTGTGTTCGCCTCCGCGATCCGTTTTCGCCCTCGAGGCTCCGGCGCACCCGCTCGTTCACTCCGACACCTTTGGTGGTGCCTCCCACTCTAGCCTGCCGTACTCGCCCGCAGACCGTTCCTCCCGTCCTTCATCGGCCACTTTCTACCTGCCGTCGCACCCAAGTCCAATCAACGTGCGGCACAAGTGCACCCATCCTGAATTTGCCGAGATGCTTCTGGACCTCAACGAGTTTGGTCATGAGTGGGCCATCCGCACGGGTTTCCTGGAGCCCTTCACTCTCGACTGTCCGCCGCACATTCTCGAAGCTGCCTCAAAGAAGAGCCCCTCGATCGAGGTAGGTCGTCCTGCCATTATACGGCTTCCCTCCCTTGACAACCGCGTGCGACCTTTCTTGCCTTTGATCTGTGTGCCTTTTGCGCTACATTCCACGCAATGTGCTGACTTCGTTGTCTGCCTGTGTCGCTTCCTTCTCGCCTTGGCTGAACCCCTCAGTACGAATCAAGGCCCTCGAGCCACGGCTATCTCCACAGCGCCCCCAGCTACCACCACCATCAACGGCCTGTCCACAACGACCAGGGCCATCGCCATGAATACTATCCAGAATATCGAAGCGCCACCCCTCGCTCCGCAACGCTCACAGCCTCGCCGACCCAGCCACCGTCGACCCTGTACTTTCCGAAATCCCTCTGGCGCACCCAGAGCTCCCGCGACGCTCCCTCGCGCATCGAAAAGTCCATCACCCCGCCGTACCGATCTCGCCCGCATCGCCGCATCTCGATTGACTCGCTGCTGTCGCATGAAGAAGACGCCTCGGTCTCGCCGTCGATGCCCTCGCGGCATTACCCCAGCGAGCGCTCGTCGTACTGGCCGCCTCTCAGCCCCGAGTCGGGATATCTGCACAAGCAGGACCGCACGTCGGTGGCGTCGTCATGAGCAACCTTGGCATGTTAAGTGGCCGTTTTTGGACTCTCTTCCGTCGCTGTGCTGTGTGCTTCTCCCATTTCTGAATAGCTGGCCTTTTCCTTCTCTCGATTCCCCCATCCCCAATCTTGTCCCATTCACACGCTTTCATTCATATATCGAAGAGCCTGGTGCTTTTTGTATACTAGAGTGCATCTGCCTCTTTTAACTGCAGTCGCCGCGCCTCGGTCGCTCTCGGGCCTGGCTTTGCGCTGTGTTGGTCCATAATACATTTTGCTATCCATCGACATTTGCTCCTCGACCCATTCGCTTTGAAATCCGAGAATCCAGCGGCGACGCTGCACCCTCGCCGATTGAATATATGCGCGTGCGCATCTTGTCGGCGTCCCTCCCTCGATCGCGATGCATATCGTTGCCGTCCCTTGGAATCGGCTGTCCGGCGGTGCCTCGATCCGATTTCCGCCATCCGGATCCGTTCTCGCTCTCTCGCTCTCTTCTCGCTCTCCAAATGCGCGTCCTCGCTCCTCGCCGGCTCGACTCCCCTTGCCTTTCTCTCTGCCTGCTGGTCTCGACGTGCCTTTCGCGCTGCCCTGCCTTGACCTGCCTTGACCTGCCCTGCCCTCCACTTGCACACCCGGCCCGTCGCCCTCTGTCTCGACCAGCGCCCCTCCCCTTTATACTGTGCTCAAGCGACGCTGTATCTGCCCGAGCCATGGACAAAATCACAAACTACTTTGATATGACCAACTTGACGGCCATGGCCAACAAGGTCAAGGCCGTCGTGATGAACTACACCGAGTGGCAGGCCAAGGTCGTCGAGGCCACCAACAACGAGCCATGTAGGTCGCCTCTCTCTTTCTATATATATATAAACCTCTTTCTCTCTGTGTATTTTTCGATCGCTTGCTCCTTGTGTTATTTTGTTGTTCTCAGCCGTCTCTTTTTTTGGGGGGGGGAGGGGAGGGGAACGGGGGACTTTCTTCGCGACCGCACGGGAGGAGGAGGCAACCCGAATGAGAGTCGCTTCGCGGAGGGGATTATCGTCCGTGTTGGATTCCGGCCACGGGCTTGGGTGTTTGCGACCGAAGTAGGGGTGAATGAAGAAGAAGAAGACGAAGAAGAAGCAGGAAGACGGCGTGGTGGAGGACTTGCGAAAGGATCAAGAGATATTTGAGGCCGCAGCACAAGAACCTCCACTCCCCGCCAGCAAGCCCGTCAGCGAGCAAGCCAGCCATCCGGCCGCTGTGGATTTGAAACAGCGAGAGCTCGACTCTGGTGGGACACAAGACTGGATCGAAGCTCGTTCGCTCGAGGCATCCGAGGCATCCGAGGCGAGGGAACCGGCTGTTGTCCATGCACGGCACGGGAATCCGATTTCACCATCCATCGAGCCCTCAAGGGCTTCACCAGAGATCCAAGCCATCGGTCCCAAACAAGCCACCGTCAGCACCCAAACACACGCCGGTCTCGATTCCGATAGCCTTGATGTTACAATTGACCCCATTCGCCCGTTTCTTCTCATCTGCCCATTTGCCCATTATTTCCCTGGCTCACAAACGACACTCTTTCCGTCCATCGCTACAATTCGCTACATTCCACTGCAATCATATACAATTCACTGCAATCATATACAATCATATTCAATCATATACAATCCACTGCAACCATCTGCTCCGAACGCTGCTTTGGCGAACCGCAACCAGGGGGCGCGAGCTCGACACTGATGCAGGAAATTGCGCAAGGTAAGCCCCTCCCAAATCTTCTGTTTCGTTCTTGCGCCCGGGTCCAGCGTTGTTCTGACGACCTTCTTCTCTATCAACGTTCGATGGAAATATCTGCCATCTTCGACCCCACCCCACCCCCTCCTCCGAAAAGGAACTAACCACTAGTAAGCGTCGCGCTCGTGTGCTGCAGCCGGGCAGAAGCACTTTCAAAAGCAAAACCCCCCCCCGGATCCGTTTGCAGAGGCCTTGGAAGCCAATATGTGCTGCTTGTGTGGCTGTGTCTGCTTGGATTTGCAAATCCAAAACCCGGGACCGCGGATTTCCATTCGAGCTCCATCTGCTTGTCCCTGCTGACTCTGTCCTGCTTTTGGATCCTCCCTCCCTGGCCGCCTATACACCAACGCCACTGTTAGCGTGCACATGAACGAGATCGTCGACATGATCTTCAAGCAGATGCAAAACACCGGATCGAACTGGAGAATGACCTACAAGGTGATGATCGGTCCAGGCCTAGACTCACTCGCCGATGCACACACGCATATCCACGGACGGCTCAAGCGACCAGCGATGGAACAGCGCAGCGCCGCGTGTCGTTTGAGACAACCTCTGGGCTCGTCTCTCCCCTCCCTCCGCGGCTCAGACTGATGCAATGGATTCGCTCTCGCCGTCGACAGGCATTGCAGCTGCTCGAGTACCTCGTCAAGAACGGCTCCGAGAAGGTCGTGGACTCGAGCCGCGAGCACATTTACGAGGTCAAGGCCCTCAAGAACTTTTCTTACATTGACGAAAAGGGCAAGGACCAGGGCATCAACGGTCAGTGCCAGTGACTGGAGGCAGATTTGGCTTCCGGGGACGTTCATTGCCGTTGTTGTTGGGTTGCTTGGTCACCCGGGTGCTGTGTCCTTCTTCCTTGATACCCCAGCGGCTTATTCGATCGTGTGCCTTTCCGCTCTCTTGGATAGTTCGCAACCGCGCAAAGGAGATTGCCGAGCTTCTGTCCGACACCCAGCGCATCCAAGACGAGCGTCGAAAGGCCAAGGAGAACCGCAACAAATACAAGGGCGTCGAGGGCGGATCGGGCTTCAGCTCCGGTTTCAGCTCTGGCCCCAGCTTCTCCTCGGGCGGGAGTCGCTACGGCCTATTCGGAAGCGACTCATACAGTAACAGCGACTCGGCGCGAGGTATGCACTTTTTGCGCACTATACCTTGCAATCCGCATTCGATATCCTGGTCGTTCTGACGTGTCCCGCTGTGTCCCAACATCAGGCTCGAGCGGGTACCAGGACGCCCCAGCAGCCTCGAGCACCGGTGGAAACACCTCCAGAACCCGATCTCCAGAGCGCAAGGGAGCCGAGTCCGGGTACGACAGCCGTCCACAGTCTGCACTCCGCTCCCACCTTTCTCCATCGACCCATTCCCTTCTTTGGCTGCCCTTCTGCTCACGCTCGCCGCTCTCCACCTTGGTCTGCCTTGCCTCGTGTATCACCAACTTCAAAACCTAATTCGTCATGGGTGGGGGTATTGTTCCTTCCTTCCCCCTCCTCCTCCTCCTCCTTCTCCTCCGTCCAGAACCAAGAAAATCAACATTATCATGTCCAGCGGCTCGACAGCTCAGTCTCAGGGCAGCCAAGGCGCTGCCTCCACCGTCCCGACCGCCAACCTTTTCGACTTTGGAACCGCCAACACAGCCGATGGCGACGATTGGGGCGACTTTGAATCGGCTCCAAGCCAGGCCACCATGCCGAACGTTGCCGCGCCTGCACCTGCACCTGCCTCTGCAGGTTTTGCCAGCTTTGGTGCTTTCCAGGGCACCAGCGCCTCGAGTAACGTTGCGAGCAGCAGCAACGGTGCCTTTGCCAGCTTCCCTGCTCCCCCTCAGCCGCAACAGACCGCCGCCACTTTGTCCTCGTTTGCGGCCTTTGCTCAGCCTCAGGCCGCTGCCCCTGCCCCTGCCCCTGCCGTCAACAGTGGCTTTGCCAACTTTGCCCAGTTCCAGTCGACCTCGCTTCAGCCGACACAGGCCAACAACAATGGCTTCCCGCCTGGATTCGGTGGACCTTCGCCCATGGCGACGCTGCAGCCAAAGCCTTTGTCGTCCACCAACCTTGGACTCACTGCTTCGGCGACGGTATGTATCCTTATACTTGGAATGGATCGGGTGCGAGTTTGTGTATCCTGAGCAGCGGGGAGGGCAGGGAGAGTTGGTTCCGAAGAAAGGCACTCTGGACAATTGTCCATTTCATTTCCGCATCTGAGCGGACAGTAACGATCCGCCATTCTAATATCGTGTTTGATCTTGTCCTATTCGGCCCTGCTTCGTCCCATCCGGCCCTGTTCTGTTCTTGCGACACTGTGCCATTGTGTAGGCCTCGGTGGCTTCCTCCGGCGCTCCAGGATCGACTGGTGCCCTCGCTGCCAACGATCCCTTTAGCAAGCTTGTCTCGCTCGACCCGAGCTCCCTGTCGACCCCCAACCGCCCGGTCGAGAAGACTGGCCCAAGCCTCAACGCCCTCGGCAGCGCCAACACCCCGGTGCTCTCGACCCCGCTCAGCGGCAACTATGGATACGGAGCAATGCGCCCCAACCCAGCCGTCGGTGGCGCCTGGCCTGGTCAGGCTCCTGTCAACCAAGGCTTCTCGATGTCGGCTGGCAACGTCCTGCTTCCACAGAACCTCCAGGCTTCTGGACAGAATCCCCTGCAGCCTATGCGACAGCAGCAGCCCCAGCAGCAACAGCAGCAACAGCAGAGCGGGTTCACGGCCGGCCCCAATGCCTTTGATGGCTTGATTTGATTTGACATGACTTGGCTTGATTCGACATGGCTTTGGCTTGGCTTGGCTTTGGTTTGGGCTTGACCATGGAGTTCGTATTCCAGCTTCGGTGCGCTGTCGGGTGCCTTGATGCACCCACCCACCCTCGTTCTCGCCAGCAAAGTCACCTTCCCTCCCCAAGTATATTTGATAGAGCAGCAAGTCGTCCTCCGCGCTTAATTTGGCGACATTCGTTTTGACTTTGGAATGTGTGCGAACCCCGGCACAGATCGCCAACTGATCCAGAGACCTGCAGCGACCCAATCCCTTGACCCACCACCACCTTCCTCCACACTTTCACTCTCACTCGCCATCGTTCTGTCTGTCTCTCTGGCTCCTGGAAATATATGCACACGGCACATCCGCCTCCTCCGTCCATTCAATACAGATCACAATCAAAGAGCTGCGGCGGCCGTGGACAGTGGCAACTATCGAGAAATGTACACTTATATTTTTGGTCGAGCTCTACCTTAATGTCTTTTTTTTTTTTGATTCTTGTTTATGCCCTTTTGTCTATCTGGTCTGTTCTTGACCTTGACCTTGACCTTGACCTTGACCGCCGAGGTCGGGCGGAACGACCGGAGGCAATGGCGGAGGAGAGCACAGCGAGTAGGGAGGGGGAGAGACGACAATCAAATTTGAAAAAAAAAAAGGGGGGGGGAGAAGAGGATGGGGGAAAGGGAGAAAGAGAAATAACAAAGTCATCCGGAATCGAGACGGACAGCAGCATGGTACTGAGACAAGAGGGAATCCAAATCCAACAAGATCGTCGCTGAGCCAGACAGCGGCAACAGAAAGAACAGCAACAAAACAACATCAAAACAACGAAAACAGCAGCAGCAGTGCTGATTGGTGGTTACCAAAGGCGGAGGGAATATAGGTTTGAATGAATGAGGTATGAGAGCTTGACAGCTATTGGTTCAGGAGGGGTGCTCCTGTATAAATGGCACGACGCAGCCTGGCTTAGGCTTAGCTTAGCTTGGGGCTGAGCTGGTTTGTGGCCGCGGCGGCCGAGAAACGTTCAGATGAGCAGTTCAAGGCAGTTGGACGGGACGTGTGTGGTCCGCTGGGAAGCTCGCCCTTCAAGGTCCAAATTTGGCGATGATCGATGCGAGCCATGTCTTCTTCGTCTCGTCAATGCCGCTTGCTTTGCTTTGACCTGACTTGGCTCGCTTCGCTGCGTTAGTGTCCTTGGGTGCGCTTGCGATATGAGCGGGTATGTTGTGTCGGGCACTGCCTTCGACCTGCTTGCTTTCTCTCCTCATCTTACCACAGTAAAGCGCTCAAATTGAATAAATGAAAGTGAGGGAGCAAAGGGATATAAAAGAATAAAGAATAAAAATAAAGAATGGAGGAGGCATTGATGGAGCAAGTAAAAAGGAAGGATAGAAGAAGACCACAAACAACGGGAGAGAGGTCGGATAGGGATACTGCAGTCGTCGTTCGTTGTTGATGCTATGGATTGCCGATTGCTTCCGAGAAGAATTGGGGGCCAACCAAGGCCGGGCGTTTCCGGACGAGAAGCGGGCTTGGCAGCACGGGCAGGGATCCCAGCCATTCGGAAAGTGCAATAGGGCAGAGTATATAGAGCGAGAATCAGGAAGATGCGATCGAAATGTAATCGGTGTAATGGGTTTAGGGTGGGCGGCAGTGGTCAGGGGACGAGCAGTAACTAAAAAGTCGTCATGAGATGTTCTTGTGGTCAGATGGAAGGGGAAGAAGAAGAAGAAAGAATGAAAGAAAGAAAGAAAGAAAGAGGGAAAGAGGGAATGGTAGTTTGTAACATGTATGAGCGGACGGCTGTTGTATCCGGGGAGCAGCAGCCATGACCGAATTCCAGCTCTATGCGAGGCAGAGAGGCGGAGAGGCGGAGGTTCATGGCGTGCACACATGCATCGCGAAATGGAAGGTGCATAGGGAGTAACTTGTCAGAGAGGAATGGAAACGATGACGGGACAGAGCCAATGTGGATGCAAGTGCAAAGATGAAGGTGCCGGATTGGGCCCGGGCAGGGACAGCGGAACGGAGCACATGAAGGGACAGAGAAAGTGTGGAAACCCAGAAACGCCTCGGCAGCCCCCCCCCGCGAAAGATACGGGAGTGCGAATACATCATCGCCTGTGGTATACACATCGCGGCCGCTTGATTGCTGATCCTCGGATAGTCGGTCCTTTGGTCCTTTGGTCCTTTGGTCCTTCGGTGCCGTCTGGGTCTCTACAGCAGAAACTGCAGGGGATTCTCAGCGTCTTGGTCTCGCTGCGGGCCGGCCTTGCTGGGGTCGAGACCCAGCCCTGCTCCCACCGTCGACAAAAAGTACTTGACTTCGGGCTCGAAGCGCGGCGGGTCTGGAGCGAGGATGGCCGAGAGCCTATGCAGCATGTTGAACAGGCCCAGAGACGACACCAGCTCCATGACACCGGCGGGGCTGGCCACGCTCTCAAAGAGCTTGAGCGACAGCTGCCCGGTGTAGGTGCGCTTGAGCGAGGCCGAGGTGCGGATAAAGTCGAGGGCGATGTCGACGCGCGGGTCGCCGATGCATCCGCCAGCAGCCGCAATCGAGAGGATGTGGTGCGGCACCCGCATCTGCTGCGCCAGGAAGGCGGCGTGGCCCTGCAGGAGAAGGTTGCCCGTCTTGGTGGTGTAGACGTACCAGAGGAGCACCTTGGCACCGTGAGACCACTCGGATACGCCGTTGGCGGTCACGCAGGGATCGACGTGGTTCTTGGGTCGCAGGAGGAACTGCCAGAGGGCAAAGCAGACCGCCCGCTTAGACTCTTTGTTGGTCATGTTGCCAAGATACTCGGGGACAAATCCAAGGGTATACTTGAGCCACTTGTTGAGTTGGGTGTGGCCTGTCCGGTATGCCACAGGAGGTTGCTACTGTCAGAACTCGCGCTATCGACGAACAAAGAATACTCAGGTGGCCCTCACCCCTCGCCTCGACATCTCGAGCAGCCTGACACAGATGGATACGCACCTGATGGAAACCCTTTGAGCCACGCGGCTTCGGCTGAGTTGGCGCCCTGAGTGCTCCTCAAGAGCCGCAGAAGGTCCATGACTCGACCAAAGCCCCGGTGCGGGGTCGTTTCTTGCGTCTCGGCCTCGCGCTTGAGCTCAATCCGGCTCTTGAGACTGGCGGGATCGTAGGTCTCTGGGGCGTGTCGGCGGCCCTCCCAGCCAGCGTCGGAGATCTGCTCCTCGGCCCACAGCAGAGCAGCGGCTTCGAGCTCCATACCGACCGAGTCCTGGAGGCAAAGGGAAAGCGTTTGAAAATCAGTTGTGCTGTGCTGCATCGTCCAGCTGTCAAAATACCCTCGTCGCATTGGGCACTTGCGTCAGCATCCCCCACCCCGAGAGTAACTCGGCCCTGTCTCTGTGAGCCCCTTTGACAAGGTCTGCTTACCGTGATGGCGTTTGTCCAGGCAATGAAGGCAGTGATGCAGGCAATCTGCTCATATTCTTCTCCCTTGAAATGCGCCCGCACTCGGCGCTTGAGGTCCGGAGTGACCTTGGATGGGATGGCGCTGGCTGCTGTCGCGAGGAACAGGGCCTCGCTCTCGTACTCTGACAGACGGCTGTCGAAAGGATCGACAATCGGCCGGTAATCGGATTCTCGCGACGAGCTTCGGACCTGGGAGCGCCACGAGCCGTGGAGCATATCGCCTGGTGGGAGGTTGGTAGCGAGCGATGATAGTAGCGGGTGAGATTGATGGCGGATGATGGTTGGAATGTGACAAAGGACGCAAAGGGAGGCAAACGGACAGCTCAGAGCCGATAGGCAGAAGCGAACGGATGACAAAAGCGACCTTTGGTAAAATCACAGCACTGAAAGGGGACTGCATGGCCAGCAGCGACAAGGACAGGCGAGCCGCACAATTATCATCGCAATGCAAAACTCACCAGTAGCAGCGGTATGTGCGGCACAGTAGTAGCTACGGCGCGGCAAGTCGACACATTCAAGCACCGAGCACATGATTGTTCAATCGCAACCAGCGATTTGTACGAGATTGATGGCAAGTCAGTCAACTCTCCCGGGTGGCGATGGAGGATGCCGTGGATCAAGGTGAACAGGCACGCCGTTCAGTGGCACGAATGAAGCACGGTCTTACCATCGATACTGGAGACTGCTGATCAACAGGACGGCACGTCGCAGACGGGCAGTCACCTTGGAGTACTAGCAAGCAGCATGCCGCAAGGGGAGAAGGTAGAGAGCAGAGTAGGAGTGAGTCGGAAGGACATGTCATGATCGCTTGGGTTGGTGGTCACTGTCGACCGCATGGGAAAGCCGCGCGCGCAAATACTCAGTGGCTTACACCCAGATCCACGGCTGGCGTTTGCAGGAGACGAGGCGTGATGATGTGGTACGTCCGGATGGTCGGCGGCCAGAGGGCAAAGGTTGGCAGGGACTTGTCAGGCGAGCCGTTGAACCAGCACATGATATTCGAGAAGCCCTGTGGGATCGCATCGCAACAGCAACAGCGGTTGATACATGGAGAATCGACGATGAGCAGAAGAATCGGGATGTCGGCGCATGCGCCGCAGACCAAGCCAAAAAGAAAATCGACAGAGAGGCTGGTTGGTGCGGAGGCGGGCGGGTGGTTGACAAATGGATAGTCCATGCAGCTGACGAATGCACAATGCCTTCGTCTCATCGAGACAATCGGCAAAGGCAGACAGGCAAGCAGCACTGGGTGCGAGGGTGCCAAGCCAACGAGCGGCGTGCAGGCGTGCATGCAAGTGGGGATGGAGCGACAAGGACGATGGCCGATGCGCGCAGGGTGGAGGAGACTGCGACGCTGCGCCAGACCCAGACTCGGACCATCTGCAGCACACCACACCACAGGGAGAGCAGGCGTCCAGAGACGGACAGGCGTTTGGAGGGGCGGACGAGGGGCATCCACACCGGCAGAGGGCAAGGGAACACCCACACTGGCAGAGGGCAAAGACAGCCGCCGTCTGGTGGGCCGAGGCGCAGCGCGGGACGTGCATCGACCGTACCTGATACTCGCGCTGAACTTCGGCCATGGGTGGGCAGTGTGGTTTGAGCAGATCGTTGAGCGTCGGGCGCTCCAGCTTGGTGGACGTTTCCTTGACATAGTCGGGGACGGCCGAGGACGAGCGGAAGTAAGGCTGGTCGGTCTTGGGGGTCTCGGTGCAGCCGTCGGGGCCGCATGGGCTGAGGTTCTCGAGGATGCCGTTGATGACGCTCCCGGAGCTGTGAGAAGCTTCGTCGTCCAGGAGGATCGAGTCGGGCTCGGAGGCACCGTCCTCGGTGCTCGGGCTCCAGACAAAGCTGGACGCGGACTGGGAATAGTCGAGTGTCTTGAAGCTCTGGATGGAGGTGTCGAGAAAATCGTCCTCGGGGCTGGAGGTAATATCGGGGAGGGGCATCTGGGGTGGTCGGCGCTTCTCGGCATTGACGCTGTGGATCGACGGCGAGGATCCGCCGCGCGAGATGACAGGGCTGGAGCTAGTTTAGGAGGATTTGAGCCAGGTGCACGGAGTGCAGGAATGATGTATGGTCAGGAAAGTGCAGCACAGGAAAGGCCGGGTCAAGTGGAGTGGACTGGTGTGGTGTGTGGTTTGCTCGAACTATTCCTGGATACTCCAGTGGACCCGGTAGCAAACAGCAGCAGCTCGCAACGGCAGCAACGAATAGCAGTAGTATCAGCAACGATGCAAGATTGGCAGCATGGACTTACTATCCCTGGTTCTTGCCGGTATACTGGCGCTCGTAGGGGCTCTTTTCGGATATGCTGGAGACCCGAGGGGGCAGGTTGGTCAAGGACCGGGTCATCTGCAGAGACGACATGCTTCCGCGAGATCCAACACGGCCCATGGGCCCGGGCTCGGCGATCGGGGCCATGGTGCGGATGTATGTGACCGCAGGGCTATCGACCTGCGAGGACATGACAAACGGCGAGCTGGGCGGGGTGGAGAGCGAGGCAAAGGTATGAGGTTCTGTTGGGGCAGCGGACGCCGAGGCAGGAGAGGGGTCGCTGCAGGCCGACAGAGGCGATGTCGAAGACATTGAAATGGAGACGGGAGCGGGTGAGGGACGGGGTCTGTGGGAGGCAAATTGCCTGGTCGGGCCAGGAGGTCGGTGCTTGGTTGGGGTCGTTGGACGACAATCAATGGACCGCGACAGGGGGGTCTTATTGACCGAGATGAGCAGAAAGAGTCGACGATGGACTGGTACCGACAGACAGAGGCTAAGAGGCAGGCGAACAGAGGCGGGCTCTAGCGTCAGCAGCAGGCCGGGGGGGGAAGGAAGAGGGGGCGAAACCAGGCAGCGAGAGCGCAGGAGATGGGAAAGCGCACGGAGGGCTGGGAGAGCGATATATGAGGAGCCAAGCCCGCACACATCCACCCACACTGGCAACACCGGCGATCGCCCGCGATGTGCGCCGACGGCACTGGCAACCAACCCGGCCGTGGCACTTGCAGCACTCGGATACGGGCAGCAGGAGCAACGGCCGCGGCGGTCGTCCCACAGGCCGGCAGGACAAGAAGAAGAAAGCACGCAAGCGGCCAGAGCAGAAGTGCCAGTATGGGACAGCCCCGACAGAGCAGTGAGCACCGCAGCGGCACATCTGACCAGCAGTAACACTGCCAGGCCGGGCAGAGGAGGGCGAGCACAACGCACGCCCAAAGGGGCAAGGAGCTCAAGGGAGCCACCGCGGTGGTGGTGGTGGCGGGTGGGTGGATGGGCTGTGCTTACTCGCGGAGGGCAGCGGCACCAGCGGCAGCATCGGTAACGACATCGGTAACAACACCGGTAACGACATTGGAAGTAATCGGCACTCAGCGACACTCAGCGACACTCACTGACACTCACCGACATTCACCGACACTCATCGGCCTCAGCGACATTCATCATCACTAACACCACCATCGGCAGCAACAACAGCGCCAGTAGTAACATTGCCGTTACGCACCCACGAGCGCGCGCAATGGGCCAGGTGGACCCACAAAGCGACCCACAGAGTGTCGCCCCAGAGAACCAGGGCTGCAGGACAAGCACAAGCTCGGGTTGTATCGGCATCACGCCCACTGGCACGCACAAGGATCGGTCTGGTGGCTGACATGCCTTGCTGGCCTGCCTTGCTGGCATGCCTTGCTGGCCCTGGCGGTCTTGCTGAGCGGGTGCGCATACGGGAGCTCCTGGGTGGGGCGTCGCTGCAGTGGGCCGCCGCGTCTTGCGTTTTTGCCCGCCTTGATGCCGATCCATCAGCGAACCCAACAAGGGCGGCTGCGGGCAGTGGTTGCTTTCGTCGATCGACAAAACCAACCAACCGCCGTCTTGGGGCAGCACAACGCACAACCACAGCGGACGCTGAGCGCAAACATCAATGTGCCGCAGGCAACCCATGTCGATGCAGCACATGGCGCGTGGGTATTCTGTCGCAGATACGCCGGTCCAGCAAGTCGACAGGTCGCCCTTGGTGCGGGCAAGTTGTGCTTTCGCAGACCGAGTCGCGGCCGGCCTGGACTTGATGCCGGCCTCGGTCCCGACAGCATCTGGTGTGGTTTGCCAACGAAGTTTCGAATCGATATCACCAAAAAAGGAAGCGCCGTTTCTTTTGCGCTTGGCACCGGCGGTTCCCCCCGCCCGGCAGGCAGCCCGCTCTGCTCTCATCTCAGACTCTCTGTGCCCATCGCCCATTCGCATCTCCACCACCGCCGCCCCGACCTGTCGTCGATCAATGCTGGCCCGTTGTGTCCAGCCATGATCCAACCCGAACACGATCGAGACCAACCCGATCCAGACGAGATCACCATTCTCTCCGATGCCGATGGAGACCTGCAAGCCCAGGGAGCGGCGCTGCCGTGTCCTCACCTGCGGCTCTACCAGCATCTGCTCAATCAAATCCAGGTCTTGAACGACAAGGTCGATCGGCTGCTCCAGCGCATCCCCATTGACGTCGATGCCAATGCCGGCCCGCACAGGCGATCATCCAAGCGCCCCAGCATCAGCTGCGATACGGATAGAGATATGGATATGGACATTGATCGGCCAAGCAAGAGGCCGCACACAGCACATGTGTCGACAGCGATCGTTGAAGCGATCGTTGAAGCGGACGATGAGCAAGACACACTGGTCGAAGGGCCTATCGCCGACACACATCTGCCGGCTCCTGCCAGCGGACTGCCAAGCGAGCCACCAGCGTCCAGCCGATTCAGCTCATCGGCAGCACCGCAAAATGCATCCAATGAAGACGACCGATCTGCCCGCCCTGCGGCTCGCCATCCGATCGCATCTCGCCAGCGCTCGTGCTTCTCATTGACCCCAGAGCAGATCGAGGAGCGACACAACGCCATGGCGATCCCGCACGGAGCCTTGGCCATGATCCTGGGCAACATTCCGTCTCTCGTAGACCAGTTGCGATTCGCTCGGGCCACGTACTTCCCAGAAGCCCGGATCTCGCAGATTCAGGACCGCATCAACACGGCCCTGAGCAGCGCAGACCAGAAAGGTGCCGTTCCTGTCGACGACTTTGCGCAACTGGTCGAACATGGCACTCTGAGTGAGCTCCAGATTCCAAAGACCCTCGCTGGCTTTGTGTGGCCCGATCATGCCATCGACTCGTTCTGCCAGGCTGTTCGAGCCAACCGCTGCATCCAGGCCGTCACAATCGGGAGCATCGACATGACATCGGACCAGAGCCGATACGTTGCACGCATGCTTCGGTCCAACCTCGGTCTTCGGAAGCTCGCCCTGCCCTTCAACAAACTCGGCGACAAGGGCGCAAAGTACATCGCCCAGGCCCTCGCGCATCGACCTCCACGCCATGCGGCATCCGCTTCTCTCCCAGGCACTCCAGCCGTGCTGGAAGCCAGTCCCGCCATCTGCACACTCGTCCATCTCGACCTGAGCAGCAACTGCATCGCCGCCGACGGAATGGAGGCTCTCTTTGGCGTCCTCAAATCCAACTCGTCCCTCCAAACCTTGGACATCTCTGGCAACAGAATCGGCCGCCCTTCCGCAAAGGCAGTTGGCGAGGCCCTGGTGGCCAACGCCACTCTGGTCGAGCTGTGCATGAACGGCACCGGGATCGACTGTGTCGGGATGCAGTATATCTCCTTGGCGCTGCGACGGAACCGCACCCTCGAGTGCCTGTCGCTCACAAACAACAAGATCGGTGACGAGGGAATGGCGGCCCTGGGCAGGTCTCTCGAGGTCAACACCGCTCTCTCGGAGCTGTACCTGACCGCCAACTCGATCCACGACAAGGGCATCGAGCTTCTCTGTGAGGCTCTCGAAGTCAACAGCACGCTGCGATACCTCGAGATCGGATCGAATCCATTCTCCGCACCGGGGTTGCGGTATCTCGCGCTGGTCCTCGAGGCCAATACCAGCCTGGTGTGGCTCAAGTTGACCCGGATCCCGCTGGTTTTCGATGGTCTCAACCAGCTGTGCATCGTCCTCAAGAACAAGAACAGCACACTGCGTGTTCTCAATCTCAAGTCCTGCGGGCTGAACGACTACAGCGCCATGGCGTTGGGAATCATGCTCAAGCACAACCGGGGCATCACCCACCTGATTCTGGAGAGCAACCAGCTCGGCGACCAGGGGCTGAGTTCGTTGAAGGAGGGGCTGCTACACAACTCGGGGCTCAAGTACTTGTACGTCAAGGACAACCCCTACATAAGCTCGCGGGCCCTGGACGACCTGCGAAAGTCGCTTGATGAGCACGGCCGAGACGTTGAAGTCTACGACACCATTCCTTACTGCAGCCTGAGCGTGGACTGATTCGACAGCGCCGCGAGTCGAAGGTTGCTGACACATATACTGACGCTTGACTGTAATTCACTTGCACCATGAATACAACACCACTCTGCGCACATCCCACAGCTTGGGGACAGCCAGTCCGTTTCTCTGGGACAGCGCTCCGTTGCCAGCCAACGCAGCGGCACATTCCCCTTGGCCCCCTGGCACTTTCACGTGGCGCCCGCTGTCATCCTGCCGCCATCACATCATCATGCGCCGTTGAGCCATTCGCCCATCCTCCAGCCTCCATCCTCCATCTCGCATCTCCATCTCGCATCTCCATCTTCCACCGGATCTCCCGCGAGAGCACGCGAACTATGTCCTCGTCCATCGAAGGATCAGCAGGCTTTGCCCTGGTAAACCCCCCCCCTTGATAGTGCCCTCCCTTCCTGCGGCATCACCGCACCAGCATCGTCTCCGCATCGCACCCAATTCCATCCTCGATCAGCCAAAGGAATGATGGCCTCGTGCTCTGCATCTCTGACGGCACTCGCATGATGCGCTCACCAGGTGGTTATCGTCATCAACGGCCATATGGGCGTCGCCACCGACTTTGACAACTTTGCCGACCAGCTTCGAGAGCAATTCGCTGCCGATCCCGCCTCCAACGAACGCTCGCAGCTCTTTGTCCTCCAGAGCAAGTCCAACCAAGGAATCAGCACCAACGACGGGCTTGCGAAAATGTCTCTCCGGCTGGCTCAGGAGACCAGCACCTGGATCCAGGCCGAGGTTCTCCCTCAACTGTCGACACCCACCCATGTCCTCCTCTCGGTCCTCGGCCACTCGCTCGGCGGCCTCATCGCCCGGACGACTCTCCCATATCTCCTCGGCCTCGCAGCGACACACCCAGAGCTCTCTCTTCGATCGCTCATGTTGTCCAATGAGCATGTCTGCTCGCTGACACCGCTTTCGTTCATGACGATCTCGACGCCGCATCTTGGCGCCAAGCGATCGACGGGAGCCGGCCCAGCGAGCTATGTTGTCAACGCCGTTGCCGAGACCTTCTGCACGTTCATGGGACAGACCGGCAAGGACCTGCTCATGACAGACGGGCCCGAGAAGGGAAAGGTCATTGGCCTGCTGGTGTGTTGAATGAGAGGTGCATGCCGTTTTATCGAAGGCAACAATGGACCGCCGACATCCATTATCCATATCCTGCTGACGACAGCTGTGCTAACTCTGCCGTTGCCACATTTGTTTGCCGCAAGACATCCAAGCTCGGCTCGACTTTGACGTCCCCGCCCGACCACGGTATCGCCGATGAGAACGAGCCCATTCTCAAGCGAATGACAACTCCCTCGGGGATCTACATGCGCTCGCTCGTCCAGTTCCAGACCTGCACGCTCGTCTCGAATCTTCGGGACGACCTGGCTGTGGGATACTGTAGCTCGGCGATCACGAACGACCACCCTTATCCCGAGGTTTTCCAGCAAGCCCGCCGCATGGATCATGTTCTGGTCCACAGTTACTCTGGCTTCCGCAGCGGCTCGAGCGACAACGACAGCGATGGCACCGGCAACGACACCGGCAACGAGGCTGCTGGAGTCAATGCTGACGCAAGGCACAGCTCCCGGGGCCTCGATTCGAGGCAGTTGGCTGGGCAGCTCAAGCAGCAGTGGAGTTCGTCGTGGGCGCTTTTCCAGGAGGGTCTGTTTGGCCGCTCGGATCGGAGCCGCAGTATCGACGGTGCCGAAGGTGTCATCACGGCGCACACGGCATATGAACTTCCGGGTCCTCAGCCCACCGCACGATCTCTGGGCGATGCAAAGCCCACGGCATCCGAGGAGGCCTCGGAGCCCAGCGACATTGCCCAGGACAAGCAGGCCGATCCCTGGCTGCACGACTCGATCTCGGTATCACGCTACCATCCCGAAATGCTGGCCAACCTGAACCGAATCCACTGGAGGAGAATCAACATCCACATCGACATTGCCAACAGCATCGATATCCTCAACGTCCATGCCATGATTGCTGGCGTGGTGTTTTCATGGCAGTCGGCCTCAGCCAAACAGGCAGCCCGCGCCTCAGCTGGTTTCCTGGCGCAGGTTGTCCTGCTTGATTTCCAGGTTGCCAAGTCGACCCTTGCTTCAGGAACGCTGACTCCATCGCTGTAGAGACGAGGGCGTGGATTTCCGCTCTTCATGGGAGCTGTCGCCACTCTGCCGATGGTGGATGTGATGAGGCTTTATTTGGCCCAGATCGTAAAGAAAGGAAGAGAGCGAAAGGGAGTTGCCGCTGATCATAAATACAGACTCGTCCCGTTTCGTTTTGTGAACGCTGAGGAAGAAAGAAGAGGAAGGAGATACTGAAAACTCGTGGTGACTTGAGACGGTCTTGACCGGATGCGCCGCTGCCATTTCATCCCGACGATCGACACAGCAGCTGGAGCTCTCACACGAAGCAGGTGTGCAGTCTCTCAAACTCCTTGCGGCTGCCGAGCGTGAGCTGGTGGCTGCCCTTGGTCTGGCCAAAGTACGGGCTCTGCTGATCGATGATCGAGGCAAGCGCGGGAATGCGGACCCGGCCGAGCAACAGCGGCTGGACAGGTGTGGGTGGGTTTTTGCTTGTCAGCGGTTCGAGAAGGTTGTCCTGGGGCTGGAGGTGCGGAGGGCAACAGAATGGGCAGATGTGAGTGGCAAACGAACAGGATGGACAAAAGCATGAAACGCTATTTGGCTTGCCGAGCAGCTGGCCCACCGGGCTGGGTCAACAGAGCCAACGACGCCTGAGCCAGAAGCTGCATATCAGAGGGTCACCAATCGTACCTGTCCCTGGTGGGCGGCTTCACTGACACGCTTGATGCGCTCCTTCAGCTCGGTGCCGCGCTTGACCAGCTCCTTGGTCGACTCGACCTTGGTCTGCTGCTGGTGGGCCGGGTTGTGTCGCGAGCTGATCCATTTCATCTCCAGGGCCGACGTCTGCTTGGTCACGTCCACGACCTTGGGTGCAGATGCGAACTGATGCGCCTCCACCAAGAAGGCTCGTGTCTCACTCTGCAGGTTTCGGAGCGAAGACTCGAGATCAGGCATGCTGCCCTTGGGAGGCGAGATGGCGCTGCCGCCGGGGCCGGCATTTTGGCCGTCGCCGGCGTCCTTGCCGGTCGAGCCGTTGTTGGCCTGGCTGTGGGGCTTGCTGAAGCGCATCAGGGCATCGTTCGGGTCGAACAGGAACTCGGCATCCACCTGGACCTTGCTGGCCTTGAGCCGGGCATTCTCGGCTCGCACAAACTTGAGGGCCGATTTGAGGGCCTGGATCTCCTCCTTGGTTGCTGCATCGAGCACGATCGGCGTCTCGGAGCGTCCGGGACCACCGGGGGTCATGGGCAGCGGGCTCATGGGTGGACCGCCGGCGGAACCGAGCTCGATGCCGGTGTTGATCTTGCGGATCGAGGGAGGCGAGGCCCGCTCCTGCTGCTGTTGCTGCTGGTACTGCTGTTGCTGGAGCTCCAGCCGCTTGGCCAGCTTGCGATGCTCCATCTCCAGGTGTTCAATGTCGCCATGCAGAGCCTCGATCAGCTCTTCGTAGGCGTCCTCCTGCGTCTTGGCGATGGACAGTTCTTCCTCGAGCGCGGCGATGGTTTCGGCCGTCTTCTGGGACTGCTCCATGCGCTTCTCGAGGAACTCGATGCGGATGTTGGACTCTTGGATGTTCTGGTCCTTGATGTGGATGTCCTTGAGGAGAGTAATGACTTCGCCATTGAGCGACTCGATCTTCTTCTCGAGGTCGGTGTTGAGGCTGTATTCCTTGCGGATGAACTCGGCGCGCGCCTTCCACGGCTCGGCGTTCTTGTTCACCTTCTCGACGTAGCTGCCGTCTTCGACAGCCTCGACAACCTTGTCGAGCATGATGTTCAGGCGGTCAAGGTTCTGGCAAAGCCCATGTCCGAGCATTGCCTCGGTCTGCCCGAGGAAGAGCTCGCATGCGGATGCCGAGATCTGGTCAAATACGTTCATGCTGATGCTGGTCTTGTGCTCGCGCTTGGTCTTGATCATGAAGACAGTCTTGTGCGAGGTCTGGCACGAGTCAGGAAGCGATACAAAGGCGTTGTGTCAATTGCATGAAATTTGGCTGCGGGGACGATGGACGATGGGCGATGGGCGATGGGCAATGGTGGATCTTGTCGCCGCTTGCTCTGGGACTGCTGTGATAGTGCAGCTGTTTCGTGCTCCGATACCATCGCCCGACTCCACAACTGTGGCATCATTGGCCTTTGGCGCCTTCTGAGCCCACGAGAGCATTTACAAACCTCGGCGCAATAGTCCACGGTGCGAGCAACCGCCTGGTAGATCTCTCGGATGAACTCGCAAATGTCGTATCGAACGATGCTGCTGGCATCGACGATTTCCTTCATTCGCTTGATCAGTTTGCTGCAGGAATACATGAAGTGCAAACCCAGTTAGCTCGACATTCTACTTTCACGATGGTTCGTTTCCTCTCCCTCGGCGGAGCAGAATCGATTGCACAGTGTTTGCACCAAGAACATGTGTGTCCCAACGTACCGGATACGGGCCTTGGCGCCCTTGTTCTGGGTCAGGGCCGAGCGCAGGATATCCAGCACGTCGCCAGAGATGCTGCGGAAGCTTCTTTCAAAGTCATTATCCTCGTCCTCGTGCCTCTCGAACCAGACACTGAGCTTCTCGAGCTCTGCATCGATGCGCTCCGAGCCAATGTCCATGCCTTCCAGGTACGAGGTGATGATGCTCTGGGCAACGGTCGAGCGCACACCAAAGTCGCTGACGAGCAGGGTTTCGGACAGATGCTCCATCTGGCTAATGGACCTGCAGGCAAATCGACGAGTGAGCATGGATCCGTCGCTTTGTTGTCCAGAGTGGCGGCGACAGCGCAGCGAACAGCTTTCTGGAAACAGGTCCGTCCTCGAGCCAGGCTGTCGCTCCTAAACAGAGCATCAACACGTCGGGACTTACTTTCCAATGTCGGTGAGGATATGCACTCCACGAACTTCGTCGCGTTTCAGGAGCTCGACCAGTCCGTTCAGTCTGGGGACAGACATTCCATCGAGTTGATTCGGAGGGAGGCATGCGGATTGGATCGCGAGGCATGACATGAGCAACTGTTCGGGATCGATCGTCGCGGAGACAGAAAAGAGCACGCAAGCCAGCCCATCGATGACTCGAGAGCAAGAAGGATGTGTCATACCTTCGCTCGGCGCCCACCAGGTCGTGGTGGATCTTGCCGATCTTGAGGTACTCATCTACACTGCAGGACTCCAGATACGACATAAACCGCTTGACGATCGAGTTGTAATACACAAGCCGCTGGACCATCTCGCAGATGTATGTCTGGTGGTCCCACTCCTGCTCGTCCTTGGCACCATCCTTGCTGAGCTTGCGGTTGATGACACCGCCAAAGAGCAGCCCGTCGGCGGTGGCGTGAGCGTTGTGCGACTGGGGGTCGTTGAACTGCGAGCCAATCTGGAATCGCTCCTTGAGGATCTTTTGGACGAGGTCGGCCTTGAAGTTGAGGCGCTGGAAGATCAGCTCGCACTGGATGGCATCGTCTTCGTTGTCGAAGAACGACTCGGGCAGATAGCGCTACAGCAGCAGTGTATCGGTCAGCACGATAGTGTGTCAGAGGCGTGAAGCAGCTGTCAGTGGAGCGGCTGTACGCGGAGCCCAACTTGGCCGGCTCTGTAACGAGATGCTCACCGTGACGAACTGCAGATGCGTGGCTGCTTGGAGGGCATCCAGTTTTTTGAGCTCGAGGTCGATGGCCTTGGTCTGGGCCTTGGTGACGGTACTCTGCAGCTGCATGTTGAGGCTGAGGATCTCCTGAGAATGCACGACGAGCTTGTCGCCCTCGTCATCTGCCGATCCACCGCGCAGCTCTTCCAGCTCACTGTGTCGGCACAAGACGGAGTAAGTGGGTGTAAGGGGAACACTGAACCACTGAACCATTGAACCACTGAAACGGATTGCTGACGCCAATGTGCTGACGAGAGCCGACACTCTGGCTTTTGGAGGCACAGGCCTCGGGCGTTTGCATAGGCACTTGCCTCTGGAGGGTCTTGACAAGCTCGCGGAAGCGCACAATGGTGCCTTCATAGTCAATCAGGGACTCTTGTTGTTCGTCGTAGCGTCGCTTGAGCTCGTTGATGACCATATCCTTGAAGTCTACGATTCCAGGTTTAGCAATGTGATCGCGGATATGTGTCAGCAGCCATGGGGCAGATGCGCAAATCGTCGAGCGCTGCCTTGATAAGAATGCACATCGACATCCTCCATAGTGCGCCGGGTCGTGCACGCAATGCAGTCGGACAGCGCTGCTCACCGATGACTTCCTGCAGCTGATTCTCGGTCTCGACGTGCCCCTCTTCAAGCTCATCGGCCACAGCCTTCAGGTCCTCGAGGTCCGAAATGGCGACCTTCATTTGCTCGATTTTCTATATCCAGCAGCAAGAACGACGCTTAAGAAGCGCACCAAGCATTGCACCGCTACGGCGGACACATTCGGAACAAGACTCGAGTCTCACAGGGATATGGGCTGCGAGACCAACATCACCCCATGTGACTGGCGTCCTGGGCTTACCTCGTGCAGCGCCATGTTCTTGTCGGTGAGAGAGACAATCATCTCCTCGGCACTCAGGGCCTCGTCCAGCTCCTCCTTGAGGGCTTCAACCTGCTGCTCATAATCCTCGATCTGCTTCTTCAGCTGGTCATCCTTGACTGCATTCCAAGGACAGATACTTTTCAGCATCGTGAAGCTGAAGTGCGCCTCAACAGTGTCACGTCATCGCCCTGGGCCCTAGCATACGCTGTCCATTCCAGTGATGGTATTATAAGGACGAAGTGCTGCTCATGAGACTTACGTTTCTGATCAGCCAGATGCATATTCTCCTTCTCCAACAGCGCGATGGTATGGCGCAGCTCGGACTCGGTCTCGGTGGTAACATCCCGGAGGCTGGAAACGAGTCGGTTAGCTATGGTCGGGGGCTATGATCATGATAACAGCGATGGCGGCATAGTTGTGTGGACCGGCGATAGACAGAACCATTACCGGATCAGCGCCACGGTCAGGCGCTCGTTCTGCCGCTCGAGCTGGCGGTACTCTAGTGCAGGGCGGCTTGAGGGACTGTCGCTGATTCCGCCGGACGACTCGATCCGGATGAGTTCTACTCAGACATGCGGAGCGTAGCCGTGATGTCAGTATCGAGGCAAGGCGATGGGCAGTGCGACAACATAACAAGCAGCGCAACCTGATCAGTCACGATGTTCCCGTCGAGGGACTGCAAACAGCGCATGCACATACCGGCCTCTTCTTTGAGAACCTCCACGTCGACCATGAGCTCTTCGCATCTGCCCTGGAGCGCCTCGACCTCGGCATGCAAGGCATCGGCCTTTTCTTCGGCCATTTCCTTGTCCAGGGTCATCATCTCCAGCTCCTCCTGAGCCTCGACGAGCTGTTCCTCGAGGAGATTGCGCTCGTTAGTGATATCGCGGATCTGGCGCTTGGCGTCCCGCACGTCGTTCTGGGATTCCTGGAGACGGCTTGACAGCTTGGTTCGGATCTCGAGCGATGCCTCGAGCTCGCTTCGGAGACGATCGATGTCCTTGAGCCGCTCCTTGTCCTCAGCTCGCTTGGTCTCGAGGATCCGAAGCTTGATTTTGAGGTCATCGACCTCGCGGTTGGACACCATCTGAGTGGACGAGCAGTTCCCAGTTGATGCGCAGGTCGGATGCGGCGTGATCCATCAACGACAGAGCAGCGAGGACCGTGACATGGATATGCAACGAATGTGCGAGTGAAGGGTGGTGAGCTCGAGAGGCGGCTGTGGCAGCTGGCACCGGATCGAAAATGTATACCAACGACGGTACCGCCTCGGGTCCAGCTGGGCCAGACATGATCACGCACGCACTAAGCCGCCGCAAACATACCTTCTGCAAAACCGACTCGTGTGACCCGGAAGCGGACTGGGTCGGATCTAGCTCGGCCTGGTCATGCCGTTCGGAAGTGGGTGCTGGTGCAGGACTGGTCGCCGTGGCATCAGGTGGATTGCTGGCCAACGAGGGGTTGGACACGTGTGGCAGGTTGCCGGGCGAGATATGCGAGGACGAATAGTCCGGGAACGCCTCATCGGATACGGGACTGTCAGGGATCGGAATCGGGGTCTCCAGTTCGAGCGACTCGTGCGGCACCGGTGTCTCGGGGTCGGCCGGGCGGGTGGGCAGACGGCCAAACATCGACACGGGTCGAGGCCGGCCCGCAGCTGGGGTCGGGGTGGACGGACCCAGCGATGGATCGAACGGCAGCGAGGACGGCATGGAGGGCGACGTCGAGGACGAAACGGCGAGCGAATTGGCCAGCGCAAGGGCCTGGCTCATGGCCGAGCCTTTCAGGCGGGCACCAGGGGTTGATGTCGACTTTGGCAGTGTGCCCGAAGCAGAGCGACCGAGGGTGCGTGCGGGCGATGCGGGGCGCGACGAGTCGACCTTGGGCGACGAGCTTGGCGGCGAAGTGGACGACGGAGGAGCAGGTGGGGGCGCAAAGGAGCGAGGCAGCGAGCCAGGGCCGACGCTGAGCCTCGCCGATAGCGATGCCCGACGACCGGGGGTGGTGGTGGTTGCGGCATTTTGGTCGTCGTGCGGGGCACGGATCTGGTTGGCACGGACAAAGACGCCGTATCCAGGCTTGCATTCAAAGTAGCGCTTGCCCTGGACCGATCCATCGTTCTTGCCGGTCTCGGCATCGAGCTCCAGGCCGACCCATCGACCGGTCGCAAAGGCGGTCGCCCCGACGAAGCGGATGGTGGCACCGATGCCGTTGATTTGGACCCGGTTGCCGAGGGCGAGATGGCTGGGGATCGGAGTCGAGTCGTCAGCCATCTTCGGGAGCTGAAGGGTGGGAGTGAGCTGGCAAGGGCAGCGATCGGGAGATGGATGGGCGGCAAAGACAGACGAACGAAAGGAAATCTGATGGGCAGATGGATGAAGGAATCCGATGAACAAACGCAGATGGACTGGGCAAGTCGACAGCGAGGACGGGTGCTCTCGCCGGCGCATCTCTCGGCCGCTCTCGGCCGCTCTCGCTGTGCTTGCCGCATTTGGAAATTGTAGAACCGACGCGTGGGACGGCGCACCGCCACAGCGTGTGGCTCGTGGGAATGCTGCCCTGAAGAATCCAGCGACGAGTGCAGTTGCGGTGCTGCAGCCTGCACTGGGCATGGCCTGTGATGGACATGCCCTGCTGTGTCCAAGTGCCTATCGGTCTGAATGGGCGCCTGCGATCATTGACTATCTCCAGCGGCCAGGGCCTCGTTAGTTTGGAGATAAACGGTGATCGCCTGGCCGACTGCCTTTCCCTCCCTCCAATAGCAGTTCCTCTCGACGAGCCTGGTCTTGCATGCTCGGGCCATCCTGGCATAGCGCAATGCGAATGTGGAGCCAAGCACACAACGGCTGTGCTCGTGTGGCTCTTGTACCGGTTGTCCGGGCCGCCGAGTGCCAATCCCGAGTTGGAAACGAGCCCGCGGCTGTGATATCGCACAGTGGGCCTGGGCTTGCTCATGCGGCACGGCGACGGCCCCAGAGACCACCGTCCAGCGCTCCCCAGAGTCCCCGATGCCGCCGGGGCCTCTCGCTCCGACCGAACTACTGCTGGTGCAGATGGTCTGTGCTGCGTGTCAATATCCCATCACGTGAGCCGCCTTGCCCTGGCTGTCTTTCTCCTTCTCCGCCATCGGCGCCAAAATCGACCCCTTTCTCCGTCGCATCGCCGTCGGCTTTGGGCAAGATGGCCTCCCACGAGGCATCCTCCGATCAGCTCTGGTCCAGCGACTCTTTATCTTTCCGAGATTCGTCGCCCGGCTCCGACTCTTCTTCCAACCGATACTCGCCGCCCCCTTCCGACGCTGCACCGGCAAGCTCTCCACCCTGGAACATGTCTTCGCCGTCGCCGTCACCGTCGCCTTCCCCGAGTCCCGAGCCCGTGAAGAAGCGCGGCCCTGGCCGCCCCCCAAAGACGAGCAAAGGAAACGAGGCCCAGATCCAGACCGCTGTCGTTGTGCCGCTGCCTCGTCGTCGCGGCCGCCCTCCCAAGCCCAAGGCCAACCTGAGCAAGCCATCGGTAGCACCCATAGCCCCTGCGGCAATGCCGAACGAGCCCCCCATCGCTATTACTCCGACCAAACGGCGGCCAGGAAGACCACGCAAGCACCCGCTGCCCGATGCTGCTGGTGCTGTTTCTGCAGCATCTTCATCCGCCTCGCTTGCATCGGCGCCGCCGGCGAGCCCATCGGCAACTGTCAAACGCGGGCCTGGGCGGCCCAGAAAGAGCGATTCCGCCAGACCCACCGCTGTTGCGAGCCCTCCTTCCGTCGCCGCCGCCGCCGCCATCGTCGCCACCGCCGTCCCCGGTTCAGTCGAAGCTCCAAAACGCAAACCGGGGCGGCCTCGAAAGAGCGACGGACACAATCACGCGGCTAAAGCAAACGCCGCCGCCCAGCAACTCCCTGAGGTACCTCGTGGAAGCTCGGACTCTTCAATCGACGACTCTGATGTAGTCGTACCCGCTCCTCAAATCAAGCGCCAGCGCGGACGGCCCAGAAAAAACAGCAGTGCGCCAGAGACTCTACTCGGGATACAGCCGACATACGTTGAGCTGCCGATTCATAGGCCGATGAGCCCCAAACCAAATGACGCGTTCGTCTCCAGCAATAGCCACAATACCACGGCCACCGTTTCACCCTTGCTTTCCGACATGGAGGACGAGCCGAACGAACTGGGTCATCTCAGTGAGGACCAACTGCGCGAACTTTTCAGCATATTGGGGGCAGTGCTCCGCAAAAAGTCGTTCGTGGACAAGATCGTCGAGACTATCGCGAAGACGGGGCTCAAACGCAAGCGGTAACGGGCTCGAGCAGCGCCCGTGGCGGTGGTGGAAGTGGAGGATGCGATATCGTTGATGCTGTGAATATCATTGATGCTGCGAATATCAGTAGTGCTGCGAATATCATTAGTGTCGTGAATATCATTAGTGTTGTGGATGTCATCAGTGTTGTGTGCATCGTCGATATTCCGTATGGTCGGCAACGGAAAAGCCTGGGCGAGCCCCCGCTGCAAGTGTTCGTCAACCCAGCGCATCCATCTCGTTGCCGCGAATACCCCGCCCGGTTGCACGGGCCTCCAAAAGCGGATTGCCTGCCACGTGGACAGCCACACCCTATCACGTGGCTGGGCCTGGTCGCGCGCCTCAAAGTGCCCATCGCATCTGCAGCCTCGGCCACTGCCGTCCCTCACCTCCTGCACCAATGTCGTCGCCGATTGCACCTGCCCAGCGCCTGGTGTGGCTGCTCCTGCTGCTGTTCTTCGGATCAGCTGCAGCCCTCAACAACTTCAATGCCGTGATCCGCCCCCGCCAAAAGCTGTGCTTCATCGAGTTTCTCAAGCCGCAGGAGCGCTTCGATGTCTCCTTCCAGGTCCACGACACCGGAAGCGGCAACCGAGACCTCGACTTTTGGGTGAGGCCCAGCATCACCAGGGCTCGTTTTTCAGCACCGTGCCCCCATAGACATGCACCTGCCGCCCGTCTTTCATCAACAGGGCTGATCAGCAACGCCGTGTGGCAGCTCTCAGTGCCTCGGTGCTCATGCTTTCCGTTCCTTCTCCGTCCTATCGGCAGATCACCTCGCCCAACACTCGGAGCATCATCACACAAGTCAAGGGCGAGTCGTCGTACTACCACGGCTTCTACGCCTCCGAGGAAGGCAACTACGAGTACTGCTTCAGCAACCAGCTATCGGGATACAACGACAGGAGCATATCCTTCGTCATCCATGGCCCTGCGGAGCAGCGCAAGCTCGAGGAGGTTGCCCAGACCCAAAGCTCGCAGCGGGAAGGTGCGATCGTTTTCCATGTCCCTATTCTTGCTTTTTTTTTTAAATTTCGGAGAGTGCGGGACGACTTCTGCTCTGTATTCGGACGAGAGACTGCGAGAGTGCCCCTTGGACGAGTTGGTATTGGTGTTGACTGATGCGTGTGTGGCTGTTGTCCTTGGCAGATGTCCAAGCCCTGGCCAACGAGGTTGCCAACCTGGCGAACGAGATCCAGTTCATCCGCGATGCCCAGGGCTACATTGCTCCACAGCTCCAGGACCACAAACGGGGTAAGCCATGATGCCGAGTGCGAGTGCAGTCGCCGCATATCCTCTTCATCGGATGCAACAGGTTTTCGGATCCATCCTCGACACCCTGGCCCGCCTCAAACGATCGGAGGCAGTCCATCGTCGCCCGATACGATCTGCCACAGGCTGACCCAATCTCCCGTCATCATAATCGTCTGCCATCGTGAACATCGCATGGAATCCACATTCCACGGCTTGGTCATCGACGATTGTCGGCAACACGGGCAATCGTCTGCCGCGGCAACAGTCTCGGAGCACACCAACTCTCGCGTGCTGTGGTGGTCGGTTCTTCAGGCCATCGGCCTGATCCTCGTTACTGCCTTCCAAGTATTCTTCTTCCAGCGGTAAGTGCGAGAGCTTCTCTCCCCTCCCCTTTTCACCTCGCAGCCTTGCTGGCTGCACCGTCGCTTTGGGTTTGCGGAGATCAAAAGTCTTCTCTCGTTCAGATGTGATCGGATCGAGAAAAGTCAGTGGCGTGCTCCTCTATGGCATCCCGTAGCGGCCGATGGACTCGCTTGGACGATTCCTCTGGACTGACCGGCATCGTAACCATCGCTCCCGTAGCATGTTTGACCATCGTCGACTCATCTGAACCCCATAGCTCGCTGCTGGTCGAGTCGTCTGCCTCTGCCTGCTGGGTGCGCGATGGCACCGCTGCTACTTGGAGACGACCCTCCTCGGCACAGTCACAAACGATGCGATGCTTGGACAATACCTGCCCGGCCGGCTTGGAGGACACGTTCTATGATACTACGAGCCGGTTCATAAAATACACATCACTCATGTCCGCTGAGCCTATGAGTCGAGATATGTGATGATGATGGTATGATGGAGGTGTGGTTGATGGGGGGGGGCAGTTTCCCTTCCCACGTCCTATTCTCATGCCTGCTGGAACAGCCACGTTCAGCATATCCGTTTCGCGTTGTAGGTTTTGCCCTCGGTGCGGCAATAGTACATTCCGCCCCGCTGTGGGCTGGATGGGGTCAGTGCCGATGATGAGGAACTCTATTGACTATGAGTATTCAATAATTACAGAGCCGCATGATCCAATCGTTGGAATCAAGGTCATGCGTCTTGGCTTGCGCTCGCATAGATAGATGGATTACAATGGTCATGGACGCATCCAGGGTGAAGATGACGAGCCACCCGCTGAGAGGAAGGAGGGCTGGTGGATCAAAGTGAGAGGGGGGGGGAGGAGTTCCAAGGTTACGGATGAAAGTTTGGGAGAGAATCGCAAGATCATAGGTGAGAGGAGGGGGGCTGCTGCCGGATTGCCGAGCCTGGCGGCGTGTCAGATTTCGGCCAGGGCCTTCATCAGTTTCTTGTACTGCCCAGGCTCGGTGATGGCAATCTTCATCATCAGCACGTCCTCTTCAACCCCGTCGCCGATTTGGTGTCGCCAATCAACGACACGCAGATAGACGCTGTTGGGCGCCTCGCCTCCGTCGAGCCGAGGCTCCATCATGCGCTCGATGCAGCTCGCACACGGATAATGGTCAAAGACCGAGTGTCGTTTCGACAGATCCCTTGTCCGGGGCGACGACGAGAATGTCGAGTTTCGACGCGTGCGATGGGGCTTCAGCGGCGGGATGGCAAAGCGGTCTTCAGGCCCTGGCTCGGGCAGGCCAGGAAACGAAGCGCCAGAGAGGAGGTCCGGCGAGGACATGTACTGCGGGCCGAATCCTTGGCTTCGTGACCGGTGCATCCCGCGGGCTTTCGGTTTGCCATCGGCATCCTTGTCGCCTGCGCTGTAGCGTATCGAGGTCGACGAGCCGCCTTCGTCGGCTGGAGCAGCTTTCGAAGTAGATCCTCTTGGGCTGGGGAGTGCGCCGGCTACTGGCGAGACCGAAGCGGTACCTGAGGCGAGGCCGAAATCGCGGCGAGCACGATCGCGGATCTTTTTGGCAATTTTGCTGATTCGAGGAAGCCGCAGCGGGGCCGTTCGACTGCGGGCGGTGTGCGTGTCGTCGAGGTCGCCCGTGGTTCCAAACTTTTCCAGAGGAAAGCCAAAGGGCATAGCGTCGCCGTCGACGACAGGGTCGCTGGGATCGGCGACAAACTGCGCTTGCTGGGTCGAGCTGGCTTGCTGGTCGCGGTCGAGGGCGAAAGTGACTTGCCTTACCGAGGGCACCGGCGCCGGCGCCGGCTCGAAGCTCGGGTCCATGTCCAACATATCCTCTTGCGAGCTTTCAGCAGTGTCTTCGGCATCGGCATCGGCCACGCCGCCCAGGTCATCGTAGATCGACAGCGACGAGCGGGAATCCTGCTGGTCCGTATCTCGCATGAGCTCGGCAAACTTTTGGTGGAGCTGAGTAAAGTCGAATGGGAAGTTTGGATTGGAGGCGATCTGGGTGGGGCTGCCCTTGGGTGTTTGCAATGCGGCCGAGTCCGGGATCTCGATGATGGCGCTTTCGGGCGGCATGTTTGGGGTGGGGAAGTGCTTTGTCTCGATCACAGGAGTCGGGGGCGTAAGACTGAGCCGGATGCTCTCTGGTTTTTGTGGGGTGCCAACCCAGAGCGTCTGCGATGCCCCGGGAGCTGGAAGGGTGGCGCTGGAAGCAGGATTGATCTGTTGCTGCGATGGCGTCTTGTACATGAGCGCTCTCGCGGCTGCTAGCTCCATGGCATTGTGCCATTCGTTTTCCTTGTGCCGCTTCTGGTTGAACTTGCGGACGATCACGGTATACTGCGTGGTGATCATGGTCAGCGGGAAAGCAACAACGAACATGGCGGCCACCATGGCACCAATGGTCGCCATCTTTCCGAGCGTGGTTTGAGGCACGACGTCGCCATAGCTGAAATGTAGGATTCGGGTGTGAGTGGTTATGAGGAGTGGTGTGCGCCATCCGAACACAGCGTCGCAATCCCGTACCCATACCATCTGCCAGCAGCAACTTACCCCTGATGCACCAGAAGGATCCGTAAGGTAAGCGTATCCACAGGGAACAGCGTTGATTTTGTGAGTTGAACCCACACGGAGCGAGTGAAGGATATGTCCGGATACGTCCAGATAGGTTCCACCAGAGGTTGGAGAGCCACCAGCACAGCGACAGTCGTGGTACGAGTCAACAGAGCCGCCACAGGAGAAAAATGGGAGCACACGAGTGCATGAATACATGAGCACACGAACACATGAGCGCTTGGGCACAACCGCACTGATTTGTCAAGCGCATCTGACATCCGCAAGCACATTTGACATCCGCATGCACACACGGCGTCACTATCGCCCCAGAGACAGATACCGATCGCGTCCAGTCCGGGCTGTACGTACGATTGTTGTCAGAGTGACCATCATGAACCAAAACGTTGACGGTATCGACTGAAAGTTGGCAGGGTTGCCTGTCGCCTTATAGTACCACACCTGTAATCGAACGATCACGGGTAAGGTGAATCGGAGGTGAGGGGGGAGATGGTTGGCGGCTCATATCAAATCCACAGCGCTCAGTCAACTCGGAGTAGCTTTGCGTGTCCTCGTTTAGATGTAAATGGGACTCCCACCCCCGCGAGCATACCCCATTGACGTAAACCTCTTCGGACTGCTCCGCGAAAAACACCATCGTTCCAAAGAACAAGATGATGAGCGGCAGCACATAGACCAAAGCGAGGATTCCTGAGAGTTGGAATGGACCGAGTCAGCCGACGTGCACAACGACATGATCCCGCGCACCTCCATGAATGCAGCCAGCGCCAAGTCCTCACCATCCCGAGAGTTGTACAGCGCTTGAACCAGGAAATTGAGCTAGGAACGGAATAAAGTCAGAAGCATGGCCCGTGCGTCGAGCTCTGAAACACAGCCAGTCTCAGCCAAAGCCGAGGGCAAGGCAGAATCGACTCGGTATCAGAAAGCCATGTTGCTGAAAGCACGGAGCGAGACGGCGCGGTATTGTGGACTACCTTGGACGACTTGAGGAAGAATTTGAAGACTCGCAGCACCCTGAGGGTGCGGAGCGAGTTCATGGTGCCCATCGAGTAGCTGTACTCGATCGGATCCTGGCGCAGGGCCCAGGAAACGATAACCTCGATAAAGAACGGCACAATGGCCATGAAATCAATCACCCGCGACCAAGTGAAGAGCGTCCGCCATGACCTTGAGGCGATGATGTGCATCGTGAGCTCCACGACGAAAATCATGGTCGTGGCGAAATCGATCCAGAAGAGTGCCACCTGCTCGAACAGAACCACGATCGGGCCACAGGGTCAGAATACAGCGGAGGAGAGGAGCAAGGCCCGAGAGCTGGCCATGATGTGCAGTCAGGCAGGTGCGATGGCGAAGGGCAGCGGATGCATTTCGGTGGAAGTTTCGGGGTGCTTGGATGGCACAGGCGCTGACGCCTTCCAGGCCAGAATCGGCCATGAATCGACGAAGCGCAACGAACACATACCCGGGCCTCAGGGTGCTCGGTGATCTGCGAAACCGTTGCGATGCAAAAGTTGGCGATGGAGATCCACAGGCCCAGTAGAAAGACCCAATGCAGGACCCGCCCCAGCGGCGACTCTTTGCGGTTGTGGAGGATGTGGAAGACACGAGCTCTCCATCGCGGCAACTCCTTGGACTGATCGGTCGAGTCGCTGTAGACTGAGGGCGGCCGTCGAGGGGTAGCATTCTGCAAAGGCACCAGGCCAGGGGAAGTCGGCAGACAGCGTTAAAAGGGCTGTCAGGCAGGTCCGAGGCGATGTACTGGCTGACCAGCCGACATTGAACCCTTCAAGGCGGAGCGGCGAAGCGAGTCCAAGCAGAAGCCGAGGAACATCCCGGCAAGATGCTGGAATGCTGCCGCTGCCGACCGCAGCGATGCATCATTGGGCCGGGAGCAAGTCCCATGGCACAAAATACGGTGGTCAGCCAGGTCCATCCGAGGCGCAGGAGTGACGAGATAATACATGCATTCGCGAGATTGGGAACGGGCACGGGCTCAGGCTCAGGCTCGGCTATGGGTTCGGAGGGCCTCGGGTGCTTGCGGGCCCGACTCCTCAGCCATTGCAGGGGGGTGACGGTGGTCTGAGGGCGGATGTTGTAGAACAGCGGATCGCTGACGGCGGTGTCCGTGGTCGCAAAGTGCTCCAGCCTCAAGCCGTAGGGACCATCGCTGTCGAGATGAGGGTTCTGCTCGGGGCCGCTGGGATCGGGAAGGTCGGGAAGGTCGTGAAGCCGCCCTGGGCCCGCTAGAGGAGGGCCATAGTTCATAGTGATGAATGGGAGAGGGAGAGCGGAAGTGGAAGGGGAAGGCTGGGAGTGTAAGGCGAAGTGGGCGGATTCGCAGCGGGATGGACAGCAGGATCGCCAAGATAATTATTGTCGGGCCATCCCCTTCCTTCAGGCTTTGATGTGAGGAGCGGTATCGAGACCGAATTGGAGATGAGACGCTGATAGAGAAGCGAGTGTTAATGGCAGCAATGAGGATATCAGTGGGGGTTGGTGGGAGAGATGCCGCTGGCTTGGGTCTGAAGGAAGCGGGTTGGGCTGGACAGCCGGATCCAGGCGAGCGGCTGATGGGCGGCGAGGAAGTGAGACGGGGGATTGAACAGCAGCGGCGGCCATCGAGCGGCAAGGCCATCGCACAGCACCACAGCAAGGGGGCGTGCTTACATCGAGGAAACCCACAGGGCAGATTCGGCAGACGCAAGCAGGATCAGATGGACGTCGGGGGGGGGGAGAGAACAAACCTTCCGGGCCTGAGCCAACGGCGGGAATGTTCGCTGAGGATGGGGACAGAATCAACGCCGTGATATTGACCGACGGCGATTATAAAACCAACACTCGAATCGCAACACAGACGAGCTTGTTAACATTGCGGGGCGTGGAGACTGGGGTGCGACTGGATGTGGGTGCGAGCAGCATGTTCAAATAGAGAAACAACACCGATAACAACAACACCCAGCAACACCCAGCAACACCCAGCAACACCCAGCAACACCCAGCAACAACGATAACGACATTGACAAGCACAGCATTCCCAGTTCCGCGGACCTCCCACAGACACCCACAGACACCCACAGACACCTCCCACCGATTGTCCCCAACGAATCCCTCTCTTCGTCGCCCACCATTTCTCCACCTCCCACGCTGCAACGACCTCATTTCTCCTGGGCGCTCGCCACCGCCCCGCCCCCTCATCCATCGGCGTTGCAAATCCCCTTGCACCGAGCTGGTCATGCGACGGCCTTGGGTCGCCTGGACAGACCAGGCGCGGCCAGACTCAGCGCCCATGCTTTCGTCGGGGCAGCTGCAGTGCCCGCTCAGCCTGTTGCGTTGGTAATCGCTTGCTGCTGTCGCTCACTGGTTCTTAGCAGCGGCCCTCTCATTCAGCTATTCGCTGCAATCGCCCTCCTCGCTCGCACATTGACCCGCCCATTGGCTCGCGTGGGTGCACAACCTGGCCGAGACGCCCACCCGCCTGCGTCGAGGCGTCGTCGTTTTTCACCCGCCCAGAACATATATTCCTCCAGCGGCCGCTCTTCCCCAGCCTGCCTCCAGCCCGCAGCCCGCAGTCCGCATCCACAACCGCCGCAATGCTGGGATTTAACGAGCACGAACTGGAGCCGCTCTGCCCAGACGAGTCCCCGAACGTCTTCAAGGTATGTGGGGCCTCGGTCCGCTGTCGCCCTTGTCGACGGATCTGCCTCCTTAAAACCCCGCTCGTTGCTGGCTCCGTTCTCACCGTCTTGCCCCCTGTGCTGCTGCTTGGCCCTCCAATCCCTCCAATCCCTCCAATCCCAACGGTCCCAACGGTCCCAACGATCCCATGTCTACTACCATTTTGGCTACCGTGCCCACCGCCATGTCCGTTGCCTCACGCCGCTTGTTCCTTTCTCGCACCAGACCATCCGCCAGCTATCGGCCAAGATACAGCCCGACTCCTGGACCGCTGTCAAGCTGATCCGCAACTCTCCTGCCGCCATGGTCTTTGCCAAGGAGGCCAGCCACTTGAGCGACCTGAGCCACAAAAACGTCGTCTCCATCATCGACGTCATCGCCCAGGACGACCCCCAGATCTGTGCCGTCCTCACCAACTTGTTTCCTCTCAAGAGTCTCTATGAGTTTCTGCACATCTCCGACTCCTTCTACGCCACCTCGCTCGACACCAGCAAGCGCATCAGCCTCCTGGCCCAAACCGCAGAGGGTCTCCACTTCCTCCACAGCAGTGGTATCACCCACTCCAACATCAAGAGCAAGAACGTCCTCATCGATGTTGTCAACGGCACCATCGTTCCCAAGCTTTCGGACTATGCTCTGTCGGTAGTTCCGTCGGCGCAGATGCAGTACTCTGCCTCGCACGCCCCCTACCTGGCCCCCGAGTCCTTTGGAACCCTCCCGAGGTTCACCACAAAGTCGGACATTTACGGCTTTGCCATGCTCTGCTGGGAGACCATGGAGAGGGCCATGCCCTTCAGCGGCCTCGATCCTGCCGAGATTCGCGAGCTCGTCCTCAAGGGCCATCGCGAGTCGCTCTCCGACAACCCCCTTAAGGACTTGATCAAGATGTGCTGGCTCCAGTCCGAGGGGAGCCGCCCCGAGACCTGGTACATCACCTATACATTCAATGACATTGGGCGAGAGAGCCGGTCCAGTCTCTCTCCTCCAGCCAACCCCAACAAGCCCAGTGTAAGTCCCACTTGGGCTCCAGCCGCGGGCCTCAGCTTGTCCATCCATCTGTTGCTGTCGGTGCTCGATTGATGGTGCAAAAGACTGGTTTACGTCGCAGGCCGGCTTTTCATCCCGGCATACACACATACACATCCATCTCACTCGTCCTCCTGAATTGCATCTTTTCCATCGACCACGCCGCCATCGACTACGCCGCCATCGGCACTCATCCAGGTTCTGTCCGATCCGTCCACGGACTCTGGCACGGATTCCGGCTCCCGCCGCGTACCGACCAGCCAAACGCCCGAGAGCGAATATCTTTCCGTGCCGCCCGAGCACGAGGATGCACTTCCCGACTACTATGGCATGGTCGAGGGCACCGAGCAGGCCAGGTTCGCGTACACTCGCAAGAAGAAGTGGATCGATAACCAGTACATCCAGATTGGCAACGCTAGCGGCAGCAGCTGCTATTGCATCGAGTACCCCGATCCCAAACTGCCCTTTGAGTTTTCGACTGTACGTATGCGTTGCCGACATTGATCGGCATGAGCAGCCAGATCGAGAGGGACGGATCAGATTCCCACCGCCGGCATCTCCACTCGAACCCATCGCCACCACTCGAGCCCTATCACCACCACGATCTGCATGTGCCCTAGCTACTTTCTTGCTTCACTCACGCGTGTGCCCTGCTGCTTCCTCATTCCGCTCACTCCGTCACTTTCAAACTGCTCATGCTACAGGGCGATGCTACCGGCCTTGGAAAGGGCTATAAAACATGGACCATCAAGCTCCTCGGCGGCGATCCCACCAGTCCCGTGCTTCTGAAAATGAAAAAGATTGGTGGTCTCGGCGAATTGTAAGTCTCTGTTTTCCGAGCATCGTCTATCCAATCTCAACATAACATGCAGAGTCTCTGCCCAGCCCATGTCCGTGGATAGCGTGCATCAATCGCATCAAGCATCCTACGGCCCCCGGCCACACCGCTTACTATGTGCACTGACTTGACTGTCCTTTGCCGACATACCGTAGCGATTTCAACATCTACGACGCCTTCCAGAGCAGCCGTCGCTCCATTTTCTCTCGTCGCGGCCTGTTCTCGCTCAAGTACAAGTTCAGCAGCATCGACGGCTCAGTCGAGTTTGGTTGGGCAGAATCGACCAAGCAAAAGTGCACCTACACCCTACTGGCCTACCCCGACAAGAGGCCCATCGGCCAGTACACCACCCATAACCTCGACGATAGCACCGTTGCTGGCGAGATCTGGTTCGAGAACCGGTACATCCAGGAGACCCCGATGATTATCTCGACCGCTCTGCTTCTCGAGGAACGCTACAGGATCAAGAACGTCATCGAGTCCATCTATCCTCGCCAGAAGCTCTTTTTCTGATCTTTGTCGCCCTTGGCCTCCAGCAACTCCCCCACCCCGGCGCTGTTGTGTCTTGCTGGCATGCCGTCCCACCCTCTCTAATTCCTTTCCTAGCAGTCTTCGATGTCGATATCTCGACTGCGACATATAACTTCTTTACTCGGCCCTGACCATCGACTATTCCGACGGTTATCGCCAGGGCTTTTGCCATTTGTGTATCCCAACGGCTACTGGGAGTAGCCCTTCTTTCTTGTACAGTCCTGGTCAGGGTCGGTCACTCTGGACGGCCATGTTCGCTTCCAGAGCAACCAGTTTTGCTGCGACTTTGCGTCTTGTTCTATGCTCGGCTATCCCTTCCCTCCCGCGCACTCGGATGGCACGCCTCATCTTGTAAGTTTGAATCTTCTATGTCTGTATCTGTCAATACACGGCTCTTGTTGAAAGTAGCTTGCGCTTTGGAGGTTGCAGCCTGACTACACTCTACTGCTCTGGCTACGGCATAGCTTGGCATTGGCTGAAACCTTTTGCATGATGGCGATGTCCCGGAGGCTGTTGACAGGCCGTTTGGATTGGCGTGCCAGCGACGGGTTGCTGGCACGATCGCATCCATGAAGTGCTGGGCTCGCCAGCCAGGCACTGATTGATCGACCCAAAGATCCAGGAACGCTGACGCCGATACTGCACTGGCCGACAGGAACTGTGGTCGGAAAACAAGCGGCCATCTTCCTTCGGAGGCCAAGACAGTCTCCGCTCCAGCCGTTACGCCCGGCAAGAAAAGCCACCCCGGGCTCACCGATTGCCGCTCTTTTGTCCCTGAGCAAGCTGGCAGAAGCGCCGAGATGCCATGCGCCCACAGGCCTGAAAAACACCCTCGGCGCCAAAGACGAGACCAACTCTCAGTCGGCTTTGCATTCCTTCACTTTGGCTCGGAGATGGTGCCGTTGGCTTGCCATATTCCGCGGCCCCGGCTGACAGTGTTCCGTCGGTGTCTCGCTGGCTCCGATGTCGGTGCTCCTCGCGCAGAGATTTGCTCGCCCGTACCCGTTGTCCACCGCAAGTTTCCCGCCAGAGCCCGCCAACGCAAAGCCTCTGGGCAGACCAAGCGCATGCGGACATGTGGGCGCGCTGCATATTGCATCCGAGGCCACCTTCCTGCCTCCTCGCTGTGCCTGATCTCTTGAGGGAATCGTCGTTGACATAAATCAGAGCGCCCAAGTTCGCGCGGCTCTCTGGCGCCTCCTTGGAGCTCCCCACCCCCTTCGCCTCTTTCCCACAGATTGCCAGGCAGCTTGTCTGATCCGGCATCGCCCGACCGCCATCCAGGCTCCCAACCTCACTTCCATACGCCACGTCTCCTTGCTCTGACCCCGGAAAGATGAAGCCCGGCGCCGACTCCCTCCTCCTTCTCGCCCTCATGTTCCCGGTCATGGTGGCTGCACGCGCCCTGCCGTACTTCAACCCGCAGCTGACGGCGTCATGGACGAGCCAGCAAAACGGCCCGACTGTCCCCTCCAGCTTCATCAGCCTCTCCATCGAGTGGGCCGACGTCGTCCTGGCCTTTGGCAAGGGCAACGGCTCGTTTGCCTGCTGCAACCCAACCATGATCCAGCTGCTCAAGAACCTCAATGGTGATCTGCACGGCAGCGACGGCCCCATCATCCGCATCGGCGGAAACTCGGCCAGCAGGATGTGGTGGTCTGGCGCCACCGTCACGGCATTTTCTCGGCCGCAGACCCAGTCTTCGGCTGTGTCGACCGGCAGTGTGAAACTGCTTGGCGAACTGGCCGCCAGCACGGGCATCCGCCTGATCCTGGATGTCACCGAGGTCCCTGCAAACCCCATCTTCTCCCAAGACTTTGTCCAACATGGAATCCTGCCCAACATCGATCCGCAGTACATTGTGGCCATCGAGGTCGGCAATGAGCCTGATCACTATCTTCTCCGCTCTGGTGAGATTACTACGGGCTACTTATTGACATGTGCACTCATTGGCATATGCACTCATTGACATGTGCACTCATTGGTCGCCACGGCATTTGGCGTTTTGATCCTGCGCCTGGCTGGGTCACATTTCGGTTGACTTGCAAGCCTTCATCGCCCCACATGTCGTGCTCGAAAGTGGTACTCATTGCTTCACACACACATGCTCGGTCTCCTTCGTTCGGCCGTCGCTGTCAGGTTGGAGAACAGCTCCGTACACCTGGGACAACTATACGGCCGAGATCAAAAACTACGACACCGCCCTCGAGTATGCGCTGGCGTCGACCAGCATCCCGCTCCAGGGGCCCTCGATCACCGGCTGCGACTACCAGAAACTGCCCTGCTGGCTCGACAAGCTGCCCCAGTTCGCCTCCGACTTTCCCGACTTTAGATACATCTCGTTTCACAGATATGGCCAGCTCGGCCAGTGCTCGTTCCTCACTGGGCCCACCAACACCACGATAGCCAGTCTCCTGAATGGTAACGCAGCTCGAGTCGGGCACTCTGTGCTCAGTGTTCCTTCCCATACATTTCTATGCGGTCGACAGATTGCTGTTGAGACAGCATCCGTTGTGCTGCAGCGGACTCCCGTGTTACAAACCACCGACCCCATAGGCCCCGCATCTTTGGAAGCATTTCCCTTTCCGTTCATTATATTGCCAGCCATCTATACAGCCTCATCTCATATGGATCGCGAATCTCTTGCTAACGACTCTCACTCTCATCTCCACATCACTCTCATCTCCACATCACACACATCACACACATCGCACGCATCACTCTCATCTCCACATCACACACATCGCACACATCATCGGATTCCAGACCCCCAGCCCGGCGATCTTGACTTTATTCAACCGGCCTTTGTCCAGCAGCTCCGCCAGCAGAACCGCGAGCTGGTGCTTGGAGAGGGCTCCAGTGTCTCCTGCGGCGGCCTCACGGGCATCTCGGACACCTTTGCTGCCACCCTCTGGGCAGCCAATATGATGTTTGAGCTCGCCTTCCGGGGTGTCTCGCGCTTCCACCTGCACGGTGTCAGTACGCAGTACACGCCGTTCAAGATCGATCCAGCTACCGGCAATGTCCAGGCCGGGTCGATCTATTACGCGGCAGCGCTCTTCAACCGGCTCCACGGCGGTGCTGCCAACGTCAGCATCTTCAAACCCGAGATTGAAACCAGCAACGTTGACTTTGGCGTCAACCCCAATTTGATCAAGCTCTGGGGCATCAAGGACGACACCGACGGCACCGTCAAGTACATTGTTGTTCACAAGGATCTCAACACCATGGTCGATGTCGGCGTCGTTATCAAGGCCGGTCGGTGCACATCTTACAATGGCATCGTCACCCGCCTTGCCTCGTTCAAGAACGGCATCGCTCTCCAGAGCGGATTCTCCCTTAACGGCCAGGTTCTTGAAAACGGACCCAACGACTTGACCACCGACGGGAACTGGAAGGGCGAACCTCAGTGGGAAGACGTCTGGTCGGACTCGAACGGCACCTTTGTCCTCACAGCCAACCCACTGTCGGTGACCGTCCTCACCATCGGCATCGACCCCACATGTTTCAGCCACTGAGGAGACGGGCCAGCGTCTCTGTGAATGTTTAAAATGCATATGACGGGCCCACCCCTTTACACATCCGTATGTTTTACATACCCGATAACTGTATTTTTGATCTCCGGTACTCCGATCAGCCTCCTTTGGATTTTTCGAAACGAAACACTTCCTTCGACTTTTCCGAAACAAAACGCTTTTCCCCCCCCCCCGCCGCTCGTTTGCTACTCTTGCTGTGCTCTGAAGCGACACGTATCAGTGACGCTCTGTCAACGCACAGCTTCCTCCGCTATTACTCGCAGTTTCGGAGGACGCTTGCCGACTGAGCAGCACGGTCTCGAATATACGAGCTTGATTTTCCGTGGGCGATGATGCTTTGAACATCACCATCACATTCCGAGCTGCATATGATCCTGCCAGGCATACACAAGGGGACGGCACCCGTTCGTAGGCAGCGGGCTGCAAAGCAGAATCGACTCTTGTCGTCCATATAGTTCACCAATTGAATCGAATCGCATTCGTGTTGGCACGCCGTCGAATTGGAGACAGCGCTGCAGCGCAATCGTCCATGACGGTACAGAATAGCGACACGAAAAAACGAAACACGAAACACCAAACTGCCTTTGGGAGATTCCGGTGCTCGATATGAGTGTATTTGGGTTGCAGACACTGCAGTTTATCGAGGCGTCGGGGCCTTGATGATGAATGCTCCTGGAGATATTGAATACAATCGACCAATTGTAGTCCACTCAACTGTGCGTTGTGGCGGCTGCTAATCTTGGTCTTGTGCTCATTGCAGCTCAGTCTGGCTTTGACAAGCGGCTTAACATGACTAGATCTGAGCTCTGAGCCATTCGCGAAGATCGGCAGTATGCTCGAGCGTCTCGATATCAATCTCTAGTTCACGAAGCTTGGCCATTGCAACCGCTTGGTCGACCGAAGCAGACTCGTATTTCATCCCTGGCAAGCCAAGTCGTGTCAATCAAATTCCGCCACGGAGATGCAACGGGCTCAACTCATCGCAGTGGATAGCCGATGGTGCTCCGAGGTGTGTCAATAGGGTTACATCTATAGAGCTCATATCGGACCCGGTTCCCACCTTTGAGCTTGGTCGCCACATGGAAGAACGCAAGCGAAGCAGTTGGGTTGCTTGTTGCGATGGTGGCGTCGACAATGCAGCCCTCGTCCACCTTGATGTCGATGATCTGATCGGCAATTGGACGGGTCAGCGCACTTTGGTCTGCGAACAGAGTTTAGCGACTTGATTTGTCAACTTACTACATCGCCCCAGGAAAAGGAGTGCTCCAGTTGATGGGTGAATGTCGGAGTCTGGCCATAGATCCAGTTCCATGTCTTTGGCAAACGGTGGGAATGCGTCAGCAAAGGTTTGGGTTCCATTGAGCAAGCCGTGCGCCTCTATCTCGAGTCATATGCAGCATACAGAGGTCATGTCTCCCTGGGCCAGGGAGCGGAGAATCGCCTGGGCCGGGCTGACTCACCCGCACTTCGTCGTAGTATTCTTGCAGCTTCGGGTTGCCTTGGAATGTCTCCTCGCTCAGCTCTGCAGACTGGTCCATTTTTCTGCATGAGATCGAGCCTGTGCCCTGCCAACAAGCGCTCGATCGTACCTGCATCCGAGCAGCACCGTGCCTGGAACAAAAGGCATCAATCACCGCTTCGCAAAAGGATGGATGGTCGGCCGTGTACGAGTACTCCCGCAGCTTGGCGACCGGCGATCGAACACTGGCCACACCTCCACCGACCAGGTTTTTCTGAAGCGGCAGACCGAAGGTTAAGATGCAGGCCGCACATTGCGCTTGCAATGAGTGGGCTCGACTCGGCGCCGTCCCATCGTTGGCCCGGCACACAGCCGAGCCAGCAGCGTACCGGGTCGGGCTTGAGATAGGCTCCGAGGCTCGACAGATCGGAATCGATCAGCATGGTTCCGTGGTGGTATGCCCTGTCGCGCACGATTTTGTATGCCGAGCCGGATACGTATTCGGGCGGCACATATCAATGCATGTTAAGGATCATTTCAGCTCTGCAGTTCAGACGGCCGATAGACAGGCGAAACGGGATGGGGTGTGGGGAGGGAACAAAGGATATCTTCTTGCCATCGACGACGATATCGTGGCGTTCGTTGACCGAGGCTGGAATGTCCAGGCTCTGAAGCGCAGATGCCACCAGCTCGGCATTGGTCTTGCGGTCGAACACTTCCCTCGGCATGATAATTGAGTAGTTGGAATTGCCCAAGTCCTACGGGAGGCCCCACACAAGAGCAGCCGAAACACAATCAGAACCGCCAGCTTGTAGCTCGTGTGGCCGCCTGGCGACCATCGGATCGCCAGACCAGATGCTCAAATGCAGATTCGGGACATAAGCTTTTCTTACATGGTAAACGGTGCCTCCGCCGCTTCGCCTGCGGACGAGCGGGACATTATCCCTCTCCATGAGTCTCAGGTTGCATTCTCTCCACGGGTTCTAGCGAACAACAATTCCGAGGACGAGTGACCGATGTGGCCGATTTAGTTGCATAGCGTCACGACCGAGAGCGGTCGATAGCGACTTCAGCGCCGAAGGGTAGAAGTGTGGCAAAATATTTGCGAGGACGGATGCCGCTTTGGGTTTGTCGACAATGACTGGCTTCGTAACCATGACTTGGGGGGTGGACATTGTCGATGGCATCGTGGTTCACCAACCTGGTTGCGTCCGATGACAACGCATCTCGAGTTTCGCCACAGCATGAGAATATAGACAGAGGGATCGGTATGGCGAAACAACCTGGACGATAATCAAGCCCAGGGTCGAGTGCGTAAGAATGAGGCCAAGCATGCAAGCCGATCGCACCGTGCAATGTGCCCGTGGATTGTGAGGAGAGTGCGAGAGACTTGCCATTCCTCAAAGGCCAGATTCATCCACGGATCGACAACATTCGAGACATAACATTCAATCTGCAGAATCACCACGAGTCAGTCAGGATTGTGTGTTTCTGTGGGTTTATGCGACGGTAAGAGTCGGGCAAGATCTACGATCCCCGCCGAGGCAGCGACAAAAGTCTTACACGTTTGGGTGCCTGGGCAGAATGAACGGCTCGATGGGACAGAATCGGGCTTGAGGCACCCGCAGCCGGGTAGCGCCAAAGCCGGGTCTTGGCTGCAGCGCACAGGATCATGGTGGGGAGAGTGTGACTGTCGAGAGGGCAGGATTCTCGCAGGCGAAAGGAGCAGCGCCCAGATCAACGATCAAGTTGACACGAACCAAGATGCGGCTGTCCACCCAGAGCGAACAGGACACCCACCGAGCCCACGGAGACTCGGATATGCCAGGTACTTTGCGGAGCCACACATCGCCAGCGGCGTCCAATGCCCAGAACTCACGGCGGGCGACTCGTTCGACTCAATCATCTAGATATCGAGAAGCCACATTGGTCTCCCAACTGGTTGAATGCACGTTGTATTTCAAGGCTGTGTTCCACCAAGCCAGTAGCAGGCAGAGTTGGGTTGCGGAAGGGCACAAATGACACCGTCTTGCTTCGTTCAAGACTCCAATTCGCACCGAGGTGACGATGGGTGCGCGCAGGCGTCCACCTTCTGAACAAGATTTGATTCAGAGCTCCGAGCGCTGCGAGTTACGGGAATGGGCCGAACGACCGGGGTTGATGCATTCCTCCATGGTGATGATCCGACGGCCCTGTGGGTTGATATAACCCTCGGTTCCCGTGAAAGCATCCACAAGAACAGGCAGGCCTCCGACAGTGCTTTCGTAGAGGTCGTGCATACAGACGATTGCGCCGGCTGCTCGTGCGATGCAACCGATAACAAGTAAGCCGTCAGCATCCTCTCGGTAATAGCGCATGGAGTGCCATCTGGAATACAACAAAGTGGGGCCGAGAGCGCGAGACTCACCATCCGGGAGGCCGTTGATAAGAGGAACCAGTTCTTGCGTGACGTTCTGTCGAACGTGTGAAAAGGTGTAATCAGCAGCAACATGGCACAGCAAGAGCAGCACAACATGCCAGGAAGGAATGGCTCAGTAAAATAATCCACCCCCTCTCCAGCTGATCAACATGCGATGCGACGAGTGGCACATGGGTGCACGTTTCGCTGATGCTTGACGACTCGGGATGCAGACGCACCTGGTAGTACCAGTCGAAACAGCCTGCATTCCACATAACGATTGTGTATCCGCGGTCTTCTAGATACTTGCGAATGGCTTCGTTGATGGCGCCGTAAGGTGGACGGAACAGCCATGGTCGCTGTTGGGTAATCCCGAACAGGAGCTCTTCATTTCGATCAATTTCGCTGGCGAGAGCATCGATCCCCTTGGTCTGAACAAGGTCGGTCAGGTTGGCTGGAAGATGGGACATGGCATCGCAATCGTGAGGACGATGATATCACCAGGAAGTGGGCGCCGACGACATGCGCGACTCAGAGGCCAGCTAAAACCAGAGCCTAAGGTACCGTGAGACCACGTATGAGATCCAAGCAGATGGCCATCATTGACAATCCGTCGCACGACATCTGGATAGCGCTGGGCATTGGCGCCTGTCGAGGGCATTTGGAGCACTTGGGTCAGATATCGGCGAGCGGCGGCAGTGGCTTGAGAGGATGCACATCAATTGAAACAGAGACTAATGCTCCTTGGAGAACCCACCGACGACGAAAAAGGTGGCTTTGAGGCCGGTTTTGCTGAGGTAGTCGAGTAGATTCTCGGTGTTCCCAGGGGAAGGGCCGTCGTCAAAGGTCAGGACAATGCCTACGAGCCCAAGGTGTTAGCACTGCGCCATCGGCACTACCGTGGCGGACCGACCGACGCACAGCAGAGTGGAGCGACTCAGTTCACCGGAGCGGCGTACCTCGGTCGAGCGAGTTGCAGGCCCACACGACGGTGCCGGGGGGAGTGAATGGATTGACGTCTTGCTGCAGGGGGTGCTGGTGGCCTTCGAAGCTGCATCGGACGGCAACGGCCAGGGACAGCAGCCCGGCAGTTTGGGCGAAGCCGGAGAAGAGACGCATTCTGGTGACGAGGCTGTAGAATCGGGAGCCGTTGTAGGCGAGGCGAGGCAAGGGCAGGCGATGGTGTGCCAGATGTTCCTGCAGGCATCCGTTTCGAAGACAGCGACATCAAGGAAGCTTTGTTGCCTGGGGCTGGGCGGCGTGCGATTGGCCGGCTCGGTCACGGGACGCGTCACAGCCGCTCGAGCCAGGGTCGAGCCGGATCGATCTCGCCGGCGGATCCAATCTCTGCCCAGCCGCGCCTTTTCCGCTGTCCTGTCGCCGGCCGAACCCGATCTCGGAACCGCCCCTCTGCGACCACAACAGCGCCAGATGAAGCTCGTCAGAAAAAACATCGAGAAGGATGCCTCGGGCTCGGTCACCCTCGTCGCCGAGGAGGCCGAGGACATGTGGCACACCTACAATCTGCTCACCAAGGGCGATTTGCTGGAAGCCTCCACCATCAGGTTGGCCATGCCAGAGAGATGCGTCGTCGGCGAGCAACCGCCAGCGCCCGCAAGCCTTGCGTTGATGCAACCGGATACCGCCGGCTACGGAGGCGCTCATGCAATGGCATCCTCTCTGCCGCCATTCGTATCGATCTCCATTTCCGCCGCACGCTGTACCCAGAAAGGTTGTCTCCGAGAGCTCGACGGGATCGACAGACAAGACAAGTGTGCGCTTGACCCTCCGGGTGGCCGTCGAGACAGTCGAGTTTGATGCCCAAGGCGGGATCCTGCGTGTCAATGGCAAGAACACTACGGAAAACAAGTACGTCAAGGTAGGTTCTCGTTGCAGCGTACCGGCCCAGCGCAGACGCCCATAGGAGGTGGCGATCAGCATTCTAAACTCCGTCCTTATGCCCTGCATCCTCTGGGCCGCTGGCTTGCCGATTGTCTGTAGCTTGGCGGATATCATACCATCGATGTGGAGCTCAACCGCAAGTTCACCATCTTCAAGGAGGAGTGGGATGTGATCGCCATGGAGCGCATCGACAGTGCTTGCGATGTTACCCAGCGCGCCGACGTGGCCGCCGTTACCCTGGAAGAGGGGCTGGCCATCGTCTGTCTTGTCACCCAGAACATGACGGTTGTGCGGCAGCGATTAGAGTGCCCTGTGCCTCGGAAGCGACTCGGGAGCACCACAAATCACGACAAGGGTCTAAGGCGGTTCTTTGAGCAGACGATGGAGGCCATCCTGCGACATATCAACTTTGATGTCGTCAAGGTGCTGATCCTGGCGAGCCCTGGCTTTATCAAGGCAAGTTCCTGAGCTGCTTCAATCTGCCATCAAAACTGGATGCCACCCTTGGATGTTGCAGGGCTTTGTCTTTGGCGTGGCCTCTTCCATCTCGTCAGCACCTACCGTCACATTGGTCGGTTGGTATGGAGGTATCAATCTGCTGGTGCTCACCAGTATTTCTTGCTTTCCCATCCCCATCCCCAGGACCAGTTGTTCAAATTCCTGATGGAGGAAGCCATCCGACAAGATAACAAAGTGCTGCTCGAGAACAAGTCCAAGATCCTGCTTGTGCACTGCTCGTCGGGTCAGAAGCACGCGCTGCAGGAGATTCTCCAAGAGCCTGCCGTCCAGGCTCGTCTGGCCGATACCAAGTTTGCCCAGGAAGTCAAGGCCCTGGATCGGTTTTACACCATTTTGGCGCAAGATCCCGCAAGAGCCTTCTACGGCTACGACTACGTGGCTCTGGCGGCATCACGGGGCGGAATCGAAACGCTGGTGAGAAAGCAAGCCTGAATCGACGGGCGATATACTGTGATATGCTGTGATATGCTGTGATATACTGTGATATACTGTGATATGCTGTGATATGCTGTGATATGCTGCCGTGTGTCTCGATCGAATCGCAGTCGAGCGATGCATTTCGGACAATGTGTATTGACTTTGTGGATCAATTCTGGATGTCGTCTCCGCTCCCAGATGCTTTCGGATGCCTTGTTCAGGTAATGCACTTGGAGAAACAGCGAAAACGATGCACAGTTCCTCGTTTGCGCTCTGAGCCAACACAGCCGGCCATTCATCGGCACTACCGGGCTCTGGCTCTGGCTCTGGCTTTGACACCGATCATGAGCTTGGGTCTCCGCACAGCTGCAGGCTTTTACCCTAGTGCCGACACCAGCTAATTTTGCATCGTCTGGCTGCCTTTTGTCTCCAATCTGCTCAGATCCGACGATGTGGCTACCCGCCGCAAGTACATAGACCTGGTTGAGCAGACGCGGGCCATGGGGGGTTCTGTGCTGATCTTTTCAGCATTGCACTCTTCGGGTGAGCAGCTGACGCAGCTGACAGGCGTGGCCGCCATCCTCAACTTTTCGATGCCGTCGCTTGAGGACGAAGTTGCGCAGGCCCAAGAAACTGCCGGAAACGCAGGAGATGACGAATACGGAGAGGACCTGTAGCTTTTCAGACTATGTGCCCGCATAATCCCGCAAATACAGTTTCCGGCCTGAGCGCATCCGATGCGAGATGATGTGTATTGTGGCAACAGGACTTGGTGCGCGAGCAGACATCAAAGTCCATCGCCCCGAAGCAGTCCGGCGAAGAGAGCGACTATGGTGGCTCGGCGAGTGACAACAATAGTGGTTGCAGCAGATCTAAGTCGAACGAACGAACGAACGAACGAACGAACGAACGAACGAACGAACGAACGAACGAACGAACGAACGAACGAACGAACGAACGAACGAACGAACGAACGAACGAACGAACGAACGAACGAACGAACGAACGAACGAACGAACGAACGAACGAATGAACGAACGAGCAAGCGGGCTGTGTTGTCAGGACCGCCATCCACTGGTTTACTTTGATTTCTTCTTGACATCCTTGTCCTTCTCTCGCTTGGCTTCTTGTGCAACTGGCTTCATGATTGTCAGCTTACCGACAGCTCCCGCCTTGGCGGCCAGCAGCTTTTCGGTCTTCTGGATCTGAACACCAGTGAGTTTCTGCGATAGGATATGAAGGAGAGGCGCATGAGGAGCCAGACGAGTTATGCCCCAGCAGATTTTGCCGAGGTGCGGTGCATTTTGGTGCCTTTTGATGCCTCCGTTACCTTGGTGAGAGCACGCTGCTTGGCGATCTGGGCCTTCTTGGGGGCGATGGCAACGCCTATCGAAAGTGCACGAAGCAACCCATGGGTAAGTATTGGCCGAGGATGGCGGTCACAGTAAAGCAGTACAGCGGATGAATATCCCAAGAGAACCACTCCACATTATCGGCGTCTCGAGACGCCCTTCTTGATTCATCGATTTGATGGAGCCGTCTTGCCAACGCACTCCGCCGAGGTATCTTCTGGCCAAGTTTCGTTCGAGGAAAGTCGACGGAGCTGACCAGCAGAGCCCCAGCATCCCTGCCGCATGCGACCGACGCCACGTACCTCGCCGCTTGACAGGGCTCTTCTTGGCAGTGGCTGCCTTCTGTTTGACGACTCCCTGGGCCATCTGAGCTGCACTTGGTGTGGGATCTGCGAGAGGCCGCTGTCGTTGTCGATGCCGACAGAGCCGGCTGGACAAATTTTCTTGTGTGCCGAACAAAGCCGGGGCGGGTCGCGGATCGATCCGGTCTTCGAACCAAGCTGCGCGGCGGCTCTTTCGTTGCAGGCGGCCCAGCCCCCACTTTCGATATGCTTCCTTCAAGGTGCAAATCCACAGAGCCCCCCGGCCCAGCAGCCATCCGATACCACTGACCAGCTTCACCGGGCGACACCAATCCGCAGATGAGTCCACAGCATGCGCACGATCCTCCTCAGGACCATCGAAAGCGGCCGCATCCCGATGACCCCGATGCGACACAGCCCTCCGGCCTGAAGCGCCAGCGGCCTTCGCCCGACACCGAAGACATGGTTATCTCGGCCGATCATTCCCACTCAGGCTCCCCGCTGCCGCCTCCGCCAGGTGCGCCCCTTCCACCAACCTTTGCCGAGAGCCCTGCAGCCCCCCGGAGAGATCTGGGCGAAGGAGGGCCGACCCTGCTCGAGCGGGACCCAAGCTCCTCGTCCGACATTGCCGATACATTTTTGCCTGACGGCCCCTCGATCGAGTCGCCCGCTCCCGCCGATTTTTCTGCAGCCGATCCAATGCATTCAGGCTCAACCACAACCTCCGATGCCAAGAGATCCTCGACCAAGAAAAAGTTTGAGCCTCGCACCTTCACGGGCTGCTCCAAGATCGAGGACTACGAGACGAGGAACAAGATCGGCGAAGGCACATTTGGGTGAGCAAGAGTGCTCTCGTGCGCTCGGAATGAACGCCGCGCATCGTCTCGTGTTCATCCCTGGACGGCATTGAAACTGACTCCCCCTCACCGAGCTTGACTCCTCCGTCACCCGGACTGTGAAGCCTGTTGGCTATCGCTGACGTCGACGATTGTGCTGCCCGCTAATTCCGTCCGATGTGGCAGCGAAGTATCCTTTGCCCAACATAAAAAGACAGAAGCCAAGGTCGCCCTGAAGAGGATTCTGATGCACAGCGAGAAGGAAGGGGTGAGTGCTGTCAACATGCAACTGTGTATGGTGCCCCGATCACTTTCCACAGCCAGCGATGCGGTTGTTCCAACCCTTTGTATATATCAGATTCCGATCACCGCTCTGCGCGAAATCAAGATCCTGAAGTCGCTCAATCATCCCAACATTGTGCCGCTCCTCGAGATGGCAATCAAGAAAGGTAATGACATCGTCCCCAGGATCGATGCAGGTAGTCCGAGTTTTACAATATCAATCAAGTATCGCGGTTAACACCGGCTGCCGTCGCTCCACCACAAGGCGATAAGTCCAGTCGATCTCGTGGCTCGATTTTCATGGTGTTTCCCTATATGGACTATGATCTGGCCGGTTTGCTCGAGAATCCTGCGGTTCGGTTTAACCAGTCGCAGATCAAGTCATATATCAAGCAGCTGCTCGAGGGCACGTATTACCTTCACCAGGTGGGCTGAAGCAATGCAGACCCCGTTTATAGCGAAGATGTGGGCTGAATAGGCCGTGACCGCTCTGATTTGCAAGTCCTGATCTCATCGGCGAGTCCTGATCTCATCGGCGAATCCTGATCTGCGCTGACTTTATTTTGCTTCGGTTGATGACTCCTCATCATGGCGACACGGAACTGCTCCTTGGCGCAACTGTGGCATCCATTCGCGCACTTTCGATACTCCCTCGTATATTGACCATGCCGCTTGACATTCAGCACAACATTCTTCATCGAGACATGAAAGGTGCGGTAGCCGCCCGCCAATATTGTATGATCCGTGGCCCGGAGTGAGCTTCGGTTTGTGCTTGGACGGGCAAGAATGAGGCCATGGCTTACGAGTTTCACCTTGCAGGAGCCAATATCCTGATTGACGCCCAGGGCAACCTTAAACTGGCCGACTTTGGCCTTGCCCGGTCCTTCAACCCCGAGGATCCAAACAAGGCCTATACCACCCTTGTGGTAACCCGGTGGTACCGACCGCCAGAGCTCCTCTTGGGGGCAACAAAGTACAATGCGGCAATCGACATGTGGGGTGTTGGGTAAGTCTCTATCGCAGGCACGCCGCCCTATTCCTGGAAGTTGGCCATTTCGCAAGACAGACAGTGCATCGCTGCGTGTCTTGCGGAGCACTCATCGGAAATCTCGGTCCATGGACGGCGGGGCCTGCAGATGCGTCATCGGCGAGATTTTCAAGCGAAGGCCCATCCTTACCGGAACCAGCGATATTGACCAGCTCGAAAAGATTTTCGAGCTCTGCGGAACGCCAAACAAGCACAACTGGCCCTCCGTCGACCAACTGACAGATTGGGGCAAAATCCAGTTCAAGGTTTATCAACGGAATGTCCTGCGACGCTTTGAACAGTACGTACCCGTTATTGGAACGCATGTCCACGTGTGCAGCTTATTGTGGATGCTACGAATTGCCCCAGTACCTGCTCTTACAACGAATGGACTTTGCGCAGGTACGATCGGCTGGCAATCGATCTGATGGACAAGCTTCTCGCGCTCGAACCAGCGACCAGACTGACCGCCGGCGAAGCCTTGAAACACGACTATTTCTACCATGGCTGGCGCATTGCTGTGCCCGGAACAAAGGAGTGGGTATCCGATAGTGCTTGAAGTGATCATGAGGGGCGAACGAAGCCATGCCATCTCCGCTCTTTCGATGGTTGTGCCACTGCTATTAACGCTCACCCCGTGCTCGCCGCTGTGGATGTCTGCTTTAGCTTTTACCCGCCGTTCCCGACGTCTCACGAGTACGCCTCGAGGCTGAGGAGAGAGGAACAAGCTGCGATTGCCAGAGATATTGAAGGCGGGGTACAAAACCTCGCGCCTCCTATGCACTATGACTATGGCCTCGAAAGCGACAAGAAGGGATCAAGTCACACCAAGTATAGTGACTCTCACAGGAAAGACTCGGGTAGCTACCGATCCTCGCGAACAAGCTTTCCGTCAACCGATGCTTCTCGATACTCCCACAACAGGCACTACTGAGCAATCTACAGAACCGCTGGAGATCAGGTTGATGTTCAGCAGGATTTAGCCCAATTAACCCGCTGCCTGTGCGCTAGAACGCTTGCAACGTCGATCAAAACACACCCTTGATCATTGTGAGGTGGCATTTGGAAGGACAATATATCATGGTGCTGAGAAGGAACCCTGATCATATCGTGGCCTTCATCCTGGGGTTTGATGTGCCGACTCGGCCTTGATGGAGGCACACTGTGAGCCGAAGGCAACGTTATGTCCCAAGCCAAGGAGGCTTGTCGCAGGCAATATGCGGTCGTGATGCTGATGGCCACGTCAAAAGCCCGAGCCCAGGCATATTGTGGCTGCGCCAACTCCAATCAGGCGTACGTCAGGGTTATTGGCTGACAACGCGAGCCAGTACAAGTATATTGCCAAAACTGCTTCAGTTTCCCCACCCCAATCATTGGCGTTATCGAACAGTCGACTGCAACTCACAGAGTGGTTGAGGATCACTTTGCTGAGCCCACGCCCGTGCGGACGGAAAGAAAACGTCCGTTCCCCCGACGCCCCGACTTGCCTTCCGCGGCCATCTTCTCCCATCGCGGCATCATGGCTACTCAGCCGTTCTCAGCAGGGCTCGCGTTCTTGCTCCTCCTGTTGGCCCATCTGCCGCGTCTGGACGCCATCGATATCGCCGTCCATCCCAACAAGAATGCCTCGTTCACCAGAACTCTCAATATTGGGTTGCTATACTGGAGCGGTACAATCGCAGCCTTCAACGATCCCATTGTTGCTTCCACAAACTACTACTACTATCAGTACACAAGCGTTGAAGCGATGGAAATGTAACGGAACCGTCCTCTAGCCGTTGTCCCAGCAGAACCACTGCAGAGGTTGAAGTGCCTCGTCGGTGCGAATCAGCTGGTTTAACAGCGCGTGCGATCGCGTTTGCTTTGATTCCAGGATCAGCGGGCTCGAAGCTCTCCAGATCAACATTAACCGCCGGTAGGTGCATCACCCTGTAGTTTGGTCCCGATTGCTATCTAGAACATGGCTCTAGCTGACAAACAGCCATATCTTCTGGATATAGGAACGATATTCTTCCGAATATTGTAAGTCGATGTCCCTGCGAGCTGTCATTTCGTGGACAGCCATGATCCAGTTGCCTGTGGTGCCGGAGCAACAGCGACAGACTCACGACTGAGTCGGGATGCGCAAGTAAACACACTGTCCTCCGCTGACATCTCTTGCTCGGTCTACAATGCCATCGCAGTATCTCAACATTACTGGATATAACAGCTTCCGCATGGGTTCATCTGCAGTCGGTGTAAGTACGAGCGAGATCTGGCCGATTGCGCATACGAACAGAATGTGGCGATTGTGAACAAGAAGGAACTGACCGACTCTGTTTGTTTAGTTGTCGGCGGCAATCGAAGCCGTCCGTGATGGGAACAATGGCCTCATTGGCGACTCAATCTTAGCAACCGATGCAATTCTCATGGAGTCACTCTGGGCCGCAACCCAACATGTTCCGGTATGATCTGTTGCTTGGATCAGTGGTTTTGAGAGTTTTTGAGCCTCACGGTCACATCTCCGTGACATGGTAGTACCACATCATGGTCGGCGATCCTGTACCAATAGATATTAACAGAGGTTTATCCCTCCGCATCCCACATTCTTACCCTGCTGTTTGCCTGACTAGATCTGCTCACCGACCTCCAATGACCCGCGGGTGAGAACTGGTCATAAACGAAAGATATTTCTGGAACATTGTGGAGCTAACAAGGTCATGTTTGAGCTAGCTTTCCGATCGCACCATGTACCCGACGTTTTTCCGGACTCTGACGGCATCGACAATGCAAGGGCGAGGTATCAGTGCAACGGAACATATCTGCTTCATGTGTTGTTCGACAGTCGATCACGCTACAAAAGATCCCCACAAGGCATACTAACGTCGATACTTTCAAAATAGCGTTTGCTATCTGGGTTCATGCCATGGGATGGAAGCGCGTTGCTGTCCTGGTCTCGGTAAGATCCCGTTGCAGTCTCTTGTTTTGATGCTCTCGCAATCTATCGCAATACTTGATGCCGTATTCGCATCGCCACTTCATCGGTCATTGACACGCCATAATGTGTGCGTTGCCTTCAGGATCGTGAAAATGACAGCTATGGATACAATGTACTGCCGGGGTTTCTAGACGAAGCCAGTGCATTGGGAATCGAGATACTCGGCGGCGTGGTCGAATTCGCCTCGGGAAAGTTTCCCCTCGGATCCGATTGGGTGACTCCCCTGGCAGCTATTTCTGCCACAAACGCACGGATTATATTGTGCTTTTCCTCCGTGCTGCAATCATCGCTGGCATATCTCTGGGTAAGTATTGTATGATTTCTGATATGGAGGAGGCTCAGTGCTCTCGACCGAATGCACTCGGTCTCTGAGGGAAATGAGGGATGTAATTCGGTCTGCATGGATCCGATGGTTCATCTCTGCTACTGCGATGCGAGGCGATTGCTCATGGCCCAATCCTTCACTCTCGCGCTTCCTCCACCGCCGCTGGAAACGGCACATGGATGCGTGTCCCCCAGGCTAAAAAGTAGGTGGGGTGATGCTATAGCACCACAGCTGGCGCACTCGGCCCGAGTCTTTGGTGCTGACAGTCATCAATGCGTGCATTTGTCTCTGGAAATCGAGCGCTTGCGTGTTTTCTTGATCCTGACAATGGTTAAAACCAAACATTGAGAGCAAACATATGACTCGCCTTGTGATCCCCGATTTCATCGAACATATCGTCAATCTATAGACTATTTCAGATCACGGGTCCTGAGTACGTCTGGTTGACACTGCAAGGCGTTATGGGGATCGAGATTATCCAAGTTTTAGACGATTTGGGATATCAAAATGTGTTTGAAAATCAGCTTGTGCCTTTCCAAGATGGACCGATCAATGGATCATACATACGAAACTAGTATGTTGTATGGCGGTCCGTGTGCTGCAGCAACTCATATGGGTCGATGAAGTGCATCACCGACAGACCGCGACCCGATGGATTGGATTGCCGTGTCGCTAATGTACTGAATCTTGGCTACACATTGCATACATACAGTGGCGAGGGCGAGTAAGTTGTATAGACGCGAGTGCTTGCTGGATACTCGTCTGCGAAGCTGGCGTCTTGGACTAGCTTGTTCACACTCAATGGGAACCTCTATTGCACGGCGCTGCTTCTGTGACCCCAACCCATTCGGTAGAACATACATGGTGTAAGTCATTACTGGCGATCTCTAGCCATCTTGATACCTCCTCTCTGCTGCAGGGGACACTCGTTGATAACAACCGCAAACGCTTGTTCAAGCCAGATACGGCCCATCCCCGAACTATCCAGCAACACCTCAATGGATTGACTACAACGACACAATGACTTATGTCTACGCACCCGAACCGCTGATGCTCCCAGTGGGAGTGTAAGTTATTGATGGCGATGCATTGACCCGAGGAGCGCAAGAAACACCAGCGCGATACTTGATCTAACAAGCAAACACAAAATTGCAAACAGAGAAACATACGACTGTGCATTGTCCCTTGTGCTCGGATTCGATCACGTACGCACTGTTGTGCAGCCATAAGTCGTTGCTGCGTGCAGGCTCCTATGCACCGACCATATGATGCGAGCATCCAAACCCCTGCATAGCAATGTGAACCAACTTGGCAGTGGAAAATGCATTTTGCTTGGTGAATACCCAGGGTACGCGCCTTGCTCGCTAACAGATGAGCAACCTGTCTCTCAGCTGTTGAAATCGGGCATAAGTCTCGACACCATCCTCTCAAACGCTGTCGACACTTCGTTCCTCGAGCCATCCTTCTTTTTGAACTACACGTATAATGGCGCAACTGGCCCTCTCGAATATGATTGTAGGTTCACCGCAGTTCGCCCAGCCAGATGCACTCCGCCACACTGATTGCTTTGTGCAGCACTGATACATTTGGCCTCAAACAAATCCACCCATGAAGCGCAAGGAAATCGACTCTACGGGTAAGCACGGTGGTGTTCAAGTGGTTGCAACTTCCTCGATGTCTGGAACTCACTGTTTTGATGGTTCTTCAACAGTGTATATGATATTTATTCTGTGGTAAGTTCTGTGGGATCATAAGCCTCACAGCGACAACCTCCGGTCAGCAGTATTCGAGTAACATTTTCAAATGACCCCAGATGAACAACAGCTTCAACGGGTGGCTCGAAGCAGAAATTTACATCGATGCAACCAATGCTTCAAGAACATATGTGTTGTTTGAAAACACGACCAGCTTTGGAACGGCCGTCTGGAACGTGACTTCGCCGCTCCTGAACATTCCGGTGGACTTCCCTCCGCTGGTCTTCATGAACCCGACACTGCTGAGTTCCAGGGGGGTGTTTGGGGCCAGCTTGGCCCTCATCGCCTTGGCTACCGTTTCGGCGCTCTACCTCACAATCCTGGCAGCACGCAAACACCAAAAACTGCGACTCTTCAACTCACTCTATGTGATATCAGGTGAGCGTGCTGCCCTGTTTGATGATTCCCATTAAATCAACCTGTCGCACATTATCGTACATCCACGACCCGTTGTAACTCGTGGCCTCGACGCCGTGACTCGTGTTGGAAACCATCGCTGCGCACCACGGACTATCATCGCCTCTCACATACACCGCTATCGCACAATTCCCCGCCACGGATATGCGCTCCCTCAGTGCACCTTGCCATTATCTTGTGCATGCTATCGGTTGTCTCGGAGCTCGGAGTTCCCTCTCAGGCCTTGTGTCGGCTGTTCAAGTACGGCATGGAGAACATCAAGATTTCGCTCATTGGAGGGTGTGTATCTGGAGTGCCGTGCATGTGCAGTTGGGCCACTCGGCCGTGAACGAAGCTGTTGGCCAAACCAAGCCGCCGCTAACAGCGCTGGGCTCCACTCCCATAGCTGCATTGCATCCAAGATGCTTCGTAAGTGACTGCGCTTCCCAGTGCACCTGTTTTGCATGATAACACAGTGTTGTCAAGAGTCGCAGCGATGTCGTTTGCCTTTCTGATACCACACAATGACCGCTCACGCACCCGTCTGATTTGCGGGTGCAGGTTTCTTGATGATACGCAGAAGCACCAAGATATCGCAGTCGGTTCTGCCGAACAATCTCCTGCTCACGATTGTAGCAGCCATCTTGGCGATCAACACTGTGAGTGCCGTTGTCGATGATGCGGATGAGCCGCAACAACTTTGATCGAATCCACACTGATTCGACGAACTGTGCCTCTCATGCCCAACCAAGATCATCACCCTGCTCCTTGATATACTCTCAGTCCTGTCACCAGTCAATGTGGCAACAAGCGCAGATGGGCTCAGCGTCTATGCATTGTGTATGGCAGCCGATCACAGTATCAACAGCATCGTCAGCGGTCTTCAGATAGGATTCAACTCTGGAGTATTTCTGGTTTCGGCAGTGTATGCCGTCGAGCTGCGAAACTCGATCTGCTACAGGTATGCACTGAGTATGGTAGTGTTTCACTCGGTTGAGTGGGAACGACGGACATATCGATTTCTGAAGGAAGACGATGCACAAGATATGACAATTGGTGTTGAACTGCATTGAATGTACCAGTCTGGGACAGTAGATTGACCACAGACTCACATCACATCCTGTTGACAGCTATGAGGTCAAGTGGATCATGGCAAGCTCGAGGTAGGCCGTTGGCAGAGACAGAAGATCGTCGCTGGACCACTATGCCACAGCACGACCGGCACAGAATTTGGCTTGGCTCGGGACTAACCATGTGCTCCGTCGATCCTTCCAGCCTCGTCACGATGATCTACCTGCTCTTTGCGGTGTTCACGAACGTCTTTGTGTCAACCGGGATGCGCTTGGCCTTCCACTTTCTGCTTGGTATAGCGCTCGTTCCCCTGGTGGTGCCCGTCTACATGACTGCAGCATTTGAGTCTGTGTCGCTCAGATCAGGTGGAACATTTCGCAATACTTCGAGCAGCGGCCCCTCGGCGATAATGGGCATGAGCAAGCTGGAACAGATGGAAATCAGATCAAGTGTAAAATCGCGAACCGACTCGGCGATTTCAACGATGCTTTTCTCGACAGTGAGACTGTCGCGACACAGCCGAGACCTTGAACGTGGCAAGAGCGACGTTGGCATATTTGACCTCCATGTGGTGGACAAACGCATATTCATCTTCTCCCCAAGCAAAGTGGTAAGTGTCATCTTTGGCGCCACTATCCACAACCAGGGAATACATGCTCACTAAATCATCGATCATGTCGATCGCTCGGCGTGACCAGGTTTCCGTCGACCAGTCAAAGGCGGCTACCCATATCTTTGAGATTCCGTATGTGACTGTCTCGGCAGATGGGCTTCTGAGCAGCAGATCCCAAGGCGAGGACACCGCCAACACTTCCCAGGCAGAGCACCCCGACGAACTCTTCAAAATCACAGACTCCAGAATGGCCTATATTGTCGAGATAGTGCACTCTCGTGAGCTTAAAAACAAATGATTCATTGGTGTGAACGTCATGTCAGATTCAGCTCTTGCGATGTCAGGCTTACCGCTGGCTCACTGATGGAAGTGTACCAATCGGCTGGCCTGTGGTGGACCTTCGTAGCATCGATTCTGAATATAATCCGATCGATCCGCCGATTCACTTCTGCACTCGCTGCGAGGGCTGAGCATCTTTGCAGCCGTGGGTCCGATGCATTCGAGTTGGTGCAGAGATCGAATATCCTGGCTCCAAACTGAATCGGAAACGGAAGCATCACGCCGAGTAGTGGACGGCGAACCGCAATTCGATGGACAGTCCGCAGAGTGATCCCACAACGAAATGATTGGACAACTGTTGTCTGACGGTGCGCCGTGATTTCATATGTTGTTGCTCAGGTCTTGTGGACTGTGGATGTGCATCCGCAGACTCGCTCCGGAACGAGGGAACTCGTACGCAACATCGGTCATTCTACCCATCTGCCGATGCCGTTCGCACGATATCTTGCTTCAGTCGCACTGCGATTTCCATCCTATCCTGCACTGAGTCTCGCATCTGGAGCAATCTGTGCCTCGAACTTGCTCAGTGGTTTCAAGACACCAACCGGCCAGCTATGGATTCCCAGACCCTTCAAGACGCTCAGATCTTTACCTTCTTTGTCTGCATCGTGACTATCTGTTTCTCCACTCGCACACTCAAGTCGGTCAAATGGAAGGAGGCCTTCAACGTGCGACGGGGCCCACAGATCCACACCATGATGGCTCTGGCGATAATCTGCGTCGCCCTGTGCTGCACAGGCTATCTCTTGATGCTCTACGACCCCTGCTACTCCAACCCTGTGTGCTATCAACTCGTCAACTTCCTCTATGCACTTGGCGATGGCGTCGGCTCCGCTGCCACAGGATGGGCTTTCCTCTTGCGCCTGAGGGCCATGAACACCACCAACGAACCGACAAGCAACTGGCTCTTCCTGCTTGGCATCATGCCGATCGCCTACATTGCCAACGATGTGTGCTTCATCCTGAGTACCTTTGGTGTCATATCGCTCGCCCAGCTCTGGACCAACAGCGTCGGCTTCGGTCTGGCTCTGGAGGCCAATCTGGTGTGCCTGCACCTCTTGATGATTTATCGACTCTACTCTCTCAGATTCTCCATCCGCACGATTGGAAGACAGACAACCAGCAAGGGACAGCCCTCGGGTGCCACCAACATGTCCGCAGAGAAAATCAAAGCTCTGGAGCGCGAAGGCTTGACGCTGGTTGCTGCGATTGCGGCTGAAATCGTGGTTGCCATCGTCTGCATTGTCTACTCAGAGCACGATCCCACGGGCCTCATTGGGACGGTGATCTGCATTTTCATCTGGGCCGTGGACATGTACCTCTTCTGTGCCATCGACAGCTACGTCACCAATCTGATCGAATCGTCAGGGGGTGTGTCGGGCCGAAGCTCCGTGTCGGCTCAAAGCCAAACTCCAACACTCACGATGGGAGGTGTCGGCGGCCGGCCCATCCTGTCGACTGCCCGGGCGAGCGTGTGCCGATCTGGTGGCACTGGCGACAGCATTGAGACTGCTTAGCAATCAGGTTCGCTGACTCTTGGCTGGAAGGGCAATATATGGCCATGGTCCGGATGCATCCGATGATAGCCAGAGCCGAGCCACCATGGCAGCTCACTGATCACGGCAGTCTACGAGTCGAGACTATTCATCGAGAGTATTCATTGAGAGTATTCATAGAGACTGTTCTTCGAGACCACGGCCACACCGGCTCAAACACAGTCTGGACGAGCGGTCTACAGAGGGATGCAAGGATCAAGGCTCTTGAGTCTGCAATATCGATATCGAGATGCAGGCGATAGCATCCAGAAGTGTGATGGCGAACAGAGCGAAGGACAAAACATTTGTTGAAGGGTGAGGGGGCGAATGGGTGAGCACTTACTGGCCCGTGGAGCTGTTCCTGGCTTGTGAGAACAGAGGCCACGCAGGCCCATGATGATGGATGCGCCATCAGAGCTCAGAGAGTCGCAAGTATCTCACCGATCCAACATGATAATGAAACATCACCTATCGACCACCCGGAGCTTCGCTGCCCCTTGATTTGATGGCTCTTTGATGTGGGCAGTGTGCTGTGTAGTTTTAGTATTGGCGTCAGTGCGTGGTGTGCCGATGGCCTGAACTCTTACCATACGATGGCTGGACTGAGAGACTGGCTACTGATTTCATCAACAGAAACAGTACGATATCCTCGTTGTGTCAGGAGCAGACTTGAGGAGCTCACGGACAACGAGAAGCTTCTTGGAGGAACAGTGAGGGGCGAAATGATGAAGCCGAGAAGAACGAAAGAGTCAAAATGGTTGTCACTTGGTAGACCCCAAGAAACACCCTGCGACTCGATCGATGCGGTGCCTGGTTCGTGAATGAAACAGCAGCTGCCGCCGATCTGTCCAGAGCATCAGCAGGAGAATCAAACCCCCCTATTCATTGGATACCAATGGATCAAAGCCGACGCCGTTATCAAAGTCTGGAGTTGATTCCAATCACTGGAATGAAGGGAGCGATAGTATAAGAGCATCAAGCGAATCATGGATCCACAAAACGAAGAGAACGGAGAGCACCACGCAGACGGCAAATGTCTTGCGAACGAAGAATGGATTACGTATTGGTGGAAAAGGCATCACGGGGCCGGATATTTGCACGATGGAAGTTCGGTTTGACAGCCATTGGAAACGGGCAAAACGAAAATAGAGGTCCCACCGAGATTTGAACTCGGGTTGCAGGAGTCAGAATCCTGAGTGCTAACCGCTACACTATGGAACCGATATTCCGCATCGGGGAATCGAACCCCGGCCGTCTCGGTGAGAGCGAGAAATCCTAGCCACTGGACCAATGCGGAGAGCTTGACCTTGATCTCAACTTTTGGATCCACAGGCACAGGCTCTCCGTCGCTCTTTTATTTACAAACCGCTCAACACTCTCAACCAACGACCCCCTCCACATGCCCCCGACCCAAACGGCCATCAACGAGATGGCCATAGACACCTCGGGCAGCCCTGCTGCCCAAGAACCAGGCCAACCGGACGAAAATCGCAGCCTAGAAAGCAACGGCCATCAGGTCAGTAGCGCCAGTATCACCGAGGCCACCGAATCAGCACCCACCAAAAAGCACCGCAGGGATGGTGAGCCCATCCAGCTGCACGTCGGTCGCAAGAAGACCGTCGAAGAAATTATCGAAGAGCTCTATGCAGATTCGGCAATCTTTCCCAACCCGCCCGACGTGGTTGAAGAAAAGAAGTGGGCCCTCTCGATCCTCGAGAAGGCCAAGAACAACACTCTCACCGACCAGGACTTCATCCCGGTCGATTTCAAAGACATCACCTACCGCCGCTTTAGGTTTGTCTTCGCTCTGAAGGCAGACCAAGTTCAATGCTCCCGTTGCAGAGGGAGCAAGCCCCCCGCCTGGCGTATCGACGACGCCCAGCACTCGGTCGTCTGCAAGAACATGCTGATGAGCCCGGACGCCGCCACCAAGGTGGAAGAATGCGGGAAGCATTTTTCCATCCTCGTATTCTGGGGCCTGATGACCCGCCATGACGAAGCCGGATGGAAGCTTTTCGAACAACGGGCCTCCCTCGCCGATGCCAGGGCTGTCGGGAAGCGCGTCTGCGCCACCGACATGCGCAAGAAGCAGAGTCCCCAACAGCAGCTTCAGCACATCCAGAGTGAGCTTCTCAAGAAAGCTCAGAAGATTAACGAAGAACTCGCCAAGCTGGACCTCAGCAAACCCGAGGAAGTTGCTAGAATCAAGGCCCTGACCCAGAGCGCCACCGAGTGCATGCAGACGCTCGCCTCCGAGCTGGAGCATGCGTCCCGGGCCATCTCGGAACGCCCAGCTCCGACATCCTACGCAGCAGCCGCCCAGCGGGGTGCCAAGAAGCAGCCCGACAACAAGACAATCGACGCGCGCAAGCTGGCGGCCCTCGAAAAAGTCCACCAGGAGGCCGATGCCGGCAAGAAGAACGAGGCCATCGGCGCCATCCTCCGCGGCCGTGACCCCACCGACGGCAAGTGGCTGGTGCCCAAGACTGCCACGCCATTCAGGATGATCAGATCCTCGGTCCCTGTCGAGGAAGGACCCTTAAAGGATAGGATGGACAACGCCGCTTGGGTTTACGTCAAGGGTATCCCTCGGGGTAGCTACCGCACGATCAGACAAGCTTTCAAGGAGAAGGGCTTTGCCACCAACCAGATTCTCAATATCAGCTTTGTCAACAACAGCGTCTGTGAGTTTGTTCTCAGAGACAAGAGCTCGAGAGAAGAATTCTTGAAGCACATTACGGACATGAAATTCACTGAAGTCGCACACATGGACGTGTCGAAGATCACCGAGGCCGAGAAGGAGTCCAAGAAGCTCCAAATCAAGAGCTTCATTGAACGCGCTGCCAGGATATGTGCGGAATCCAATGACCTCCTCACGGCGACCTTGTACCAACGGAAGATGAACGACCCAGCCGTCGCCGAGCAGATCACTGCTAAGGCGAAGGAACTGGCTCGCAACAAACCAGGCCGCCAAGAAAAAGGCGGACGCGAAGGAACCACTCCTCCCCGCAAATGATGCAGCCCCAACCTACGCCCACTATTAGGTTCGCGACCCTGAATGTCTGCGGACTTGAAACCTCTATACACGAGGTTATCGAAATGGTAAAAGCAAAAGACCTCGACTTTATAACAGTCCAAGAAACGTGGCTCAAACCACAGCAATCCATCGGACCTTACAAGAACCTCATAGTTTTCGAAACCCGAGAGCCATATGTCTCTGTCGACGGCCTCGCAAGAGGCACCGGAGGAATCGCCCTCATTCGGAACCCGAAAACCACCAACCTCGAAGACTTTAGCAACTTCCGCGTTGGACCTCATCACACGAGCATCTGGTTCAAGTTCCGAGGCATCGTCTTTGGATCTTTCTACCTCAAGCCTGCTCTATCAGCCAATGCGGCAGCCCTGCAAAAGTTCCGAGAAGCCCTGTCGGCCATCAAGACCAACACCACAGAAATGAACAATCCTATCCCATCTGTGATCATGGGCGACTTCAACACCCGCATGGGCCAGACAAGCAGAGACACCCATGAAACCGCCAACCGTTTGCAACCACTGCGGACAGCTGTAGCGGGCGGCTTCCTGGAATTCGTGGATTCGACCAACCCCACGGGGCAACACTGGACCCACGTCGTCAACGGGAAGAAACCACAACACTCAGTACTGGACCTCTTCTTTGTCTCGACGGCACTGAGACACAACGCCAAGACGGTGACGGTCCACTCCAACGACACCTGTAACTCAGACCACCGCATGGTGTCGATGGAACTTGAATGGAACGCCGCCAGAGAGCCTGCCCGCCCACCAATCCTCGTGTGGCGAACCAACAAGCTCGAAGATCCCGAAACCCTCCAGCAATACACGGAAGCCTTTAGAGTCCACCACCCAGTAGTCGTAGAGCAGATCACACAGCTGGGAACCCGGCTACCACAAGAGGATGGACCCATGGCACGCGAAGACGCCGAAGCCCTCGTTGAATCTGGGTGGAATATCATCAAGAACCACGTCACAGCGGTGGCACAAATCGTCATTGGGAAGCGAAAGAAGGATGGCCCGGCTCCCCGCAACGGCTTTTGGACACCGGAAATGGCTGACATCAAGAAACGACGAAACACGGCTTATCGAATCGTGAACCAGTCGCCACAAGGCTCGAGAATCCAACTGCAGGCCATGGCCGACTACGAAAACATGAACAACAAACTCAAGGACCTCATACGACGACAGAAACGCGCCTTCTACAACACCTGGGCCCAGTCTCTCTCCACCAAATCGGACTCTGAGCTCCTCAAGGAAATCAGCAAGCGAGACAAGGTCAAAAGCGGCTTCTTCAACCGGTCGATTCTTCCGAACGACCAAGACAGCATGGACCAGTACCGGGCCCACTTTGGGAACATCTCAAGTCGTCTCGGTGTTCAAGAAGCCAACGATACACCGCGTCCTCAGGAAATACTATTCAGTCGCCTCTTGGGCCGCGAAATCACAGCAGAAGAAGTAAAAACAGCCATCCGACGCATGGGGAAACACAAGGCCCCTGGGTCCGACGGGATCAGTGCCGAGCTCCTACACCCAGTAACCGACCAAGTCTCGGATTGGCTGCGTCAGCTCTTCAACTGGTGCATGTGGACCGGCATCGTCCCTCAAGAATGGAATGTCGCCATCAACCACCCCATCTGGAAGAAGAAGGGCGAAGAAGAGGACATCAAGAACTATCGCCCGATCTCTCTGCTACAAGTTGTCCGAAAGGTATTCGAAAGGATCTTACATAGCCGACTCCTCCAGGAGATGGGCCCCATCGACATCTCCCAAGGAGGCTTCCGCAGCAACAGGGGAACCCTGGACCAGGTATTCGCACTCGATTCAATCGTCAAGTTCCTACAGAACGACGGCCACACCCCGTGGATCGCGTTCATGGACATCAAAGCCGCGTACGACTCAGTTGACCGGGATCGGCTCTGGCACAAACTCGAGCAACGAGACATCCCCCCGCATACCATCCGCATCCTACGCGCGCTCTTCGACAACGTGACCACCGCTGTTCTCGTGAGC